GTTCTTCCCATTCGCATTACTGTCGCCGAGAGGCGCATGCCTCATCACTGCTCCCGAGGGGTTCTTCCCATTCGCATTACTGTCGCCGAGAGGCGCATGCCTCATCACTGCTCCCGAGGGGTTCTTCCCATTCGCATTACTGTCGCCGTGAGGCGCATGCCTCATCACTGCTCCCGAGGGGTCCTTCCCATTCGCATTACTGTCGCCGTGAGGCGCATGCCTCATCACTGCTCCCGAGGGGTTCTTCCCATTCGCATTACTGTCGCCGAGAGGCGCATGCCTCATCACTGCTCCCGAGGGGTTCTTCCCATTCGCATTACTGTCGCCGAGAGGCGCATGCCTCATCACTGCTCCCGAGGGGTTCTTCCCATTCGCATTACTGTCGCCGAGAGGCGCATGCCTCATCACTGCTCCCGAGGGGTTCTTCCCATTCGCATTACTGTCGCCGAGAGGCGCATGCCTCATCACTGCTCCCGAGGGGTCCTTCCCATTCGCATTACTGTCGCCGAGAGGCGCATGCCTCATCACTGCTCCCGAGGGGTTCTTCCCATTCGCATTACTGTCGCCGAGAGGCGCATGCCTCATCACTGCTCCCGAGGGGTTCTTCCCATTCGCATTACTGTCGCCGAGAGGCGCATGCCTCATCACTGCTACCGAGGGGTTCTTCCCATTCGCATTACTGTCGCCGAGAGGCGCATGCCTCATCACTGCTCCCGAGGGGTTCTTCCCATTCGCATTACTGTCGCCGAGAGGCGCATGCCTCATCACTGCTCCCGAGGGGTTCTTCCCATTCGCATTACTGTCGCCGAGAGGCGCATGCCTCATCACTGCTCCCGAGGGGTTCTTCCCATTCGCATTACTGTCGCCGAGAGGCGCATGCCTCATCACTGCTCCCGAGGGGTCCTTCCCATTCGCATTACTGTCGCCGAGAGGCGCATGCCTCATCACTGCTCCCGAGGGGTTCTTCCCATTCGCATTACTGTCGCCGAGAGGCGCATGCCTCATCACTGCTCCCGAGGGGTCCTTCCCATTCGCATTACTGTCGCCGTGAGGCACATGCCTCATCACTGCTCCCGAGGGGTCCTTCCCATTCGCATTACTGTCGCCGAGAGGCGCATGCCTCATCACTGCTCCCGAGGGGTTCTTCCCATTCGCATTACTGTCGCCGAGAGGCGCATGCCTCATCACTGCTCCCGAGGGGTTCTTCCCATTCGCATTACTGTCGCCGAGAGGCGCATGCCTCATCACTGCTCCCGAGGGGTCCTTCCCATTCGCGTTACTGTCGCCGAGAGGCGCATGCCTCATCACTACTCCCGAGGGGTTCTTCCCATTCGCATTACTGTCGCCGAGTGGCGCATGCCTCATCACTGCTCCCGAGGGGTTCTTCCCATTCGCATTACTGTCGCCGAGTAGCACATGCCTCATCACTGCTCCCGAGGGGTCCTTCCCATTCGCATTACTGTCGCCGAGAGGCACATGCCTCATCACTGCTCCCGAGGGGTCCTTCCCATTCGCATTACTGTCGCCGAGAGGCGCATGCCTCATCACTGCTCCCGAGGGGTCCTTCCCATTCGCATTACTGTCGCCGAGAGGCACATGCCTCATCACTGCTCCCGAGGGGTCCTTCCCATTCGCATTACTGTCGCCGAGAGGCGCATGCCTCATCACTGCTCCCGAGGGGTCCTTCCCATTCGCATTACTGTCGCCGAGAGGCGCATGCCTCATCACTGCTCCCGAGGGGTTCTTCCCATTCGCATTACTGTCGCCGAGAGGCGCATGCCTCATCACTGCTCCCGAGGGGTTCTTCCCATTCGCATTACTGTCGCCGAGAGGCGCATGCCTCATCACTGCTCCCGAGGGGTCCTTCCCATTCGCATTACTGTCGCCGTGAGGCGCATGCCTCATCACTGCTCCCGAGGGGTTCTTCCCATTCGCATTACTGTCGCCGAGAGGCGCATGCCTCATCACTGCTCCCGAGGGGTTCTTCCCATTCGCATTACTGTCGCCGAGAGGCGCATGCCTCATCACTGCTCCCGAGGGGTTCTTCCCATTCGCATTACTGTCGCCGAGTAGCACATGCCTCATCACTGCTCCCGAGGGGTCCTTCCCATTCGCATTACTGTCGCCGAGAGGCACATGCCTCATCACTGCTCCCGAGGGGTCCTTCCCATTCGCATTACTGTCGCCGAGAGGCACATGCCTCATCACTGCTCCCGAGGGGTCCTTCCCATTCGCATTACTGTCGCCGAGAGGCGCATGCCTCATCACTGCTCCCGAGGGGTTCTTCCCATTCGCATTACTGTCGCCGAGAGGCGCATGCCTCATCACTGCTCCCGAGGGGTCCTTCCCATTCGCATTACTGTCGCCGAGAGGCGCATGCCTCATCACTGCTCCCGAGGGGTTCTTCCCATTCGCATTACTGTCGCCGAGAGGCGCATGCCTCATCACTGCTCCCGAGGGGTTCTTCCCATTCGCATTACTGTCGCCGAGAGGCGCATGCCTCATCACTGCTCCCGAGGGGTCCTTCCCATTCGCGTTACTGTCGCCGAGAGGCGCATGCCTCATCACTGCTCCCGAGGGGTTCTTCCCATTCGCATTACTGTCGCCGAGAGGCGCATGCCTCATCACTGCTCCCGAGGGGTCCTTCCCATTCGCATTACTGTCGCCGTGAGGCACATGCCTCATCACTGCTCCCGAGGGGTTCTTCCCATTCGCATTACTGTCGCCGTGAGGTGTACTCCTCATTTGGTACCGTTGGCTTCGCGCGGAATCCTGCCATGCCTTGGGGACTGAAGTGTCTTGGACGCGTTGGTCGCGCGTTGCCGGTCTTGGTGAAGGCTTCAGCTTGCTGACGTCCCGAGACGCCCAGGTTGGGAGGCCGTGGATAGTACTGGTGAAGTGAGGAATGGACGGAGGCTGAGGCTGCTGAGATGAGAAGTTTCTTCGAAGGCTCCGCACAGTTGTATTCTGTAGGAGGAGTTGGGCAAGGGTCAATGCGAAGTTACGCTCTAGCCATGAGAAGAGACGGACAGCGATTTTGTGTAACCTTTTGAAATAATACCTTGTACAAACTATGGACATGCCCCTATAAAAGTACAGTTGATAGCAACTCGCGTTACGCACCTGTGCCATTAGCGAAATGAAGCAATGCCAGTCTTCGGGATCTCGTCGCGCCGCTGAAACCTCCTTATTTAAGGCCTCCTTCTTTATAACGTCCTTGTTGAAGGTAGATGACCATGGTGGCAAGTGGAAAGTGTAAAAGGTCGGACCCAACAAACCTAAAACTGCTGACGCCAAAAGTTGCCGAAAGCGTCGTAAAGTATTATTAAGTTCCCTTGATAAATTTTGACATTATAATATGCAAAGGACCTGCGCAAAATGAACAGTGCAGTGGTACCGGTAAGCAGGACTACCAACCAAGCATCGTAGCGGCCAAAGCTCAGCATTTCTTCACCGCTACAAACCTTCGAGTTACTGATGTAATACCGGTAATATATACTAGACAGTATGCTCTTCGGTTGAAAAACGGAAATTCCAGCCACTCTCATAAATATGAGGGATGACCTCTGCACTTGTAACGCTGCTTGGTATAAAAGGTGTGTTGTTAGCTGTTTGTACTATTTATTGGAATTGAAGGCTTGTTGGCCTAGCGAGCGCTTTTTACCAGGCTTACCCTGCCTGCCGTACGGCCAGTAGCGATGCCGCATTCAAGGCGGGAACCGGGACGTCTAATAGAAGGATACGTCGAGTTATAAAACATTGCAGTATAAGATTGTTGACCATTACCTTTATTCACTGGAGTGTTTGGCTAAAGTTTCCACTCCTACATTCAATGCGAAACCACCACCGAGCTCCGAAGACAAACGGATGCGTCTCACGTAACAGGTGCTTTAACAAAGAGGAGTCAGCTTCCCAGATGTCACCTTCCATGGTAGCTAGGGGTGCCAGCTTTCCAAGCAAGAGGTGTTAGCTTCCCAGGCATACTTCCCAGGACGCTGACACCCCTTATCCAACTGCACCCAAGGTCAAACCAAGCACTGAGCTCGGTCATTTGTACCCCCCATGGCCGTGATCCTGTGATACTGCTGTATGTGCTACGGAAGCTACTTGTGCGCGTTAAAGTTTCACCGGACTTCTTGAGGAGGCAGGGAAATGCGCTCAAGCCGTCCTGCACCTTACAGCCTCAGTATCCCAATGCGAGCACTCTGCATTACCATCGCGTTCAATTGTCCCTGCTCCCGGCAAACCCCACTGCACCCCACCGAATCGTCGTCCCCTACACGTCTAAATCCCTGAGGGGCGTGTGTTTCCGTCGCGTGCCACCTCCCCACAACCCGCCTCCCCATAAGCCCTCCCCCCTCCCTCCTCCTCCTCCCCCTCCCCACCCATTCCCATTCCTCCCTCCCCCTCCCCCACTGCCCCCACTACTCCCCCCTCCTCCCACTCCCCGCCTCCGCCTCCCCCGCTGAAAGCACCAGCGTAACCCCGCCGCCACCACCACCACTCCCACCCACACCACCCCCGCCCCATTAAACCCCAGCACAACCACCATCACCGCCTCCCATATCCGTACGGCAACCGCCCACCCCCTGCTGTCGTACAGCGCTGCCGTACCGCCCGGCTGGATCTTGGGGTAGAGCTCTAGCAGCAGGAAGGCGGCCCATGCGGCCAGCTCTAGCAGCTGGAGTCGCAGGACGAAGCGGAAGAGGAGGGCGGCGATCAGGGAGGAGACGAGCAGACCCGTGAAGAGCCTGGGGGAAGGGGGCGTTGGAAAGGGGTGGGGGGCGGAAGTGAATGAGAAGTGAACGAAGAGCAGTCCCATGCACCGACTACTCATGCAGCGAGTGGGAGGGGGGAGAGAGGGAAGACGGGGAAGGCGGCGTGGAAGGGGGAGGTGGTGGTAACGGTTGTGACGGGATGATGGCTTGCTTCGAGGGTCTTCCTGCTCCCCACCCCCAGTTCCCACCCCCAACCCCCAAGTCCAACCCCTTTCCACCTGTCATTGTAGTCCCTGCCGAACGCCTTGCTGGCCCGCACCCACGCCCGCTCCAGCCGCTCCTCGTTACTCGCCCGGCCCGGGCCCCTGCAGCGGCGGCGGAAGGCGGCCTCGCAGCGCGCGTGGGCGGACTCGAACTTGCGCAGCGAGGGCAGCCGCATGGTCTTGTTGGAAGGGAGGGGAGGGGGAGAGGGAGAGGAAGGGAGCTCGGGATCAAATTAGCTTGGTTACAGTGGTAGTGAGGTTGCTAAGGACTAAGGAGGAAAATGGTTGAGGAGGGCTGGGTTTTCGGCCCTTTCTTCCTCCGTATCTCCCTTCCCACCCCCCACCCTACCACCCCCCCACCTGCAGTGCATCCAGCTCCTCCTCGCACGCGTTCTCCGCCTCGCTGCACGCGGCGCTGCTGGCCGCCGAGTTCTCCGTGCGCCGCACCTGGTAGCAGCGGTCCAGCTCGCGGAGCAGGTCGGACTGGGGGCGGGAGGGGAGGGGGAAATTATAAAACGTGCAAACAACTAGAGTCCCAATCCCTTGTCCCGACTCATGCAGTGGTGCATTCGGAGACACTATCCTAAAAACACGCAGAGATATATAACTTGGGAGGAGAGGAGTGGGAGAGGGGGGGAAGGTAGTGGGCAAGCCAGGTTGTTGCTCACATGCACCCCTCCAGCCGTGCCCCGGGTACTGCGCCCCACAAGCAGGACGATTGACGAATCCCAACCCTTCCCACGCCCCCCTCTTGCCGACCCCCTCCCCAAGCCCCACCTCCCACCCACCCGAGTGTCCACTCCGCGCTGTCTGCCGATCTGCAGTGCCCCCAGCATCTGCCAGGGGGCGGGGGGGGAGGAGAGGAGGAAGGAAGGAAGGAGCGGGAGGTTGGAGACGACACCCATGCATCCAGTCATCATGTGGTCCGGCAGGGATGATGACGTGATGAGGAACGGGACCGCTCGCCAACCCTATCCTCCCTCAGCCATCCACCCCATCCCCCAACACACAGGCACATCCTCCTCTTCCCCCGCACCCCGCCCGCCTACCTCCAGCGCTGCCCCCCTGGCCTCCACCTCCGCCGCCGCCAGCTGCTCCTCCTCCGCCGGCAGCGGCACGGCAGCCAGCGCGGCGGAGTAGTTGGCGGCGCAGCGGGACAGCACGTCGCGGTTGAAGGCGGCGAGGAGCGAGGTGGCGGTGGGGATCTCCTGGGGACGGGGGTGGGGTGGGTGGGGGGGTGGACAGGGAAGGGGTGGGGTGGGGGTTGGGGGTGGACAGGTAGGTAGTTGAGGCTTGAAAGTAACCCATGGGTCAGGAGGTAGGGCTACAAGGTGAGAAGCAGGGAAGTAACAATGGGGGCTTCCAGACTTCAGAGGACCCCCTCCCTCAAACACACTACACACGGCTCAGTTGACTTCACACCCACCTTGCAGCCAACCTTGTTAACACGGCTCAACACACACCTGCCACCCGCCAGCTGTCTTAATACCCCCCCCGGTATGGTCTCTGACCTCACCCCCCACCCCCACCCCACCTGCTCATTCAGCGCCGCCACCATGCGCGCCACCAGCCCCGCCAGCTCCGGACCGCGCATCACCCGCCCGTGCAGCGACTTGGGCGCAGCCAGCTGCCGTACGAGCGCCTTGAGCGCCTCCCGCTGCCGTACATATCCGGGGTCCAGCTGCGCGTCCGGGATGTCGCAGAGGCGGGTGCGGTCGAGGTGCGGCTGGGGCAGGGAGAAGCCGGTGCTGGTGCGGGCTAGGGCGGAGAGGGAGGCGCGGACCTGGGGGGGAGGGGAGGGAGGGAGGGAGGGTGGTGGTGGGAGAACGGATGCCTGTTCCGATGATTATCACGGATTTACTGTTGTAGCACTGCCCTTTATCATTAACCTTGCTAAGGCCTCCGCGCCCCGCCCCCATGCAGGAAAACCGACCGGGTGACCTCCCCTCCCCCCCCCCCTCCCCCCCCACCTGGTTCAGCGCCTCCACCTCCGGGTCGCCCCCCGGGTTGGGCACGGGCGCCAGCACCTGCGCCACCAGCTGGTCCGCGGTCAGGCCGCGCAGGAAGTCGCGCTGGATGAGCCACAGCATGGCGCCCGGCTCAACAGAGGAGGGGGCGGGGGAGGTGGAGGAGGAGGAGGAGGAGGAGGTTGTGTTGCCGCTGCTGGCGTCCTGGGGTGCAGCGGGAAGGGGGAGGAGGAGGAGGAGGGTTAGACAGCACAGTACGGCGGTGGTAGAGCGAACAGAAGTGGCGCCGCCAGGGAGGGTTCCAGGGAAGCGGAGCAAGCATGGGGGTCATGGGGTTCTCCTGCCCGCCCCCCGCCTGCTGACCCCCCTGTTGCTCCGCCTCCTCATGCGGCCACGTTCCTTGCAACCGGAAACCCGCACATACCCCGACGTTCACCCTAACCCTCCCCTCCCCCTCCCCGCTCCCCTCCCCTCCCTCTACTTTGTCTTGTGGCACCCTGCCGCCTCCTATCCCCACTGCTTTGCCCTAACCTGTGGTTTCTTATGGTTTGGTATGGTCTTTGACCCCCCCACCTGCTGCTGCTCCTGCCGCTCGTAGAAGCCTGCCGCCAGCTCCACCGCGAAGGACAGCTTGGCCACATCGCTCTCGCGGATGGTCTCTGGCAGGTTGTACACCAGCAGGCTGGACAGCAGCGCAGACAGCGCGAAGATGCGGTCGTCGTAGCTGTCGGCCTTGCCCGTGCTCTCGAAGCCCTCCGTGTCCACGAACAGGAGCTGAGGGGGGGGGAGAGAAGAATTCCCAATGCGGGGGGCGGGAGGGGCGGGAATGTGTGGCATGTGCCATGGCTTCCTGGCACTGCATGGCGTTACGTGGTGTTGCGTGTTGTGACATGTGGGTTGGGTATCGTGGCATGTGGGGAGGGAAGAGAGAGGCAGGGGAGAGGCAGCGTGGTAGTCCAGGGGTGGAGCGGGGATGGGGGAGTGGCGGAAAAGGGGCGGGAAGGGAGGTGGGGTTGGGGTAGGGCAGGGGAAAGCTCCCAAGCTCTCACCCCCCACACACACATGTGCACTGCTGGTATCATCCAGTATTCTGCCACCACCACCCTCCCTGCCCCTCCCTCCCGCCTCACCATGGTCTCCTCCGCATCTCCTCCGCCTCCTCCCCCGCCACCTGCTGCTGCTGCTGCTCCCAGCTGGTCCCCGCCCTGGCCCCGCTGCCCCTGCCCCTCCTGCGGCCCGGTGCTGCTGCTACTGCTGTTGCTGCTACCGCTGCTCCCCCCATCCACACTGCCGCTGCTGCTGCTGCCGCCGCTGCTGTTCCTCGGTATGGGTGTGCCCCAGATCCAGATGCCCTTGGTCTCCGTGGAGCGCGTGTGACCCACACCGAAGCCCTGGTCTGCAGGGTGGTGGGCGGGGTTCAGGGCGGGGTGGGCGGGCCGGAGGGCGGGGGGGCGGGGAAGAGCCACACTACTCGCTCACACCCACAGCCACAGGCACCACGGCAGCGGTACTGGTACTGGTGTTACGAGGTGTGAGGGGGGGTCCAGCCGGACATCACAGCAGGCGGCAGGAGCCCGGAGGAGGACACAGCAGGACACACCAACCCCTCCGACCCCCTCTGATCCCCTCCCTCTCCTTCTCCCTCCTCCCCACCCCTCCCTGTCCCCCGCTCCCCCCCCCTCACCGCACGGCACCCCCAGCAGCTGGTTGAGCGTGAAGGACTTGCCGGAGCGGTACGGCCCGATCACCACCACGGGCGCCACGGGGCCGCGCAGCCCCGCCAGCAGCGCCAGCCCCTGCGGCTGCAGCACCAGCTGGGAGGCGCGCGAGGAGGAGGCGGGCGCGGGCAGGACCAGCGGGACGCTGCGGGGGAGGGGGAGGAGGGGGGAGGGGGGAGGAGGGGGGACGGGGAGGTAATGCTGATGAGCTGGTGGGAACATGAGGACATGGGGACAGGCAAAGTGGGTGAAGGGGCAGATGGGGAGAGGGGAAGGGAGTGGAGAAGGGGAGGGGGAAGGGAGGGATGGAGGGAGGGAGGGAGGGAAAGGTGTTGCGCGGGGTGGCAGACCCTACATAAGGGTTGCGTGTTGCACCCGTAATGGCGCTTGCATGGGAGCACCTCCCACAGCCCGTCCCGCACCTAGCCTAGCTGGTAGCTAGGCAGTTGCCCAAACGGAGGCAAAGAACGGCTCTTGGACAAGCTGCAACATGCGCCACTCCAAATCCCGCACAAGCCTTTGGGCTGAACTAACACCCCTTTGGTAGACTGCACTGTTCGATGCCTCGGGATATGATGTGATTAGCGGCGGTTGGTGCGCAGGCCTAACGCCCAAGGTGGCAGGTACTTACGGGCGGGGTTCATAGGCATAGGCTCGCTGCCAGAGCACCAAGATTGCCAGTATGCACGCCCAAAGACCGAGCTGCTGGGACTGACCGCCCCATCGCGTGGCCATGTGCGGCCAACGTCACTGCGTTATTCTCCTATCTGTCTATGCTAGGTGAGTTATATGCTGCAAAGGTACTGTTTACAGTTGCGCTGGGGGTTACAGACTTCGCAGGCGAGTTGTCTATCTTGCACGTCGATTCAGGAATGGCGAAGTTTGAGTCAAGCGTCATGGAACTATATAGGCGTCCAAGTTTAACATTGTAGGTAACTCGTATCGTAATATGGATCACCGTGCGTTGATAGCTTTGGTGCAGGTCGTCAATCACAGGGCTCCGGAGCTCCATTGCTCGGGCTGTTGCCCGCAGCAGCACACCAACCACCAGCAAGCTGTGTAGAAGGCCAGCAGTTACAAATTTTCGCCCTAATCATTGTTCATCATGATGTTTACCTTGTAGCTTGACACCCCAACCTTGCGTGTCCTAAGATTCTGTATACGAATGGCGCGGACAGCGCAACTAGCCCTCTTAGGTCTAATAGGATTTGGCTTGCCAGCGTGGGCGTTTACCCAAATTGCGGATGTACGCGCGCAGCAGCTGATCTTGGCATGCGCACTGGTCAGCCTTGCGGGTTTCCTTGGAACAGTCTACCTCGTGCCGAAGGTGGCCTCAAAGACTCAGGCGCGAGGCATCTGTGGCAAGGACCTTAACAAGAAGGGCACTCCAGCGGGCGAGAGGCCAATCCCGGAAGCTGCAGGTCTAGCGCCGGGGTGTGTCTTCCTTCTCTGTGTAATTTGCTTGGAGTTGCTGCACTACTATGACATCGGCAGTCTTGTGGGCTTCGTGCGAAATGGGTTCTCTGGCAGCCTTAAAACGGAGCCAATTTCAGATGCCTGGCTGGTCGACTACAACGCGGCGCTGGCAACCATCGGCTTCATGCTCTTCCTGGGCTTCACCGATGACGTCCTGGACATCCGATGGCGCGTAAAGCTCATCCTTCCTCTCTTCGCGTCGCTTCCGCTGCTGGCCGCGTACTCGGGCGGAACCGGCATCGCAGTACCAAAACCGCTCCTGAGCCTCGGTCTGGGCTTGCCGCCCTACCTGGAGCTAGGCTTCCTCTACAAAGTCTACATGGTCATGCTCACCATCTTTTGCACCAACTCCATCAATATCCTTGCGGGAGTCAACGGCTTGGAAGCCGGTCAAACCTTCATCGTAGCCTGCGCCGTGCTGCTCCACAACCTCCTCTCCGTCGCCGGCTGGGCGGGCAGCGACGCCTCAGTCCGCGACGGCCACCTCTTCTCCTCCTACCTCATGATGCCCCTCGCAGCCACCACCTTCGGCCTGCTGGTCTTCAACTGGTACCCCAGCCGCGTCTTCGTCGGCGACACCTTCACCTACTTTGCCGGCATGACCATCGCAGTCGCCGGCATCCTGGGGCACTTCAGCGAGACGCTGCTCCTCTTCCTCATGCCCCAAGTCTTCAACTTCATTTACTCGCTTCCTCAGCTCTTCAAAATCGTGCCCTGCCCCCGCCACCGGCTGCCCGTGTTCGACCCCGCCACCGGCCTGCTGCGCCCCAAGGACGCGCCCGACTGGAACCTGGTGAACCTGACGCTGCAGCTGTTCGGGCGCTGCGGCGAGAACGCGCTGTGTGTGCGCGTGCTGGGGTTCCAGGTGGCGAGCTGCGCAGTGGCGTTCGGGCTGCGGTACCTGCTGCAGGGGGTGTACAAGTAGGAGGGAGGGGGCGGAGAGGGAGGGGGTGAAGGGGCGGGGCGTGCAAGAGTTGAGCAAGGAACGGTGTTGATTCATGCACTAGAGGAGTTAATAAAGCAGGTGGTTGGGTAGGTGGTTGAGTTTAGGGGAGCAGGTGCAAGGCTTAAGGAATGGAGGGGGGAGATGATGTGGATGTGGCAGGGAGGTAGCTGCGATGCGGTGCGTAGCGGCACGCCTGGTGGTGGGTTGTGTGAGCTGTCCTTGGGAGTGTGGCTTGGGGGTGTGGCTTGGGATGGGGGCGAGGCTGCTCGAGGGATGGTCTGCTTCATGAAGTAGGATAGGAGGAGAGAAGGGTTTACGTTGACATGGGGGCCCATGTAAAGGTGTACGGCATAGGGAACGGTGCTGATGCAGGCGAGCTGTAGGAGGGAGGGGGTGCCGTGGTAGGTGAGTGGCGAGGAGGGAGCCTTGCTGAGAGTTGCGGTTGCGTGTTGGGGTCTCGCTAGTGGTGTTGTAGTACACAGGATTTCGTTGGGTTGGAATGACGATCCTTCATTGCTTCCCTGTTGCAGCTCAAGGATGGACCCACCGTGCCGGCTGTCTCCGGAGCGTTGTGTACTCGGTAGGCTTGGCGGAGCAGCTGGGAAAGCCGTATATCCCGCATCTTAGTCTCCCTGCTGTGACGAGTTGGCCATAACGGCTGTCATAGGGGCGACAGAGCGGATAGCTTATAGACACTTTATGTTGGCGGTTGACACCATTAGGTTGTTGGTGGACGGCCTTGACTACCGTTGGGACACGTTTGGGGCCCAGGTTGCTCGTCATACGGCGGTGTGCTGTACGACATCACGGTTTGAGAAGTGCTTTCTGTGTACGGGTGCGGTACCCATGTTGTACTCCTCCCTTGCACACAGCGCCCTGTGCATCCGTGCAGCCACCTTCAAACGCATGCTGGCGGTAGCGCGGTCGTCATCTCATCTCTCATCTGGTGCACCTTATACATCAACACAGAGACGACCCCTTTGTCCCCACGCCCTCGTATCTATTGCAGTCACGTCGCAAAGTACCCTGACCTTCTGCAGCCCTCAGCAAGAGGCTAATCCCTGTCTGCAACGAGCTGCTGTGCCTTTTGGGTCATCGGAACTGAACTGAAGCGAACTCTTTGGTCATGTGCAGCATGCACGCACGCGGATAAGAAGCGGTCCGTCACTCGAAAGGCTCTCGCACTCTTCCCTACTCTTCCACCCCACGCATACATGCACACCTACCATACACACACGCACGCGCCCCCGTAAACACACCCTCGCGCCTTCACCACGCCACTACTCGAGAAGTCGGCCCTCATGCCCCAACACCAATCCAAACACCGGGCGCCCCTGCAACCCCAGCCCCGAGTAAGCCCGCACGCGCCCCTCTGTACACCAACGCTCTCACCCTTTACAGCTCACAGCTCAAACCGGACACCCGCCCCCAGGTCCACTGTTAGACCCTCAGCCTCCTGCGCCCCATCAACATCTCCAGCTGACCCCTGGCCCTCGCCTGCCCCATCTTCCAGCGGCACCTCCTCCCCAGCCTCATCCCCCGCCGCAGCAGAGGCAGCCGCCCCCGCGCCGCCCTGCCCCTCCGCTGCTGATGGGGTGGCAGGCGCTGCCGGGCAGGGGGAGATAATGCGCCGACACAGGACCGGCTCCACACCTGCGAGGAAGGGGATGGCAGGGCAGGTGGGCAGGGGGCTCCATGCACGCTTGCAGGTTGCATGCTGCGGTGCTTGCATGGCCTGTGTGGTGTGTTAGGTGTCGCTTGCCATGATTAGCCTGTCGGGGGCACCGGAAGCCTGGGAATCCTAGGAAGAGTCCCTGCAACCGCCAGCCTGCCTTCCGCCTCCCCAACTCCTCCTCCCACCCCATGACCCTAGCCACCCCACACAATCCACACCATCTCTCTCTTATCTGGTTTCTTCCACACACACACGCACGCACATCCTACACCCCCCCACCTAGCGAGTCGAAGCCGCCCTTCATGACGCCCTCATACACCTCCTCCTCGTACTCCTCCAGCAGCGAGCCGCAGTACGACTCCAGGCGCTGGGGAGCAGAGGAGGGGCAGGGGAGGGGCAGGGAGGAGAAGAACAGGAGCAGAGGAGAGAGGGGGTTGGCAGCAGGCAGGTGGGGAAGAGGACAAGGGGTTTGGGCAAGGCTGCGCAGGCATGGAGGGCAGCATCTGAAGTAGCTCTGCCAAGATTTCGTGTTGGCATCCACAGGCAGCTGATGCCCAGCGCCCACCTTGCTCTTAGCGTCCTCCTCGTCCTTGCCAGGCCGCGTCACGTTGTCGGCGCCCTGCGCACCCTCGCCCTTCACTTTGAGCCAGAACACGGTGCGCTTGCCCTTGGGGCTGACTAGCGAGTAGTCGCGCATCGTCTCACACAGCCGGTCTAGCAGCTCCACGGCGCGAAGTTCGCTGGACTGCAGGTTGTGATTGGAGCGGGTTGGTTTAACGAGTAAGAAGAAACAGTGGGTGGTATGTAATGGAAGGGGAAGGGGCGGTCGAGATGGGTGGGTTGTTTGGAGGCGGGGTTCCAGGGGAGTTGGGGACGGGGATTCGGAAGAATGGAGGATGAAGCAGTTGGGGAGGGATAGCTGGAGTTGAAAGTGGCAATAGCGACTGAGGGTTCTCAGATGTCAAGCAAAGTTGGAATACGTCCGTGCGAGCTGTTATGAGCAAGTCGACCTTCGGCTGGGTCACATCCTAGGAAAGCAAAAGGTGAGATACTCCTGGATACGAGTCAGCATGCTTTACTAGTTTCGACACTTGGCAGGTTCATCCGTAAGCGACAAACCAACGGTGAGGTTTGAACGCCGCACGCGATCAATGTTGCATTGTCTTACCCTGTATGCAATTACTTTTCCATAGCGCTGGCCATGCTTATCCAGGCGGTGTCGAAGATCAAGATGATTGCGAACCGGCTCGTTGTTAATACGGCGTTGGAGCTCAGCCTGTTGTGATGGATTGCGCAAGTGTAGACATCACATTCTGTTTGTGTAGCAATCTGTGCCCTTCTTGACTATCGCCTACCGCTACTGCTCTGCAAGCTGTGCAAGGTGCTTCTATCTTCTTGACTGCGTCGACGCCATGCAAGCCACACCATGCCACGAAGGCTAGGCTAAGCAAGAAGCGCAGCATGGCGCTGACAGAAACGTTCAAAGGCTGACTACAATTGTACCTTGGAAATTGTATAAGCTTGCAAATAATTTTGCTATGTCAACTACTAGTACGACGGGGTTCTAGAGGATTAGCGCCCGCCGGCCTTCTGCGCGTGTTACACTTGTAGTTCACAGTACCCAGGGGTAGACACCCATCCGCAGAGCGCGCTATCAGGATGTGAGGTTTCACACATCTCCCAGCAGGGAAGATTCTCACATGTTTTTCCCTGAAAACCCATAGCCTCCTCATGCCCCTGCGCTTTGACCTGACCAGCACGTGCTTCCCGCTTGAGGGTCTCAACCAGACACCTAGGCGGTTCGTCGCCCAACTGGCATGACCCAGGCAGCGGCCGTGGCTTGTGACGAGTACAGCCGAATGCAGGCCGCCCCTTTCGTTCAGGCTGCCACTCAACATACCTACCAAGCTGCTTTATCACCTCTTGCAAATACCGAACATGCACACCGCGCAACAAACCTCGCATGCCGCTGCATCCTTAGCCTCACCCTGCAACAGCCAAACACACCTCTAGGCTACTGCAATTCGCAAGGCGCATTGACCCATTCCACCGACCTGAGTGTCTTGGTTCATGTTCTGGTAATTTTTGACAACGACTGCCGAACACGAATGACAAAATTCCCCGATGCAAACAAGCCAACGACTCCGAGAGGAGAACAGTCCAGGACATATCGCCTAAGTGGCCTCCGTACACCATTTAGTTCTGACGTAACCCCCCGTGTGCAGGGTCGAGGGTGCTGCCCGTCCAAGTATGGTAAATCAGCACTCCAAGAAGGGCATGTGCAGAGGCAATTGGCCTACGGTTCCCACCCACCTTTCTCTATGCAGTTCTCCCTTACAGCTGGAGTCAACCGATCAAAAGCTTCACACAACCCCCATGGGTAGCGTCTACCGCTCACAACCTCCAATGCCCACGGCGCCAACCAAAGGCAAACAGACCTGTGATGTCAGCTGTGCCGTACCTCGCCACCAATCTAGACATCACCCACTACCGTACCCCTGCCGTACATGTGGACGAGATGCGCCCCTTTAAACGCCCCAACACAGTTTCATCAACAGATGGCTGAATACCTGTTGCATGCTGCTGCAGTGCTACCGGTAACACGCGCACGCCCAAGCGACCTACTGCTGTTTGGGCCGGCCTGAGAGCGCCTGAATGAATGCCGCCATGGTCGCCTGCTGTGCATGTGGGAGGGTGGGAGGTAGGGGGCACCGCAAGGTGTCTGGATGAGTCATATCCCCCAAATGTCGACATGGGGCATTCACGAGGTGCCCTGCGTGAGGAGCTGCTACTTGGGTGCGTTGAAACAGCTGAGCCGCAGACCTGCCACATGATTGTGTGCGAGCCGCACCACTAGCGGCTGAAAGCGAATACACAACAAGTTTTCTAAGACCGGCGGGAATGTGACACTCAAAGACTTAATAGCCTCGTGGCACCACACCATCCCAAGCTGTTGACCATTTACGCAGGCTAATACCGGTAAGTGCACACCCAACGGATGATCATGCATTAAAGCCCAAGCCACAACCCAGATATCTCCTTAGATTCCTCTTACCTGCTGCTGCTGCTGCTCCTGCGCTTCGCTCTCGGTACTTGCCGCCACTGGAGGCATTTGGCGCAGCATTTGGCTGGGCGACGCATGTGCGGCAAGCTGCTGCATGAGCTGCAGCGCCACGTGCGGCTGCTGCTTTCGCATGTGGAGCTCCAAAGCGCGTTTTTCCTCCGCGGACAAGCGACGCCCTGCAGCAGAAGCAGCCGCTGCCATACCCTCAACCGCAGGCGTCGTCGCTGCCGCCGTCAGCCGCTGCAACAGGTCCCGCTGCTCCTGCTCCTGCTGCTGCTGCAACCTGCTTTCATCTTCGTTCGCCGGCGGCGCTTCAGCACCCGCAGAGCCCGTAGCTCCGCCGCTGCCCGCATCATCATCAAAGCTGGGCAGCTCGTTTTCCACGTACACACCGCGGGACGTCCCATGCAGCAGCTGCTGCAGCTGCAGCAAGCGCTGGGGTGCCTGCGGCGATGAGGCAGCCCCGGCCGGGCGTTGCTGCGCCTGGTGGGGCACCGCATGTGGCGGCACTTGCTGCGCCTGGGGCTGCGCTTCCACATGGGGCAGCTGTTGAACCTGGTGCTGCGCTTGCGCCTGCGCCCCCCTCGCCGGCCCCGCGCCCGCCCCGCTGCGATTGTCAGACCGCCCAGCCAAAGCCCGTGTGCCCAGGACGCTTCTGCCAAGCGGATTCCCACCCATGCGAGCAGTGCGGCCGCCGTCGCTGCCGCCACTGCCACCTGCTGTGGTCGCAGCAGCAGCGGCAGGGCCTCTTCTAGGCGACCCTGGCGGCGTGACGACCATGGCCATGGCCCCCGACGCAGCGGCTGCAGCTCCCAGCGATCCCGCTGCTGCAGCCAAGGGCGCCAGTGCGGCACTGCCATGAAGCTGCTTTTGATGCTGTACAGCCGCTTCTGCCGCCGCCGTAGCTACGCCTCCAACGTACGAATCCAAATCCATGGGTACGGCGCCTCCGCCTCCGTCGTCACCTTGCTGCCCTGCCACTGGCGCCTCCGCAGCCGCCACCCCTGCTGCCGCCGTTGCTGCTACTGCTGCCGCTGCCAACGTCGCCGCATGCTGCGGCAGCGCGGGCGCCTCCGCCGCCTGTCTCTGCCCCTCCCTCCTGACGGCCGCAGCCGCCGCTCCCACCGCCGCTGCGGCCCCTGCTGCCGCTGGGGCCGCAGCCGCCGCTGGCCGCCGGTCGGCTGCCTGGGCGGCGGCGATGGCCTCCTCCACCGCCCGCACCAGAGTGCGCAGTCCCGAGGCGGCCAGGCGGGTGGAGGAGCGCGGGCGGCGGCCTCCGCGCCGCAGCAGCTCCTGGAGCCGCTGGGGGCCCGCCTCGGGGGTGCGGCGGAGAGCCTGCAGGACATGCATCAGGGCAAACGTGGTTGAAAGACGTCAGGTGGGGGTAAACTTCACAAGCGCTGCTGGCATTCCATTAGTCACGCAGAAAGTGTACGACAGAATAGCACAGCAGGGAAAGGCAGGCGAAGTGCCCTGCTTCCCCTGTATCGCTAGATCGTCCTACAAGTGACGTGCCCTACACGATCACGACAATGCCGTACCTGGATGTACTGCAGACTGAAGCACCGCAGCAACGGCTCATGCAGCAACGCCGCCGCCGCCGTACCAGGAACAGCCTTGCCGTACCGCTGCCCCACACGCGCCGCATACGCCGCCGCGGCCGCCAGGCTCGGACGTTGCCCCGTGCCGCCGCTTCCGCCTCCTCCAGTGGCCCCGCTGCCAGCGCCAGCCTCAATCCAGTAGTCAAAGTTCAGGCCACACAGCGGCGCAAGGGCGTCCAGCAGCGCCAACCAGCGGGCTGACGTACTGAGCTTCGAAGCAGTAGCAGTACGACATGTTGAACTGCCGACCGCCGCCGCCGCCGCCGCTAGCGGAACGGATGTGAACACGGAGGTAGCACCCGTCCTGGCGGCGCGAGATGCCGCTGCTGCTGCCGCCGTGGTGGCAGCGGCTGCGGCGCTGCTTGTTGCACGGGGTAGCGCTGATGCGTCAGTAGCGGCGCCCTGGGGCTCCCCCGCAGCCTCCACATCCATCGCCCGCACGCCAGCACCCCCAACAGCAGCCCCCGCGCCCTCCCTTACAGCCACGCCTCCATCCCCGTCCTTACTGTCCCTATCCTTTTCTGCTGCCGCCGCTGCGGCGGCTTCAATCGCAGCTGCAGCTGCCGCCGCCGCTGTTTCAGCCTCAGCGGCCGCCAACAGCTCCCCCATGCGCTCCTCCAGAGCCGCAGCCAGCCACTGCGCTGCCACTGAGGAGTGCTCCTGAGCCGCGCCAGCACCCCTCACTCCGGCGGGGCCGCCGCCGCTGCCACCTGCGCCTGATGCTGCCGCCGCCCTCGCCTGCACCTGCCGTGCCGCCTCCTCTAGCGGCAGCCCGACGGCTGCGCAGGCAGCGGCGGCGGCGCCGGTGGCCATAAGCCCCAGCGCCAGGCATGCGAGGTCCCGCAAATACGGCATCTTGTCTAGGGCGCCGTACAGCACGGGCACGGCAGCCTGAAGTGTTGTGAGGTCTCCGCGCTCCCATAACAGCTGCATTAACAACATGCGGTATGTGGTGGAAGCTTTACTTATTTGCCAAAATGTAAGCGTTAATTCACCACCTCTTCAGGGTACCGGTAATGCTTGCTGCAAGTACGTGTGTGTGACAGGCAGGCAACGAAAGTAAGCAAAAACCTACAGAACACCAGATCCTAAGAAGAGCCTTCACCCAAGCAGTGCCCCCCCCGAGTGGCACTACTACCGCATCCCGACACGACTCACCCGCAGGTACAGGCCCAGGCACTTGCGCAGTGCGGTGATGTGCTCCCGATCATCCTCCTCCAGCCCGTGGCCAATCACCATCTGCATCGCAACAACCGGCGTCGTGTCGCAACGATTCCGCGGGCAGGCACTGGCATACCACCATGCAGGGTACAGTGCATCGTATGGTACCGGTATGTGGTGAAGCCTTTACCAAGCTGCTTAACAGGGCGCAGCAGCAACAACAGCAGCATAAGTATAAGGACCGTCATCAGCTAGACAGAAGGCCCAGCTCCTCTTGCTTGGGTTGGTTGAGGTGGGCATGCATGCATGCATGCAGATTGCGCAGCAGGGTCGGAACCAACACACCCACGCGCGCCCTCACACCCACCGCCGGCTCTGCGCCCCACAGCGCTGTGGGAAGGCTCCTGCCCCGCCGCTCCTCCCCAGCGCCAACCTCCTGCCCCGTATCAGCAGCCTCCTCCTGCCCTCCTGCGCCCGCAAGCCCAGCAGCCCCAGACCCGTGAGCCCGATCCGCTGCCGCCGCAGCCTCCGACGCCGAGCCAGCCAGGGCGCTGCCTGCCGCCTCCAATGCCTTAGCCCCAGCAGCGGTAGCAGCAGCACGGCGAGGACCAGGGTTGTGAGAGGGAGGAGGCGAGGTGGCGGCTGTCGCGGGTATCTTGGCACTGGGCTCCTCCTCCAGGGCCTCCTCCTCCTTGCGCCGGCGCTTCGAGGCCGCCAGCGACATGCGCTCCCGGACAGACCTCCTCCGCGTCCCTCCAACTTCCTGCTGCGGCTTCTCGGCTCCCACGCCGGTAGCAGTAGGCGCACCTTCGCTGCCTTGCCGGTCTCCGCTAACTCCCCCTTGCGCAAGCTCCTTCTGCTGTTGCTGCTGCTGCGCCTGCTGCTGCTGCTTCTCTGCCGCCCGGGCTGCCGCCGCTGCCGCCTTGCGTCGCTGCTGTCCAAAGCCCCGGTCGCTGATGTGGCCCATGCTGAGGGTGAAGAGCGCGCGACCCCGGGCCGGAGTGAACAGTGGTCGCAGCTGCGAGTCCGCCTCTTCGGGACGTCCCAGCAGCAGCTCACAGGCCGCCAGGAGGTACCTGGAGTAGAAATATGGATGCGGATTGGCAGCGGAGAGGGCAGGATGCTTGGAGATAGGGGAATGTGCATGCGATGGCAAACATGATGCGCCGGAACTGGATTGGCGGCGACCGGATGTTTGCAATACGCGGTTACGACCGGGACTTCGTGTCGTACACACACCTGGCCGGGTGGTAGTGGTGTTGATCTTTGCCGGGCCTGTACGACCGCACGGCGAAGACCAGGGCCTGACGGGCGTCGGCAATAAGCAGCTCCTGTTCACGGCGGAGGGACACATGATGCAAACGAAGTATAGATTTCTATATAACGGGTTGGGAACGTCAAGAACAGTTGGAGAAAGTACCACCAGTGCGGGGTACATGCCTGCTAGGTAGCAGTGCTACATGCGCAGCAAAGCTGGGCGCTGTCATGGCCATGCGTGGCGAGCATACCGGTACCTCCCTCGGGGGTCGTCGCAGCACGAACCCATCAAGAGGGGTCATGCCAAGCCATGAACCCCCCCTAAGTGCCCGACCCAAACGCTCTCCCATCGCCACCACCATGTCCCCTCACGCCCTTTCCACGCCTCCCTCTCCCACCCTCTCACCTCCAGTTGGTCTACGGAGAGACTCGTCGCGCCATCGTCAGACTCTATCGCAGCGCCTTCTGCTGCCGGCGTTGCTGCTGCTGCGGTGGCGGCTGTTTGTTCCGGCTGCCGGCCAGGTCCCAGCGGTGCGGCTAGGGCTGCTAGTCCGCTGCTGGCGTCACCCCCGGGGTGCAGCCGCAGCGCCAGGTCGCCCTGGAAGCAGTACCTGGCGGAGTTGGATCCAGGAGTGAATCCATCATTTACAAAAGAAGAAAAACAGCAAGAAGAAAAGGAACATGGAGAAAAGGAGTAAGAGGAAAAGGAGAGCCACTATTGTTCCCAATGCAGCCTTCAGCATGCTTGGCATGCAGTGTGTTGCACTTCTGTCTCGTAATGGCAGCGCACGCTGTGGGAAGGGGCGGTGTCTTCATCCTATAGCATGATTTGAATACACTGCATGGTATGAGGCTCAGCAAAACCACGAGGACTACCTAACCACCTACCTAGCACAGACCTCCAACACCTCCCGTCGTTGCTGCTCCTGCACCTCCTCTTCCGCCTCCCCAACCTCCGTCCGCGCAACGCCGCTGCCTCCACCACCGCCGCGGCCCTCTTGTCCCCTTCGCGCCGCCGCAGCCGCCCCGGCCCTCGCCTTCACCTTTGTCAGCCAGCGCAGCCGCCGGCCGTGCAGCGCCACCAGCGGCGCCAGCAGCCCGCCGCCGCCGTACTGCGGATCCGCCGCCGCCAGTACGGCAGCCGCCGCCAGGTGGTCCATGCAGCGGAAGCGCCAGCCGGGGGCCTTACGGTGCGCCGCCACCAGCCCCCGCCAGTATTCGTACTGCCACTCCGCTGGGGTGTCGTACGGGTGTCGTATGGGTTTGGAGAAGAGGGCTTAGGAGGGCGCGATGTGGGTTCTTGGGGTGTAGGAGTTCTAGTCTAGACGTGCCTACGACACCGCTATTGGTAGGTCGCGAAGAACCCTCTCATGCTAACCACAAGGCAAACAGGTGAAAAGCCGCCTAATAGATAACCTCGGAGCCACATGCCAGTCCACGTCTCCCGCTAGATTCAATCCTGATATCCTCACCGTCCAGCACCGCCGCTGCAGCCGCCCACATGTCCTCCGCAACTTGGCAAGCCGCCCGGTATCGCCAGTCCCGGCGGCACATGGCGACATGCGACACAAACACAGCTCCCCCGCCCGGCTGGGTGGTGGTGGTGGCGGGCGTGAGGGCGCCCTCCTCGTGCGCGGTACCCGTGATGAGGCGCAGCGCGTCAGGTGGAGCAGTCGCCGCAGCGGACAGCGCCCCAAGCATGGGGTTCCGCAGCAAGGAGGAGTTTGAAGTCCGTACAGCAGTAGCCGGAGGGGGTCTGGCGGTCCCGGAAAGAGCACCAACAGCAACACCAGCACCGGCCGAAGTGGGGCGCTCATCAAAGGATGCAAGGGTGTCGTACAACGGATGTAACGGTACGACAAGACCGTAGTGCAGTACGGCGATCTCTTCCAGGCGGAAGCACCGGGACTCGGGATCCGGGTCCAGCTGAGCTGCTGCCACGGCGGAACGGACCTGCGTGCAATGGGGACGTAATGCGATGCGGGGAAGCCAAAGGCCCGCTTCAGTGACGGCAAGATGGGTAAGAAGCATGCCGAGCAGCATGCAGGAGGCAAGGCAGAGGAGGCAGCCGCGGGATTACCGGCATCAAACCACGACCCTGTATGAACCTGAAACATGACTGCAAGACTCCCGAGCATAGTTCGCCCTTGTGCTTATCAATCTCTACCTACCGCCATTCCAAACAGCCATGTCAGCTGCTGCGCCGCCTCGACAAGCTCCTGTCCTTGTTGTCCCTGACCCTGTCCTTGACCTTGGAGGGCTTGGACTGCCGCTGACGCAGGGCCCTGCTGTTGGTGCTGCTGGTGCTGCTGGTGCTGCTGGTTGGGGAGGCATTGCTGCAAGAGTGCGGAGAACGCAGGCGGGTCCAACAGCACAGCCGCCTCCTGCAACAACCGCCTGTAAGAGCGCAAGGAGGGGTAAAGCACCAGCGAGTGAATTGCAAGAGATGCAAGAGATGCAGAGCGGCATGTCACAGGCTGCACGGGCCGAAGCGACACAAGCACTGCCTGATCACTAACGTCCCGCAACCCTTCGAAAACCCACACAGAGCAAATCACAAAGCGGCATGCGCGGAAAGCTCATTGCTCAAAGCAGGCAAACCCACCTGGTGGCATCCACGTACAGGCTCTGCAGGGCCGACCAGGACCGCAGCCGCAGCGGGCACACAGCCAGATCCGCCAGCACCACCTTGCCATCCTCCTCCAGCTCCGCAGTAGCGTCCAAGGCGGCGCACAGCAGGCTGGACGGCAAGGCAGCGGCAGCGGAGGATGCGGCAGCAGCAGCGGTGGCGGGCGACTGGCGGCTGGAGGGCTGATCCAGACCTCGAGCGCGCAGCAGGCACAAGTAGAGCCAGCGGTGGACCTTGGTGGAGAAGCGCACGGGGGGAGAGAGGAGAAAGGGGGCGCAGGTAGGGAAATCAGGATGTGAGGAAAGGCGGGTGAGGAACCCAGCTGAATATGGCCAGTTAAAGGAGATTGGACAGTTCCGAATTGTTCGAAAGCCGTAGAACACACCTAACAGACATTATATCTTAACACAGCCCCTGCTAACGATACCGCACCGCTGACCTGCCAGAACGCGTCATCCTGTCGTTGTCCTTGCCGTTGTCCTTGCTGCTCAACCACCGGCACCCCGCCTGCCGTACCAGCTCGACCGCTGGCACCCATCCCCGGTACAACCCCCCTCCCCCCAACCACCACAACCACCTCCTGCTGCTGCGGTGGCGCAGCAGGCGGCAGCCCCTCCCGTTCCCCAACCTCTACTAGCACGACGCCTCCTGCCACCGCTGCCTCTGCTGCTGCTGCTTCGCCTTCTGCTGCTATACCAGCAGGTGGTGCCGATGCAGGAGGCTGCTTCTGCTGCCGCAGCCATGCCGGCAGGTGGCTTGTCGGGTCGAGGGCAAGCAGGAGGTTGTCGGGCCGCCGGTCGTGAAGGTAGCGGAAGGCGCAGGAGGCGCGGATGGTGGCTTGCGGTAGGGGCGGCAGCACGCGGGCCAGCAGCTCCAGGGTGGGCAGCAGGTCCTGTCAGCGCACACACACAAGGCAAGACAGATACCGGTGTGGTCAGTAATGATATAAGACTCCGTAGAATTAACAAAAAGGGAGGAGAAGAGGGAAGAGAGGAGGATGTGGATGTAACTTTTAACCGATCGTCTTTTGGGTAGCATGCATGGCTATGGCAGCTGCGTGTTGTCCTGTCGTCCCACAAAGCATTAACGCTGCTGAGCGACGGTTCAGCCCTTTACCCATGCATGCACGAATGATCGAAACGCGGCCCAAGAAAGCGACCGATGGTTCGGCATTCCTCCTCCGCACCTGCAGTTGCACCGTGAAGCCCTCCTCCAAGGCAGCAACCGCCTCCGGCCCCAGTCCGGGCACCTTGGGAGGTGCCGCCAGCAGCACCGCATGCGGTCCGACGTTGCGCCACAGCAGCAGCGCGTCCGCCGTGGAGGGCTCGAAGGCGGAGACAGTGGAAGAGGTGCCGCTGGTGCTGGCGCCGGCGGCCGCAGCCTCAGCGGATTCCTGACGGGAGAGGGGCCGGATACGAGGCGGGAAGGCGTCAGGCGGAAGATTGCAGCAAGGGATAAATTCCGCGAGTACACACAATGCAGATAGATGACGCAATCATCCAAGTTCGCTCTTTTTCGCGAGGCCGCACAAAGGAGGCTGCGAAGCATGCAGCACGCGCAGCACTGTACCGTAACGGCTTACCGGCACGCCGGGTAGCCTGAAGCCCCAGCTGCTGTCTCGCCAGGGGCAGTCCACCCCAAACAGCAGCCACAGCAGCTGCGCCTGCGCGCCGCACAGCCTCGACAGCAGCGCCACGCGTTGCTCGGCCGCCGCTGCCACCTCCGCTGGCGACGCCGCCGTCGCGGTGAGGTCAGTACCGCCTGCAGCGCCGGCGGCAGCGGCCGCGGACGGGCACTTCTTGCCGTGGACGCCGCCAGCAGCCTCCAGGGCCAGGAGAACCCGGGCAGCGGCCTTAGGCGGCGCCAAGGACTCGATGTCAGCTGCCGCCGTCGTCTCGCCATCGACGACTGCCGCGCCGTCAAGGCTGCTGCATGCACCCCTCGTCGCTTCCGCGTTCTTGGCAGCTGAGGATTCCGGCCTGCTGTTGCCGCCGCGGATACCACCCTCCTCCTCCTCCTGCTCATCCTCATCGTCCTGAGCCTCCCGCCACATCCGCACGTGCATGGCGAACAGGCCAGGCCAAGCAAGGGGCGTCCAATCACCGGCGTCGTCGTTGCTGCGTGCTCCCCGCATGCCTGCCTCCGTACTGCAGCCACCGGAGCCCGCCTGTGCCGTTGCCCCCGGGTTGCAGCCCCTCAGGCCGCAGGCACCGCCCAACGCGCCAAGGTGTAGTTCGAGCACCGCAAGCGCTTCACGGAAGTACGGCATCAGTTCCCATGGCGCCGTTGCGGAAGTGCCGCCGACGGCGGCTGTGGCGGCAGCGGCGGGAGCCACCCCTCCTGCAAGAGTTAGTGCGGCTCCGCCAGCAGCTGGCGGAGGCGGAGGCGGCGCCGCCGCCACCTGCCCCGCCGCTACAGCCGCCGCCAGGCCGGGCCGGCCGCAGCACAAAACCGTGGACAGCCCGGTCAGGAGGCTGTAGCATGCTTCCGGACCGCCCGGCGCAAGCGGATCCAGCCGGTAGCACGCCAGGACGCCAAGACTGGACTCCAGCATAAGGCCCCTGAGGGTCCGCACCAGCTGGACCCTCATGTTAAGGCGGCCCATTCCACCAGGACCGCTGCCGCCAGGACCGCCGGCCCCGCCGCCAGGAGCCACAGCAGCACCAGCGGTGGATGACGCGTGCGGGTCTACTAGTAACGCTGTCGTATGGAGCGCCTGGAGGTACGATAGAAGTCGTTGCTGCAACCGCCGGACCCAGGGTAAGCAGGCGACAGGCAACACCGTTCGGCCGTCGTCGCCACCGCCGCTGTTGGCGTCGCTGTGATCCCCGTCGTCTGCCGCGCCGAGTCGACTGCACGCCCGAAGCGCCGCGACGCACTCACGAACCTCCGTCGCCGGCGCCCGTAGCTCCGCTCCCGCCACTGACGCTGAGCCGACGGATTTCCGGACCGATAGCGCATCCGTCGCCGATGAGACAGCTTGGCGGAGACTGTAGCAAAGCAACGCGAGATTGCAGCGCAGCAGCAACCAGCGATACGGCCGTAGCGCGGCGCGGCGTGAACGCTCCTGCTCCCCCGCTGACGTCACGTTCTGCGCCGCGACGCCGTCAGGTCCGCCATCCGCCGCCGCCGTCGCTAACAGCACCCGTTCAACAACAGGCATTGCGTCAGTGGCCCCGAGCCCCGCAGCTAGCGTCTGCAGAGCCGCCGATGGCTGGCGTTGCTGCTGCTGCTGGTCTTGAGGTTGCGTTCCTCCTCCGGTGGCAGTAGCAGCAACAGTCACGGCTGCCGCTGGCAGCGGTGCGTGTGTGTTTTGGAGCCCCGCTTGTGCCCCTCCCTCGCCGGCATGCCGCTGCTGCGGCTGCTGGGGCCGAACCGCAACCGCAGCCGCCGTTGGCGGTTGTCGAGGCGGCGTAGGTGGCGGCTGTAGCAGCGACAGAAGCGAGGACCTCAGCAACTGTACGGCTCTCATCTGCACTTGTGCCGCACTTTCCGCCGACGCTTCAGCTTCCTCAACCCTACCAATCCCATCAGCATCTGCGGGTTGTCGTACGGCGCATGTTGACGGCAGATCCTCAATCCAGCGGGGTGCTGCCTCCTCTCGCGGCCCCTCTGCAGCAGGTTCTGCCATGCCAACCGCCGCCCCCTCAGCGTCTCCTCGTCCCGTTGGCGGCGGCGGGAACGCAACATCTCTCAGCAGCCTCGCCACCTCCGCATGCGCACCCGCCGCTGCAAGCTCCTCCGCTGTCGCCATGGTACGGAATACCTCCAGTGACCGTACCCGTTCCCGTACGGCAACCTCCGTCGGCGGGCGGATTGTACGGCAGCCCGCCAGCTGCCAGCAACCAGCCCAGACAGCAGGGCCGCGGTTGGCTGCGGTGTCTGCACCTCCGGCTGCGGCCTCTTGGCCTCCGGCAGCTGCGTCCGCGCGCTGCGCTGGCTCCTCCTCCGCCTCCTCCGCAGCAGCAGCGTGCAGTGACGGCAAGAGTTCCAAGCAGCGCAGGTAGCTCTCTTGGGCGTCAAGGACCTGCACCAACAGGGGACCGCACGGCGGAAGCAGCACCCGCGTGGCACGCATTGCCACACACGTGAACACACGTGTTACGCGGCACAGTTGCTTCGACATGCGGCGTGCACGTGCTGAGATGCAGCAACATCGCACAAGCTGCGGCTCGGCAGAACGAGTACCGAGCGTTCAAGCGCTGGTCCCCTTTTACCGTGCACTGTGCGGACAAACGCCAAAATTGCGCCGGATGCTCACAGCAAGAAGCCGCCTAACTCATGAGCAAAACGACGCGCACCTTGCGTTCTTTCTCCAGCAGGAGGCCCTGGAGCCAGTAGTACATGGCCATAGCACGGCGGGACGTCGCAAGCCGTGCGGCATTCGCAACGGTGACTGCCGTACCCGCCGTTGTTGCCTCCAAGGCGCCTTGCACTCCCCGCAACTCCGACTCGGGTGTGTTGGCGTCGTGCATGTTCACGTCTTCTCCTGTACGTGCACAAGCACGGGGTTAAACATAGACCGAACCATTAGAAACCACGGAACACGGGGAGGAGCACGGGCAGGGCATATCGAACGGCAACACAATGCAGTAGCCCCTTACCAGGCTCCCAACGAGGCGCACCTGCGCACGACACGCGACAGAATTTCGCAGGAGAACGACAACGCAGCACAGGATGACCCGTAACGGGCATATTTCTGACGTACCGTCACGACCACCACTGCTGCAGCCGCCATCCCCGCCTTCATCCAGCTCTGCAGAGCCGCCTCCACCGCCTCCCTCCGTCACAGCGGGCGTTGCAGGAGCCAGCACGCTGACCCCGAGCGGCAACATCACAGCTGCCGCCAGCAGTCGCCTCAGCAGCTCCTCAGCCCTCCGCACATGCTCCTCCACGTCCATGTCACCCCAACCGCCGTCACCACCGTCAGCATCGACAGCGGCTGCTACACCGCCGCGGGGCTGACGGCCCTCGACGGCTTCCCCCATGCCACCAGCAGCCGAGGCTGCTCCTGCCGCCGCTGCCGGTGCCGCGCCGATCCTTACTTTGCGAGGTCGGACCTTGCCCGGGCTGCCCATACCTGCCTCCGCCGAGGCGGCGCCGGCCCTGTCCGCCGCCCCTCGCACCGTCAACGCCTGATCCAGATGAAGCGCCGCCAGCAGCGCCCAATGCGCCGCCGCCGACTCGTCGTCGCCGCCGTTTCCGTCGCCACGTGCTGCATAAATGTTGTCAACAACGTACGGCTCGATCAGCAAAACCTGCCGTACAAGCGGTGGCCACTGCCGCAGTACATCCGGCCGGGCAAGCACGTACTGCATCAACGCAGTCCCCACCGCCGCCACACCAGCCCCCTGTCGCAAGCACCGACCCACGGGTCCAGCATCGTCCAAATCTAGGCAAGGACCCGAGCCGGGTACTAGCGCTCTCGCGGCGGCAGTAGCATCAGCGGAGCCGCTAGCGCCAGACGCCGGGCCGCCGCCGCCGCCCTGGGATGTCCCCCCCTGCCGCTGGGAGGCCTGCCCTAACCCCTGGACCTCCCCTTGGCCCCGACTGGTCTTCCTGGGCTGTGGTACAAGGGCAGCAGCTCCTTGTGCTTGTTTCGCTGAGTCTACCATGAACTCGCCCTCGCTCAAGCCGACTGCATGGTACAGTTGCTGCCAGAGCCGCCGCCAGCCGGCCGACAGCGACGTCGGGTCCTCGACTCCTGCCGTACCGCCGCCGCCACCAGCGTGGCCGGGAGGAGCACCGGCAGCGGCGGCCGCGGAGCCGCCGCCTGCCGTACGCTGACGAGCCGACGCGCTGGCGGCATGGGTGGCATCAACGGTAGGAGAGGCGGCTGGGCTGATTCCATCGGCGGCGGCAGCCGCGGCAGCTGCCGCCGCTGCTGCTGCGGCACGTCTGGCGCTCGTGCGCAGGGGTGCGGCATCCGACGCCGCTGTTGGCTCCCGGTTGCCGCCGCCACGCTCCCTCCGTGAGTTGCCCTGCCCCTGCCCTGGGCCGTCTGCAGTCCGGCCCGTTCCCTGCCCTGGACCCTGGCTACCCCCCCGAACGTTCACCCCGCCATCCTCCCCTGCCAGCCCTTGACTGCAATCCGTGTCCATGGGCCCGTTTCCACCGGCACTACCTCCGCCGCGGCCGCCGCTGCCGCCTGCCGGTTCCACACGCGGCTGCACTGGGTCACTTGGGTTTCCCTCCGCCTGCCCATTGGCCTCGTTGTCGCTGCAAACCCCAGTGGCATCAGGCAAAAGCGGCACCGCTGATGGCAGGGGATGCCCTGTCGCAGCACCTGCATCCGCAGAATCCCCTAGCAGCGGTGTTGGCGGCGGCCGCGGCGGCGCCAGACGTATCACCGCTCCAAACAGCCCATCCGGGGCCACAACAAGCCCCTTAACGCCACCGCCACCGCCTCCACCGTCGCTAGCGGCGTGCTGCCCCATGTGCTCAGGAGCAAGAGGCAGACCGCGTAGCACGCGGTTCACGGCGGCAAAGACAGCGGTTATGTCGTACATTGGTCGTGCAGGCGCCTCAGTGCCGCCCGTCGGTACGGCCGCTGCCGTACCGTTGCATGGCGCCGCCGCCGAATGCGGCGGCTGCGGCGCTGCCTCTGGATGCCTGGCTAGCGGAACTGTCAGTTCGATGTCCCCCCCAGTGGCAGCACCATGGAGCCAACCCTGCTCCGCCGCCTCCTGTACTCCATGCGCCGTCAACTGGAGCAGCCGCCGCCGCTTGTACGGCGATGTTTCCGGCAGCTCTCCCACCAGTGGTCCACAGTCCAGGGGAGGCAGCCCCACCGCCGCTGCTGCGGCTGCCGCTGGCATAGCTTCCTCGGTGCTGCCATCTCCGTAGGCAGCAAACCCTCCTCCTAGCCCTCCCGCAAAACCGTTATTGCCGCCAGCTGATGCCGGTATGCCGTAGCCCTGCTGCCAGAAGCCGTACGACTCCTGCTCCCGCCTCTGCCGCTCCAGAAACGCCTGCAGCGCAGCTTGCTGCGGGTCCACAATTCGCAACAACCGCATCTCCAGACGCGCGCCTCCTGCTTCCCCTCCTGCTTCCCAATTGCCTTCGCCCCCGCCGTCACCACCACTCCCCAACCAGGGGTGCCACGGGTCCAGAGCCGCCAGCCGCCGGCAGCTAAGCAGCGCCCCCACCAGGTCGTCCGTACGGAGCTGCAGCTGCAGCAGCTTCTCCAGGAGTACGACATGTCGGCCTCCGGAGGCTGCCAGCCCGGATTCAAGGGCGTAGCGGGCTAGGCCCAGTCGGCCGTCTCGGTAAGCCACATCTGCCAGGCGGTGCCAGAGGACAGGGTCCCCTGCGCTGCTGCCAGCGCCGCTGCTGCTGATGGCAGGACCGGCGGCTTTGGTGCCATGGCTGATGCCGGCAGCACTAGAGCTGGTGGCAGTTGCGCGAGCCACCGGTAGGGCCTGTGCACCCGGGAGGGAATGCGTAGGCGTTGGGAAGGCGGTGGTAAGGTGCGATGGACGCAGGGAGTGGGTTGGGCGTGGGAGGAGTCAAGCAGGAACTCCGCCGGCATGCAAGCATAAACGGTAGTGTGCAAGCCAGAAGCAGACATCGCTTTGGCGCATGCAGTGAAGGCGCTGAAGAGGCATATGCAGAGCACGCAGAGGGGCGCCCGTCAATGGGAAGAAGGTAAGTGGCTACTTGGCTAGGCATGAATGCAAGTTGTCTGTCTTGTATTGTGTTACCAGTTGCCTATCCAGATAGCTGCATTGCTGCTTAGGTGTCGCCCCTTCAGGAGGTCATCACGCTCACCTGAGAGTCCGCGTGCTGTTGCAGTACAGCCTCGCCGTACAAGTGCAACCGCACCGCTGTTGTACTGTCCTCCCCGCCTCCCCAGCCCCAACCGTCTCCTTGCTGCTGCCCTCCCTCCTGCGCTTGCTGCTCCTCCAGCTGCCCCAACTGGTCCGCCAGGTTCCGGAGCGTCAGGAAGCGCAGCTCCCGGAGCGTGCCACGTGTGCCTGCACATGTACGATTTTCGATTTAAGGTGAAACAAGTGTGTGCTTTGTGTGATAAGAAAACTGGCTGCAAGTGTGCTGCGTGCGTGCGTTGTTTTGTCCTCAACATCCCGGCAACGCTCCAACAGCGTTGTCCCAGTGTACTGTCTCTCCACCTTTTCAGGCTGCATGTTGACGAGGACTTGCAGACAAACACACAGACCCCCTCCTCCCACCGGGAGGTGAAGTACATGAACTAAAACCCCAAACGAGTCCGGATATCTGGGACCGCTAGACTGCCTTACTCACTTGCCGCACTGCCTGGCTCCAGAGCCAGCATGGGATGACTCAACACGGCCTGCGGGTTAGGCCAGGGGAAACAAGGGACGTGTGACGGCTTTTCCGCGGACCACATATCTCCAGGATGGCGGTTGGGAAATGAACTACAAGGCCAGCAGCTCATCCCAAGTCTCCACTATGCCACCCAAATCCTTCTTGCTGTGTGAATGCTGTTGGGATACCGGTAGCCCTGGCACTGCAACGACCAGGAAAACGCACGACCAGCAGGTACAAACCCTCGTCCAAGTCAGCGCCCTACTTGCAAGCCCTCCACCGCGTCCCTCGTCCTCCCTTCCGCAGCGCTGACCAGCGCGGACTGGTACATAGCCACCTGCAGTACAACGACGGTACGGCATAACGGAAGCGGATCTGGAAAGGAATGACAGCAGGCTAATGCATTACGAATGGCGGCGACCCGCTGGCAACAGCCAGCGGCATACGCCTGACGGACTGTAGGACGGCGTTGATGCCCCTTCGCCCCCACCAAGCAAACAAGCCTAGGCCACACCCCGGCCTTCATCCGACCCCACCAGGGCGGCCTCCTGCGCCTCGGGAGTCTCCCCGGGCTGCTGGCCCTGCGGGACACCGCTGTCCGCATCCACACCATCGGCCTGCGAGGGCATGACATAGCATCGGCAGGTGGCCGCCTTAGGTGAGGATCTAAACGAGGTGTGGACGGGCAGGGAAGCGAGTCCTGTGTGCCGTTTGTGGGCTGCAACAGTGGGTAGGTTGTCAACGGTGCCCCGGCATACTACACAGTGTCTGGGGTGACGGGAAGCATCCTTGCAGGAGGTGCATTGAAGTGTGACGTGTAATGGACGCCGGGGAATAAGTCCAAGAATATTAGGTTGCGCTTGAGGGCCTGGAGGCACTCGGCCATGGCGAGGGGTACGCACCTGTGCCTTAGCTGCAGCGTTTCGAGCAGCAAACGATGCCAAGCGAACCATTTGTTTGTTGTCTTCGTTTTTGCAATGCCGCCGTCACTCTGCGTTGGCTCCTTCACAACACCATTACTCTCCACTTGTCGGGTAAATATCCGCAGGATGCCACAAGGATCCCCAATATGTTACGCATAATACTACATGAATGCCGACTTCAATTCTTTTGAAACACTTTAAACGCGAACACCCCGGAAGTTAAAACAAGCATAGCAGCAAACATCCAGAGTTGTAGCGGTAGTTTTGGTAATAGTAAAAAGTCAAACCCCCTTGCCTTCGCGATGCTGCAAACAGTTGACGGCCTTGCAATTGTGACATTGTACGACTTAATTTGGCGGGATGAGATAGATACCATGGAAGCTAAGCGCAAACTTTGTTGCCATTCTGCTTAAAGAATAAGAGTAGTAATTTCTAGCGCTGCCTACGGGTTCTTGGTCAAACTAGGCGGCTTTGGACTTGCTTGACCGCTTGACTTGCAATCCCCTAAACATTGTTTACGCTAACTCGTCTGCTATGGCCCGGACAAAATTAAAAATGCCGGTAGGGAGCGCGTTGCTACTCGAGGATGTCACTTAAGACCTTTCGCGACAGTTAGAATGTAGAAGTCGGAGTAGAAGCCAAGAGTCAGCTATGCTGACGCAGCCGCTCGTCGTGTGGCCCAGCAGGCGAAGCAAGGTACCAAACCAAAGGCAAAACCTGCGGCTACAGGTGGGGCGTCACCAGGCGGAGGAACGCCCACGCGCAGCGGCAGGTCCCCAGGTGGCACTGAGGCTGGAGCCAGCCCGGACCGCAAAAGTGAGTGCTGCCTGCTCAGGGAGCATGCAGGCCCATTCACTGAGCTTTAAGGGGGAGAGGCGTAAGGCAATAGAGCCGGGCGCGCGAGCGACCATGTGGGGCAAGGGGAAGGGTGGGGGATGTGGTGGGGATTTGCAGCACGAAGCAGGTGTCGCGCCGTGCTGCCGCCGCAGGTTTTGATGCCTGGGCACGTAAACCCATCTGGGTCGCAGGGAGATGAGTGGTACGAATGCGTATGTCAGGCTAACTGGACGTCAGCCAGCTGTCCGTGAGCACATACGTCACTTGTGGGCTCCCCACACCGCTCATGGCGTTGTCCTTGGTGCTCCTACGGCTTAACAGCCCACCTTTCGTGCCGCAGAGCGTCGGTACCGCCCTGGCACCGTTGCGTTGAGGGAAATACGCAAGTACCAAAAGAGCACGGGGCTGCTCATACGTAAGCTACCCTTCTCCAGGCTGGTAAGCGGCGTTACAGGATTGTACGACCTCCGTGCTAACCTAAGGGCAAGGGTTAGCAGCCTTTGTGGCCCAGGGGCAACATGGAGGGTGCATGGAAGGATCGCGGTTTGTCCACGTATGTCCATGGCGCCGACCCTCATCGACCCTCATCTGGGTCGCCGCTTTCCTAGCTCCCTGCCGTGCTCCCTGCGTCACCCCCCATGGTGCTGCTGCTACTATTCCTGCCAGGTTCGCGAGCTGAGCAACGGCATGCTGCGCGAGCCTTTCCGCTGGACTGCTGAGGCGTTGTTAGCATTGCAGGAGGTGAGGGGTGTGATAGGAGGCAGGGGTGCGTGGGCGCAGGGAAGGTGGCGGGGGGTAAGAATGGCGCTTGCATGGGCCAAGGTCATGGCAAGCCGGGTGCCAGAGCGAGGAATGGGGGTTTGTGGGGTGGGCTACCAACGCAGCACTGACGGCTGAGGGCTCCTTGTGATGTGCCGGGTGCATGCGCACCGTATGGACAACGCTACATAGCCCTTAAGGCTCCGTTTCCAAGCCGCGTGACTCTACGGCATCATGCGTGTACGGCGCCCTACGTCTTCCAGCGTTGTTATCCCGCCGCGACGACCCCGTTACCTGCTCCTGAAAAGGGCCCCCATGGCATCCCCGCCTTACTGATAGGGCTTGACCGTCCTAACATGTAACTGGCGGCCCTCACCGCTTGCCCCGCCAGGCGAGTGAGGACATGCTGATCCACTTGCTGGAGGACTGCAACCTGTGCGCCATCCACGCCAAGCGAGTAACCATCAGTAAGTCAACGCAGGGACAGCAGCAAACGCTGCTCTGTGCGCCGTACACGTCACCTCCTTAACACCACCGGTATTCCCCTGCACATCCAGTTAACATCACCCGTGCCTTGCATTGCCGCAGTGCCCAAGGACATGCAGCTAGCGCGGAGAATCCGAGGCCCCATCTACGGCATTTCCAGCGGCTAAGAGGGAAGCCTGCAGCTGCATCCATGAGACCTCAAACGACTTCGGGTGGATTGACTGTTGCGTGTCGTTGAACTACATGTGTCATGCCTTGGACTCTGACTTGCATGCATATATGCATTCTTCATGTGGGCGGTGCTAGATGGGTAGGCAAGTACACGAACTGCGAACTGACTAGTAGGGTGAGGTGGTTGATGTTGTGGGTTGCAATTCGGCATGACTGTGGTGGATGGGCTTTAATGCCGCCTACTGAGGACATGGGGTGCTACAAGTGACTCGCTATGGCCTTTTGGTTCAGAGCTCAGCTGCCAACAAGACGCAAGGAGTTTGAACCCAGTGGATTTGAAACCCAGTTTCGAAGCCGACATTTGTGCCGTCCAGTGACGAACAAGCGTGATGCTTTTCCAGGTATCCATTGACACTTTGCTGGTGCGTCTCTGTAGTTTGGAGGGCGTTGGCGCCACCCCGTATGGGCCGCTTGCTCCTTACATGGGAGAATGTGGTTATGGGCTTTATAGCCGGATGGCTTTACGACCGTGTGGTTGTGTGTTTCTGTGGTAGAGGGGTTTTGTGCATCTCTGCACAGCAACTCTGACTTCACACCACGAATCCAGGTGCCCTTTTGTCACCACCCCAGGTCGTCTCTGTGGCACTGTTACTTCAGCATCACCACATACGACCCCCTTGGTAAATTCCAACGCCGTGCATGGATTGATGCCCTACCCGTGCATCTGTGCATCACCCCTCTGCTAGGTATCCTTCAGCTTATCACCTCGTTAGTTCAGGAATATCCTTCCAAGCCCCATGCGCCGAAGTCTGCACACATATTCTATGCGCTTTGCGCGGTAGTAAACACATAAACACACGCCATAAACGCCCAGACGTTGTCATTGCCACACGTGATCCAATGAGAAGTAAGGGTTTGTCTCGCAACGGAAATTGACACTGCATGGCATCCTTACAATACCGGTATCACACCGCCGGTAAAAGGCACTGAGTCTACACGCTCTGCTAGCATAAGATCATCCGGGATAGGCGAATAGCGCAGGCGAACAAGGGCTACAATCCGTGCTTGTCAAGTTTTGTCTTGTCTGTTGCGAGTAACAGAGTTTTTTCCAAGACCTGACTTGTTTTATATACTGCCATCTGTAGCGGAAATACTGCTGATGTTGCAACGATGTGTTGTACACGGTCAATGCAGACCTGCTTTTGACCTCTGCTCCATGCGCGCGGATTGTACATATCCTCGCACTTGCCAACTCGCCAGACTAGCTTCACTGCGGTGATCAATCTATGCATATTGCATTCCTCTATACGAGTCCTTTATTTATTTTGCGCCGCCTTTAGGTAGTCGCATTTTCGCGACCCAAGTTAGGTTTGCACACTCTGGCGAACAAAGGAAAAACGGCTCTCACAGCTATTTTTCAACGTATTCAACCATACATACATACCGGGTGGCTTCGTTCTGACACACTACAAGTCTCAGCCCTTACGGGCATTATGGGGCGCCCCGGCCTCCACCGCGGGATGGCCCGGACCTCATTCTTCAATGAGGAGGTCTCAAGTAGATGTCACTTTTCAAGGACCTGCCCGCTCGTCCGCCGCCTGTGCACTTCCAATTCGCCGTCTTCCAGCTCCATTTTCTCGCTGTCCTCACCTGCTAGTCGTCGGCATACGCCTCAAATTCGAGCATGGAGTGGAGGTTCAGCCCAGCAAATTCCGGGGATAATTACGTCAGGGACGGACCGCCGGCTGCTTGCAACCAAGAGCCCTCGATTGCGTGTTGCTGTGGACGTGGACGAAGGTGCGCCTCTTTGCGCACCATCCAAACCTGATCAATGGCAGCCATAGTTTGCAATTCACCATTCACGCTGGCTTCGCGTCGAAGCTGCAGCCGCCGCGGCTGCCGTGGTGGCAGGCAACCGACGGTCGCGTTGAACTTCTTGCCTTTAGTGGTGGCGAAAAGCGTCATTGGCATCTTCACACGAAGCTTTGTGGCTTCCAATCCTTTTTTCATTGCCTACCATGCTATTGGTTGGTTAGCCAGGGAGTGTTGAGGCTACCCGCATGCTACGGCCTCCCATATACACAGATGTGCACTACGTCTCTTAAGTACCATACCACGATTTGGTACCATCATGCACTTGTTCTAATGACGACGGCGCTGTGACTGTTGGTTGTGTCGCTCAGCTTGGGCCATGGAGCATGGTGGCCTTGCGCATCTGGCAGCTAAAGGCAATGGCAAAGGCAGACGTCTTACTGTAGTCGTCGCCGTCGCTTTTCCCATGCGCCTGACACGCTCCTTGTCCCTCCCCTCTCCTCCCCACCAGTGCTGGGGCGGTTCCTCTTCGCGCTCAACCAGTTCTGCAAGGACCGGTACGGAATGGAGTACGGCGTCAGCGATTACTGGATCTACGAGTTTGCAAAGGTATGACACATGCATGGAGGAGGGGGGAAAGAGGCGCCTTTACCACCGAGCAGCTCGGCAGAGGCTGGGTTTGACCGGTTTGGCTGGTAGGACAGTTAGGAAAGGGGAGGGTTGTAGAGGATGAGCAGGGAGGTGGACGGCAAAGGGGAATGAAACGGTAATGCTTTAGGAAGCAATACCGTAGCTGAATGGTGGGGTGCAGCTTAGGGGCTGCTTAGTGCCGTACCCTATCATGGCTGGATTGGGCGGCAGCTGTCGCAGCTGCCCGGGGGACCATTTGCCTCCTGGCTAACTCTCGCACTCCGCTGCTCCTGCTTCTGCTCCTTGCAGATCTGGAACTGCTCACAAGAGCACTCGAACCACATTGTGCACGAGTTCTTCAAGTCGCAGCACTTCACGGAGGGGATACCCGTGATACCAGGTGCGATGCCGGACAGTTGCGCCGATGCGTGGGGCAGGGGCGGGAGCGGGACAGGACAGGAGGGGTAGGGGGCCGAGCTGCAGGACTCGTCAACATACCGGTACAAGCTATTGGAGAAGCGTCGAACATACATTGTAATGCATGCCGGCCGCCACGAATGTGGTTTGCAGGGAAGGCATGAGGCGTCCGCATGCATATGCTGCTACACAGCTCCTACCCGCAAATTGAGCCGCATGCTCCCTCTCATGCTTCTCCTTCCGCCCGCACCCACACCCGTACCCTCGTGGACTCACATGCACCTCCGCACTGTCCCGCCCTCCCAGGCGCGCTGGAGGCGCTCACTCGGCTGTCTGAGGCGCAGTACGAGCTGGTGGTGGTGACAAGCCGGCAGCACGTGATCCAGGACGTGACTCTGGACTGGCTGGACCGACACTATGGGGGGCTATTCCAGGTGGGGGCGGGAAGCGGGGCGAAGGGGGAGAAGGGGGTAAGGAGGGGGAAAGGGGAATGGATGGTGACCTCTTGGATTGGGGTTGCGGATGACAGGGTTGGCAGAGTGGACGGAGGTGGTTTGGGTGGGCACTACGAAGGGACTATCCTAGTGAGGGGTGCTGGGGCGTTGCGGGGAAGGAACGATGAGGGGGTTGGGGGATGGAGGACGATGCTAGGAGGTATGCCGGGCAGGCGCTGAAGGGGGCTGTTGTAAGCGGATGAGGAGGAAGGAGGATTCTCTTATCTCTACGCGAACTCCTCATATCTCTACCCCCTTCCAACTGCCCCCCTTCCCTGCCTTCGTCCCCTCTCAGGAAGTTTACTTTGGCAACCACTTTGCGCTGGAGGGCAAGAGCCGCAAAAAGTCGGACATTTGCAAAACCATTGGCGCCAAGGTGCTCATTGACGACAACCCCTCGTACGCCCAGGAGTGCGCGGCGGCCGGCATCAACGTCCTGTTGTACGACTGGGATGGGGCTTACCCCTGGAGCAAGCTGCCGGCTTCGGGGTAAGGCTGGAGGTCGGGGCGGTGTGGTGTGGTTCGGAGGAGGGAGGGAGGAAGGGGTACGTGGGGCTGGGTTTTTTTGGGGGGGGTGGTGGTGCGGGCAGGGAGGGCTGCTTGGGGAGGTGCATGAGTGACTGAACAGTGCCTTGCTTGGGTGTAGAGAAGGGAAGAACGAAGGGAGAAGAGGTGTCTTTGCCCGAGGTACAGGAAGCTTGCAGCCTTCTTCTGCTTCCAACCATTTCGGCTGGCCTATCGTGTCTTGTCCTTCCCTCCTTTTCCCCTCACACCAACCCTTGTTTCGATTGCTGTTGCGGCTGTCCTGGCTGCAGGGTCGTAAACAAGGAGCTCATCCGGGTAGTGCGGGACTGGGGCGAGGTGGAGCAGGAGCTAGCGCTGCTGGCTCCTCAGCTGCAGCAGGGCGAGGAGGAGCAGCAGGACGGAAGCTAGGCGGCTGCAGAGAGCCAGGCGCGACCTGGGCTTTTAGCAGGCAGCCAGACAGGAACGGCTTATCATGTTTGTTACCGACCGAGACGGGAGCTGCCGCAACAACGCAGAAAAGACACAGCGCAGGCAAACAATGACTCGGACAGGCAGTTAGGACTCGAGAACCGGTTAGGTGCATGACGACTGATGCGATGATGTGTGGGTGCCTCGGTGACTGCAATAGCGATGCTAGAGGGTAACACGATGCGGTGCAGCTGCATGGAGTGCGCTGGCCTCTCGCGTGTCCTGCCTCGACACCACGACACCAACCCCATCTGTACGGCACCTCTCGTGTCGTACGTATGTACCGGGGTGTACGGCATGCGGCGTGCCGTTAATTCCGTGGTGGCCTGCGCTGTTACCCGTGAAGGGCTTGCTTGCACATGACATGCTCGAGGGCCTTACGAGCACCTAGGAGGGCTAGTGCGGGGGTGTTCCTGGTCGCAGGGATTGTGGGTATAGTCTCAGCGTGCGTGCGCGCTTCCAACCAGTCGCGGTGCTGGGTGTGCGGAGGTGGTAGTGCTGCAGCTGCAGCTGTGACGATGACTCTTCCTCGACGTGTTGCGCCGTGCTGCGCGGCGGGGCGGCTCCAGATGTATAGTCTATAGCACTCGCACGTTTCATGCATTCATGTTGACACGTTGCTAGGATGGAACTGGCGGGCGTAGGGGGGTGTGGGATGACGGTTGTGTTGTGTTACTGCTGCAGCAGACAGGCAACGGGTAGAATTGCTGGGTGGGGTAGGAACCTGCTAGCAGAAGGCTGGAGTAAGCCGGAGCCCGAGAAAAGGCCGACAGCCGTTGGCATGTAGCATCGTAGTTGTGGGAAGTTTAGGACAGATGTCCGTTTCTCCCTCTCAAACATGTGCGAGGAACCGGAGCCCATGGGGCACATGCTCTTGTTCAGGCGAGGCGTAAGGTGCCTTGTTTGAGGGTGCTGGCTCTGTAGACCGATGAACAACAATGAGACGGGGGCATGGAGAGTGCGCGAAATGGCCTGCCGGGTTTGCTAGCGCAATGTAAAAACGACGAGCGAATGCGAAGGTAGGCCATGAGCGAGCGGGCGGCTCGGGTGGCACGATGCGGCAACCGACCAACGGTGCATGGCGTTCTGTGTGCGTGGGAGTAGGTAAGGTTTTAGTTGACGGCACCGGTAGTGGCGAGAATGAGCGACGAACGGTGATAATACGCGGCCACGAGGGTGTGGAAAGCACTCAGTCCTCTGCCGTACCGCTCTTGTGACTCTGCGACGACTGCATGCTAGGGCGGTGACTTGTTTCGGTGTGTGGATTCGGCTGTTGGTATGGCCGATGAAGTTGTAAGGCAAACAGCATAAGCGCCCTACGGAGTCGTGTAAGCCCTGGCGCCCATGGGAGGGATCCTTACGTGGGAAGGCAATGGGTGCTTTACCGGTAGGAGCACGTTTTCTGCTGGCCGCAACCCTAGCAGGCAGATTCGTGGGTGTCCTGTCTCTTACGTAATTTCCTACTGCTTCAAAGGACTGCTTGGGCCAGTCCAAGGAAAAATGCTTCCCACGATGGCAGGCGGTTCCTGCTAAAAGGGGTGTAGGCTCTAGGGGCATGCAACTTTTTGGACTGCTTTGCACTACCGTACGTTAGCGCCTATCCTCCCTTCCAATGATGATTATAGGTGGTCCCAGGTACGGGAAGCGGAATCGATTTTGCCACCCATTGCTGGGCCCCCTATACACGGGGCGATTGGGTTGAGAACGCGTCTCATGTGTGTTTGTGAACCTTGTGACCTCATTTCGGTATCATACCAGCCAATGCCTGGCATGCATGGGATGTAGTTGACCACTTTGCACCTGCAAACGCACTGCCTGTTACAGTTACCTTTCTCTTCTTTCAGGGTCGACTCGCAGGCGGTTTGCTCTGAGGGTTTCTCGTCCCGCCGTTTTTTTGTCTTACCGTCCTATCTATGTTACTATGTAACATTCCACATCGGGAAAAACCGGGGAGTCAAATAACATACTGAACCATAGGAAACCACAGACGGGGGGAGGGATTGGTAGTTACGCTCATCATGTGGGCAGCCCGGTCGGAAGCCGCAACGTTAGAAAAGAGTGTCAGCATGTCTTGGCAGGTGGAAAACACGGAGTGCGTTGCTGCATGCGGCAAAGGGTGTCGTGGTGCCCGCGGTGTGGTGCAACATGCTTAAGGTCGTCAGAAGTACAAAGGAGGTGCCAGATGACGACGTGTTGAACCATCCGGCGGACCCATCCATAGCCCTGCTGCGCCCCCCACCCTGCAATTCCTGATGCACGCCCGGGAACTGACGCGCACTTCCCAGAGCGACACACGTGGAAAGTTCCACAACCGTTGGCGGGTCCGGCGACACCGCGGTCGTGACAGCCGGAATGCCTGAGGCTACACAGCATGTGAGAATCGACGCCAGGGCTTGCATGGTTCCCAGGGCCAGTCAACGGCCCAAAGTAACATGTGGCTGGGGCCGGAGGAGAGTAATGGTGGTAGTAGAGAACAGGGAGCTGGAAGTGTGGAGCTGAGAGCCGGGAGAAGTAGGCAGTGTTTGGTAGGCAGCAGTTCAGAGGTGGGCTAGCTGGTTTGGTGGTAGTGTTTCCTCTTCTTGATTGTTATGGGGATGTAGGCGGAGCTGAGGGTTGCTCGGGTTCCCAGAACACAGGGGTACGAAGGGGTATCAGGGGTCCCTGAACTCGGGGGTACGCAGGGGTATCAGGCGTCCCGAAACTCGGGAATGTGCGGGGGTATCAGGGGGGTTGCACTCGGGGTTGCATGTGTTTTTTTCCTGTTTTATTTGTTTGGTTTTTTTTGGAGAGTTGTTGTTTTGTTTGGGCGCTTTTCTTAGTTTTGTTCCTGTGGAGAGAGGCTGTTGGTTGTTTTCAGCCTTAAGGGGTGGTGGTGCTGCCCCTCGCCTGTCCACAGTGTCCAGGTGGTCAGAGTGAGGTTTTCACCTATAAGGCAGGTCACCCGTCCTTGTCCGTGTCCAGTCTGGTGTGTTGTCTGTTGCAGTTCCATTCTCCTCTGTCAGGTGGGCTTGTAGGTGGTGTTTTCCAGGGTGCTTCCCTGGTATCCAGTGGTTTTCTTCTCCGCTGTTTTTTTGTGGTCTTCCTGTCCTTCCTCTGTAACAGTCCACATCGGAAAAAAGTGCAAGGGAAAGCCGCAAGTTGGTAAGGCAGAGAGCAGCTCGGACCCCGGGGACACACGCAACTGGGTTAGGGTTGGATGACTGCCTCACAACAGTGTCTACGTGATCCGCGGGCACATAGGTTGTAGTACCAGCCGCTACCATAGGGACATGCAGCGATGTCTGACTGACCAGGATAGCTGGGCCTATATGCGGGTTTGCAGAGAAGAAACTGGGCCATCATGTAAAGAGGAGACAGGCTTTCCCCGACGGCCCATGTAAGTCCAATTCGCTCAGTTGCATTCCCTGCCTCTCGACCATTAGCAACATGCCAACGCGTGTGATCTAAATATTGTATACCTTTTTGGGTATCGTGAAGCAACTTCAGGATTACCTCGCCTCATAGGTGCTTAGCAACGATTTCGATTCTTCGTTGTTCCTGCACTGTGCCCTCACGCAAAGGCTAACAGCAGATACTATAATTAAAGCAACATACTACAATCAAAGCCACTTCCATATGAGTTCCCGGCTGGACACTTGCCGAAAATGGTTCGCGCTTGTGGCTTCAATGGGTGTAGAGTACGGTACAGCGCCTCGAGGTGAGGCGGGCGGCTCGCTATGCGAAGTCGACTCACCTTAGCAACTGAAACTACGTACATATACTAACAATCAGCACCGTGAGCTGGATTACAGGCCGTCGTGACCAACAGCTCACCAAATTGTGCCGGGCGAAAGACGGGCGTGTACTGGCGGGCGACAGCTAAGCGTGACAGCACAACTTCAGTACCAGGAGCTTGAAGTTCGGTGTTTCCACAAGGTAAAGGGGGGTATTCCTTACCATGCTACTCCCGCACCTGCTGCCCGTCTGCCTTGACCACCACGTGATCAGTCATCTCATGCGCAAAACAAAGAAAAAAGCTGATGTCTGTTGTTGTCTATGCATGGGCGTGGAGTGGGGCCCGTGTGGGCTTTGTTTGTGACTCCTGCGTGACCTTCGGTCGCCTCTAACTAATTGCCTGCATTTAATTTACCACCATCTATTCTGTTCGTTATACTTGATCAACTTTATTCTTACTAACTAGCAGGGTGGGTTGCGCGTCTACCACACGGCTTAGATAGAGGAACAATCTCACCGTCAAGGAGTGTTTCGCTCAAGGCTTACACATACATTAGTTGTTTCTCATTTGTAGGCGATTGGGCGGGAACGATCACTTGCAGCTTGCGTTGAGAAGGTGAAAACAACGTAATCGAACGGTTGATTTGTTCGAAAACACTGACTCGCCTGCAATCCTGCAACTCTTACACATGTCACAGAAATGGCATTAGCAAGGGTCGTCCCAGTCCTCCCTCCCGTCAAGTAGAGTCCACATGAGGCCAGCGGTTGCGCCTCATAAAACCCAGTTTCCCTGACAACCCATCTAACCATCCGGGCCCACCCGCTGCCTCCCTTTCCTTTGCCAAACCTAGGCCAGCCATGGTGGCAGCGGCTGGGGCCGCCGCCCACAGCGCCGCCTGAAAGCTCGCGCCATGCGGGTGTTGCTGACAGCCGTCACTCTCCGGGTGGCATGAAGCCTTCTGAAGCACGCAGAGATGATGGAAGCGGCGAGGATGCTGCAGGCGCCAGGGCCGGCCTTGAGGGCACTGTTATCGATGGTATGACGCCATCCTTGCAGCAGCAGGAGCAACAACAGCAAGCTGCCGCAGTGGCGGCGGCATTGGAGATATTAACTCGTGGTACGCGTGGTCCACCCGAGACGGAGGAGGACAACCCAAGCAGCTACACACATCGCGGCGGCGCCTCGGACCAGGGACATCAGGGGATACGGCAGCAGCTGCCACTGCCGGGGCCTACTAGGCGTCAGCAGCAGCAACAGCCGTTGTCAGCAGCCAACAATGACGTCATAGCCGTGCTCGCAGCACTGCAGGCATCGCAGGCCGGAGGGGGTGCTGCGGGTAACACGGGAGGAGTAGCCGCCGCTTCAAACACACCAGCTGCCGCGGGCGGGGGCGTGCAGCAGCCGCACAGGCCCACAGCGGTACACGGTATCGCATTAAACACCCTGGCGACTCTCACCGCAAAGCAGACGGGTGCTGCAGCAGGCGCCGGCGGCCTCCCGGGCTTGGGCATGGGTATGGGCGGCATCACTGGCGGGGTGCCAACGAGGCAGGGCAGTGGCAGCGGCGGCGATTTGGACGGTACGACAGGCGTTGCCGGGCGATCGTTGAGTGGGAGCCTGAACACCAGCCATATCCAAGCGGCCCTGGTGCAGGCGGCGACGGCCTCAGCAATCATGGCAGCGCAGCGAAACGCCGCCGCAGCTGCTGCCGCTGCCGCCGCTCAACAACCCTACTTGGATGCGGCAGCTGTGACCGCACCTAGCGAGGGTCGTAAGCGCAAGCGCGGCTCGCCGTCGCCCTCGGCCCTGGGTGCAGGCGGCGGAAGAGGAGGCAGCACGGGCAGAGCAGGGGCTGGCGGCGGCAGCATGCCAAACCACATGCTTTCAGGGCAGCCTGCGGCTGCGTACGTGAACCTCGATGCAGATATTGACAAGGACTCGCCCTGCCGTAACCAAACTGGCTATGTGGGTGTGCGGCAAAGGAAGTGGGGCATGTTTGCGGCGGAAATCCGGGACGGCGACAAGCGGCGGTGGCTTGGATCCTTTCCCTCTGCTCAAGAGGCGGGGCTGGCTTACGATGCGGCGGCTATCGTGCAGAAGGGCTGCAAGGCCAAGACGAACTTCGCGTACGCTGATCAGGAGACCAATCCTCGGCCGGTAGGTTGGATGGTGGCTCTCATACTGGGGTGGGGTGGGTTGTGACCGCTCGCGTGGCAGACAAAGCGCGGTACGGCAGGCGTAGTCCGTGTCTTGCAGTCCCCTTTGCGGTGCCCAGGTATCCATTGCAGTACCCTGAGATGTCGTACGGCAGGCCTCCTGGAGCTGTACTGGGGTGTGCACGTCTCCGGGTGCCGGTATCCAGAGACTACGGAGCTGAGGTGTGGGTTGTCATCTCTGAATTGCAAAGACCACAGTAGGATATCATCTCTTTCTGTCGTTCTGGTATCACACGCGCCGCGTTGCTTTTTCCTTTTGCCGTAGAATGCGGAGTTGGTGGCTAGGGTTCGATGGGACTTGCTTCCCGAGGAAGTTGCCCAGGTGAGTGCTGAGCGCATGGGGTTGGGGGCAGAGGGGAAAGGAGTGGACGGATGGACCAAGCTGAGTGAAAGAGAGAAGGGAATGGCCGAGTAGGGGTGGTTGATGCCAACCGCACGTCAATACCGGAAGCTGGTGTCCATGCGTCAGGACATGGCGTGTTCGCACACTTGGCGAGCGAAGCCGTGCATCCACACCGGGTATGGTCCTTGGCATTACAGTCGCCATTGCCACGACATAACTGCCTTTCCCGCATATGCTTCGCCGCATCTCAATGCGTCTCATCCGTCACACTTGCTCACGATCCCGCAGCAAATGGCGGCAAGGAATGGACCAAGCAAATCCGCACGGCTGGGCGGCGGGGCGCTGGCTGCCAAGGCTAAACAACTGAGGCACGGACCGGAAGCCGCCGCATCCGACAACGCCACAGCTGCGGCTGCAGCTGCCCTGCATGCTCCGGCGGCGGCGGCCGCAGCAACGGCGAACGCACCTGCAGCAGGAATGCGAGCTTCCGCGGCGGCACTGGCTGCCGCTGCTGCTGCAGCGGCGGCAGCAGCCGCAGCAGCAGTAGCACCTGTGGCAAACCCTGTCACGACTGCCACAGCCCAGTCGGATGGAGCCGCCGCAGGGGCAGCGGTCGGGTCCACAACAGCTATCCGGGGTGCGAAGGCGGGGCCCGCCGCGCCCGTCCTAAACAAGCAGCAGCAACCGCAGCAGCAACAAGAGCCGTCCATGGCTGAGCCCGCCAGCTCACCGGTTGCCGCGCCTGAACGCTTGCCCCCTTCAAGCATGGCGGCCGGAACCGGCGCAGGGGCGACTAAGGGCGTTGGTACAAACATAGCCTCCGCCGCCGCCACCACCGCTGGCGGCGGCAGCGGCGGCGACGCAAGCGCTGCGCCGGCCCCTGCCAGGCCTGCCATGTCAGCTGGCGGCTCCGCCAGTACGGCACCGGCGGGTATGGCCACGTCGGGGAATGAGGGGCAGGCACGTCTACCCCCGGCGCCGCAAGATCAGTACTACCCACTCCAATCGCACCGGCAACCGCAAGCTAACACCGCTCTGCAACAATTGACGGGTCTTCCTGGCGTGTCCGGCAGCGCTGCTGGTGGTGGTGGTGGTGGTGGCGGCGGTAGCGCCGCCGTCACCGTTGCGGCGGCGGGTGCGGGCGGTGGCGCCAGCGCTGTCGACGCACCCGACGCGGACATTGACGGTCCCAACGACGAGGTGGCCACTTCCTCTGACGGCCGCCAGCTCCGCAACACTCGGGAGGGCCCCGGCGGCAGCATTGGCGGGTCCGGTGCTCCCGGCGGAGGGGGCCACCGACGCCGCCCTGGCGTCAGTGGCGCCAGTGGCAGCGGCGGCGGCAGCCTATACGTGCAGGACATGCAGGTGGATCCGCAGCATATGGCTCGCCTTCCGCCGCACGTGTGGCCACCGCAGGCTCCTGCGGCGCATGACCCGCATGGCAGGCTCTCTGGCGGCCTGCTGTCGCCGCACCATCATGCTTTAGGATACGGGGCGGCGCCGCCGTACGGCCTCCCGCCGCCGTACGGAGGGCCGTTGATCGGCCACGACTCAGCGATTGCGCCGGAGGAAGTCGAGGAGTTGTACGCACACCCAGACGCGCCGTACAGGTACCCTCCAGGTTACGCTCCTCCTCCTGGCATGCATCCGCATATGGCAGCGGGCGAATACGAGGATGTGGACGAGCATGGTGTGCCGTACGTGTACAGCTACTGGGGGCCTGGTGGCTACGCACCAGTTGCTGGGTACGACGAAGACGGAAATCCTGTCGTGTACGAGCCCTACCCGCCGTACTCTCGATATCCTGGGTACGAGATGTCGTACCCCATGCCCTACGATGGGGACCCGGAGGCCGCTCCCGCGGGGCACCCATGCCCCTACCCTCCGCCGCACTTGGCCGGGGGGATGTTGGGACCGCTGCCCCCGTCCCTGAGGTACCCCTCCCTGGGGGGCCTTGGGAGGTCCGACGGCGGCGCCGGACCAAGCCAAGCGCATGGGGCTACTGGTGCCGCCGCCGCGGCGGTGGTGGCGGCGGCGGCGGGCGGGGCCCGTAACATGGGTGCTGCCGCGGCTGGTGCGGCGAATGATGTACTTCAGTTGCCGGCCGCTCGGGGTGGCGCCCGGAAAAACCCCGCCGGCAGAGCAGGCGAGGCAAGCGGCCCCAGCGGCGCAGAGCGGGTGGCAGGGGGTGCTTCCACCGCTGCCGCCGCAGCGATAGGGGCCAGCGGTCCACGAAACGGCGGGGGCGGTTCTGGTGGCGGCGACACCGCCGCTGCTGCTGCTGCTGTACAGGGCCCCGACGGAGCCCCGTTGCCCGTAACAGCTTCCGGGCCTGACGGCAAGCCACGGAACGCAACCGGAGCCCTGCCGGGGGGCGCCGCCGCTGCGGCTGGCACACATGCGGATGTGGATGCCAGCGGCGCCGGCAGCAGCGGCGGAGCTCGTGGTGCCGAGGAGGGCCCGGCGCCGTCCAGGAGCACCGCCGGAGGTGCGCGACAAGCCGCGGTGCTGCAGGCCGTCGGGCACCTGGGAGGCTACTTTGAGGATGTGTACGGCGGCTCCTTTGGCGGGGCGGTGGTGCCCCTGGGGTACCTGCCGTACGGCGGTCCGCTGTACGGCGGCCACGGTCGTTACCCCCTTGGGTAAGTGGGTCTGGGCCTAGGAGTACTTATACTCACCATGGTTTACTGCGTACAGGACTTATGGAGCGTTGCCTTTAGCCTCATGTATACCCATACAAAACGGCCGCCAAACCTGTACCTTTCCTTACCATTGACGTCAAATGTTAACAATTACAGGTCCCGCGGGTCGAGCGGTGGCGGCACCGCAATGCGTAGCATCCCGGGTATTTCCAGTGGCGGCGGCGCCGCCGCCAGCGCGTTGTTGGGTCCTGACGGTGTCCTGCTGCCCGCATCAATGAAACGAGCTTCTCAAGCAGCCGCTGCTGGCGGCGGCGGCGGCGGGCGTTACTCCTCGCCACCTCCCCGTGGCGCCAGCGGGGGCAGCGGCGCCGGCGCCGGCAGAGCCGCGCACCCTCACCTGGGTCATACGCATCCCGCCACCGTTGTCGGCGGCGGCGCCGGCGCGGGACCGTCAGCTGCACATGCGGCTCTTCATGGGGCAGTGGGTAGCGGCGCCGCCAGCCAAGGTCCGGGAGTGGGGTCGCTTGGAGAAGCGGCCGGGTTTGGCGGCGGTGGCGACGCAGTGGGCGAGGGTACCAGCGCCAGAGGTGAGTCACGTGCATGGGATGACCGGGTGGGAGGTCTCGTCTTTACACACGAGGATTGGTGGAGTCGACGGCACTAGGAGCCATAAGCTGACGTGGCCCGCTCAACCCCTGGACTGACGGTGTCCGGTTCCCTTCCTCTTCGACGCAGCTCATCTGCATGCTTTTCCGGGTTACGACCCACGGGTCTCTCCAGGCGCCTATCCTCCACCGGATCCAATGGACGCTATGGACCCGTACGGACCCCCACCGTACGGCCTTCCGTACGATACCGTACATGGTGGCGTGCTGCTTCCGGCGGGGTACCCCCCAGGGGCGTACGGGCCCCCTCCAGTACACTACGTGGACCCTCTTACAGGCGAGCATTACTACTATGAAGTGCCGTACTACCAAGGTCCGGAGGAGGAAGAAGAAGCCGAGGCTGCTGCAGCTGCTGCTGGTCATCCGTATGGCTTGTCGTACTATACAATGCCGCATCCCATGTACCACTCTGCGCACGGCGGCCTGCCAGCGGGGTCGACCCGGCTGCGTAGCGGCGGCAGCTCTGGCGGCGGTGCGGGGCAGCTGGCGTCCGGACGCCATGTGCAGCTGCCCGGAGTGCTCGTTGGCTTGCCTCCTGACTACCCAGGTGAGTTCAGTGAGGTCGTGTGACGTCTAGGACATGCAGTTCGCTGACGTTTTCACGTCGTGATGATTGGGCTTTGGCGGCAGCCTCAGCAGTAGCTAGCATCGTGCATGGTTGACGTGGCTACGGACTGAAACTGGACCACCGCAAGATTAGATAATGGCTTGCATGTATCCCCGCCTAAGTTCCCCGCCAAACTCAGTTTCTATGTAGTGCCTGCCCGCCCCGCCTGCGCCTCTTTAGTAGAATTCCCTTGCCATTTCCTCCCTCCAGATGACAGTGGGGACCCCGGCTACCTGCGCTCTCGCTCGCTGGGGGCCCCACCGCCGCACCCCCAGGGCTACTACGCCCGCACCATTTCCACCGGGGGCACCCAGCAAGGAGCCCTGCTAGCTCCCTACGGGCACCTGGACCCCCTCCAAAGCCCCCACGCTGCGGCCTTCGCCAGCCGCCGGCCTGGCGTCAGCACCGGCGGCACGACACAGCAACCGACAACCGCCGGCAGCGGGCCGCTTCATGGCGGCGGTACGGCACTGAACGCTGCAGGAGCCTCTGGCATTGGCTCGTCGGGTGTTGGCGGGCACCTACACGGCAACCTGCATGGCGGTGGCGGCGGCGGCGGCGGCGGGCTCAGCAGGAGGTCCGAGGCACAGCTGGGGGGGCCCTCACCGCATGGCGGACACCACCAGCACCAGCACCCCGGGCCGCCTTATCATGCACACCCTGCTCATGCACCTTCGTTAGCGGGCCAAGGCCAAGGCGGCAATGCAGGTCTGTCCCATCCGCTCCTGCACCACGCACCGCCGCACCACCAGCAGCATCCCCCTCATGGCGGCTTGCATACCCACCACCACAATCACCACCACCAGCAGCATGAAGATGCAGCGGAGCATGCGGAGCTCTACATCCAGAAGTTTCAAGAGCTGACGCAGGCAGTCAGGAGGGTTGCTGGAGATGATGGGATCATGGGAGGTGTAGCGGGTGGGGGTGGCAGCGGTGGAGGAGTCGGGGGCATCAGTGGAGGGGGTGCCAGTAGCGGCGGTGGCTCGTTGGATGAGGTGTTGCGAGGTTTGGCGTTCTTCACCGGACAGGGTCAGAACAGGATGTAGCACAGCCAAATGCACAGGAGGACTTCACGTGTAAAGTGGAATGTATGTTGCTATTGGGTGGTTCGAGTCTCAATTACGCCTGCCTTGGCTGGAAGACCGCCTGAAGGTTGCCGGTTTGCAACTGCTATGTGGTTGCTGATTGTGCATGTGACATACATTTCATTTGTCTACTAGTTTTAGTTCCATGACGAGAGTGAGATATGGGTGCTGCGGTTGCTTCGGTTACCATGTACGATTTCATCGTCGCTCAAGGTTGTTAGGACGGCGAGTTATCGTATAGAGATCGAGTATAGAAAAATGGTAGTGCTTCAGTTGTACGCTATAGGCAAGTAACATGTGACTACTCTTTAACCCTTTCCACTGGGGTTTACACTTCGACGCCCAACCATGTCGAGTTCTGCGAAAAAGTCTGGAACACATGCACCATGGGTTGCAGGAAGTATATAAACACTTACTACCCACCATCATTTGCCATATGCATGCAAAAGCGTATAACCTACAGCTTGCATGTAAACTTCCATACCCGCGGACCACCACGACATTGGTAGCATACTCCCATGCTCGGCCACACTTCCTCCACCTCTTTGTCACCTTCAGCAGCCAAGCTCTACACTAGATACCTTTTTCCATAAAAATGGCAAATCCACCACCCACACATCCCGTAGCGGTGCACCTCTTATAGCAATTTTGCCCTAGTTCCTGTCGCAATACCCTTGCCGCCCAGCTCATCGGCCCAAGCACAAAAAGCAGGGTTGCCCGTCGCCGCCTGGCGGACAATAGGGAAAGACGGAGCAGATTGTTAGAGAAAACGGAAGGACGACACATACGCGTGCAGGCAAACCGCTCAGCTCCCCAACAATCGAACCCCCTCAGTGCTCTTTCCTTACCAAGGAAGGGATAGAAGAGGCCGTCGAGGAGCTAAGGCGCGGTCAGCGACCTCGAGAGCCGAAGGCGCGACGGCCTAGCCAGCGAAGAGGCAAGGAAGGGCGTCTGCGGGGATACAGGAGGTGGGAGGTGGAGGAGGGGGAGTTGATGGAGCTGCCGGCATGTGCCCCTTGTCCGGAAGCACAAGCGGGCTGAGGGGAAAACCTAGTCTAAAAATAAAAACCCTATTACAGTGGTACGTAAGTCAATATGTGTAAAGTTATAATAGTTGGAAGTAAGTTTGTAATTGTCCTTGTTAGACCACATGAAGTCTTGCTGGCGGGTACCGGTATTGTAGAAATAGTATAGTTTGTAAAGGTATGAGCTAGTTAATTTTCGTCTGCAGGTATTTCAGGTTAGGTAGTTTAGAAGTACGTAAAAATGTAAGAACGGGGGTGGCGAAGGATCTTGCATCCGGCGACTGGTAGTCTTGCTTTCCGCCGACGGTGGTAGGGTCCGGCAGCGGTAGTCCAAAGAAGAGGTGCGAACGAGGATGTCACTGCGGTTTTCAGGGCGGAGGTTGAGCGCGACGGCGGTAGTCCGGAGAAGAGGTGCGAACGAGGATGCCACTGCATTTTTGAGGGCGGAGGTGTGACGGGTTCTATGGTGGGAGAGAAGACTAGGGGAGAGGACGGTGGCGAATGGCGTTCTACGATTGGCGTGGCTAGGGCGAGTCGTGCAGGGGAGTGGCGATGTAGCTTGAGGGTACTGGTAACGGAGGATGCGAGGGAAGGTGCAGGGGCTTGAGGACTTGACATGGAAGTGCGCGGGCCTCCAAACCGCCAAAGGACGAAATGCAGGGCTAGTCGATGTCGACAAGGACCGGGAGGGGCGAGCGGTGGACTTGGTCGCAGTTGATGACTTGCTTTGCTTTCCTACAGCCGCTGTTAGAACTTGCAGCAGCAAGCACGGCACTGGCAGGCCTACGGTATACAAAACATCCTCCACAGGTGCAGCATGCGTACCCCACAGGACATCACAGCAAGCGTCACGGTAACGACTTTGCTTACCTACCGCCTTCATACGCTTTAAGAGTCTACCTACGGTCGTTCCAAGCTTAGATATTTGCAACGAAACGTAACAATGACAAACCTTCGGGCGATACATCCTCCACAGAGGTACAGCATGTGACGTGGCGTGATCTCGTGCTTTACTTTTTAACCTGCGCACGTGGGGCTTTGACCAAACAGGGCGGCCAGGCCAGTGCGCGGATACTACAGGGACATGCAACCGACTATAATACGCCCAAACCCCATAACACTACCAGACATTACGGCGGAGAGTAGCCTCGTTGCTTTTGCTTTCCGATGTGCGCATCTGCACGGGAATTTAGCCGCAAACAGGCAAACGCGCAGGCAACTTCCACGCAAACTATACTGCATCTCGCTTTTCATGCTTACGAAAACAGCCGCCTCATGCTCCTTGGCCGCTTAACCCAATACGCCGTTTCCTGCATGCAGGCCTGGAAGAGCAGGCAAGCCAGAGCAAAACCCCACAGTACGAACCTGGCACCCGTTTGGCCGTACATGTCCGTACTTGTTCCCTCCAATCGCCCTCCTCTTCCAACATGATGGTTGCATACTGTATCAAATTAATCATGCTTTCCTATCGTCCTAGAGTATGTTATGGAAGGGTAGCGGTACAGTATAGTGGTACATGGTAAGGATGGCTGTGTTAGTAGGTAGGTCGATAGTGCGATAACCCTACACTTAATAAGTATGCTACATGCCTATGCTGCGATGGCTAAACAACGCTTGCTGGCATGCTGTCGCGCCGTACTTCTCAGTTGCGCTGCTGCTAAACAATCGTTAGCTGCCTAGATTGGCAACGGACGAACCCGAACACGCACTCCATACCGACGGAGCCTTGCGATACACCGTACACGCCTGTCCAAGCAGGAAGGGACAAACGGCAATCCAGGCCTTGCAGCATCCCGACCCTGACCAGATGTCAAGGTCCATCCCACAGTTCCTGAGCGCCTGCCCGACAGAAGGACAAACGGCTGACCCGCCCCTGACTCAGCCGTCAAGGTGCAGATGCATACCCGGACTTCCCACCTGGGTGGTACGAAGTGCTGGTCTGCCAATGCTCGCCCCTCAGTGGACAAACAGTAATTGCTGTGACACGCGCCCGCCTTGTGGCAATCAGCTGCGTCTCGTACACGCCTGTCCTCATTCCATGAGAAACAAACGATTTGCTGCTCCATAACGCCTGCCCAGATGGCAAACGGTATCTGCTCCCACACGCCTGTCTGCGCCGAGCGCAACAAACGGCGGCTGATTCGCGCCTGCCCAGATGGCAAACGGTTTCTGCTCTGACACGCCTGTCAGCCGGTGGTATGACAAACGGTCGCTGGTCTGATGCGCCTGCCCAGATGGCAAACGGTTTCACTATTAACACGCCTGCCCTTCCTAGGGCAAACGGCCGTACTAGCGTTGCTGTGCCTGTCCCGCTTGGGACAAGCGGTTGCTCGCATATGCGACAGCAGCTTGTGAACTGAGCGATGAGCCCCGTGGGCAGATCGCAGCTCTAGCACTGAGCAAACCCTCCTGGGTATATGGCAGCTCCAGGGCCCTCTTGGGCACGAGGCAGCTCCAGCATAAGCAGTATCCCGTCTGGGTGTATAATTGCTACGGTATCAGCCGCGCATCCCATCTGGGAGCATATGGCAATGCTGGCATCCAGCAAACCGCTTCTGGCAAAGGATCCCCTTGACGTGGACGTAACGTGCTGCGACTTGAAGAAACAAAGCGCTCTTGCGTTGTCGTCTTGGCAGCCAGGCCACGATCCTCTTGGCATCGTGCCATGCTTATGGACTCGTATCCAATCGAAGCCAAACGGCTTATAGCCGAAACGGCGTAGATGGTACCCGTGGTACCCATGCGGTTAACTAGGATCCCGCAACCCCCGGCCAGTCCCGGCTTCCCGCCGGGCCCCATCCGCGACGGGGGGCCCTAGTAACCACTGACCGGGGGTTTCGTTTACAGTTTGAAAATGCCCTATCCTAGTTTTAACGTTTTGAGAATATAATGACAATGAAGAAAGGTTTGTGTGGTTTGCGTTGTTCGGCACGACCGAAGGTAGCTTTAGTCTTGCGAGCATCTTGTCACCTTTTGACAATGAAATATCCGCATTCTATTCCGTTTACTACGCGTCTTTCGGCAGACTCCCAGAATTTACTGTTTGCGACAAGGATTGCCCACAAACCCCATCCTAGTAACCCCACCAAGTAACTCACCGGTTTTCACGGTAACAGAAGAGATCTTGTGCTTGATCGCGAAGCTTGTCGACCTCTCCTTGTAGGATAGCCTGGTACTCGGACGCTCGACCTCGGAAGCAACAAGAACCTGCGCAGAACGGTTAAACCAGCAAGGTAACGTCAAAAGCAATTCGAAAGAGCTGCAGATTAGGATAAGTAGTAAGCTGTAAGGGAGGGCCCAGCGAAGGTACATAAAAGACCATGCAGCACAGGCCTCACCATGCTGCCAAGGAGTTCTTGTGATGGACCAGCAACTTGACCCAAAGTAGAACTCGCGTGAATAGCAGCAGCCGAGGAGCTCTTACACCTGTATAGCGCAAGAAAGGTAGACGGGAGGGACATTGGGTCCGTCAGGTTTCCTTGAAGAGGCAGGATCGTCGGATAGGCATGTCCAGCGGTTATGAGCTAAAAGCAGAGAAGTGTAGACGCACGGTTGCGAGGTGCTACCTAGGAGTATCCAGATGCCACAGACAGGGTCATGTCGACGTGGACAAAAAGGGGCACTTACCGTAATTTAATAGAAAGGCCCTGCCCTGGCCCTGCATCGGCTTCATCCAGGACTAGGAAATCTGACCATAGCTGGTTCCTCCAGTGCCGCTGCCCAACGTAAGCAACCAGCGACGTAAGGGATCTGGGTGACAGGGAGCTTGGCACGCTCAACCATCTTTCCTAGAATGATTAGAGTAGTTGTCAAGTGCTATGTGACAAGATAGTATGGCGGAGCCCAAACTATATATAGCACTCACACAGTACGGTGTACGGCTTTCATGAGGAGAAGGACGGCCTCAGGACGCTGCCCTAAGAGCCGACAAAATTGCCAAGGGATTGCTGGATTGAAATTGAACTCAGCAGGATTTCTGGGTGGGAGCAAATGGACCAAATGGTCTAATTGCAACGTTCTTTTAGTTTGGCGTCGCAAGCCAATTGATTAACGTGTCATCAATTCTACAATATCCGTTGTCCACGTGCACATGTAAGCCTGTCACCGGTTAAGCCGGAACAACTTCGTAGACATTTGACACACAAGCCCAAACCGGAATTAGGAACCAGGGAGACTTAAACGCCGCCTGTTAAGTCATAACATATAGACTATGTCGGCACCTTCATGTTAACTTTGACGACTTCGGTGCAATGAGGACCACAACCACGGGAGCGGCGGCGGTGCCTTCCTCCTCTGCAGCTCCTCCGCCGCTGCCTTGTACCCGCCCCGGCGCCGGGTTGCCCTCCTTGCCCATTGCAGTCCACCGCACCCTTTGTCGGAAGCGCCGTTACCATTGCACGCGTGCGCAATACCACTCAGCAAGCCAAGCATGGACAGCTGCGCCAAGTGTTTCGTCCGACAGCCGCACAACGCGGGGACCCCAACTCCTTCAGGGCGCCAACAATGCTCCCAGCATCGTCGCCACAAGAGCAGTTGCCCCCGTCGGCCATGCCGCCAGACACAGTGCCTCCTTCAGTACCAATGCCGTCGGCACCATGCCAAGCGGCATCCATACCACGGCGACCCACATCGACATTTCCTCCAGCCGCGAAACAGTCCTCACAATTGACCAACTTATGACACTAGAAAACGTGAAACGTCGCAAAATTGAGCGCCTGGAGCGGCTTCTGGGAAGCCGCCCCACCTCATCCATCCCAACATCCCCACCACAGCCAGCGTCACCGCTACGACAGGGGCTTCAGCTACAGACTGCTGGTAGCTTCTGGAGGCCAACACGTACGACATTACCCCCGTCAGCACCCTCATCTCCATCGAAACCGCCAGCCATGCCGACACCGCCCACCGCGACCACCACAAAGGAAACCCCTGCGCCCCGCCTTGAGCCCCGGCCTCGCGCCACCTCCCCGCTCACCGGCCCCGCCAGCCTACACCTTCAACTCGTGCAGCAGGCAAAAGCCGCAGCACTGCCTCAATCCCCACCCGCGACGGCAACAGCGGCAACCCAGGCAAAGTCGCCTCCACAACCGCAACCCCAACAGCAGCACCAGCCGCTTAGGCAGCCGAGGCCGCAGCCGCCGCCTCCCGCTGCAGCTCCCGCGGGCTCGGGTGCCCAGGCCACCGCAACCCGGTTTCGGAGCTCCATGCTGTGGGACGCGACATCCCCCTCCCCGACGGTGCTGCCGCTGCCTGCATGGGCGCCCCGGCTGCCTCCGCGGGGCAGCGCACCGGCGGCAGGAGGAGCAGGTGCGGCAGCCACTCCACCACCAGGAACGGGAGCAGCAGCTATTGGGGGCGGTGCACTGCACGGGACACCGATATCCGGAGCGGCGGGTCTGGGTCCCTCCAGCCTGCACCTGCAGTCCGTCCAACGAGCCATGGCAGCGGCACGGCAGTGGCGGGGGGCGCTCCCCCCGGCTGCTGCCCCCGCTGACGTCAGCAACCAGCTGGGGGATCTCCGCCTGGGACGCCGACCCAGATCCCGGGCCGGAGCGGCTGGAGGAGCGGGACGCCGGCGGCGGTTTCAAGCAGGAGAGCCCCGCAGCGGCCTACCGGTTAGCACCGCAGCGGCTGGTCGCGGCTTAGCAGCTGCGGCGGACGCACCATCTGAGGGGGAGGGTGTTGCAGCCGTGATTGACCATTCCACAGCAGCAGCAGCAGCGGCCGGGGGTGGTGAGGGCTCCGAGGGCCCTACCCTACCTCGTCCCTGGCAGCGCCTGCAGTCACACCAGCTGCGCGGGCGCGGGCAGGCGGGTCGCCCGGCGCTCAGCGGAGGCAGCGGTGGTACCAAGGGCGCATGGGCGGGGCTTCGGGAGGCTCTGGGCTTGGACGTGGGCTTGGCCCGGCGGTCGGGCGAGGTGATGGAGGCTCCTGGCGAGGAGCAGTGCGGGGCCGAGGGGGCGCCGACGTCACCGCAGCAGCAGCAGCGGACGGAGCAGCAGGCGCACGAGGAGGTGGGGGAGATGGACGCAGCGGTGGCGGTTGGGTCCCTGCTGGCGCACGACGGAGCGGCGGTGGCCACCGGGGAGGAAAAGAGGTCGAAGGAGGAGGTGAAAGAGGAGACGTCGGGGGTGCAGGAAGCTGGGACAGCAGTGGGCGGCGGCAGTGGGGACTTGGCAGCGGCTGCTCCGCCGGCGGAAGAGGCGGTTGGCGCAGTGCACTCGGCTGCTGCCGGTGCACCTGCGCCGCTGGGGGTAGTCGGCGGCCCAGATGGGGCAGTAGCAGCAGCAGGAGGGTTGGACGGTGAAGGCGCTGCGCTCTTGGAGGAGGTGGAAGAGGGGGATGCGGCAGTGGCGGAGGAGGTGGGGGTGAATGCGTTGGCGGCGGCGGCGGTGGAAGCTGCTGCCGCCAGCGCGCAGGTGGCAGCGGTAGCGGCAGGGGTGGGGGTGAAGCCGGCGGCGGAGGTAGGCGCAGCTGACGCGGCGAGGGCGGCGGCGGCAGGGAAGGTGCAAGCAGCAGCAGCAGCAACGTCGGCTGTGGCGGAGGAGCTATCAGTACCGGATGCGCCAGGTGCTGTGGGTTTGACAGCCGGTGACAACGCTCCGCTGGCGGCAGAGGTGGCTGGGGGAGCTGTGGCAGAGGCCGCTGCGAGGGGGATGCTGCGGCCAGGCAGCAACGGCGCCGCTACTGCCACTCCTAAGACTGCTGCTGGTGCTGCTACTGTTGGTACGACAGCTGCCGACCTGCCGTCGCTGGACCGTCAGCGGCTTGTGTCTGTCGTACTAGACAGCGCACGGGAGGCCCTCCTGTCCACTCCTGCCGTACCTCGCCTTGTGGATCAGACCCTGCTGCGACCGCGGCCGCAACGCAGGACCCCCCCTGGAGCCCCACCACCCGCCGACGCTGCTGCAAGCGTACCTGCTGCTACTGCCGCCGCCCCGGTTGCCGTACCGCCAGCACCGCCAGCCCCGTCAGCAGCAGGGACCGGCGCCTCCGTCTCCCCTGCAGTTGTACCTTCGGGGGGGCTCTCATACGCCCCTCAAAGCAGCGCAGCTACGTCGCCCGTTACCCTCTATATGCTGCCAGCCACCCGCCTCCTCCACCCGCACCCGCCACCTCAACCCCTCTCTCCTCCTCTTCCCTGCCCCGCACCCTCCCCGCCCCCGCCTCCGCCCCCCCGCACCGACGCCTCCGACCCCGCCCGCCTGCTGTCCCCCCGCGACCTCACCACCTCCCTGGTCGGTGCCCCCTCCTGGGTGCAAGTGGCACAGCTGGTGCACCGCTGGCCCGCGCAGCTCAACGAGATCAGCGTCACGGCGGCGCTCAAGCGACTGGCGCACTGCTGCACCCCACAGGTGAGAGGGGAGCAGGCAGGGGGGGTGGGAAAGAAATTCCAATGCGTGGTGTGATAGTGGCGGGGGGGGGGACAAAGACCATACCAAACCAGAGGAGACCACAAGTTAGGGCAAAGCAATGGGGGTAGGAGTTGGGGGGGGGGGAGGGTAGCGGCGCGTGAAGGGCCCAGGGTGGTGTGATAGTGGCGGGGGTTGTGGGTTGTAATGACTTCTGCTGAGGTGTCTGCTCATGCATGTCAGACATTGGTACCGCAACTGCTTTTCATGGCGCGGTATCCTTGAATGCGCACCTCATCCCTGCGCATTGCCTCGCATCCCAACCCCTCCTCCCTACCGCCTTCCCAACCCACCCCCCTCCTCCACCCAGATGCTGGACCCCGCCCGCTCCGACAGCTCGGCGCTGCTCAGCATGATGCAGCACCTTTGCTTCCAGGTAGGGGGCGTGGGTGGATGGGTGGGTGGCGACACGTGCGTGCGTATGTTAAAATAACTGGCCGCGAGGCGAAACGTACTGTGATTGTGATTGTGATTGTGTGTACCGGTATGGGTGTGCAGTCCGTGCGGCGCTTACTAGTCATTGCAATGTGGACTGCTTCCAAGCTTCCAACCCCCGCCCTCGCCCTCACCCTCACCCCCCCCCAGGTGGACCAGCACCTGCCCCGCATGCGCCCCCGCGAGCTCTCCCAGGTGCTGTGGGCGCTTGCCTCGTTAGGCTACTACCCGCCCCCCGGCCTGGCTGCCCGGCTGGTGTCGGGCCTGCAGGCGCAGCTGCCCGCAGCCAACTCGCTGGACTGCGCGCAGGCGGGCTGGGCGCTGGAGCAGCTGGGCTGGCCGGCGGGGGCGGGGCTGGTGGGCGGGCTGTGGGAGAGGCTGCAGGTGGGGGCGGGGGGGGGAAGTAGTCGCAGCTGTAGGGTGCTGCTGCGTTTTCAGCAGGGTGCGACGGGGAGGAGGAGGAGGAGAGGGTTGTGAAGCCCCTATCCTACAGGTTTTACCGCAGAACAACCTACACAGAGCTTTCTGGGGTTGCAATTGTGCCAGTCCGCAGCCCACATTCGTTCCCCTGCTTACCTCTCCGGCTGCCCCCAACCGCGCTGCCCCCTTCCTCTCCTCCCCCTCTCCCTCCCCTCTTATCCCCCCCCCAGGCCTGCCTGCCCCCCGACCGCCCCGGCGCTCGCAACCTGGTGGTGCTGCTCAACAGCGCCTCCAAGATGGGGCTGCAGCTGGGGACGCAGCAGGTGGGGTGGGGGAGTGGGGGTGCGAGGGTTGGGGTAAGGGGGAAAAGAGGAAAGCGATTTCGAGAGGAGCGGGGGACGGGGACAGGGGATGACACCGCGCCTATCCTGTATGGCCGTCAAACCCGTTCCCCGGCCCATTCCCTCACCCGCCCACAACCCCCACGCCCTCTCACCTCCTCCCTCTCCGCCTCTCTACCTCCGCCCCTGCCCCCCTCCGTCCGCCAGTTGCTGCAGCTGGAGCAGCAGCTGCGGCAGCTGACCCCGCTGATGAGCGGGCAGGACGTGGCGAACGCCCTCGCCTCGCTTACCCGCCTGGCCATGCACCCCGCAGCAGCAACAACGGTAGCAGCAGCACCGGCAGCAGCAGCAGCAGTAGCAGGGCCCGCACCGGCAGCAGCAGCAGGGCCGGCAGCGGCGACCGCGAAGCCTGCAGCAGCGCCACCCCCACCACCACCCTCACCCTCGGAGGTGGGCCGAGCGGAGGAGGGGCGCCTGCTGGCGCAGCAGCGTCAGGCGCTCCGGCGTCTGCAGCAGGCGGAGGAACAGGCAGGAGCAGGAGCAGCAGGCGGAGGAGGAGGACAGCAGCCCCAGCAGCTGTCGAATGGGCCGCAGCCGCGGCCTTTGCCACCCCCGCAACCGTCTTCACCGCAGCCGCAGCAGCAGGAGCCCCAGCAGCCGCAGCAGCAGCGCCCGGCCCCGCAGTCGCCCCCCGCGGCTCACCGGCCGCCCGCTGCCCCCCCGTCCTGGCGGCCACATCCGGACACACTGCGAGTGCTGCTCATGCGGGCGGCACAGCTGGTGGGGCTGAGGGGGGTGGGGTTGGGGGGGCCGGGGTGGGGCTGGTGGGGCGGAGAGGGGGTTGGTGGTAAGGAGGGATACAGAGTGGATAAGTGGGTGAACATAACGGCGGCTGGAACGTCGCACCCGTCATGGCATTTTCCGGTATCTTCCTGCGGCGTCCTATGGCCATCCAACCCTTTCCCTCCCTTCCCTCATGAGTCGGGATATGGGATTGGGATTCGTTGTTTCACTTATATTATTTTTTTCCTTCCCTCATCATCCTCTTCCCCTCCTTCCCCTTTTTCCCTCTCTGCACCCCTCCCGCTCCCGCATCAACGCATGAACCTTCTTCTTCTCCAACCCCCGCCCCCCTCCCCAGCTCCCCTCCCTGCGCGGTGACGAGGTGGCCAGCCTGCTGTACTGCCTGGCCCGACTGAGGTTCAGTCCGCCCGAGGAGCTCACGGAGGCACTGCTGAGGTGGGGAGGGGTGGGGCGAGGGGAGGGGTGGGGAGGGGGGTGGGGACTTAGTGCGCATGGGCCGAAGTAAGGGGGCGGGGGGCCGGGGGGACTGGCGCCGCTGTGCAGGGTGGGTCAGAGATTATCCCGAACCATAGGGAATCCACAAGTTGGGGCAAAACTGGCGCCGCTGTGCAGGGTGGGGGGTTGACGCCGGGCTTATAGCCATGCGACGGCACGCGTGACAAGAACTCTCCCACTCCTCCGGTATACTACGGTTAGGATCGATATTTCTCGCGTCCCAGCTTACACTAATTCCCCCCACCCCACCCCGCGCCCGCCCCCGCAGCCGCTTCTCCGCCCAGCGCACCCAGTGCAGCCCCGCAGCCCTCTGCATGGCGCTGTGGGCCGCCGCCCGCCTGCCCCGCCGCCCGCACCCCTCCTGGCTGGCGGCGCTGCTGGCGCAGACGGGCCACCGCCTGCCCGTGCTGACACCCTCCATGACCTGTACGACACTGTACGGCATGGCGAGGCTGCAGCGGTCGTACTGCGGGCGCGGGAGTACGAAGAAGGGCGAGAATAACCACCATGGCAACGGTACCCCTGCGTACAACGAGGTTGGGAGTGGGAGCAGTGGTAGCAGCACTGGTAACCGCAGTAGCAGCAACGGCGATGGCGGCAGCGGTGTGCGTGAGAGTAGCTACCGGCATGAAGACGCGGCTATCAGGAGTGACATGGGCGCTGCTGCTCGGGAGGCGCAGCCGTCACAACAGCAGCAACCACCTCGGCTGCAGTCCCAGCCCCCGCGGCTGCCGCCCTGGCAGTCCCCCCGCCTGGTGGTGGCACTGGCCTCCCGAGTGGCGGAGCAGCTGCCCGCCTTCTCACCCCAAGAGGTGGCCAACACGGCGTGGGCGGTGGGCTACATGATGCCTGTGGTGGTGGCGGCGGCGGCGGCGGTGGACGCGAGTCAGGAGGCTGCGACAACGGCTGCGGCGCTGCTGTCTTCCTCCTCGTCGGCGTCGCCGTCGGCGTCAGCACCCTCGTCGTCGGCTACTGCTCCGCCGCCGGCGTCTTCAGCAGCAAGTAGCAGTGGCAGTGGAGCGACCCATGGGTCATCACGGGGTAAAAGAGCACCTGCAGGGCAGCGACCACGATGGTGGCAGTCAAAGAAGGCTAAACAGGGAGGAGGCAACAGGGCGGCGGCGGCAGCAGCCGCAGCAGCGCAGAGCTCGGCAGCAGCGGCGGTAGCTGCTTTGTGGCCCGCCCTTGTGGGCAGGGTGCGGGGTCTGGGCTTCCGGGCCTTCACGGCGCAGGGACTGGCGAACACGCTGTGGGGTCTGGCGGTGCTGAGCTGCAGCGAGGAGGTGCCTGTGCTCGCTGCCGTAGGGAAGACTGCCAGCAGCTGCAGTGCCGCGGGCGGGGGTGGCGCTGGTGGTGGTGGTGGTGGTGATGCTGCTGGCTCCGGCGGCGCTCCTTCTCAACCCGGGGCGCGGGTCAAGGAGAAACGCTCCCCCGGGGTGATGGCGCCCAGGGTGCAGCAGCGGGTGGTGGTTCAGAGGCGCCGAGTGCCGGTCGTGAGCCTCTTGCTGGGTTCCGAGCCTGACATGACTGCAGCCACAACAGCTACGACTACAGCAGTTATGAATACGACAGCTACGATTGGGACAGGATTAGCAACTTCCTCCCTTACCTCCTCCTCCTCCGCATTATCATCATCAGCAGCAGCAGCACCTGCAGCATCCGCATCCGCAGCATCCGCAGCAGGGAGCGGTTTCCTGCCGCCTCCGCTGGACTTGTCCGCCGCTCTCGAGGCGAGCTTGCACGACATGAACGAGCGGGAGCTCAGCATGGTGCTGTGGGCCCTGTGCCGCCTCCGCTGGCAGCCCCCAAGCCAGTCCTGGCTGCAAACCGCCGCCGCGCGCTGCTGCCGGATGCTGCATGCCATGCCCCTGGAAGGACTGTCGGCGTTCGTACACGCAGTTACATGGCTGAGGCCGCTGCGGTACACGCCCTGCGGTCCGGAGGTGAACGCGATGATGGATGAGGTTCTGGCCAGGTTGGCTGGGATTCAAAGCAGGCGCGCCAGGAACGGGCTGATATCCCGACTGAACCTCATGCGGTCTAGGGTGCAGCAGCAGGAGCGTGTGCTGGCGGCGCGGAAGGCCAGGAAGATTGCCCGGGCGCTGAAATATGAGAGGCGCGCGAGGGCGCGTTGGGCGACGCTATGGCGGGTGGCGCAGCGTGCGGCGGTGGCGGCGGAGATGGAGCAGCGGGGCCGGCGGGGGAGTTGGCAACGGCAGGGGATGCGACGGGAGGAGGGAGGCGGCAGGTGTGTGGGGCCGGTGGGTGCGCTTCCCGGAGCTGTCCGCGGGCGCATGGGAGCGAGGGAGGCCCCCCCTGCAGCACCAGCAGTACGGCAGGCGGCCGCGTGGGCAGCGCGGGGGAGGGGAGGTGGCGCAACGGGTGCGGTACATGGGCCGGCGGCGGCAGGAAGAGGGGCTTGGGTGGAGAGGAAGGGGGAGGGCAAGGGCACGCCGTTGCGGCACGGCAACGGCACACCAGCCCGGCGACAGCAGCCACCACAGCAGCAGCCGCGGGAGCGGCCACAGCAGCAGTCACAGCAGCGCCGCTTGCACCCGCAGCAGCAGGCCCAGCAGCAGGCCCAGCAGCAGGTGCAGCAGCAGGTGCAGCAGCAGGTGCAGGCCCAGCAGCAGCAGCAGGTGCAGGCAAGGCAGCGGAAGAAGGCTGCGGGGACGGAGGCCGTACCACGACCTCCCCTTGCGCCGGCAGCGAGGAGTGGGGCCGCCGACACCACCAGCAGCGGCAGCGGCAGCGGCGGGGCTAGGGGAGGCGGTGTCGGCTGGGAATAGAGGGAAGGAAAGGCGGTGGATTAACGCCAGGGAAGGTCGGGGCGCAGGTGCAGGGCCCAGGCCAGGGGAGGTGTCGTGAGGTCTTGTCGAGCCGCTTGTAAGGCGGACGCGTCGTGTGTTGCCGGGAGCCGGCTGCGGTGTTGGGGTGGTGCGCTGGCCTCCTGCTGCGCAGTGGTGGCACGGCACCGTGGCAGGAATCCCGGGACTGGTAGTGGGGATACCTGCGTCATTACGCGATTCCAGCAACCCCTCGCCGCCCGTATGTGCTGTGTTTTGTACGCTTGAGGCACCACCATGGAAGCGGTGCTGTACTAGTTGCGAACTGGGTTTTAAAGCAGTTTAATGGGACGTATGCCGTACGTTATCCTGCCGTGCCATATTGGCAACACGGCAGTCGTGTGACCCCGTGCAACCGTATTGTTAATCACTGGGGTGGGGTGGGGACGGCTGTGCGTGGAGGAGGGGTGCACCGGGATCATCTGGGTCTAGCACTGGCGCCAAGCCGCGCTGCTCTGTCCCTCTGGCTGTGTTGCTGCCCCCAGGGTGGCCTACCTGACTCTTTTGCAGACCTGCGACTTTAGGGTTGGGTAACGGACCACTGCACGACACTGTCGATGAGGGGTTTTGTTGTAGGACCTTTCGAGCTCAAGACGGATGCCGTCGCGACCGCAGACCGGCTGTGTGTTTAGGACAGTGCTCGTGTCCCAAGGGTGGGGCATTCCCGCCGTGCGGGCACGGCACGGACTGGAAGCCGTTATTGCGTCCGTTGTTGCTGATGAGGAGTCCGCCGCGGATTGCTGTAGCGTTTGTTGGTTTGTTACCGTGCATGGTGTATTGGTGTTCATGGTGCAAGGCTGCGCTCGAAAGTGACCGGCGTCGAGCTGGCCCTGTATTGCTATACACTCTTACATAGCGACTTGTGCGAGCCGCAACTGTCAACGGATTGTCAATGCCACATGCCAAAGCATAATCTTTAGCAGGATCGCGGCCCTTCAAAAAGTTACGCCGGTTAGCTAGCTAGTGAACACGCAATAGAATGCCGCGGTACGTACGTGTGGTGCGTGCCGCGTATTAAAAGGTTTCGGGGAAAGTTGTAGAGCGCAGCTTGCAGATGTTGATTGAGAAGATGGCAGGCTGCTACTGGGCATGGCATCTGATGATGTTGATGAAGATGAACGCAGCGTCCATAGGATTATTAGACGCGCTTGGTTGCCTGGGTGCTGTGGTCAGTCTATCTGTCCGGTTGGAAGAAAAGAGGTCGAGTTGTCACTTGTCAGTGTACCATTATACGCTGCCCTTGACGCATATGCCATCGTGCGCAGTGCCAGTGCCAGGCCCTGTAAGCGTGGTAGTTGAGAAGCATCTTGGCAACAGACCGTACCGCGCCGCTCAATTCCTAGCAGCCCCAGGCCTCCCGCCACCTACCTAGCCCGCGGGTTCCAACTCCACCCTGCGATGCAGGGGTGTGTGGAGCTAGACGCCCCTCCCGAACACGCCACCGTCATCCGCTAATCCCCCTACCGTCATCTACGCAGCCAACTACCCGGGGAATAGCGCCCCCGGTGTGACATTCCTCCTAATCACACTTCTGACTTATTCGGCGTAACGGCCGGGACAGGCAAGACCAAAATTGGTTATGCCATCTCACTCGTATATGTCAAAATCATGCAGCCGACGTCTGCATGCGTGCGGCAAGCACCGTCTCAATACACATGCGTTTCCTGGAAAATAACAATGCACAGTCGCCCTGCTCTGTCCCCTCGTAGTGAAGCTATCCAAGTGCGTCCGCTTCTCCCTCCCTCTTTCTCTCTTTCTGTCTCTCTCTCTCCCAGCGGCAGCAGCAGCCACAACGCAGCTATGCATGTTGCACGGCCAAACACGCACTACGCAATGCCGTCCTTGAAGAAACTGTCGTACGTCGTGCGTCCCTCTGCAAGCAGGGAGGTCCAAGGGTTACCAGGGTGGGACGCATGGGGCAATGGTTTTGGAAGGGAGGGGATGGTGGGTAGCACAAGACATGACAGGCACTACACAGCAGCTCACATCCCTCCACATCTTAACCTCCTACAAACCCGCCCACCCCGTCCCTCCCGCACCCGGTTGCACCCACCATCGTCCACCAGCCCCAACCTCCTCAGCCGCCGCTCCTGGTAGTACACCAGCCGCTTGAGCTGCGTGGCGCGGCGGTCCTCCATGTAGCGAGCCAGGGCGTCCAGCGACTCCATCTCACCCAGCCGCACCTGGGGGCTCGGGGGGGGAAAAAAGAAATTCCAAAGTGTGGTGTGATAATGATATAAGTTCGGGGGGGGGGATGGGAGTGGGGATTGGGATTGGGTAAAGCGGTAAACTGATACGCGGGATGGGGAGGGAACGAGAACGAGGCATGGGTCGAGAGGGGAGGAACAGCATGGCGGCCGAGGAACACGTACAAGCAGCAAGCGCAAGGAACGAGGAGGATTGTCAAAAGGTGTGGCTGGCACTGGCACAGCGTGCACGGGTTGGTGTGTATGGTAACCTGGCGTAGTCGTCGGTTGCGTGGTCGTCAGGATGGTGAGTAACCGTTCCACCACCTGCACCCCTCCCTCCATCCCTCCACCTCCTCCATCTCACCCTAAGAGCCGCCTCCCGCCTGCTGTCGCCGCTGCTGCCTCCGCCACCGCCCCCCCGCAGCAGCGCCACGTCCGCCTGCAAGCTGCCGCCGTAGCCCGCCAGCGCCGCCCGAGCGCCCCCAGCCAGCGAGCTACAAACCGCCTCCTCGTTGGCCGCACTCACCTGACGGTGGGGAAGCGGGGAAAAAGAAGAATTCCAAATGCGGTGGGGAAGGATGGCAGAAAAGGAAACGCACGGAGGCAAGTTACTCCGGCGAAGGAGAAAAGCGGGACGAGGAGCAAGAGGGGGAGAGGAAGCGCCCGCAAGCGCACACCCCCCACGTGCCCCATCATGCCGCCTCACCACCTCTGTGTTGCCTTCCACCACCCAACCCAGCACACAAACACGCTCAACCCGCCCCCTCCCCCTCCCTCACCGGCTCCTGCATGTAGCCCCACACGTCGCTCCGGAACACCGACTCCAGCAAGAACACGTCGCCACCTGACACCAGGACAGGGGGGGAGGGGGGCATGAAGGAAGGCGCAGGGCAGAGGAGGTGCAACAAGGTATAAAGCCAGGCAGGGTCCAATAGCTATGGTCCCTTACTAACGAGTAATTCACAACCCTATTCCTTAGAACTAGTGACTTGGCGGCGCGGCACATGTCTCACTATCCGCGGCGGTTTCTACCCTCACGCTGTTTCATGCCGCTGGTAAGCAAGCAATCGGTAAGTCGCAGGATTGCGTGTTTTCTTGGAGTAGAGTCTGCTTATGCGCTCCCTGCGCGAGTCGGGCCATGGGACTGTGCTTCACTTCTCATTCCGTTCCCCCTCCCTCCCGACACCCTCGACCACTTCGGTCCCCCCAGCCCATCTTCTGTCCTGCTGCCGCCCTCACTCCCCCCCTCCAGGCCCCACCTGACAGGTGCTGCAGCCGCAGGAAGGCCATCACCTCGGGTCCGGGCGGCTCGTCAGGGGTCAGCGAGCAGGTGAGGCTCTGGCGCAGGCCGTTACTCTGGAAGCAGGAGGAAGGGCACGAGGGGCAGGGTAAAAAAGAAATTCCAATGTGTGGTGTGATAATGATACAAGTTGCTAACAATCCCTGGTGGAAACAACCGTGAATCTAGCCGAAAAGGTGGTTAAAGCAATGCGAGGGCAGGGGGGAGGGGCGGGATGTGGAGAGCACAGGAGGGGCACCAAGGTGCGATATGCAGCTGAACATGAACAGCAGGTCACAGCGAAGGGGTACCGCCCTATCACCCCCCCCCCCGGAGGCGGCCTCACCTCCAGTATGTCCAGCTTGTCGTCCAGGAATCTATCGCTGTCTGGGATGCTGAGGGTCAGGCTGTAGCCCGGCTGCACGGCAGGGTAGCCAGGAGGGGAGGGGCCGGGCGGCAGTGTCAGCTTGCTGGACAAAAATGGGGGCTGAGCACGCAGCAGCCTCACAAGACAGAGACCGGGTCACTAACATTCCTTTGCCGTGCTGCGACAGTGCTATGTTTTATGTCCACTGAGAGATTGTCTGCTGGATCTCCAGGTCTAGGTGACTCGCACATCCATTAGCATCAAGGGTTGCAAGTAAGCATCCCCGATCCCCCAGGGCTTCCACGCCAGGGCCCAAGCCGGCGTTGTTGCCAAAGGGCCCAGGGAGCCCCACCCACCCACCGACCCATGGGCCACCCACACATGCGCTGGTGCAAGCCTAGGGACACACAGGGCCCTACAAAGTGACTAGCACTAGCACTGGCACTAGCACTGGCATACCGGCACTCGTTTCCTGGCAGCCCAGCCCCACCCTCGGGCTGTCCCGGTCCATGACCCCGAAGTCCAGAAGCACCCCGCCGTCCAGCTTGTCGGGCGCAAAGTCCAGGGAGAGGGTCTCGCCCTTGCGGATGGACCTGCAGGCAGGCAGCCATCAAGTGATTCATGTCGCCCAAGAAGAGGTTTTGTTCACGTTGTGCCATCATGAGGAGCAGTACAGAATGTACGAGCAGCAGTACAGGGGTTGGCGGAGCCGGGTTTTCATGGGTGATGGAACATGTACCGGTATGAAGAAGGGAAAAAACGAGCTCGCTTTCGTATCAGTGTATAAATGCGGGTGGATTCCCTCCTCCACCCTCCTCCCCCTCCCTCCGGCCCCCTGCCCTGCCCACCTGCTCGCCTCCAGCACCAGCACCCGGCCCCGACCGAACAGCCCCGCGGACCGCACTGCCAATCGCGTGTTGGCGACGCGACGGTGCGATACCTGGGGGCATTGGGGGGGAAAGGGGGATAGAGCTCGAGGAGAGGAGGGGGACGAGTGACTTGCGAGGACGAAGAGGATCGTGGGAACGTGAGCCAGTTGGGGAGCAGCTGAAGCGACAACACATCCAACCCGCACAGGCATCTCTTGTCATAAACCACCACGCCGTAGTACAACTGTCGTACGCCTATAATTGAAAATCGTGTCGTACCAGATCCGCCACCGGCACCAGTGCGATCTGCTCGCCGTCCAGGGGCGGGTGGCTGCGGCCGCGCACCGCCGCAACCGCCCACAGGAACTGCGGCCAGGTGAAGACGGAGGGCGGGAAGGCGGCGGGGTGCGCCGCGAAGAGGCCGGACTGCAGCTGTTGGAAAGTGGAGCGGAAGAAGGTCCTGCAGGATCGGGGAGGCAGGGTCCGGACATTGTGGTACAGTCGCGGAGGAGAAGGGAGAGGCAGGGGTTTCGGGAGCGCTGGTGCATTCAGGGAGAGGGAACAGGAACTTGGGAGCACTGCATGGAGAACACGGTTAGGAGACGCATATTTTGCGGCGGGGGGGGGCAGAAGCAATTCACTCCAAAAACGCTAATCCGGGGGATCGCTGCTGAGCTGCTGGGAGTCGAAGAGATACTCACATGTAGCCGTTCAGCGTCTGAAGTACCTGCGTGCCCTGCAGTTCCCGCAGCTCATCGTCACTCCACAGCAGAGGTGTTCCGAGGTCCTCAGGTATGCTCTCCACGTAGGGCGATAACTCTGACTTTGAGCTCCCAAAGCGGTCCGCAACTAGTTGCAGCGCGAGCTGCAGCCATGGCTCGAGACCGGCAGCGGATGCAAGCTTGCCAACTGAAGTTTTCTTAACACTTTCTACGGAAATCCATGCTGATTCAGGTACCGAGATGAGGACATCCCCTTGGTTTGCGTCTGTTGATGCGACAAGGAGCGGCTGGTCGTCCTGCAAGTTTGAGGAGACGGATGCGCGCTCCAATTTCGCTCCGCGACTTGTCGCCCACGAGATAGCCGCATTCACGGATTGTTTGCTAACAACCACTGATGCAGCGCAGCATGCTAAGCGCGCTGATCGCCTGCAAGTCGACCGGCGAATCCCCACCGCACGGCCAGGCACATGGGCCTTAAAGGCTTGCTGCATTTGGATTGGCTCTATTAGTGGTAGCGGTTTACAGCTAGTTGATAGGCGATGAACGATACAAAGAGCTGCCTTACTTCCTACAACACGGGACAAAGCGCTGATAAGTTCATACAATTCTTTCTCAAAGCAAATAGCTTTCGAATTGGGTACTACCAGACGAAATTTAGGCGGTGGAAGGAACCAACGAAGGGCGCAACACTCTTTGCTGTACAGCATCTGAGTTCCGCACAGCACAGCACTACGCCATAGCCCTGGTGAGATGAGCAGGTTTTGCAACCCCTACTCCACGAAGCATAGCATACGCACAAACTGATAACGTGCTCCAGCATTCCTCGCCTGATACCACTTACGTCCCTGCACACCAGTGAAGCTTGCGTCAGCTGCTACCCAAGCCAGGCCACAGGTAGCCGCGCACCCCACCCTTGGTGCACCCTCACTTTGCGGCAACTGTACGGCGTGTCGCCTCCATAGGCAGCTGCTCGCCTCCATCGCGTTCACATTCGCAGTCCTTCATAAGACTTGTTGAACTCCCCTGCACTGCACCGTTGCATCCCCTCGCCCAACCCAGGCACACCTCAGCGCCAAACGCCCAACCCCGCGGGCTCCCAAGCAAGCTGGACAAGAATTGCGTCTGCAGCTAAGGTCTCCATTACCACCTAGTCCCACCCAGTCAAGCACATGGCTATGAATCCCCGGCACTTTCAAAAAGCCACCCACTCGCACGTCACAGCAATAAATCTTGCATACGAGAAACCGTCAGAGAAACCATCGCCAGGACATCCTCCAACGCAAGCCACGCATCCATCCCCCCGCCAAACCCTATACCCCACGTACCGTACATTGCGCAAACACAGGGACCCATTGCTCCACGCATTGCCCTTGAAGTCGTTGGTCGCGGTGCATTGACAGGGCACGCGTTAACCAGGTAGTGCTACCCACGCCATGGCGTTGCATTGGGTGCAGTGACACGAACCGCCCCAAGACAGCACCCGCGAGTAGCCAACCCAACATGCACCCAACCTGCGCACACCAGGGAGATCCGCATGGCCGTAACTCGACCTTCTAACACACGGTGTCGTGTGACAAGGGATTCAGTCATCACATGCCCAATGTTCGCCAAACCAAGGTCCGCTGCGGCGGGACAGAGGCGCTGTGGCAATGAGGCGTAGAGAGAACCCAAGGAGGGCGATAAATAGAGAGGAGGGTCATCGGAAAACCGCATAACGAAAACAAAAGGAGAGCAAGTTATGGCTCGTTGCGTGTATTTCAATCGCAGCTGCTTCCAGCACATTGTCGAAGCGCTGGTGTGTGCATGATCGCACGGTGTTGGTTGCATTGCCGCCGCCGCCACCTGCCAGTATCCCAATCCGCAGTGCAAATGATGGCTTTAGGATTATCGCTCCTGCCAGAGCTACTGCACATCGCACCCCAGCCAGGTCTTCTACGGGTCACGGTCAGCATATAACCGCGGCTCAGTTCCAATCCCCGCCCCAGCCAGGATCTCGCCCCTCCACTGCACGCTTTCCTCCTTCCACCCCGCTCCTGCTCACGCTTCAGCGCTAATCAGGCACATCCGCCCTCGAACCTGTCTCCTCGATGGCCAAGATAAGAGCAATCCCATTACACCCTACCCTATCGCGCACGCCACCTCCAGCCTATACCCGTTGCCCTAACTTGCGACTTCGTACGGTGGAAGCCTCTGACCCCAGCCACAGGTGCCCGGTGCCCCTGGTCCCACCGCCCCGCTCGCAAGCCCGTCAACCCGGCAGCGCTGCTGTGCCGTTGCTGCCGCTGTTACATTGGTATCCTTGTTGTTGTTGTTGCTGTATATGAGATTGCTGCTACTTCAATGATGCTGGTGTTGATGTCCTAGTTGGCGTTGTTGTTGTTGTTCCTGCTGCTGCTGCTGTTGGTGTCCTGGTAGGTGTTGTCGTCACACCGCCCGAAAAGGACGAGGAGGCGAGCTGCAGGCGGCTGCCCGGCGCGGCTGCAGACCCGGGTCCCGGTACCATCGCTTGGGACCCGGTAGGGGTGGCAGTGCTGCTTGTGTTAGGAAGCGAGGAGCGCGCTAGCAGCGATGGTGGGTGCGGCAGCGGTAGGGGTGGTGGTGGCGGCAGGCCGGCCAGAGACGGCGGCAGGCCCCGGGGATCAGGGGAGGACACGGTTGAAAGAGGTGCTGTTGGGGTGGAGGTGGTGGTGGCGGGAACCGGAGGGCGCGTTGGGGTGGCGGCAGGGGATGCAGGGGAAACACGACGCAGGGGTGAAGCCATGGCGGGTGAAAAGTGCGGAGGCGGCGGCAGCGGAGGCGGCGGCCCTAGCGGTGACGCTGGAGCTGCCGCTGCAGCCAGGCTGGGACTCCGAGAGCTCATTGGGCTTCCGCTGCTGGCAGCTGCTGCTATTGCAGCGTTGGCAGCGACGACGACGGAGGGCATGGGTACGGCAGGATGCCGTACAGGAGCCGTGTGCGACCCGGTAGACTGCGGACGCATAGTCGCGAAAACAGGAGGTGCAGCAGCGGCAGCGATAGTGGGCCCCGAGGCGACGACGGACCCATGGGTCACTGGCGACGCGGCCGACGTGGGACGCGGCGCAAGTGCTGCGGGAGGTACAGCCGGTGCTGCTGTTGCAGTGGCAGCAACATGTGCTGCTGGTCCTTCGGCTTGGCGATGAGTTGCTGGGGCCCTTTGGGCCGCAGCAGGCCTAATAGGTGGAGACGCCGGAGGGGTCGACCCAGCAAGGGATGCGGCCAGGGGATGCGCAGGACTCGATGTCATCGCAACGGCAACAGCAGCAGCTGCCGGAGGGCCAGCGGTCGGGGGTATAGCAAAGCTCACACTCCGACTGGAGCCGGTTGTTCCGCTGTTCGTCCGCAGGTCCGGTGAACGGCGGCCTCCAGAAAAGGGGCATTGTGACCCATGGGTCGCGGGCCGGCTGTTGCTGCCGCTCAGGCCACCGTACATCAGCGCCATAGCAGCGGAAGATGGCGGAGAGGAGGCCAGAGATAGCGGCGGGGAAATCGAGGACCCGGCTGCTGCAGCCGCTGCCGCTGGCCCCATGCTGTTGTGGTTGCTGCTGTTGCTGTGGCGTGCCGAGGCCTGTCGTGCGAGCTCGCGGTCCCTGGCCAGTTGCTGCTGCTGCTCCCTCAGACGGTCCTCCGCGGCCCAGCGCGCCTCCTCTTCGGCGTCCTTGGGTGAGGGAGTGAAGATGACGTCCTGCGGGTGGATGGAAAGCGGGGGCGAAGAGAGGAGCCATGGGGTGGGGTTCCTCAAAAAGGGGGCCCGTGTGGGTCGCGTAGGGCCCAGAGAGACGCCATTTGGGTCGGGCATGAACGCAGGTGGGTCGCGCGGGGGCGCAAGCCGGTATAGCACCACACCAGCAGCACTAAGGAAGCTCCGGCAAACATGCATTTAGGGTTCCAGGACAGGAGAGCATTTCGAGGCGGGTTGCCTGGGGACACCTGGTGTGGCAGGTGCCGATCAGGGGTGGCAAACTCGGCACCAGTCAACAGCGCGGCATGCAGCAAACAGTGACGTTGGGCAGCCTACCTTGAACGGCCGGACCTTGGCCGCCGCCTCCTGTACCAGAGTCTGCAGAGGTAAAGGTGAAGGGGAACGGAGGTTCGGTATAAGTACGGCACACGCAACGTGCTTCGACTCAATCAGGATGGGCGACAATTGGGTAACTTGGCACGCATGCCGAGTTGCCACAAACACGTCCTTGAGCAGCTGTGCCCCGTGCACCGCGCTACACGTGCAGGCATGGCCTGGGCGACTTCCGCCAGTCCAGAATGCAACAACACCCAATTCCCCCTCGCCTTCCTGTCAACCCGCACACCCCTGCATCTCATTTCCTGCTCTCCTCCCAACGCCCGGCCCCTGTCTCAAGCACCCACCTCCGGCGCCCCCAGCTCCCGTAAAGCCTCCTCAAAGTACGACATGCCGAGCTCAAAATCCTCCGGCGAGAAGCCGCGCTGCTTGATGATGCGCAGGTGCGCCACGCGAAGGTGCTTGCCGGTGTACCGCTTTGGGGCGGGACCGAACAGCCAGGTCATGAAGGCGTTCTGCGAGGTCGCAACGGGGCAGGGCAAGAAAAGCACCGATGGCGTGAGAGGCAAGGAGATTAAGACAGGGTGGTATCGGTATGCGATAGAGGGAGCGACAGGGAAGGCAGGGCGGTCAGCCCAAAGCATGGCTTTTGCTAAAATGCATAACGTTTGACTGCAGACTTCTGATAGGCTCGTGCACCACATGTAGGCGATGTAGCCCCCCTCCCAACCCTGTTAACGAGGAAATCCCATGGCGGCCATGGGCGGTGGCTCCCCTAGCTCATGCAGTAGGTCTGGGTTCGTCCTCTCTCACCCCCTTCCCCATGCAAGCCACTGTGCCCAGCACAGCCCCGCGCTGGCCATTGCTCAGCACAGCCCCACCTGCTTGGCTCGGAAGAACACGATGTCGCGGTCTTGCAGGAAGGTCTGCAACTGCAGATGCAAAAGGAGACAGCCCCGGAAAAAGAAGTAAGGAGGAGCAGAGCTAGAAAGCCCGGGAAGGGGCGGTTGGCAAAAGTATGGTGTTGAGGGATGGGGCAGGTTGGGGCGCCATGCCATCACGCAAGCTGGCGGGTGTAGACAGCGTAATGCACCTGCGAGCCCTCGGTATGTAGGACGTACCCGTTCATCCGCGTACATTCTTCGGCAGAACCCCTCCACAACCCGCTTGACCGCGTCGGGGCCGCCCAGACGGTCTAATAACGGGCCCGTTTCGGGAGCCTCGAATACCTGCGCGGAGGGTGATGGGTGTGGGCGGCTTTTCGAGGGTAAGAACTAGGTATCCCATGCCCAACGCCCGGCACCCGACCCATGCAAGGTGATGTGTAGGTAGAAGGTTCCATGGCCGAAGTGCTAGCAAGGTAAGGATGTTTCCATAATGGGAAGCTCAGGGGGAATTGAAAGCAGCAACCCGTGTTCCTTACGGGAAGCCGCAAAGCCGTCAGCAACCGCTAGCAAAAAGCGGAAATCCGCGCAGTGCACTTGCCTTTACAACGCCTGAAGCTTTTAGTTCCTCTTGAGTCTTCTGCCATTCCTCAAAGCCACGAATAGCACCCTGCACCTCCTCCTACAAGCACGGTAAAGTCGCGGTGGTTGACCAAGCATGTTGCGACATGTCGAGGGCCGGATATCCTCACCAAGTCAGGATTACTTATCTAACTATGATCCTTTGCACCGAAATGGCATATATGCTATCCATCTTTGTTTCGTCTGCGACACGGTGCTTTCAAATTATAACCACATCATACCTTGGTTGCGACCTCCGACCATGATCCTGACTGACTCCAGCTGGTACCCATATCATATAAAATGGGTACAGGTTACCCACTGTACTTTTGGTAGAATTGTAGCGGAATACTGTTTTCAAAGCTAGCGCACTCTTGGAAACGGAAGGAACGCTAGGTATGTTAACTTGTAACCTGGTTACATAATCGTAAAGCAGGAATCATTGGTTCAGAGTTCACCATCAGTTGGAAAGACAAAACGGCGTGAGTTGCTGGAAGATTCTAGCTATAAATACTGGTACTTGGCCTTTAAGCTTAGGACTATAGCTGTAAAGACCGCAACCAGCTTGAAGCAAGTGGTATGGAGGGTAGGAGTTGAGCGGCGACCACAGATACCGATTACATGTACGGCCAGTCCCTACCTGGCTGCTGCTTCTACCCGTACCTTAACTGCTCTTTCTCTGCTCGGAGCATACTCAAGTCGTTGCAAGTGGTGACCTCCGTTGTTGAGCCAATGCCCTAGGTGCACTTGCGCGTAACTTTACATCCCATCCACTGCTCATGTAGCAAGCTCCTTGCAGCGAGGCTGCACGGCTACGACGCAGTCGGCAGCAGCATCGCACGCATGTCACTTAAAAGGCACACAGGAGTACCATTTTGCATGAGTCCGGAAAGCCTGCCACCGCACAACCCCCAGGCATCTTCAGGCCTCCCGGCTAGTACCAGCAACCGTCTGCCCACGTATTCCGCCAACCCTTCATACGCCTCACGCCATAGGCACAAATAAATGAAACGCTCACGCGAAACTCTCCACCCTCCACGCTTCTTGGCTCCTCTCCAGCACACACTCTCGTCACTGCCAATGACAATGAAACTGCAGGCAACGGGCAACACATGTCGTCCCTGTCATGTCTTCAACAACACCTCGCCTCGCTCAAGCCACGCCAGCCAGACATACAAGCTAGCAAACCGTATGCTCTTGCAACGATGCGCTCGCTCCACTTTGCAAAGCAACAACCGAGATAATTTCACATATCAATCACGGTTGCGAGTCCGTCGTATTGTGTCGTTGTAATGCTCCCTCGAAAACTCACACGCTCTACGCCTCAGCCAGCCAACCGCACACACCGTCCCCTACCCGATAACCAAAGCAACCTCCTGTACCCATCCTCTTCCTAATCACCCACGTCTTGCATACACCTCACCCCTCGTTTCTTTTCCCATTCCTTGGTGGAGCCTTGTCACGCTGTTACCCTCTTCCTCCTTACTCCCAATCGCACTGGCACGGTCGGGCCCACTAACCCAGACAGGCCGGGCAGACCTCCCGTGGCGCAGTACTTCATTTCAAGCCTTGCTCCGCTCCGTGTCCACCTTGGGGCAGGGCGGCAGCGCGGCGGCCACGCCGTCCTTGCTGGCGGCGATGTTGCATTGTACGGCAAAGCAGGGCTGCGTGTAGACGGGATCCGCCTCCAGTGGCGGCGGCGCCTGACCGAAAATCATGTCGCATGAGAGGTCCTCGAAGTCGGGGTTCATGGTGAGAGGCAGCCCAAACTCATCCGTGAAGAAGGTCTGGGTGGGGACCTGCGCGCGGTGGTCGGGTTATGGTGGCACACGGTCGGGTTATGGTGTCAGGGGTGCGGTGAAGAGGAACCGGTAGGAGACATCATGGTTGGGAGGCTGCCCCTTCCATGGTTGGGAGGCAGCGGTGCTGTCCCCATACGCGCGCACCTTGCACATGTTGACGCACATGCCCACGCAGCCGCTGGCCTCCAAGTAGCGGCACTTCTTGATGTGCACCACCGACCTCTGCCGCCGTGTCTCACCGTTGGGGCCAACCTACGCGTAGAGAACACACCATCAGCCCCGCCAAGACCGCGCCCCCCCGCCAACTCAACCAACACCCCCCGACCTACCACGACGTCCTCCTCGCGGACCTCGCTCTCGCCCACCAGCCAGTAGAACCCAAGCGAGGCAATCAGCGCGTTGAACTCGGCGGAGAACTGGGTCGGCGGGAACAGCGCCCTGCGGAACAGGGGCAGGGGCGATGAGGTAAGGCTTAAGAGGTCATAAAAGTCCCGCACAAGGGCCGGGACAGGGGGGCAAAGGGGCGCACATGCACGCGGCACACGGGAAACACGGGGCGTTACGGTGTCCATCATGTGCCCTTGTGTGTGGCATGTGACAACGTCGTGGGAGGATGCGGTGGCGGTGGTGTCCCTCTACCGAACCACTCGCAGAACCAGGGCGCACCTGAACACCGGCGGCGCCTCCCGCGGCATCAGCGATGCCAGCACCTCCCGTATCACCGCCCGCTGCTGCACGCTGTTGCGGCCCTTCATGATTTCGGAACTGATGCGCACAAAGTCGTCATACGTGGCGTTGTCCGGCACACCCACGCCTGTGAGGGAGAGGAGAACATGAATGGGGCATGGGAAATGGAAGCTAGCGGGGAGCTGTTGGGAGGAGAAAACAGTCGGAATGGAGGGGTGAAGGGGGCGGGGATGTTAGCAGGCTGGCCAGCTGCTGCAGGGGTTCTGCCGTCCTAAGCATACGTTGCTCTTGTTGACCTATACTACCGACGGATGTGGGAAGAACGAACTCGATGGATGCGACCCCCATCCAAGGACTTGCCTGACAACTGGTCGGCCATCTTTTTTGAGTACAGCTTAATGAAGAACTTGTCAAGCAAATTGTCGTTGTAGACTGTTTTCTCTGCAAAAGGGTCCTGAGTTTCGTGCACGTGGGACCCAAACAAAAGGGTATAACTGACCAGGTTCCGAAATTGAAGAGGTCGTCAATGCATAATAGTAACAGGCACCTTCTTAGCTTGAGCTGAAGGTTTAGATGCACCCGCAGCAGCGGGAAGCGCCATAGAAGTATTCAGCCTCTTCCTGGCTCCAGCAGAACACCCAAACCCAACATTGCCATGCGTAGAAGCGAGTGCGGTCCTCATTTTGGCAACGATCTAGTTGAGATGCAGCAAGAAAGTGTTAGTTGGATTGTTCTTGGATGGAGACTCGTATAGGCAAACAGGATAACAGGATGATAATAAACACTATATACAGTAGTAATGTTTTGTCGCGATGAGAAGCTATGAAACAGCCCATGCTCAGCGCTGAAAGCACGGTACACAAATCATCGACTGTCGTTCCAACGCTTCGACTGTAACAAAAAACACCGACTGTCGTTTCAACGCTTGGAATGCAAAGGTAAAGATGGCCTTGAGTATGACGCAAATGCTTCAAGCACAAGCTTTGTGCGGCAGATCCTAGTGATACGGTTGGTTGCTTTGCAGCAGTATAGTGACCAAAATCGTCAACCCTTCGCAGTACGTGCTACACCACTAGACAGTTATTGAAGGGGTATTTTCTGTGAGTTATTATCTGGGACGTTTTCCCCTTGCTAGTTGGTATGGAAGTACGAGCCGTATCTCGAAAGCAAGTCCGTATCTCTAGTAGACCTTGCAGTTAACCTTACTCCTTTCGACAAGCACGCTTGAGAATGCTATATGTTAGTTAGTAGTACTGTATCAAGCTTCTCAACGCTGGTTACAAGACTGCACGTCGACACGAGTGGTAAAGCTCAATTGTTTGCGAAGCCAGGATACCGGTACCTTTAACACCTGAAAATGGGCGGCAGCTGTAGCCATACGGTGGACGCTTGGGCTCATTTGGCCACAACGGTATGAGGGCTTGGGCGGGCATAGCCACCTGGAGGTGGTGCTTTCGCCGAGATGCTGCCATTCAGCATCATCCTATGCAGCTTTCCTGAAATTTGTAAATTTGTCTGGGGAAGCTGGCAACTGTGCTTTGTGAAGTGGACTGTTTTGCGTTGGTCGCTTGGCAGCTTACCTGGTTCCTCCCGAACTTCTGTATCCAGGACGAGATTCGGGATGCTGTTAAAGGCATCGACGCCTGGCAAAAAGCCCAAGAGCAGAACAAGGCCTCAGGCGGCGCCCAAGTAAGACCGTTACGCCCGTCCGCATAGCTACCCCGGAATCGGCTAGTAAAAACCCGCTACTTGAATGCCACCTTCCTAGTTTAACGGTGTCATAATAGCAACATGGATTTTCGTATTTAAGCTGTTGGCTTGAATACTGCTGCAATTGTACATGTGCCTTGTCCGGCCCGAACGAGGCTAGGTTTTTAGCTCCTGCCTTCTTGCTAAGCTTATGTTACAGGCACAGTTGGCGTGTCGTAATAAACTAACGACGCTCTATCTAAGCTTACTCAACTTTCCTTCTGCAGCATGCTGCTACTTCGGGGCCGTTGCTTGCCCGGGTCGGCGGCATGGATGTAGTGAAACGCGTCGTGGAGGCATTCTACCGCAAACTATACGGCAACGAAAAGGTGAGGGGTCGAGGAACACCACGGCTTAGCAGACTTCCGCCGGGCTGTCAACGCAACAATGCCAACGAGATAGAGGGCTGCCGCGGCTCATTGCGTCGTCACTTGTCACTGTCCACCCTGACAGGGTGTTGCTGGTTTGCCCGGATGACCTCCCTCCTATACCGGTACTAATCGTTGCTGCTGCTCCTACGCACGATGCCCCTGCCTCCGAGCAGCTGCTGCCGTTTCTGCACGACCGCGACATCGTGTACCTTCGAGCCAAGCAGGTACGGGAGCTGCATCAGGGTACGGGCCGGGTGCGGCGCATGCTAACGAGCAGCAAAGGTCTACTCCACCGGCAGCGCCGTTGAGCAGTGGGGCTTCTAGGGCTTTAGTCCAGACTTGCAGGGCTTTTGACTGAAACAGACCGTACTGTAACAAGAGCAGAGCGAAGGACGACGTAAGCCTCCCAGCACAGCTGCAATACAGATCCACCCCGGTATCTGGACACACTTTTGGCAGGCCCATTTGTTTCCTGACGACTGCCAACCCACCATCCAAACCTGCGACAACCCCTTGTCCCAACGCGCAGTCCGCCTTCATGTCCTGGCTGTTCGGGCCCCCGAATGTGCCGTACACCGGCAAGCACCTTCGCGTGGCGCACCTGCGCATCATCAAGCAGCGCGGCTTCACGCCCGAGGATTACGAACTGGGCATGAAGTACTTTGAGGAATCAATGCGAGAACTTGGGGCGCCGGAGGTGAGCTGGGGCAAATTATAAATAAGTGCAACAACACAGGTGAGCTGGGGCGGGTGCTTAGGACGGGTTCCCTGAAGAATGGTGAGTGGAATTCTCATGGCACCCCAGGGTGTTGGCATTTCCTGGGGTGCTGATCGAACGAGGAGGTACCGGTACAGGGGGCCAAGAGCGTTGCCGGGGCGCAAGTCCTTGGTAGAGTGCATTCCCTCAGTGAACCTTTGGAACTGCTTCGCCCTGACACCACGTGGCTACTTAACCTGCCAACCCGTTTGTCTCTTACCCACGTGCAGGCAATCATTTCGGAGGTGTTGGCGAAAGTCCGCCCGTTCAAGGTGGGTCGGGACCCGTGTCGCACTCCCTCTGTACGGCCATGCAATGCCACCACGGTCTTATCCGGCCCATCCCACACGCCATTGAGCGCCACACTGCCGGTAACTAAGTCCGTACTGTCGGGTTGCTTCTCACCTGCACCTGCGCAGGATGTCATCTTCACTCCATGCAGCCGAGACGCGGAGGAGGAGGCGCGCTGGGCCATGGAGGAACGCCTGAAGGAGCAGGCCAAGGAGCAGGCCAAGGAGCAGGAGCTGCACAAACAGACCAGCCGTTCCTCCCGCTCGCAGCTCAACACGCAGGTGTCCAGTTCTCAAATCCTCATGACCTCCGCTAGCCGCAACATGAGCCGGAACATCAGTCGCAACGTCTCGCGTGGGCCGCAGTGCCCCTTCTCCGGAGGGCAGGTCTCTGGTCAGTTCAGCGCCGCCCTTGTCGCGGGCGTAGCTGGCGCCACAGGCGACGACGTGACTGGTTCCTGCCCTGTGATTGCCGAGGAGCCCGGTGATGAGCTGGAGGCCACAGCAGCGGTTGCTGCAGCTGCTGCTGCGCAGGGCAGCCTTACGACACGTCCTGCTCGCGCGACAGGCTCTTACACCTCGCTGGGCTCCCAAAGCAAGAAGTCCCTTACGATTGCCTGCCCAGCAAGCGATGCAGCAATAAATGCATCGGACAAGGCCGTCCTGCAGCTGCCGGTCGAACGAATTCCCTCATCCCAGCGCATGTCTGCCGCCATCGGCACAGCCGTACCCCGCCCCTCGTCGGGCTGCCCCTATGCGGCCTCCTCCGTGACAGCAGCGGTTCCCGTCGTCGCTGCCTCCTCCCTCTCGGCAACGGCAGCCCAGACGTCCTCAGCAACAACCTCTTGGGTGCCCTCGGCGGCACCTGCAGTGCAACCCACGCTGCGCTCCCCAGGGGAGTCCTCGGGCGGTGCGGCCTCCCCAGCCCACAGCGCCTCTTCCCCTGCAAGCAGCCGGCCGGCCTCCGCCTCCTCATCCTTTGGCGTCACGGCTGCGGCGGCGGCCGCCGTAGCTTCAGAGGAAGCCCGTCAGGCGTTGCTCGACAAGAGCCAACAAGAGGGAGGGCTGGATTCCTCAACAGCGCGACCGAAGCGTGGTGTGGCAGAGTCCCGGTCTACGGATAGCGGCGGTGATTACGCCGCGGAAGCTGCTGTTGCTGTGAGCGCTGTTGCTGCCGCTGGCGGCGGTGGCGGCATCAGCGGTAACAGGTCTGGCGCAGTGGATGTCGTAGACGAGTTCATGTCTGAGGTGTTTGGCGAGGGAAGCACGGGCACGCCGGACTCGACGGCAGCGCCGGCATCGCGAGTGAAGGCGGCGACGAGCTCGGGCATGTCGGCACCAACAGCAGCAGCGGTGGTGGTTCCCTCGAAATCGCGGACGGTAGGTGGCGGTGTTGACAGCAACAGCGCCCCCAGGGTGCCGCCGGCTGCGGCTGTGAAGCAGCACAGGCAGACCGCAACGGGTGCGATTGGCGGCTCCGTTGCAGCGGCCAGCAAAGGTCGTTCCACCAAGCCCGTTGCCAAGAAGATGTTTTGAGTTTTGAGGTGAATCAGGGATGATCCGTCCGCAGGCAGCATATCTGCAGGCAGACCTTGGAAGTGGATGCGTCACAACAACGGTGCCGGTCACAGCGTTGGTGCCGGGGGCCCCGCCAGCTCGCGTGAGGGCTGGGTCGACTTCGGGCATGGCTTCAACAGCAGCAGCAGCAGCGGGGGCAGCAGCGGTGTTGTCGCCCCTGCAGACGCGGACTTTGGCAGGGACTGTCGAGGACAGCAGTGGCAGCAGCAGCAGCGGCAGCAGCATTTGTGGCGGCTGTCAGATACAGACGCCGGCTGCAATTGCCAGACAGCACAGGACGAGTGGAACGGGCTCGGCGACAGGTTTCAATATTGCACCTGTAAAGCCCCGCTCAAAGCCATGGGCTTAGTCGACTTGGACGTTTGGAAGTGACGCCGTGAACTTTAGACGGTTTGGACTTCAGGCTACCAACAGTTTGCTGCCCGTAGAAGCGCTTCCGTGAGTCGAAACTTAGAGTTGAGTGGTTTTTTTTACAGTCAATTGATGTCTCCCGCTCCGGGATAAGGCAATGTGTTGGGCCTATTCCATGCGGTGTAGAATCAACACTATTTTGCAGACCTTCTAGCCAACGGGTTTCCCGCTTGTGTTGTGTGTCTGTTTCCGGGAGTATGTGAGGCCGCATGCGACTACCGTTAAAGTGCAATGATGTTGGATGGATGGGGAAAGATCTCTGCTTTTACTGTGTCTGCCGAGTTACGGAAGCGGGCAATGTGCAGGACCGTTTTCGTCGTAATCAGCAGCAGCAGGCCCCAAGGTCTTTGAACGATACGGGGCGCACGGCAATTGCTTCCCCGACGGCTTTTGCAAATGGCTTTTGCATTTGAAATCCGAGCGACCAGATGTGTTATGAGGTGGGTTTGATGGCTGTTTGACTGATATATGGGTGTACTTGGGTGTGCTGTACTACTTAGGTGGGTGCAGCATCAGGGGATTCAAGAAGCGGGGTAAAGGGTTGCTTGCAATGAATTGCAGGAGTGCTGGGTTAGACCCTTCAAGGATGCGTCCGGGGCACGTAAATGACATGGCGGTTACCCAAGTTAACAGTTGGTTGATGAGTGGCGGTTGCGTGGTATGGTGCTCTGCATTGAAGTGAAAGACCTGGGCGCAAATGCATGAGTACGAGGACTAAGGGGGGTTGGACGGTTATATGCCAACTGCTTCCTTCCATGCTGTGAAATGGAAGGTTGCTGGGGCGAACGCAGGTGCGCAGAATCTCCTGCCATCTTTGTCCTTCAGCTTACCCTGATTTTACAATTGTGTTATGGAACTGGTTGTTATGTTTTCACGGACCGCTATTCAGAGGTAGCGAGAGCTTTAGACATAGAGACATGGGTGACATCGTACGTTCACATCGTCCTCTCCTCGCCAAAGAGGGAGGAATTTATATTCTGGCCCCCCGTTTTGGCCCTCGCTTATCCACGCCCTGTCCACGCGTTCATGGCGAGATGTGCCCAAAGTTCAAGAGCCTGATGACCACATGACTAAGCTTACCATGACTAAGCTTGATGCCTTATGACAAATGTGGGAAGTGCAGTGTGCGTGCGTTTGTCTATTGCGTCCTATACGTGAGTATACCTTCATTTTGTGCTAGCTGCAGCTCTGGTGCCCGCCTGCCTCAGTGGCTGATTGGGATGCGCTCTTAGCCCTGGCCTAGCCAGCATCTATCATGTTGCAAAGGAGCGCCGACGAATTATTGACGAATTGTGAGTTTTGGCATAACTACAACATCTACAATGACGGCGACCTTTTGATGGATCAATGGCGGATCGATTCAGCAGTCGGTGCTGTGCGTAGAAAACGAATAAGTCTAGACGACTGTGCGTGGCTCGCCTGATAATAACTAAGAATGGGCGCACAGCAGTTTTCTGTGGGGGTTATCGCCTTTGTTCCTGGTTGGCTCTGCGTTACATTGCCTGTTGGGGCAATCTGCTACTGTTATTCTGGGGAGCCTGCAGCAACCGTCTTGGAAATGTTTACACAAGGCACGTCTTGGGCCTTGCTTGCTGGAGCGTTCCTGTCTATTCATAATCGATAACTTGTCATTTGGTCCTGATTGTTGCGTGTTTTTTGTAGTGGGTGGCGTGAATTGACTAGTAGCACTGCTGGTCCTTTCAATGCGCAGCAATGCGAAGATTGCAACAATAGCAGCTCTTCACAGGGCGGGTACTCCCTTTGCCCTTTGGCGCTGCGGGCTGTTGCTGTTTTGGCGCGACGATTATGCATGGATGTATGGTGATTGTAGGGTTTGGAGGTGAGCACGGCGCCGTACGGGTCGTTTGCAAGTGTAGCATATGTTTGGTATGTCCCGGACCGCACACTGAACGAGGAGTTCGTGCAGGGTCCAACAGGGACGTTCAGCGGTAAGGACATCTTTGGTACTATTTCCGTCGTACCGACTATTTCGGTCTATCGGTTGTATTTCGCCTCGGATTATCGTAGTCAAGGGAAAGGTTCTGTCTCTTTCCGCAGCGTAATCGAGGGTGCCGTACCTTCTACGACGTCTCAGGTTTGGGTGCGGTACATGTCACGCACGGATGATGACACTCTGTGAGCTGTTTCGCGTTTAGTGTTGGAGTTTGGGAAATGGAGCTGTTGCCTTCCGCTCGGCTCTGGGACGTACGAGACGCATAACCGTGTGGCATTGTGCTCTGCTAGTCACTGACCTTTTAATATGGAAATATGCTTTTGCGTTGGCGACGGTAGTTTTTGAAAAGCGTGTTGGCTGTTATTTATCACACGGTGTGCCCCTTCAAACCGGTACGCCCATGATATCGCATCTAAAGGACATGGTTGAAAAATGTGCTTTGGCGGAAGTATGGCGTTCGCTTTGTCACAGCCATTACCAAAGAATGGCTGTCTAGTATTGCTACCTATATTGTGTCTGTGCTTCGGACATAACTTGTGGCAAACAATTATTACCTCACGCTTTGCTCATGTCAAATAAAGGAAGACAGAGAAGGCATGACCTGCTGATACCGGTGCGTACCTCTCCTCCTGGCATATCATGTCAGAATGCACTTGTACACATCGGTCGCCACACAGTCCCTCGATTACTTCCCCTATGCCCTTTGGATGGCATTTACATTGGCTGTAGCTGTGACCAAGTTTAGAATGACCTACACCCAAAGGACAGGTTGTTGACTATTACTCGTTTACTTTACACTGGTCAGTAATACGCATATCAAGTGCCAAACGCTTCGGTTAGACACGTTCGCCTAACTCTCTCAAAACATAACCCAACTTCACCGAGCTTTTGTCGTAGCGAGGCATTGAGCAGTGGCCCGTGGGTCATGCCCGTTGGTAAAGCAGGAACACATGTACCATGCAAGCACGGCAACATCGACAGCCAAGCAATTCTCAAGACCATCATTACAAGGCACCAGCAAGTGATCTAACGCCTTGAGCAGGCCAAGGCGTGCCCCAGTCAAGAGGCACGCCACACAGACGCACAGGCGTCATCTTCCGGCAATCACAGTACGTTCCTACTCGCAGCCAGTTTTCTCAACACAAGCAGCATTGGAGGCGTTGGGAGAAAGGTTTTCAGGAACCAAACCAGGCAGGAACCCAGCTCTCTGAACAGATGGGCGTTCCCAGCTCGCCAGCCTTGCCTCAACGAAACAGAGCCCAAGCAGTACCGAGCTCCCTCCGCCGCCAGCCCAATGCAGCGGGGCGTGCAGTGCTACCCACGCATGAGCTTATTCGGCACTACTTTGCAGCCTCGACAGCGACATGGGAGGCAAGCGCGCACCTGTTCGTACCCGGGCTATCTACTCTCGAACCAAGCCCCAAACGACCACCCTCCAACCGGTTTTGGCCGCATTGCCCGCTGCCAACTCAGGATTTGTTCACGACGAGAGGGATTGCACTGCCGAGAGGGGTTGCACCGCCGCGCCATTTGCCAGATGAATTCATGAGCCATAGAACGAACCCAAACAGAGGAAAAACAACATCCTCGCTTCCCCACCATTCCCCAGGATCTTGTTTCACCCGAACCTTAACAGAATACGCCAGCTTCACCTTGTCGCAATCATGGCACGACGTGTCTTGACAGCGGCCAACCAACCAAACCACTGAATTCACCAAGGCCAACGACATCCTTTCCACTCATGATGACCTGCAGCAGCCTCTGCAGCCTCCTGCACGCCTGATTGGCGCCTACCGCTGAAGCCGCCTTGCTTGCTTTTTCCAACGCATCCCTCGCGGGTTAAGAAATACCTGCTTTCGTTCATCATTCGACGCCCTTGCCGACACAACAAACACGTTTGCGTGGCGCGCCATGGGCCGCCATCACAGCAGGCACACCAGCCGAACATAAGGTGAGATGGCACGGATTAATCGGGATTGTGGCCGGCAGTAACAACAACAGCACAGATGAGATATGGATGGGCCAAACATCGCCGGGAGCTCACAATTCCGGCTTTGGGTGAAAGCACTAAGGCACGACACGCCCCATAACACATACGGGGCATACGTGCCGTACGTATTATATACTGTCCTTCCTGCAGCATACTTTCAACATACAGCAGCAGAACTTTTGCATAACGGCCTTCCTGGTATTGTAACCGCATCACATCTCGTAACTCTTGGTTTGTGATAGACACACAACGACAAGAGAAAGGGCATATTAAGCACATTGCCTAAACGGCTTGAACATCGGAGGTGTTCAATAGTGGATTTCGAATCAACTTTGTGATTGAGTTAGGTGAAGGCACATTAAGGCACTATGCCCCACATCAAAATCGCCGCATCACATAATTACTAAAAGCCACACCCAGACCTGGACACCCCTTTGGGATTCAGAAACCAGCATGCAAGTGCGGATAAACATCCGGGTCCATCAGCGATCGAGCCGCTTGACATGAATTGCTTCTCACATGCTTCAATCCCCCATCATGACACTACTACTTCGCCATACCTCATGACAGGAGGCCTTACTAGCCTTGCTTTATACTTCTCATATCACGAAATGCACACGCAAACCTTTCCAACTGTAATAAACGCGTGGCCAATGAATCCCAACATACAACAACCCTCGTCTCGTACTTGCAGCAGCCGTAAACCTAAAGCACCTTACGAGGCGAATGAACCAGACGCACATCGACAGACAATACATAATTGAACTCTCGCTCGCTCGCGCCTCCTGGAAAGCTTCGCTCTCAGCATAAACAAAGGCCCGCAGCAGCAGCTGGTTGCAACAACATCCGTCAAAATGCATATACACAACAGCCCTCCCAAGACATGTCCCTTTTCCCAGCAGGTGCGTGTCGTACCGTTGATCATGATGTCCTGACCTCTTCACAGGCCACCGTAAAGACTCGGTGTCCATCACAGCAGGCTTGTGACCCCAGGCCGTACGTTATGCAGGTTGCCAAGTTCAAGGTGTTCAGGCGATGTGCGGACTAAGGGTGTAAGTAATCCCATTAATTCCTTGGTACCGAGCCCCTGACCCATGGGTCATTAGGTGAACATATGAAGGCGCCGTGACCGTAAACCCCCCTAACGAAGTGGAGGGGAGGATTGTTTCGTATGGGCGCGTGTAAAAGTCAACACTCAGTAATGATTGTGATCATACATCCTCCCCAAATAAATTCCCCCAAATGTGCATTAGTAAAAATGCGTTGCAACATTACTTGCCATTAAACACGCACGCTGCCTCTCCGTCCCACCCATTATACCAACAAAACGAGGTTCATGACATGAACCAAGTGGCGAAGCAAACCACCGCACAAACTTCCATTCCCGGCTCCTGCTGCTGCGCCCAAACTTCCCGTACAAAAATTTACCGGGGTAACTGACGTTATACCACCCTTAGTTAATGAGGTGCAGGGCCCTGTGTGCTTTGGAAACTGCCCTGGGCTGTTGCTCACCCGGGCTGCTCAGGAAGGCCGGGCTGGAGGCTCCCGCAGGACCCTGGTTCGACTCCTCGGCAACCTCTGTGGATGTGAAGATGTAGTGCTTGCAGGGCTGAAGCCGCGCCGCTGTTTGCTCAATCAGCGACTGCGGGGGAAAAGGCACGCACATGGTATGGCGTGTACGGGAGAAAGGGGCAGGAGGTCAGCAGGTGTGGAAAGGGCAGGGGCACATGACCCGGTCATAAGGCGCCGTGAACGGCGGGTATCACGTAATACAGCAACCCACCTTCAACACATACATATTTTCACACATGCCCCTCATGTGCCCCTCATTGCATGCCCCTCATGCAGTCACAGTACATTCCGGCTCGAGGCCATTTTCTTACACCGGTACACACATACCTGTGGCGTTTCGGTGGGAGGACTTCATCTTTCGGCAATCACAGTACGGCAATCGCCTCGCGGCCAGTTATTTTAACATTTGTCCCCACGTTCACCCATGCACGCACATCATGTATCCCCGAGACCCGACGGACCCACCACTGGCGCGCCCACATCGCGCATGCATTCCTCAAACAGGTCCATAGCGCGGTCGTAATCATGCGGGCAGAAGCCCTGCTGCTCCACCATGCGCAGGTGGGCCGCCCGCAGCATCACGTGATCGTGTGGCCGGCCGCCGCCCGCTGCGTCATGGTAGACGGTGAAGGACTCGGCGGCGGAGGCGCGCACGTCGAAGACGTGCGTCAGGTAGCCGCTCTGAGGAGTGCAGGAGGCGGCGGTGGGGAGGTGGAAGGAAGGAAGGAAGGAAGGAAGGCGGCATCATGCATGTGGTTAGCTGGTTAGCTGGCTACCGCCTGCAATCGTCTTTGGGTGGATGAGGTACGGGGGTTTAATAGGGAGGGAAGCGCAACTCGCCACACACAGCGTCTCCTCTTCTTGCGTCGCGCTCTGTCTGTGGCCCTTTGCTAACCGGGGAAGCTCCGATGTACACGGTGTATGCGAAGCATGCGGAGACATGCCGACACACGAAAACGCGTGCAGATGTGAAGCTACCACGACGGCTGCCGCATTTGAGGACGCCAAGGAACGCCCCGCGGGCGGCAGCGCTCCCCGCAAGCAGGTGCTGCCCGGCTTACCAGCTTGGCCCTCAGGTGGATGGTGTCGTGGCCCTCCAGGAATATGCGGAGCTGTTTGGACCGGAGGGGGGCAAGGAGCAAGAGGGCAAGCCGTGACAAAAATAACAGCTAATAGCTCAGCCTAGCTAAGTCGTGGAGAGTGGACGAAACCACGTAGCTAGCAGTCTTGGTTGCAGGGAGGATAAGCTACTTAAGGGTTTTTTTATATGTAGCCAGGAGGGAAAGAGATCCGCTGGGCTGCAAAAGAGTCCATCTGCATGTCGTAACTGTAACCCGGAGTCCGTCACTCATACCATCAAGGTAAATCATGCAAGGCAGCACCAACCTATCATTGCTGCAGTGTAGTGTTGACGACTGGACAGATTGCCACCTGCTATGCGGCTGTTGCTGCCTTTGCCGGTTCTTACCCTGTCATCGCTCCGCAGCTTGGCGTACCAGAGCTCGGCAAGCTGCTTCAGCATATCCGATCCACCAAGGCGCGTGAGAAGGGTCTCCGAACTTGCGACAGCTCCGGTACCGAAAGCCGACTGCGTGAACAAGACAAGGCCGCATACATGCTTTCCTGTTAAAGTTGCTCAGGTGACCGAGTCGCGTTTGCAGGAAAGTGCCGAACAAACCTTGTTAGCTACACAAAAAATATTGACATTAGCTGCTAACAGCGATGCGTTGAGCCGAGATCAGAGGTCCCAGTCGATACCAACCGGTTGCTTGCATGAACCGCGCGCGAGGGGCAAGCCTTGCCCTACACGCGCGCGGATTTAGGCAAACGACACTGGCGCTGCCAGCCTAACGCTTATCCCCGCACTGCACCGTCATGACTGTGAAGCTCAGTCGTAAGGCCACATGTATGATGTTTACCTGCCCGACGAACCGCTTGCGCCCTTCTTGGATGTTCTCCCATTGCGCTATCCCGCGCACGGCTTCACGAATTTCACTCTGTTGATTGTGTTTCTTCAGTCAGCTCGCGCTGATAAGTGTCAACCGCTATGATGAAGCACTCAAGGCCCCACTTACCTGAGTGGCTACATGGGTAACCGACTCGGTCATGTGGCTGCATGTCACACCCATCTTAGCAAGTATTAAAGGTTAGCTAAGCAGTGGCTTCAACGACGAGTGCGTCAGTCGGCTCAAGATACACTGGCTTGCATGCGTTTTGGCAGGTGCTATAGGTCCAATAGGTATCCATACAGGCCAAAGAGCATACTGATTTGGTAGGATGGGGCCCATCGCGCGTGATCATCAGTCATCAACCAACAATGTAGGAACTCCCTATGGGAACTAAAGGCTTACCAGATCAGGTACAAATCTACCGTCAACACCCTTGCCAGTGCCTTAACAACTATAGATAGCGACCGTGACCTCTTGGACTCTCGTCAGGCTTAACGGGAAAGCGTTATAGAAGTTTGGGCACCTAAAGATCACACCTAAAGATTTAATGTTGCCCTAGGGCCTATCGGTATTCTCCATGTTATGCCGTGGGACACCCGAGTGCTAGTGGTGTGGGGCGCGGGGTGGTGGGACACGCGGGGCTACTTGGTTTTCCGGGCGCGCCTCGACATGCCTAGGACCAGACATGTCCAAGCTGACACCGTTCTCACACCTTAGTTGGACGGAGCTACCGGTACGTAGCCGTACGGCAGCTGCTGTTCCGGGCATTTCGGTGCACTATGCATCCCAAGTTTTGCCTCTTCCGCCTGTCGCACTATATCGGTGTCGCGACCTCCCTAGCATCTATACGTCTATCAAGTACAAACGTTAGTGCTGGCAAACCACCGCAGGCGGCGAAGTCCAATGCGCGTAGGTGTGTTACAGCATTGCTCTCGAGAACGAACTGAACACCGTTTACTTGGCGGCCTTCTTCTCCTGGGCCTTCTGGAGCTTGAGCACCTACACGGCAAGAGCGGAAAGCCGGGCGGGAGGGGTGGGGAGGTAAGGCACAGCGGAAGCAAAGCACCTACGCATGGTGGGGCAATTAAGGGAAACGAATACGTTCAATATCACCTGAAGTCCAAATCCCATGATAATTCCTATCCAAAAACCAACATGCATGTTAATCCCTTCATGTGAGCACCAGGCCATTGAAAAGGAACCCCAACCCCATTGAAAAGGAGTCCCATCCCCATCACACGGAACTAATAGGAAGGACCGGATACCTCGCTTTCCCACAATCCGCAACGATGAGACCGGCCTCCCGACGCATTTGTCACCCCAACAACCGCCGGATGACCCACATGACAAACGCCGAGCGCCCAATGGTCCCATCAAGTGAATCCCAGACACCAGGGGCTACATCAGCGAGTGCCCAGCAAAACAGCACAGGGCAACCCCCAACCCCCCAAACGGTGAACCGCCTATCTGGCCCATATGCATGTCACCCTGGCCCGCGGCGGACTGACTGCCAACCCAAGAAGCAGCGGCAGCAGTCCTAACGAGGCCGCACAGCCGGGCGGAGGAGTACTGATGTGGCACCGTCTCTTCAGCTCAGATCACCAATACAGGCCTGCTCTGCTTTTCCAGTGCCGGACATCACAAGTAATCCATCCCCAAGCGCTGAGTGAACGTTGCTCGGCCTGCTATATACTCCGCTGCTGCAAGGGAGTGCCCGCGACGCCATGACTACAAACCCTGCACATGCGCCCTGCTGCTGCACAAGCCGAGGTTCTTTCTCCGCTGGGGGCAGGTACCCCATGCCTGCTTTGAACCGGAAGGCCTCCCTGGAGACACCGCTGTCCATACAGCTGCGACGCTAAACAACGACTTGGCAAGGCCGGCGCCAGTGAAGGGGGCATCCCACGCCGCCGGCTCGGAAGGCAGCTTTTCCCTCCTGCTCGTGCTTCTGTTGCTGCTCAGCGCCAGCGCCCGTGCCAATTTGGCTGCAGAGCTGTCCCGCTGCTGCTTTTAGGCATCGCCTGCGCTGTGTTGGTTGGCTATGCCACAGCATGCCATGCTGGAGAAGGCGTTGCCGCTGCCGCTGTCCCACACAGCAATCACCACATCCCCAAGCCCGAAGACGAACCCCGAAAATGTAATCGCCCGACATAAGTGACAATCGCCCGGAACAGCACAGTGCACACAGCCATCGCACCTTCTTCACGATCTTCTGCTCCTCAATGAGGAAAGCCCTGATGATCCTGTAGCATGGAACGGTGGTACGTAAAGGAGGAGCGTAAATACAAAGGAAGCGGCATTCCAGACGCAACACTATGCTTGCTCAGCGGAATCGTAAGAAGGAGAAGCCAAAAAGCTTACCTCTCCTTGACCACCTTGTGCGACAGGCACCCGCCATAGACGCGGTTAACCTTCTTGGCACGCTTGGGCAGCGTGTGCAGCTGGGTGTGGGGCACCGCAGCGAACTGCAATAAGACGGAAACAAGTTATTGCCATTGTTCCCAATATGCTTATTTATGAACGTTCGATAAGCGACGGCGGGGTCGCCGTCCCAGCGATGGCCGCCGCCCGCCAACATATACTGCTCCCGGACCAAAAAGCGGACGCTAGCGCATCTCCACTTACGCCGTGGAGCCGGGCACCGGAGATGGCGCACTTGGGGTGGCTCTCCTGCTTCTTCTTGTACTGGTACACCAGCCGGCCGCCTGCAGACCACCGCCGGCGTCAGTTTCGGCCAAGCAAACTTTCTTTGCAACATTGCAGCTTAAATGTAAAGAAGATATAGCTAGATAAAGGGTGTGCTTTCACACCTGGCGTCTTCACAATCCGGACGGCATTGGACTTGGTGTGGTAGCTGTGGCGCCGGCGGTAAGTGAGACGGGGCGCCATTTTTGAGGCTTGCCTACGCACCTAGCTGAGAAGGGGTCAAAAAGAGCAGGCCAGTGCATTTTGTATCCAGAGGGCTCCCTCGAGTTGAATGCCGTACACCCAAGGCTCCCCGTTGCTCAGCGTTTCCTTGTGCGACTTCCAAGCGTATGCGTTAAACTTCAACCCCACCGCGATAATTACTATACTTGGCTTTAATGGGCTGCCTAGAATATACACAGCTCTGCTTTATTTGCGTTGTGTCTAAGCGTTCAAAGCACCATTAAAACTTAAATAGCTTTACATATTGACGGTATTTAGCATTGTCCTTCAAGTTTAGCGAGACGTTACTGGCCCGTCTGGAGACTGCCAAGCTTCAGCGTACATGCACTAGGAGCAACGCTGGCGCAGCTTGCGCCCTCGGGCGCGGTCAGTCCTTGCCCATACATGCTGGAGCTGAGTAGACAGCTGACAGGATGAACAGGTGCGCGGTTAGCCGCGGCTTCGGTTTCTGGGCCGCGCCCGAGTCCTCCCCAACAGCTCGGTCCCCTACGTCCGTCCCTCCCTCGCCTCCTCCGGCGTATCCGCAACCCCAGCAAGGAAACCTGCATCCTGGCCAGTCCTAACGCCACACACCCCACACCCACGTCCTATATACGTCCTATAACCCCTTGACCGCGCACCACACACCCTGCACCCTTGGTCTCCCTGCCCGTAACCCACAACAGATACAAGGTCGTAAAGCAACTGGGTGACGGCACCTATGGCACAGTGTGGAAAGCGATTAATAGGCAAACAAATGAAGTGGTAAGCCGGGCTTTGGGGACGCGTCAGGCCCCTCCTACCACATGGGTCAGCCACCAGTGCCCGTCGTACCATGCCATGTACAATCATGTGCATGTGCCCGCCAGCACCTAGGCTGTGCTGGGCTAATGACAAGCTGCATGTGCGCCAGGAAAGCACCTGGGCCCTTGTTTGGCGGACGTTGTTTGTTGTAAACGTGTACTGCTGACGATGGTGGTGGCGTGAGGCACATACTCCCCCGTCCTCGGTGAGTATCCCACCACACAAGTCCTACATCACACGGCACGCCCCCGGTGCAGGTGGCGATCAAGAAGATGAAGCGCAAGTTCTACTCCTGGGAGGAATGCATGAACCTGCGCGAGGTCAAATCCCTGCGAAAGCTGAACCACCCCTGCATCATCAAGCTGAAGGAGGTCATTCGTGAAAACGATGAGCTCTTCTTCGTCTTTGAGTACTTGGTGGGTCGGGCGGTGGGCAGGCGGGTGGGTTGGGAGGGGCGATGGATTGGATGGAAGGGCAGCGGTGGGCTGGGAGGCGAAATGGGATGTGGGTCGAGGGTCAGGGGGAAGGGAATGCGTACCAAACGCATGTGGGTCGAGCATGGCTTGGCTTGCATGGACGTGTGGCGTTGGTCACCGCTGCAGGAGAGGTGGTAGGACCCGGAATAGGAGAGGTGCGTGCCTCCCCAGTTTGCACCCGGCACCCGGCAAGCAAGGACGACCTTGAGTCATAACTGCCGGTGGCAGCCTGGCTAGGGTATCAACCGGGTTGGGCAGTTCCGCGCTCCTTAAGGCCCCCTGCTGGTGCTGTCCACGCACGGCACGTGCCAGCGCCAGCGTCAACAACCCGCGGCCGCGTTGCGGGGTGGTTGGGAGGGGAGAGCGGAGATCTGCGGGCGGAGCGAGGGGAGCCGAGGGGACTGTGTGCCCTCACGATCCACATGGAGTCGGTTGGGCGGTGTTGGGAGCGACAGCAGCGCATGGGGCCGTGTAGGGGCAAACTTGCTGCCGGCAGCAGAGGCAACAAGGGCAGACCACAGCTGGAGCAACGACATTGCCACTTGTTGCAGTGGACGCTTGGGCCGGGTGCAGCGCTGGCAGGCTGCCAGCTGTCCCTTGGCGCGAGCTCTCCTCCCTGTCAGAACCCTTGTGCTTGCCTGTAAGGGCAACCCGTCAGCGCCAGCATGGCCATGCTCCCTTCCCCAGGGACCCGGCCTCCCTAGCTCAAACCTCTCCGGCCAAGCGCATCCGTGCCCGCCCGCTTGCACCCACCCACCCACTTACCGTTCTCATTGTTCCCGTCCCGCGGCCCGCCTTGCCCCCACACCCACAGGAGTGTAACGTGTACCAGCTGACGAAGGACCGAGACAAGTTCATACCCGAGTCGCGGGTGCGCAACTGGTGCTACCAGATCTTCCAGGGGCTGGCCTACGTCCACAAACACGGCTTCTTCCACCGGGACATGAAGCCAGGTGGGCGGGGGATTGGGATGGGAGGGGGGAGGGAGGGAGTTGAGGGGAGGGAGGAGTGGTAGTGCACATGGGGCGCGGGAAAGGGAGGGACGCATGGGGAAAGAAGCACGGAAGAAGGGGAAGCGTATAAGTCTTGGGACGGAGCTGTGTATGCGACCGAAAGGAGAGGAGGAGCGCCAGCTACCAGCAGCAGCAGGGGTAGGGGCAGCGGCAGGTGCCGGAACAAGTGCCGGAAGGCGTTCTGGGCCGGAAGAGGAGCTGGATGGCCGTCCGGTGGCTCGGGTGATAATGACGCGTTACTACAGCACCCTTGGTGCCGGCTCACCTGTTGGGAGGGGCCTCCCCTGGCTCTGATGGGGCAACCGCACCCCTTGCCGCATGCATGCATGGACAGCGGCGTGGGACGGTGGCGCATGTCACCAAACCTGCGCAGGCGGGTCCATGGCAGCGGCGGCAGCACGCAATGCCGTTGCGTTGTGCTCACCTGGTGCAACCATGTAAGCTCACCATCCTCACCCCCGGCCCCATGTTACCCTCCCTCCCCCCAACCCCCAGAGAACTTGCTAGCCAGTAAGGACTCGGTTAAGATTGCGGACTTTGGTTTGGCGAGGGAGATCCGATCACGGCCGCCGTACACCGACTACGTGTCCACGCGTTGGTGAGCGGACTCGGAGGGGGCTGTGTTGGCTTGCGGGTTGCTTACTCGGGTTGTTGTTGCTATGACCACGTCATCCATATGAGCCATGCTTCCAGTTCTGCATGTGTCCTCTCTACGTATCTCCGCTGCCCTGCGCCCGCACCGGACCACCTCCCCCACCCTTCCCTCTGCTGCTGCTCCTCCCCCTCCCACCCTCTCCCCCCCTCCTGCCCTCCACCCCTCCAGGTACCGTGCTCCCGAGGTGCTCCTCCGCTCGCCCTACTACAACGCGCCCATCGACCTGTTCGCCATGGGTGCAATCATGGCCGAGCTCTACATGCTGCGGCCGCTGTTCCCGGGCACCAGCGAGGCGGACGAGATCTACAAGATCTGCTCCATCATGGGAACCCCCACGCAGCAAACCTGGCCGGACGGGCTCAAGCTCGCGGCAGCCATGAACTTCCGCTTCCCGCAGTTTGCGCCCACGCCGCTGAGCAAGATCATCACCAACGCCTGTCCCGAGGCGATCGACCTGATGACGCAGCTCTGTCAGTGGGACCCCAACAAGCGGCCCACGGCGGTGCAGGCGCTGCAGCATCCCTACTTTGCGGTAGGTGCTGGGCTTGGGCGCGTTTGGGGAGCGTAAACAAAAGGTAGCAACCGCTTGCCTGCGTCCTCTTTACCTCGATCTCACACCGGCCGGTATCCACAGATAGCGTGGCAGGCAGTTTCACTCCGATTGTGCGTGCGTTAACCCATGCTGGTGGCCACTGTTAAGAAGAAAACCCATCCCGGACTCCCTTCCCTTGACCCTTCCTCTCCCTCCCCTGCTCCCCAGGTGGGTGTGCGCCCCGCGCTGCCCATCTCCAACTCGCCCATGTCCATGGACCGCCCCAACTCCCACGGGGTCACCAACCCGGGCAAGGATGTGGCGGTGATCGAGGACCGTAACGGCATGCGGGGGCCCAAGACGTGGGCGGAAACCGCACCGCCGCTGCGGCAGCAAGGTGGGTGGGCGGAAGCATGGAGAATGGAGGAGAGAGTGGATCGAGCGCTGGCAAACAGGAGTGTGCAGCCCATTGTTTGATGCGGCTCCTGGCTGAAACGCGCTAGGCGTGAATGGTGGAGGGAGGTCAGCGAGGGCATAGTTTTACCGGTGTAACCGTTGTCATAAACAGTGCAGCACTAACTCGTTTCATCTCCGCCAACATCCCTCCCTAAACCCACCCACCCCCCTCCATGCAGACAACGCCTACTCGGACCAGGAGAAGGCTCGGCAGGCCGGCGGCGCCGCTGGCTCCAGCATGGGTCCCGCCGCCGGCTCCCTCTCCTCCATGAACCTCAACCTCAACCTGAGCAACCCGCTGTCCACGCTGCTGCCGCGGGGGAACTCCTTTGGCGGCACCGCACTCGCCGGCGGCGCGGGCGCTCTGCCCAATCTCGGGGCTGGCGGCGGCGGCGGCAGCATCCTGAACGGCAATGCGACCATTGGGTCATCGTTGGCGTTACTGGCGCCGCCGTCGGGGATACGAGGGGCGGGAGCCAGCGGCGGCACGCCGCTGCCAGGCCTCGCGCCGCAAGGGCCGGTACGAACGTACAGCGGCAAGCCGCCGCCGGTCCCGGCGGCTGGCTCCGGGGGCAGCATTAGCGGCGCGGCCGCTGGCGGCGGCGCGAGTGGGCTGTTGCGACGGCCGTCGAATCTCGGGGAGCCGAGTGGCGCCGTGGCGGCGGCTGCCGCCGCCGCCGTCAACGGCTCGGGTGCGAGTGTCATGGCGTCGATTAACTTTGACCACCTTCGGCCGCCGGTACCGGGCATGCCGGCGGCGGCGCTGCCGCCAGGAGTTACCCGGTACAACAACAACGCGCCTGTTGGCGGCGGCAGTGGCATGCCGGCGACGGACGCGCTCACAAATGAGAACCGCAGATCAGGCCTGTTGCCGCCGCCGGTCAAGCTCGGATCGATTAACGGTCGCGGGGGTTCCGTACTCAACGGTCCCCTGGGCAACATGCTACAGCAGCAGCAACAGATCAACGGCAGCAGCAACAACCTGGGCGGCGCGCACTTGCCGTCGTTAGGTAGCGGTCGCATGCTGGGGGATCCGCTGCTTGGGACGCTCAAGGGGCCTGGGAACTCGGCAGGCAGTGCCGCACGACGAGGGTTGTAGGGGAGGAGGAGACCTACCTTCTCGCCCGAGCTCTTTGCGTTCCGGTGTCTCTTCTTCCTGCGGCACCCGGACAAGTGGCCCGGGGCGGTAGTGCGTGGAGTGAACACGGCACAGAAGGAGGCAGGAGGACACGATGGCAACGAGGGAGGATGGGCGATGCGGGCGTTCAGGTGTGGAGTACAGGCGGGCAGGCGAGGAGGCCGCATGAAGAGGAGGTATATACAAGGAGGGGCTGGGGCGGTGGCAATGCGTTTGTGTGGGGTTAGCGCCGTGACTCGAGAGACTGTGACTTGCACACGACCACACGTAGCGGTATATGTGTGGGCGTGCATGCGTGCCGAACCCCCGGCGGCAGTGCAAACGTGCCCCGTGGGGAAGAGAGAAGCTGCTGCCTGCAGGACAGGGCGGACCCTCGAGGGATGGTTCTGCCTAGCAAGTCGCGCCGATCCCGGTTGTTGAGGCTCTCTGTTGCCTGACGTCTTCTTTCTACTTCTACCTGACGTTATGTTTCCAAAGTCGGTGAATGGTGGGTCGGTTGGTAGCCGGCCGGAAAAGATTTTTGCTGCTGTTAGATGAAGGCGCAAGTAGCGTGGAGAGAGGCGGGATGGTACGATAGCTGACAGCAGCATTGCAGATGCCAACGAAGGAGGCCGGAGAGGTCCCTTCACCTTTGCCAGCCCACAGCCCACATCTGAGCACCCCCCAAGGTGTGCTTGGATCAACGCACCAACCGCTTGCTGTGGCTGCGTACCCCCCCGCCTCTACCCATGAGCTACACTTGCGTCCTTGACTTCTGCGCCATGTACCTCGCCATCGTTTTTGTGTTGACGCTCCTGTGCTGCGTAACATCGTGTTTGTGTGTGTTGACGGATGGGCGGATGAAAGCTGCGTGACTGGCTGTTTTAATGTGACTGGGGGTTGGTTTAAAGCTATGTAGCGGTATAGCGGTGTGCTGCAAGGCTCCATGCGGGCTGGCTTGCGGTTGCTGCATGGGGCAACACTTGGGGGCGGGTGGCAGTCGCGCGCTACAGCCTTCCAGGCTTCAGACCGGGCATGTATTGTCCATGCCAACATGAATCCAAGACCACCGGTTTTGTGTGTTGGTAGCTCAGAGGACGACGACTAGGGCGGAGTCGTACTTGACGTGTTTATTTGCTTCGATCGGTCGTCTTTGTGTGCGTGTTGCTTTGAGCGCGTGTGTACTTCTATGCATAGGACTTGTTCCGTGTGTGCGTGACCGCGTTCGTGCTGTGGTGTGCATGGTGTTGTGCATCTTGGGGGAAGGGAGGGTCTTGTACTTGATACGTTTGGGGGAAATGTCCGCCTGGGAAGGGCGCGGAAGGAAAGGTCTTTATTGTGCTTGTCTGCTGTATCGCCAGGTGTGCGAATGCAACGGTTAGGTGACCGCAGGTGTTTGTCAACAGTACTCAGGCTTTCGTAAACCCCAAGGGCTCTTCGTAGCCTGCTCATAATCACTGGCGCTCTTTTTCAGGTTACACCGCATATCGGGAGTTGAGAAGTTGTTGATACATAGGAATGAGGTGTCTTGAGGTGTTAGGACAAGGAGGAGCAAGAACGCATGATGGCGGCTGCCGAGTGGCGACAAGCCTTAGGAGTACACATAGCACTACTGGTGCTGCCGACAAAATGTGACTTTGGGCGACAGACGGGCCAACATAGGTCTTGTGGCACATGGTAACAAGAGAGTTGATACTCTGATATGGGTTTGCATTTACCGGTATCTAGTGCTGTCGTACTTTTTGTCGTACTCGGCCGAGAGGGCACGTCGTACGAGCCGTACATTTTCCGCGGGGTTTCGCGTGGACTTGTGGCTGAGGCGTAGAAGGAGGAGGAGCTGCTATGCTGCTTCACATGAGGAGGAAGAGGGGAATTTTCGCCTGCTGGAGAGGCGTGTATGTGTAAGGTAGAACAACAGAGCTGACTGACTTGTAGCAGCTGCTATGTGGGTGGCTACCGGCTTTGCCTCTTCCCTAACTCCATGTAGGACTCAAGACGGCTGCCAACTTACCACCCACGCATTCGCTCAGCGGTAATCCGTAAACGCATGGACCCTGGAACAGCGCCATGCTGCCATCGGCTCTCCCGTCCTGGCCTTTCCAGGCTGCGCGTTAGTTACGGCATATAAATGTGTTAGATGTTGTTGGGCCGAACTAAGGGCACGGTAGGGTGTGGGTTTCAGGGCCTGCCGTGTACTGTAAGAAATCGGGCCCGTCTGAAAGACCAGGTGACACGACTACGGTAATGCTTATTGGGATGGAGGATAGGGTCGTCGACGTCGCTAGAGCGTTCTGGCGTCATCTACCCCAAAACGGCTTTCATGCAGCTCAGCCTTCGCGCGCCTTGTTGAAGCACCGTAATGTCCCTTGCGGGATCTTGCATTAGCCAAGAAGGAAACGTTAGAAAAAAAAGCAATAATGGCGAAACGTTAACCCTGCAATGAATGAACGAACTCTGGCAGCTCAGCATTTGGGCAGTTGGCGTCGGTTGACAGGTCGTTAGCTCACGAGCGGTTGCCAGTTCCGTTTGAGACGACCTTTGGACAGCTTGAGACGCAGCCTCGGGCGGTGGACGTCACCTTGGAAAATCCTGGTATGATAAATTCAGTCCTCTTGCACTGCTACGTCAGCGTTGGCTCGCGTCTCTTAACTCCTATCCCTCTCACCGCCTGACGCGTTCCACGTTCCTGACTCCCGCCGGGCCTGCAGGGCTTGCTTCCTACGCTTACCTTGCTTTGCATTCCAACCTAACAAACCCACAGCCACAGCGCCTCAATTCCTCCGGCGAAATGCCTCCCAGGTGTGCCTACGACCCTCCTCACCTCAACCACCACCGGCACCACCACCACCATTACTGCAGCAACGGTAACAGCAGCAGTACTCCTCGAAGCAAGACCCCACGCCTGCTGCCTCTCATGCTCGCAGCTGCTGCTGCGCTACTGCTCTCCAGCTCCTGCTGCGTCCCTCGCAGCGCCCTCGCAGCCCCCACCCCGGCCTCAGCCGCCGCCATTGCTACCGGCGACAACCAACAACAACCACTGCCACCCGCTCCACCACCCTCCTCACACGACACACGCGCTCCCTCCATAGCCGTCACCCGCCGCCGCTTCGACTCCCCGCCTCCTCCTCCTGCCACCTCCACCCCTCCTCCTTCCCCCACCCCCACCCCTCTTCCGCCCCCCACGCCCCAGCAGCTCCCCTGCATGCGCACCCGCGCCCCTGCCTCGCTAGGCTGGCCGCCCGCCATGCGCTGCCCCGCGGAGGGTCTGCTGCAGCTGCAGGAGTGGCGGGACGAGTTCTCCGCCCTTCACCGCACGCTGGTGCACCGGCCGCTGCGGGGCGTCAACAGCAGCCACGTGGAGTGGTGGTTCGGAGCCGCGCTGCCGGGGGTGGTGCGGTACCGGGGGCAGGAGTGGGATGCTTACAAGCTGTGGCACCCCGGTGTGTCGGGGGAAAGGGAGAGAGGGGAGGAAAGGGGAGAGAGGGGAGGGAAGGGGAGGAAGGGGAGGGAGCTCATGGGGGTTCCTCAACAACATGTCCTTCAACCAGCGCTACGGTAACTTGAAATCTAGCCACCCTAACCTCGGATCCCCTGCCAGTTCAACGTGCTACCTCACATCGCTCGTTGCGCCCTTGAACTACTGCTAAACGAAATATGAACAACCTCAGTGTATCGTTCACCCCTACCGGCCCCCTTCGCATGAACCGCAGTGGACCATGAGTCCTTCGAACGCATCTCCATCGCCGACCCGCGGGTCACCAGCGCCGCTCCTGCTGCTGCCGTACGGCAACCGCAACCGCCTCAGGTGGAGGCCATCCATATCATGGAGACCTTCCGAGGGCCGCTGTACCCCGCGGGCAATGCGTCATCGCCGCCCTCCAACGCTTCGGCTCTTGCTGGTGGTGTTACTGCTGGTGCTGCTGCTTCCGGCGGCATTCCGGGGGCGTATGCTCGCTACCCCACGGACGTCACGCTGGTGCTCAACAACACGCAGCGCAACATGCACAGGTGGGGGGGTGTATGAAGAAAACTGGCCATCGGGTGCGTGCGCGTATATGTGCTGTGTCAGGGCTTGCATATGTGCATCATCATTCGTGCATGTGCCCATGCAAGCATGCATGCGCATACTGCGCATCATACTGCGCGTACGCATACACCTCCGCAAACAAAGAGTGAATCAATAATTCTTCACCATCCGCAACCGCACTTGCCAGCATCCGGTACGCCCTGCCGCCACCTCCCTGATTGCCTCTCTGCTTTTCCTAGCGAATAGGATGCACCCCATCCTCCTTTCCCTTCCCCTCCCCTGCACCCTCCCCCGCCCCCCCTCTCCCCCCCCTCGAGGCTGCTCTACCACGCTGGCCCCACCGTCATGCAGGAGCTCTACCACGTCTGGGAGGACAGTCCGGAGGGGCTCAGGCTCACGTCCAAGTAGGAGGGAGGAGACGGGGAAGGGAGGGGAAGGGTGGTAGACTGGGTTATCCCCCCCAAAACCCCTTACGCCCCTTACGCACAGGCTCGCCTTGAGCGGCCTCACGGCCTCCTCCGTCACGCCACCCGGCCTCCCTTATTAGCAACCTTCCCGCTCAACTATCCTACTGCCGCCCTCCGCCCCCTGCCCACATGGTTTGGTATGGTCCTTGACCTCCCCACATCCTCCCACAGGCTCATCCTGGGCGGCCGTACTGCCGCCTCCGCCGCCTTCAACGATGTCGTACAAGCCACCGCCTTCCCGCCGCAACAGCTGGAGGCATGGACGCTGCACTGCGTGGAGGAGTTTGGCAACATGCCGTTCTTCCTACCCGAGGTGTACGACATGCATGCGGGCGGTAAGAAGCTGTTGGTACGGCAACAACTGCCACCGCCGTCGCCCGCTGCTGACAAGGCGCCAGCGCCGGCGGCGGCTGCTGTGCCGGCCCCTGCGGTGGCTGCTGTGGGGCCCTGGCCGCCGCTGGTGCCCATGTCGTCCTCATCGACATCACCAGCTGATGGGCCGCAGCAGCTGCTGCCGCCGCCGGGAAGGTGATGAAGGGGTGTGTGTGGCGGTTAGGGTGCGGTGAAGGTGCGGTGTGTAGGTATTGGGGGGGCTCAGTGGTGCTTATTATTAGGGAGGATTGTTATGGAGGAGTGTAAGAACTAGGTCTCAGGGGTAGGCTAACCGCATGAATTGAGTGTTATCTTTTACGGGGTACCGTACTGTGCGTGCAAGCGAGCGGGAAGCGGCTAATGTTGATCTGTTGCTGCAGTATTGGTAGATGCAGTATGCAGTGGTTTTTGCTACGGTGGATTCTGTGCACGTGTTAATGGTGTGTCTGGACTTGTACAATGGTAAAGATGTACGAAACGCACACTGGTTATGCATGGCGGGGTAGACGTCATGGGGGCGGTTATGTTTCCAGTGGTCCCTGGCAGGGGTAACGTGAACACATACGGCTGTAAGAGAGTATGTTTATCTGCACGACAGATGGTGCTTAGTGGCAGATACTGGGCATTTGCGAAATGCTTCACCTTGCTGTGGCATGGCCTCCATCGACTTCTGCGTGACGGGAATAGACACGGAAAGATTGGCAAACTGGCAATGCAGCATGCATACATGCTTGAAATGTAACTGTGTTATGTGAATGTTGAGCACGTTGACGGCTGCCGTGGTTGTACAGGCTGCAATGCATGCTGCGCTCCTGCGCCTGTGCTGTGCAGGACAACCGGCGCTGGTAAGTATGATGCCTCTGCTTTCGCAGAAGACGTTTGGATATATAAGTATACCACGTGGAGTAAGAGCGTAGCGCGCAATCTGCTGCCCTTTAGCATGTATACTAGCTGTCCTGCGCGCCAGTTTAACGCAAGCAACATAACCCAGAAGCCTTAAGATGGGACATGGATATAAACATATAATGGTTTAGTGTGTTACTGGAGGACAGCCTAGGCACCGTCGAACTGGCGGGAGGCCATGGATTGGCTGTCAACAGAAGCTCGCACCAAGCCAAACAGCACAACCCGACAAACTTTGCGCTATAGCAGTGGAACGGGCTGGGATGTGGCATTAGATCCCGCGCAAACGCCGTTAGCCGGAGAGGGACCTGCTGCGGAAGCTGGTCGATCCACAACATCGGTTAGATTGCTTCTCTGCCCCGTCCTGCCGTCGTAACCTCCTGACGCCTTATGCTTCTCATAACAGGGGCCAACTCAGGCCGTGCAAGGATGCCGCGGTCGCTTGCGCTGTATTGCGGCCGCAGCTTTCATCCAGAGGCAGTTCGCTTCAATATGCGAGTTCTTTCCGGAACGTCACGCCTTGTCACTCTTGTGCCATGCCGCAGAAGAGAAAGGTATAAATTGAGACAAAGGCTCATGAGCCTAAGGTTGGCCATCGAGCAAGCCGATCCCTACCTACTCTATGCTAACATGCCGTACCTGGCCCTTGCACGCCCGCCTGCCCTTTCCCTCCAGTTGCTTACACAGCAGAGCGCTTAGCGGCCATGGTGGATAGCGACAATGCTGATGCCCCACCTGCTAAGAACCGCTCGGCTGCCATCCTCTTCTTTGGATTCCTCCTGCTGACCGTGAAAGGGGGACGCGGCGCAGCCTTCCTAGCCCGGTACGCGCTTCTCCCCAGGCACGCCTGCAGGCCCTATAGCAAGCTCGAGGAGCGCATGCGCTACTTGGCTAAGGTCACATCACATCCAGGCTGTTCTCCCTACCCTGACCGCCGGTCTACTTATCCACACAGGGCGCTTCTCTTCTGGAGCAGTCGCTCCGGTCATGATCGAGCTGCTGCTGCCTCGGAGCCCCATCGATACGCCCTGCCTGCGGACCTGCTTCGCCGCTTCCTCGCGTGCATCCTCGTCCTCCTCCGCCACGAAGAGTGCGGCGAGGAGGTGCTGCCCGTGCACGACGCCATTGAGGCTGAGCTGGAGGTACGGTACGGCGCATAAGCGATGCCGTGCTTGCTCGTGCACGTCCGCTTGACCTTAAAGACGAGCGTCCTCCACGTGTGAACCCTCGCAGAGGATCCAGGTGATGCCCCGTGATGGGTTCGAACGGGCGCGGCAGCTGATGCAGGAGGTAAGGACGGCCCTTTGAACCCTGCCGCAATGTAGCACTGCACCTGATTTATGACGAAGCTCGCTTACACCGCAATCCAAGGCGGTCGCCGGGCCAGGAGGCATACGGCTCACGCCCGAGCAGCAGCGTGTCAGTAGGCTGCCGTTTTGGGGCCAGAACGGCGAGGCGCTCGTCGCTAGGTAAGCAGCAGCGACGCACTGTTAGTCGCCACAGTGTCTGGTAAGCAGAGATTGTGACTGTGTTGGCGCGCGCGTTGGCCGAATTGGGTCGACGCACTTACGGTAACCCCTCTGCCCCTCAATGCCCGCAGGCTGCTGGCCTTTGCGGGCGCAGCGAAGACCACCATCCTGCGCCACATTGTCAGCTCGTACCCAGACATCTTCTTCGTGGTCGTCATGTTCAACAGCGCGGTGCAGGTAGGGTGGGAGCGCGTGGTGTACCCGGGGGGTACAGCAGGTAGTGGTGGTTGCGTTGTGGACCCCATGCCCCTCGTCACTCGTGTCAGTGAGACTGGGCGTTGCAAAGCTGGTCACCGCGGACGCGTCTTCTTGCACGTTACCGTACAGTAACCCCACGATGCCCCATGGTACGGTACGACCAGTCCTTTTCTTTGTCGGGCGCAGGTTGCTGTTCAGGCCAGCATGAGACAGGACCTCGCGCGAGATCGGGCAGGTAGGGCTGCCCTGCCATGTATATACTGCCGCGGTGTTGGCCATACCGGTAGCTCCTGACACCCTACCTGCATGTGGAAGTGCGGCTACCTTCATATCTCCACCCATGGTTATTGACCTGCCCTTGTTGCACACCCTGATACTATGATACACAGCTGGCCTGCGGCAGCAGGAGAACTTCGAGGTGCTCACCTCGCATGCCCTGGTGAGCCGGCGCTTCCGCGTGAACCAGAAGTTCCCAGGTCGCAAGAGAGGGTGAGTCCCCTGGGTTTGCAACCCAGTAATCAAGCACAGGGAGGCAAGGGAAGATCAACAACTGGTCGCGATTGCAGGTGCTGAAGAGGAAGAAATAGTCACCCACCCGCCTGCCTGGGGAAGCCGAAGCAACGTAGTTGTTGTTGTTATTTCCGTTGCACGCGCTGTTGCATTGAGGTTTATTATGAAGGACGGCGACACACATACCTGCTGCTCATGTTTGCAGCGATGTGCCCGCCGGGGTAATCCGGACGTTCCTGGCCGGACGGTGGCGCCTGAAGGAGGCCAAGTTGGTGCCCAGCTCGGTGGTGATTGCGGTGCGCAAGACGGTGGAACGCTACATGATGTCTGCTGACAGCGTCCTGGACAAGAAGCACCTGGTGAACAGCTCCAAACGTGAGCCCTCATGGGGTTGTTGTCCAGGAGCGAGTTGCAGCATGCCAGGGATTGCAGTGTGGGCTCCTGTGCTTAGGACGTGTATAAGCGAACCACGGATGGGTTGATGATGGGAATGGCAGCAATATACAAGCTGCATTGTGCATTTGGTGCGCCAACGCTTGCACGGTATGCCCGTTGTCATGTTCCCGGTGCCCCCCCTGGGCGTGCCCTCGCAGTGCTGAGCTGCGCGGAGGAGGGCCTGGCCAAGCTGCAGTCGGAGGTCCAGCGCCCCTTGGAGGCCTTCGCTAGCAGCAGCGAGCAGCTCATCGTGGCCGCCGCACGCGGGCTGTGGGATGCCATCAGAGACCCGAAATCGACCGAGGTCGAGCACCTGCCCCACAACGCGTACTTGAAGCTGTACGCTCTGTCTAAGGAGGTAGGCAGGATGAGTCAGATGGGCGGGATGGCTGGGTCGTGCGCTCCGGCACAATGGCTGGTTGGCGTTGGTGCATGTGACGAACTGGAGAAGGTGGTGAACTCCCTGTTGCTACCGTACCAAGCAGTGAACGAAGCACAGAGGCGACGGCCGATACGGTGCTCGGTACGACACAGATGTCGCATGCAAAGGTGCTGTGTGGCTGCATGCGGCTGCAGGTGCTCACGTTCCCCAGGAGGACGGTGCTGCTGGTGGACGAGGCGCAAGACCTGAACGCAGTCACCGCGCAGGTGCTCATCGACAAGCAGGTGGGGCAAGCGGGTGGGGTTGTGACCCGAGTCAACGCGTTGACTCTGCTAACAACAGCCTTACTGATGTCGCTGAGGCTCCGAAGGTGCCCACAATACATGGTTGCATTTGCGACCATTGGGTCTGTACCATTTGGAGTTGAAAATCAATTGCGCGAGCGACTCGCCACACTGGTCGGTGTGTCATGACGCTTTGTAGCCACTGCAACGATCACACGTCTTGCCCGTACAGGAGCTTCCCGTGGTCCTGGTGGGCGACCCCCGCCAGCAGATCTACGCATTCAACGGAGCGTTTGGCCTAATGGACCGCGTGTGAGGCAGGGAGACGGGATTGGGATGGACCGCACGCCAACTATCACTTTCCCTGTATGTGCCCTGCAGGTGACCGTTGACCCCGCTTTCGTAACACGCATGCCATGCTGTTGCAATCCAGGACTCCCAACACGATTGACATTTCCATCTTGACCGTACTTGGGGTTCATCCTGGGTCGCCATGCAGCATGCTGGCATGCATCGCCCACAAGGACAATGGCAAGCAGCTCATCATGCTTTCCCACCTCGCTCCTGCCCCAGGACCATCGCGCGCCTGTACGAGGGCGAGCTGGTGCTCCGACAGACCTTCCGGTTCGGCCCGGAGATTGCCGCCGCCGTGAACACCATCCTCAAGGCCGGACACCAGGAGCCGCGCTATGTGGTTGGGCGGGTGGGTATACCAGCTGGCGTGTTGCGCATCCCCTGCGTACATTTCCTCTTGTGATCGCGACCGATTGCGGGGGCATGTATTCTCTCCCATGTGCCCTGTCACAGCATCTCTCTGTGGCCTGGCGTTTATTCACTGCATGCAGGCTATTGCCCTTGCTGTGCTGGTGACACCAGTATACGTAGCCATGCAGTCCATAAGCGTGTGACTTCCATTGCGACTCCCTGCTTGGCCCCGCAGGACAGCAGGTCCCACCCGGGTGTGGTGTACGCGCTGGTGCCCCGCGACAAGACCCTGGACACCGTCACGTACGAGGACGTGGCGAAGCCCTCGCGCAAGGGCCGCCCGGCAGCCGGCACCGCGGACTACCGCAACCTCCGCCTGCTGCAGTGCGGGCTGCGGCGCCTGGTGCCTGACGCGGCGTTCCCGGTTGAGCTCGAGGTTACGCCGCTGCGTGAGTCTGCGGTTGCCCACACGCCCGGCTGCGAACCACGAGTAGCGCACAACACCTCACGTTTCTCAATGCACACGGCATTTGGAGCTCTGCTCCAGCCCCATACTCCCCACATCACTGGCCCTCTCTGTTGCGGACATCCAAGCCAACGGCTTTATCCTAACCGCTTCCGTACCGCTATCCGTCCCGTGCTGCACTCCCTGTCCCTGCATGTCTGCAGGCGGCGTGGCTATCCTTCCGCCGGGGTTCCAGCTGCCGCCAAACGCGGGCGCCGGCAGCAGCGGCTCCTCGCTCCCGCGGCTGACCTACGTTGCTCGCACCAACGCCGCCCTCATCAAGGCGGCTCTGGAGCTGGTGGCCCTGGGGTTCACCGTGTGTGGCTCCTTTGCAGGCGCTGACTGGGACAGGGTGCTCGCGAATATCGAGGACATTGTCAAGTTCCTGTGAGTGACTTAATGGAAGCATGGCGTCGTAACTCGTAAGCGATGTGTTGAGCGAGAGGGGTGTTGCAGCCTGTGTGAGACATATCTTCATACCGGCACCTGCCCCTGAATGATGGGTTGAGGCGCCTGTTTCTCCATCCGCAGGAGGGGCGACCGAAGCTTCCACCGCGGCCATGAGCTGCACGGCATGCGGAGCGAGGAGGAGCTGGTCAAGCTTGTGGAGGCGGAGGGCACCAGCAACCTGGCGACGGCCTACACCCTGGTGCGATATGCCCTCAATGGTGTTGTCTGATTGCGCATGTGCCACTCAGCTTGGGGACGGGTTTGGCGAAACTGGCGGGATGCAGAGGGCCTTCCATGCCGAGGGTTGTGCGAGGTAGGACATACCTTTTTGAGGCACCTTACCTAGAGCACATGGTCGGCATCGTGCGGCTGCTGCGGTGTACTGCTGCATCCACATTGCATGGTGTGTGGTGGGCTCCCGGGGGCGCTGTGCGACGTTGGTGTCTTCGTTTGTACGGCCCCCAACTTGATCCGCGCCCCCTTCTGGCCAACATTCCCACGGCCCACAGGCCAAGGAGTACTCGCTGGCGGAGGTGAAGGCGCTTGGGCAGAAACTGGTAAGCACATTATGTCCTGCCTCTTTGTTGTCCACTGTTGGGTGAAAAAGACGCATGCAAGGTGCAACTGGGCTGCTGCTGCAGGAAGGCCAGGCCCCTAGAACAGCCTCTATATGCTGGAGGGAAGATGGTTGTCGACCTGGAAACAGTCCACACCCGAACCCCCCAATATGACCACAAGCCTGTCACAACCGTTTATAGCTGAAGCAGACCGTGCAAGTGTACCGGTACCTCTTGCTGTTTCTGTTCCCTGGCGCTCAGCAACCTGAGTGGCGCGTTCACTCCTTCTTCAGACGCCCACCCCCCACTGACACCTCAACACCGACCCCCCCCCTCCGCCGCGCAGCTGCCGGACCGCTGCCGTGCCGAGTACTACCTGGTCACCACGCACAAGATGAAGGGCGAGGAGGCGCCGGTCGTGCAGCTGGCGGACGACTTCTTCGCGACGCTGGTGAGGGCAGTGCACAGCGGCACCCGTGGGTCCCTCCAGCTACAATGCCCTACCTGCTTGAGCGCCGTAGCGTGCACGTGTAACTCCCAGCCGATACCGTTGCTAACGACACGTTCCTTAATCGAACTAGCCCTCGCCTTGCGCCTGTACCATGCGATTGGCCCTGTGGAATCCAATCCGTGTGTGCACTGCCCCCCAATGGCTCAGGCGGCCGACAGCGAGTCCAGCCGGCAGGCCCTGCAGTGGCAGCGCACCGACCCCGCCACCGTGGACGAGATCAACTGCGTCTACGTGGCGGCCACCCGCCCCCGCTGCATGCTGCTGCTCAACCGGGACGTCACGCAGCTGGTGCTGGGGCTGCACCGCAGACACGTGGAACTGGTGTGTGGGGGGGTGTTGGGGGGTTGGTGTTGGGGGGGAGCAGGTGTGTGGGGGCATGGCATCCCGCGTGGAGGGTATTGGGAACGTGTAGGACACGGGCCATGTACGTCAGGGGTTATGTTCGGAGTGTACGACACACGTTGTGACTGTGGTGAAGGCATAGAGCACTCCGATGTGCATGGTTTGATGTCTTCAACCTTGCGGAAATGTCTCAAACAAGACTCGGCTCTGCACACATGTACAGGTGCTGCCCAGCCCGGAACCAGTTGCGGCTGCTGCGGGCGAGGCGACTGCTGCTTCCGGGCAGGCGGCTGCGGCGCCGGGGCAGGCGGCTGCGACTGTGGCTGAGGTGGTCACTGCGGGGCAGGCAGCTACCGCGGCGTTGGAAGTGGTGGCGACCGCCGCGGCGACACCAGCGCAGAAGGTTGTAGCCGCAGCGCAGGCAACCACGGCAGCAACCACGCCAGAGGATGCCGCAGCTGCTGTGGGGGCAATGCCATCTCCGGCAGAGGCGGAGGCAACGACCGTTGAGGCAATGGGAGCGGCGGGGGCAACAGTGGCAGCAGCCTGTACCGCGGGGGCATTGGCACCCGTGGGCAAGGCGGCGGCACTTGCGGCAGAGCCGGTGGCGGCTGTCGAGGTGGCCGTGGTGTCACCCGCCTTGCAGCACAACGCTGCGGCGGCGGGAGCCCCTGCAGCCTCGGTGGTGCCGGTGCAAGCCCCCGCGGGGGAGCCTCCGGGCAGCAGCGCTCCCAGGGCGTCGCAGCAAAGGCGGAGCTCGATCCCGGAAGCCCCGGGTAGGCTGGTTGGCAGGGGCCAGAGGCGGAGGCGGCGTAGCGCCACCCTGGAGTTGTCGTCCGAGGAGGTGGAGGTGGAGGAGAGCGAGGAGGAGGACGGAAGTGACGAGGATGAGGATTATGTCACGGAGGAAGATGAAGAGGATGACACGGAGGAGGAGGAGTGGGACGAGGAAGAGGAGTTTGAGGAGGCGTCTACAGACGACGTTTCTGAGGAGGATGAGGAGGTTGGGTCGGACACCCTGGACAGCGAGGAGGAGGAGGAGGCGAACCAGCGCAGCCGGAGGCGAACTTCGGTCCGGCGTGGCGGCTGCCGGAAGCGGCGGCGCAGGGGAAGGGGCGTGCCGTTGCGGAGGACAAGACGGGCGTTCAGGAAGAGGAGGCAGTCCAGCTCGGCTGAGGTGCGTGAGGCATGGCCCGAGAGTATACGTTCTTTCCTTGTTTAACGCTTATTTCCATAACAATTTCTGCGTTAATTACCACAAACACAGGCATCTGCGTAAGCCTGCTCTAGTCTATATGGCTCCGTTGTGTTTACTCCTGCTTCTCTTCATCCTTCACAACTTGCCTTTCTGGAAGCATCTTCGGATAAGTCTTCACATAAGCGTATGCGGCGGCACCTAAATTGCTTTCTCTTCACCCTCAAGTACTAACGTCATGGTCGCGGTACCCATTGAGCAGGAGGAGGGCGAGAGCACCTCGGAACCGGAGCGGGAGGAGCCGGGGATCGAGCGTGCGAAGCGAGCATGGCGACAGCGTCATGGTGTCCGCGGCAGTGCACAGACCCGCGCCGCCGGCAAGCAGGCAGCCACCGGCACACGGGCGGCAGGCGGGCAGGCGGCGGCCGGGCCCAAGTGCCCGATATGCTCCTCCGACTGTGCGCCGCTTGCAAAGGTGCGCTGGAGATAGCAAATTGGGGCGCATGGCCATGCCATGAAAGGTGCCGCTTCCCCGGGCACATGTGTGTTGTACGACTTCAATAGCTGTTTTAGATTGCCTACGCTACGAATTTGACTGGCCATTGCTCACCGAACCGCCCCTGCCTGGTGCATGCAGGATCTGCCGTACGTGGCATGGCGGGGCCGTGCCCTGTGCCGTACATGCGCGGGAAGGACCTTGTTTGGGGAGGTGCTGGAGCTGGCGGAGGCACGGGGCGCGCGGCAAGGTCGCTAGCCGTAAGGCAACAGCAACAGCAGGGAGGACGCGCAGGAGTGCAAAGCAAGCATGAGCAGCAACAGCAGGATTGGACAGCTGGACAGGGTTCCTGGGCGTGCTTTTCGTAACAGGGTGGCCCGCGATCAGATTATTTCTCAGTAACAGTGCTTTCTCTGAGGTTGGAGTGCGTGCACACAGAACTGAATTGCGCATGGGCAGGGTTGGCAGGTGTGCGTGGGCTGGGTGCAAGGTTAAGCAGGGACTGTCTTTCCTTGATGTGCCTTGCTGCAAAGGGGCATTTAGGTTACCGTTGGAGTTGTGCTTGTTGGAGGACTTGCAGACGAGGTACTTGAAGGCAGGCTGCTGTCCCGTGTTTGCGCGTGTCATATTATCTTCCATGATCCGAGACAGTGAACGCCGCCGTTGTAGGGGGTAATTATAGTGCCTACACCCACAAGTGTCGTCCTTTTTCGAGGGCGAGGTTCGGTAAGAGGCCCATTCTTGCCATCGCACGTGAGCTGAGATGAGCGGGCCGTATAGGACTTGTAGGATTGGTATGGCCCGGCCCCTAGCGCTGGGCAAGGTAGGTTTTAAAGGGTGGTGAAGGGGTCTGCGGCCATCACCTGGATGGCTTCACCGAGCTAGGACCCCCATGTGGAAAGTAGCTGGAGTAGCTTTCTAGATTATTGTCTGATGAGTGGTGGATGCGTTAACGTTTTGGTGCAAAGGATGATGTGAATGTGGCATCAGGGCTCTCCGGAATCCAAGACAGCTAGTATCGTACTTTTAAACACGTAGCTTTTCACTTAGTCTCGCATATAGGATTTCATGTATGTTAGCTTTTCAGGACTTCAAGCGAAGCTGTGGACGAAAACTAATGCAAGTATTACCACCAGCACTATAAATTACCAGCACCGTAACTCAACAAGTAACCTTTGGGGTTTTATGCAACATACTTTGTGCTGAAGTAAGCCTTCCAATATAATACATCTTGCCTGAAATTAGAGCCCATGGTCGAACGCAGCTCATGAGTGCATACTCAGTATTACACCGTGGCACGGACTGTCCATTAGAGTACAATAAAGGATGTAGGAGTATACCTTGACGAGCGTTAGGGCTAGGCCCTTTGGAGCACCGCTCGTACCATGGCGACATCCGTCGTGCTGGGGACGCGGCCGGACTGGACCCGCAGCACGCTTGGGATACCCATCGACACTATCGTCCGGATTCATCCTGGGCTTGCTGGCGGTAAGGAGTGTTTGCGGGGGTTGGAGCAATGAACAGCCCGAGCGTCGCGACTCCGCGTGTGCAAGCAAAGGTGCCCTCGCTCACGTCGGTCATTCCTGAAACTCTCCATTGCTCCGTAATTGCAATGGTTCACATATATGAGTAGTCGAGCAGCCGCAACCCACGCACGCGGTAACTTGAGCCATGACTGTGTCCCGGTAAACGGAACAACATGGGTATACTAGCATGGCCTCAGGACAGCGTCCCTGAGACAGACAAGGACTGGTGTCTGAAGCTGTGTATTCCAAGACACGCTCGCTGCCGCTCATGTCACTCACCCACCCGCCCTGCCGCCCACTACCGGTATCTGCCCACTCGCTGTCCCTCTCCGCTGTCCCCCTTTGCCACCCAACACCGCTCATACCCACTCCTACGTTGCACCTATGGCCCCGTTCTCTTCCTCCTCCTGCTCCTGCTCCTATCCTCGCCCCCCACTTCTTTTCCCCGCAGCCAAGCCTGACCTCGCCTACAGCCGCAACCGCGTGTCAGTATCCCGGGTTCCTGGGGCGGCTGCACGACCGTAAGTGTGCTGGGGGCCGCTGGGGGGTGGTGGGGTGCTGCTGGCAAGTGATTGGATGGGGTGCAGCCCGGGTGGTGTGGGAACTGGGAGGAAGTGTGAGGGTTAGTGCGCTTATTTACCCTCCAAAGCAGCCCCCAGTGCAGATGCGTTCATGGGACGCTGGGTGGGGAGGTGAGGAGCCGGGCAGCGGCGTGGGGGGCGAGCAGGGCTGTGCAGCAGCAGCAAGCGACCCGGACCAGTACGGCTGCTGCCAGGGGGAGAGAGGCGGTTGGGTGTTTAGCTGGGACCAGCTTGATGGGACACCTGGGACGAGGCCTCCCAGCCGCTGAACCCCTCCCGGGTCCGTGGACCATCCCCCTGCCGCCCCAAGTGCCCTCCCCTCCTCGCCTCCTGCCCGCCTGCCACTGTCATTCAACGCATGACCGATTCCATGCCCCAGGGGCTTGTCATATGGTTTGCCAATATCATCGTTCAACACAGCGGGTCTCCTTCTTTCCCCCCCCCCCCCTCAGTTTTCCTTATTTTGATCCCCTCAGTTTGACTGTACGCAATCCTAAAATCCAGCCTAATGCGGAGTATGTATCGCTATTAATCCCCCTCCCTCCCCCTTTCAGTGAGGACGAGTTCGATGTGGGCTACGTGTACGGCCCCGAGGCCAGCAACCAGGACGTGGCGGCGCGCTCGCTGCTGCCGCTGCTGCGCAAGCTGGTGGACGGCTACAACGTGACGGTGCTGGCGTTCGGACCCACGGGTCGGTGCGACTGGGATGATGGGGCGGACTGGGACGCTGGAAAGACCGACCCTAACACGCAGGGGATGGGCGCGGGAAAGATGAAGGAAGTAGGGAGGAAGGACAACACGTTCAGTGCTAGTAGTGGTAGTCCCCCAGCCATCCGAGGAGTGCACCCACTACTGCGTTGAGTACACGCCCGCGCACCGCACTTGCACCTGACCTTCCCACCTCCCCCGCCCCCCCTCCTGGCCCCCCACCCCAGGCAGCGGCAAGACGCTGCTGCTGGAGGGCTCCCGCGGCAAGGAGCGGCACAGCCCCGAGGGCAACGGGCTGGTTCACATCGGCGTGGAGGAGCTGTTCAAGCTGCTCAATGAGAAGGCGGTGCACGTGGGTGAGAGGGGGGAGGAGGGGGGGAGGGGGTGTGGTAGTAGTAGTAGTAGTAGTAGTAGTAGTAGCAGTGTGGCGCTGGAATCCCAATCCCATGTCCCCGCTCAGAAGGGGGAGGAGGAGGAGCAGGAGGGGAGCATGAAGAGCACGGGAACGCCTAAGCCTAAGCACAGGAGAGGGCCGTGCGTGTGGGGCGCTGTAGCAGGAACCTTAGTGTCGCATTGGTCTTAGCGCACCAGTAGTCTTAGCGCGGCACAAGCAAACGAGATCCCGCCGGAAAACCCGAGCCTAGACACCGACGTGCGCCCCGGTATCTGCATCCCCTGACCCTCCCCTCCATCTAGTCTATGGTCCTCCATTATCATTCAATACATTGGGACTTCTTCTCTTTCCTCTCCCCCCAGGCAATGCAATGGCCGAGCGGCGGCGCATGCCCTCCGCCCGCGCCTTCGACTTCTTCCTGGAGACCTCCTTCGTGGAGCTCTACCGCGAGGAGGTGTACGACCTGTACGGCAGGGTGCAGCCGGGGGGCGGCAGGGTGCCGCTGCAGGTGGGGGCGAGCGAGGGAGGGAGGGGGGAGGGGCTGGAAGGGATTGGGGGGGATTGGTGATGTGAACAACACCTCTGGCAGCTCCGCACCCACCCCGCCTCCCCCAGTTGCTGCTGCTATCTCTCACCCTTCCCTTCACCTTCCCTTCACCTTGCTTGTCACCTAATTTGCCATTGTCACTCAACACCTTGGGTAATGCTCCTCATCCACCCCCACCCCGCAAGGTGTACGAGGACGTGACGGAGGGTTTCCAGGTGTCGGGGCTCACCTACCGCCTGGCCAAGACGGCGGCGGAGATGAAGACGACCTACAACGCGGGACGAATGATGCGCGACAACACGGTGGGGGGGTGGGGGGGGCCTGACTTTGGGCCGGAAAGCGGGCGCTGAATGGCGCTGAGTCATGGCATTAGTAGCCAATGTGGTTAGCCAGCAGCTAGCCTGTGTACGCTGTCTGCTACAGGTACGGCAGTAACTGGAGGAGGCTGGTAGGGGCTCGGCAGTAATCAACCTGACACGCATCATGCGTGCGTTTGTTAAGAAAACTGTGTGTTTTGCTGGGGGGGGGGTCACAAATCTCACAATAGCGGGCACGTGGCATGTGGCAGCTCAGCTAGCAGGTGCTCAGTCCAGACCCCCTTCCCTCCCTCCCCTCCCCCCCCCCGCAGAAGGAGGATGTGGGCAGTGTCCACGACCGCGCTGCCGCCATCTTCACCATCCACCTGGCGCAGTACTCCCCGGCAGCAGTGGCGGGGGAGGAGGACAGGATCATGGTGGGGGGTGGCGGAGGGGGCGGAGGGGGGGGAAAGAGATTCCAAAGTGTGATGTGATAATAATACACGTTGGGGGGGGGGAGTGGTAGAGAGTACCAACCCTGACGCGGCGATGATGCTTCAAGGACCAAAAGCGGGTGGTAGGGTAATAGAACCCCCCCCTTTCTGCCCCATGCCTTACTCTCCCCCTCCCATCTGCCCTCCACCTTGCCATGTACCCTGTGCCCTCCCCTTTCCTCCATCGTTTGCCCGAACTTCTTTGCCCGGTTCCTACCATTCCTACCATACTATCGACCCCCCTTCCTCTTCTTCAGATTTCCAAGATCCAGTTTGTGGATCTGCCCGGATCCGAGCGCCTAGCCGAGGATCCCGAGATCCTCCGACTGCGCGAGGGCCCCATCCTCAACCGCTCCCTGCACGCCCTGGGAGCCACCCTGCGAGCACTCGCGGAGGGGCCGGGGGGCGGGCTGGCGGCGGCGGCAGCTGCAGCAGCAGCGGCCGCAGCCACCGGCGCAGGTGGAGGGGCCGGTGTGGGTGGGGTGTACATCCCCGGTGCTGGGGGTACGGGTACGGCGGGTGCGGGGAATTCGGGTGGGGGTGCCGTACCGTCGGGTACGGCACCCGGGGCGCTTGTTCCCGGCGGCGGTACGGCAGGAGTAGGGGGTCCGGTGGGATCTGGGTTGAGTTCCGGAGTGCCGTACATCAACTACGAGGCGAGCGTGCTCACGAAGCTGCTGTCGGGTAAGGGGTGAGGGGTGGGGGGAGAGGAACAGGGGAGGGGAGGGAGGCGGCATGGGAAGGCAGGGAGGGATGGAGCACATGCGAGGGTGGGCAGGGAGTCGTAAGGGCGAGTGGTAGGAGGGCGGGCAGGCGGCTCACGCCCCAGGGAGCAGGATGAATGCCCCCATAGCACCGCCTGGCCCCCCTCCGCCTCGCGTTGCGCCCTTCCCTTCTTTCTCTTCACTCCTCCCCCTCTCCACCCGTCTCTCCCTCCCGCTCCCCCTCCCTCCTCCCCCCCAGACGCCCTGGGTGGCAATGCGCTGTGTCTGCTGGCGGGCACCCTGCGGCAGGCGGACGGCGGCGGCGGGCTGCAGGCCATCAACACGCTGCAGTACCTGACCATAGCGCGGGCGGCCAGGAACTTCCCCATCATCAACCATGGCAGGTGGGCACCGGGGGGGGTAACAGTAGGGATACTTGTTCCGCATTGGGCTGGGTGGCTGGGTTAGCGTATAGCAGAAGGGGGGGTCCCAGCAGCTTCTCGGGACACATCTCTTCCCTCCTGACCCGCTGCTGCTGCTGCCCCCCACCCCACCCACCCGGATAATCCAACCAAGTGCGGAAATGTATCCCTATTAAACACGCCCACCCGCCCCATGCTACCTCATCCTACGCCTCACCAGGGCTCGCGGTCTGATGCAGAAGCTGCGGCACCGGCTGATGGCCGTGGTGGAGGACCGACAGGCGCTGCGTGAGCTGCTGGACTCCACCCCCGCGGAGGGGGACCCCAACTCCATGGCACTCAACATTGCCAAGGTGGGGGCGGGGAAGGGGGTGAGGAGATATACCAAAACCACAGGTTAGGGCAAAGCAAGGGCGATAGAGAAAAGCAGCTTACCACGAAACAAATGGGGAAGGGGGGGAAGAGGGTGCGCATGTGGTGGTGGTGGGTGGGGGGGGTTTCTCAGGGGTCCGGGGAGCGCGTGTGCGCGCTGGGTACTGCGGGTGGGTGGGATACTGCGCACGCAGACGTGGCGTTTCTGTGGGGGGACTTCATCTTCCGGCAATCACAGTACGTTCCGATTCGCGGCCAGTTTTCTTAGCACACACCACAGGATGATGGGAGGTTGGCTGGGAGGGATGATGGTACCAGTACGGCAATCCAAAGGGGTGGGACGTGCCGTATGTTGTTGGATGGCGTGTCTACCACCGCAATGCAAAAATGCAATGCACAGAGCCGCCCAACCAGCCCCGTACACACCGCCTAAGCTCTTAACCTCCCTCCCTCCTCCCCCTTCCTCCCCCCCTACAAATATTACCTTCCGCTCCCCTCCCCCCCCCATTCTAACCAGCTCCGTGACATGGAGGCCCGGCTGATGGCGGTGCGTGCGGAGAACGCGGAGCTGGTGGAGGAGAAGCAGGCGCTGCAGGCGCGCATGCAGAAACTGTACCAGGTGGGGGAGGGGGGGAGGGGCAGGAATAATGAAACTGGCGAACTGTATGACGAGAAAGGGAGGAGGGGCTTGTGGTGGGTGGGTAGGGGCTGCATGGGGATGGAGAAGAGTACTCCATGTGTTGAATGTTGCTGTAGGAGGGGTTGGGGCTGGGGACGGATTCGATTGGTGGGTAGCGGCCCCAACCTGGTACGAACACAGAGGCAATGAGTGGGGCAGAGGCATGGTAGAGGTGTTGGGTGGGAGGATGCGGCTGGTGCGGCTGATGCCTGCCCCGACCCTCATGCACCCAACCCTCCCTCGCCCCTCACCCCTCACAATGCCACATACCCCTGCTCCGCTCCCCACCTCTCCTCACGCCAACCCAAACCCTCCCCAACCCACCTCCCACCCCGCTACGCAGTCCGAAGAGGGAGACTTGGAAGACAAGAAGGAGCTGCAGGTGCGGGCAGGGGGGAGGGGCCGGGGGGGGGGGGGTCGTCGAACGGAGCTTCATGGGGGGAAAGGTTCCTGACTTGCTGTAGACCCCATGCGGGACCCGCACTGTCAGCGTGCCGGCAGTGTGTCAGCGGCGGGGATGCAGCCCGGTGGTCCAAGTGGGTCAGGGCTCCGGTGCAGCGGGCTGTTTCCCGGTCGGGCAGCTACCGACTTGCTGCCGCCCTCTCCTCACCTCCCTCCCACCACCCCGATGTAACCCCCCCATGCAACCGCCCCCCCGCAGGAGGCCCTGATTCAGAGTGAGGAGCAGCGGCTGCAGCTGTCCCGGGCGCTCATTGACTTCCAGGTGGGGGCTGGGACGGGGGGTGGTGGAGGTGGTGGAGGGTGGGGGTGGGGATGGGGGTGGAGGTGGCCTGGGGAGCCCCGCAGCAGGGGCCGCAGCGGCAGTGGGCGCCCTGACTCGGGTTACGTATGAGCTGGCACCCAGTGTGTGTTGTAGGGCCCACCATGTGCTCCTGTGCACCCATGTGTTGAGAAAACTGGGTGGTGTGTTTGAGTGTGTGCCCCACCTCCCCACTTCCTCCCCCCCACCCAGATGGAGTTCAACGAGGCCAAGCAGGAGTGGGAGACAGCCAAACACGATCTGGAGGTGCAGCTGATTGAGGTGAGGGGGAAGGGAGAAGGGGGGGAGGGGGTTAGGGGGGGCGCCGTGGTGTGAACTACCTGGCGAGGTCGGGGCATGTGGCATGTGGCCTGCAAGCTGCAGCAGCTGCCGCTGCCGCCCCCTGCCGGGCGTCCCTGCTTCCACCCCAAGGGGGCTCCTTCCGCCCCCATCCGGACCCTCACCCTCGTTGCCACCTGTCCCACATACCGCAACCCCCCTCCCTCCCTCCCCTCCTCTTCCCCTTCCCCCCTCCGCCCCCAGGCTGACGCTCGGCGCATGGAGTCCGACCTGACCTGCGAGGAGGTGGCGGTGCTGCAGCAGCAGCGGGAGGAGCTGGCGGGGAAGGTGGGGGGGCGCGGGGGGGGGGGGGGGAAAGAGGGAGAAACTGACCAGGGGAGGAGGAGGGGAAGGAGGAGGGGGAAGGGGCATGCTACTCCCCCTTCCTCCGCCGGAAGGGCGGCGCACGTGAGGGCTGGGTGCGTCCGCGTCTGTCGGTGCCGATCAGTACGGCATACCCGTATATGTCCTCCCCTGCTTGGTGTGATGCGGTGTGATGTGAGCTGATGTGCGGGGTGCGGTGTACCGCCGTGTCCCGCAGGTGGAGGAGCTGGAGCAGCAGCTGCAGAAGGCGACAGAGGAGGTGATAGGGACTGGGGTGGGGGGTTTGGAGGGGGTGGGGTGACCTAGGGGGGGGGCATAGGAGCGGCTGGGGTGGGTCAAAATGAGCGGATGGGCTGGGTTCCGCACTTTCCGAGATGGGCGAAAGGTCACTGGGTGGTTCCCTCTTCGATGGGGCTGTCATGCAGCTAGCCCTGCGGGTTGCATCTGTTACGACTGGGAGCCTGTAACCTCGACTCACCCCCTGGTTGGTCCTCGGCAAATGGCCGTTGTTGATTCCCTCATTTCCCCTCCCCCCCGCCCCCCTGCAGGCGGAGCAGCTGCGGTCCGAGGTGGCGCGGCTGGGGTCGGAGGTGGAGGCGCTGACAGGCGGGGCCAGCGTGCAGGTGGGGGGTGGCGAGGGTGGCGGGGGGGGGGGGGGAGTGTGTGTATGGGTGGGTGAGAGAAGCACAAGACCAAGTTGGGGTTAGGGTTGGGAGGGCGCGGTCAGGGGGTATAGGGGTTATGGGTTGGGTGGGGTGACGTACAGAGTAAGAGGGTCGTCCATTCACCCCACTCACTCCCTGCACCCGGCATCTTCCCTTCATCTGGCCTCCAACCTACCCCGCCCCGCCCCGCCCATCTTTATCCCCTCCTCTCCCCCAATCCCCATCCCCATCCTTAATCCCATCCCACCCACCCTCCCCTCCCCCCCCCCGGTCCCCCCCCTCAGGAGGTATTGGACCGGCGGCGCAAGGACGCGGAGGAGCTCAAAGACAAGGTGGGCGAGAGGTAGTGGCGGTGGGGTGACAGCGGTGCCGCTGGTTTAGTCCGCCTCCTGCAACCCCCCTCACCTCGGCTGCAGTACATCTAGCGATGTTAACCCCTCTACTGCCCCCTCTCCACCCGTACTCCCCCTCCACCCCCCCTACCTCCCCTCCCCTCCCCCCCCCCCCCCCCCACCCCCCAGGACCGGCGGCTGGCTGAGCTGCAGGGCGAGCTGGCGGGTGTGCGGCGGGAGGCGGATGCGGCCCGCAGCGGAGCACTGCTCAACCAGACGGCGGTGGACGAGGTGGGGGGGGGGGAGGGTAAAGGGGAAACGACTAACAGACCGTGTGATAAGGCTTTAGGGGGAAGGAGGAGGGGAAGAGGGCTTAGGAGCAGGTGGGAAGAGGGCTTAGGAGCAGGTGGGAAGAGGGCTTAGGAGCAGGTGGGAAGAGGGAGCTGCGTGCCCCGGCCCATGCGGGTTAGGCGCCTACACTACCTGGCTCTCCACCTGCTACCATGCATCTCCTGGGCCCGGTGCGGTAGACCTCCCCGCCACCCTCCCCTCCTCCCCCTTCTCTTCCAGTATACCACGGTCAGGGTCAGTGTTTCCGCGGCTTAGTTTACCTAATCCCCCTTCTCTCCCCCTCCCCCTCCCCCACCCCCCTCCCCCCCAGGTCCGCGAGGCCTACCGTCGGCGCCTGGCGGTGCTATCCCGCGATGTGGCCGACATGGGGCGCGCGGTGGCCATCCTGGAGGCGGACCCGCAGTCGGAGCTGCGGGTGGGGCCGGAGGAGCTGTACGGCAGCCTGCAGCAGCTGGCGGAGGAAAACGTCAAGGTAGGGGGGTGGGGGGGAGGAGGAGGGGAGGGGGAGGGGGGGGAAGGGGTAAAAGGGGAGGAGGGGGGCGAAGGAGGGGCGGCGTGGTAGTTGGGTTTCAGAGGTACGTGCGGGCGGTGGCCGCATTGCGCCACATCATTCGCGCGTGCCAACGTACCTCGTAATCTTCTCCTCGCGCGCTGAACTTCTTAAGCTTCAATGTATCGCCCATGCGCTGCCGCTGCTGCTCAGTTGCCCTCATGTGGCTCCCCCTCCTCCTGACCTCTCCCCCCCCCTTCCCCTCCCCTCCCCCCGTTGACTTGTTGTTTCACTTATTTAATTTTTCCCTCCCCTCCCTTCCCCCCCCGGGGCAGGTGTCGGAGGCTCGCGAGGCGGATGTGCGTGCTGACGCGGACGACCTGGCGGCCCGCCACCTGGAGCTCAAGAGGAAGTTCAAGGCACTGTACGGGGCGTACCGCAGGTGGGAGGAGAGGGGGCGTACCGGGGCTCAGGGGCCTTTATTTTATTGAGTGCCTTAGGGGGTAACCTCGCCTTATTGGTTCCCCTTCCCGCCCCTCCCTCCTCCCTCACCTCCTCACCTCCCTCCCTCGTCCCCCCCCCTCCCCCCTCCCCCCTCCCCCCTCCCCAGCCTGCGCTACATGCTGGAGGACCGCTGGCCCGCACCCGAGGAGCCGCCCAAGGTAGGGGTGAGGGGAGTGGGTGAGTGGGTGACAGGCGCGTACCACACACGCACCATGCCATGACTCCCACGTCTTCACCTCCCCCTTGCATGCCTGCAAGCTCTCTACCCCTCGAATGCGCACCTGCTGTGACGCCGCTTCGCACCCTTAAGCGGGGTTGTGTCAGGCTGTCAGCCCCTTTCCGTCCCCCTCTCCCACGCCCTCCTATGCATGGCTCGTCCTCTCTCACCCCCCCCCCGGGCTCCTATAATCCAGCCTTATACGGAATATGTATCCCTACCTTACCCCCCCCCCCGCATTTCCCCTCTCTCCCCCTCCCCCGCAGGTGCCCACAGAGGATCAGGTGGTGGGGGCGGCACTGGAGGGAATCATCAGGTGGGGGGAGGGAGGGAGGGGGAGGGTGAAGGGCAAAGAAGGGTGGACCATGAGTTGATCAATGGTCGGCAACACTAGCGAAGCGGGTGAAGGGTTTGGGAGAGTACAGGAACACGTCTTCCACTCTACCCCTTCCCACCCTTTCACTCCCCCTCCCGCCCCTCGCCCCCCTCCCCCCCCTCGCCCCCCTCGCCCCCCTGCCCGCCTCCAGGTCTGACGAGGAGGCCGACCACCGCACCATCAACAAGCTGAGAGACAAGGTGCGTGCGGGGTGGTGGTGGGGGGTCAAAGATTATCCCGAACCATAGGGAATCCACAAGTTGGGGCAAAACAATCGTTAGAAAACAGTAGGGTGGGGGGGGGGCAAAGGGAAGCCAGCCCGTTCTGTTGAAACAGGAGTGGGCGGTACATGTTTTGTTGCCGGTATCCACCATGTGCATCCTGTTGTCGCATGGCTGGCTTCCTCTGGCTAACCCTCTCCACCCCTCACCATCACCCCCCCATGCAGATCGCCCAGCTGGAGGCCCAGCAGGAGACGTTGCGGGTGGCTCGCGCGGCGGGGGAGGCGGGGCTGGAGGGGGCGGGGGGAGCCAGGGGGGGCAGCGGCCGCAGCAGCGGGGGCGGCGCAGGGGGGGCAGGCGGAGGGCTGCTGGGGCGGCACCGGGACTTACGCAACCGGGAGCGACATAAAGGTGGGGTTGGCGGGGGGTGGGAAGCGGGGGTTGCCGGATGGTGTGTTTGGGTATCGTAGGGTGTAAGGCCATGTGTGTGAAGAAAACTGGCCGCGAGTAGGAACGTACTGGGATGTTGGAAGATGAAGTCCATGTGCCATGTGTGTTAAGAAAACTGGCCGCGAGTAGGAACGTACTGGGATGTTGGAAGATGAAGTCCCCACAGAACCGCCGCAGGAGCCGAGGAATAGGGTAGCGTATGTACATCTAGAAGTCCAGTACTGGTGCTGAGAGTAAGTAGGACGTAAGAAGCACTCTCGTAAAACGACCGGACCGAAGGCCATGTGTGCCATGTGTGTGTGGGGGGGGGGGAACAAGACGCAACCTGTGCGAGGCTGTGTTCGTGGCATGATGAGTGTGTTTGGGGGCTGTCTGAGGGTTGCTGACGTGCCCAGAGGTGCTGCCCCTGCACCCACACACATCTCCCCCTGCACCCACTTCCCCCCCCCGCAGACATCCCGCCCATCTTGGAGTTGGAGAACCAGCGGCTGCGTGAGGAGCTGGATGCGCTGCGGAGCCGGCTGGGGGCGGGCGGGGGCGGGGGGCCGGGCGGGGGGCTGCTGCCGCCGCCCGACCCCGCGGTTGCTGCTGCCAAGCAGTCTGCTGCGGGCGGGTTCGTGGTGCCCAACAACGCGGCGAGCGAGGCCATCATCCGGCAGCTGAGGGAGCACCACGGCAAGATGACGGTGAGGGGCGAGGAGGGGGAAGGGGGGGGAGGGGAGGGAGGGGAGGGAGGGGAGCTGTGGAGGGGGAGGGGTTCTGGCCATTACACCACCACTGCCATCACCAGTACTCTCATCGCCCCCTCCCTTCCCCCAAACTCCGTCTTGTCCCCCCCCCCCAGTCCGATCTGCAGCGGCGGGTGCAGTCCTCGGAGGCGCGGGCCACCATGGCGGAGGAGCAGCTGGCGGCACTGCAGGTGGGTGGGGGGGTGTTGGGTGGGGGGAGAAGTGAAGCACTGGAGCCCCAACCCCTGGAGTGGAGGGTAAAGAGGGATTGGAGGGCATGTGGGAGGGTGTGGGTCCTACAAGAAAGGCCAGAAAGGGATGGGGTGGGGTGGCGCCGGGGATGCATGCACCCTGGCGCATGGGGAAGTAGGTGGGGCTGATGTCCCTAGCGGTTCCTGCTTTCTTGCCGCTCATGTGTGCCCTTCCCCCTCTTCCCCTCCTCTTTTTCTTCCCTCCCCGCCTCCCCCCTCCCCCCCCTGCAGTCCTACATGGCTAAGGCCAGTGTGAGCTACCAGAAGGAGATCGTGCGGCTGAGGGCCGTGATTGGGCAGATGGAGGTGTCCATGGGGGTGAAGCAGGTGGGGGGAGGGGAGGGGGGAAGGAGGGGGGGAAGAGTGAGGGGGGCCCAGGGGAGGGGCGGGACAGGGGAGGGAAGGAGCGAACTCAGGCGGAGCGCAATGCACCGGGAAGGGGCTGCTTTCCAAGGAGATATGGGAGTGTCGAGGAGGTAGGAGTTCCGGGACATTAAAGCGGCGTAGTGAAGAAAAGCAACCCGCGACTGGTGCCGCCCCTTCGTTGAGCCCTGTAAGCTCCCAACCTGCTTCGCTTCTGGTCGAACTTCCCAACCCCCTCCGCCAGTTTGTCTAGCCTTGACACTCACCCCACTCCTTACCCCCCTCCCTCCACCCTCCACCCTCCCCCCCTCCCGCCCCCGCAGGGCAGCTACCTCAACCTGAACCCGCTGGAGGGCTCGTCAGCCGGGGGGTTCGGAGGTCCCGGGGGGGCTGCGGCGCTGCGGCCCGCAGCGGAGGTGCTGGAGGAGATGAAGGAGCGAGGGGCGGCGGCAGCGGTGCTGAGGGGGGGAGGGGGAGGGGGAGGGAGGGAGAGGGGGCCGAGAGGGAGCGAGGGGCAAGGGCAGCCGCGGCGCGGTGGGACAATGGGGGGAGGAGATGGCGGGGTGGGTTGAGGTGGGCCGGGGGGTGTCGTGGTGGGACGTGCATGGAGGCTTGCTTGTTGGTTGGGGTTGGTTGGTTCGTTAGTTGGTCAATCAGGTTGCTTGGTTAGTTGATGGGCCGGGAAGTTGCTTACATGCATGGTTCCGACATCACTGCACGCACGCATGTTTGCATGCCGTATGATTGTGTGTGTCGTCGAATGACATGTGTGAACCAGGGTGAAACCTGTTCCCCCCCTCAGCTTTCTGGCTGTGTAACTCTATGTTCTTATGCGGAGCAAAAGAGGATTGGCTACAAACGGCTAACGGTTTGTCATTCAAGGGTACCGGTACGAACGGGCAGTCGGGCTTCCCTGCTCCTTCGCCGCTCTTGCCCGTCAGGAGCAACTGTTCTGAGTAACTGCCCGCTCCATTTGCATGAGAAACGGGCATGGGTGTGGGACGTGGCATCCGTTCTTCTGCGGCTGTTTGACACGGCATTAGTTGGCATGTAACTCGACATGCACGTGCGCATCTGTCGCCAGGCAATTCACCGAGGCTGCAATGACAAAATTACATGGGCAAGCAATAAAAGGGTCCAGGATTAAGCGTTTGATAGCGGAGCCGGAAGATGGATGGCGAGGAGGCACAAGGACGAGTGTCCTTCAGGGTTAAAGATGCGAAGACAAATAGCGTCATGCGCTTTTCTAGCGTACTGCGCCAGTATAGTTTTAGCCTAGCATCTTGACACATGAAACTTCCCCGACGTACAGTACGTGCACGAACATGTGCAAAGAGTTGAACTTCCACAACGTCCTTCAATGGTCGCTGATGAGATAAACGTTTTCCCAGTGACATCCTGAAGTACGTACATGTTTCGCAGCACGTCCGCCTCCGTACATGCAACAGCTTGACCATTGACGTTATCGAGAATAGCGCCGACCCACTGGCTGCTATTGAAACACGACTTCAGATGTAGCTTAAATGTGTAATTTGCTATCTCTTAAACTCACAACCGTGGGACATGCTTACTTATGCGACCGCGAGTTGCCCAATGCCCTTGACAAGCGTATATCCTCCGTAGCTACGTTTATAAAATTAGCACCGAAACATTCCTGCACTTGCAATTATCTTGGCGATGGGGCCGCCCAGAGCTGGACGGTTCAGTCGGGGAACGCTCACAGCTAGACTACGCCTAAGCATACTATTTCTGTAAGTAAACAGCTTTTAGCGTTGGAACTAATTGTTTAGGCATCTGTTCGCTGGCTGAGAGTACACTGCTGCCTCCGTTTCTTAGGGTTATATGGCTGCCAGCCGCCCTTTCGCAAGGTAAGTCAAAGCTTACAGCATGTTTCAATTTCTTGAGCTCACTCAACAGCGCACTGGGCCAGTTTAGCGGTTCGTCAAAGCAGCGCGCAACGACCTTTGTTGAATTGACCTGAAGCACCGGGCACAGAGCGCTTTGTGTACATTGATTTTTACGCGGTGACATGCGAAGTATTCTAGCGTATCCGCCCCTGAGGTGTCGCGCACGAAAATGCTTTCGGCACTCTATCTACCTCTTCGTCATGCTGCTTGGCATGTAACCGCAACGCGCTAGGAGAAACTCACCTGCAGATCAAGAGCACAGCTTCGTTTCTCATTCATGTGTCTAAATGAATTGCAAAAAGGGTTTCGTGTCCCTTACTGGCTTCGTAAACTGTCATGTCGCATTGCAACCTGCTTGCCCGCATGTGTGAAAGTAGAACCGATGTTATGAGGCTACAGAAAAGCAAAGTTTACGCTGCTTAGGTAACGTAAAAAAGCTCGTTGCCGAGTCCTAACCTCCTCGCCACATTAGAACAAGGGCAGCTAGCATAGCAACCGCAATAACCCTTGCAACCCTTTTTCCTTGTAGCGTCTCCACCTCCAAGTCCTCCAAGCCCTTCACCCCCAAGCCCGGCTCCGCCCAGCCCTTCGCCTCCCAACCCACCATCTCCCGGCCCTTCACCTCCCAACCCACCATCTCCCGGCCCTTCACCTCCCAGCCCACCATCTCCCAATCCATCGCCTCTACCCCCAAGCCCTCCCAGCCCTCCAACCCCAAGCCCAGCCCCACCTAGCCCCCCATCCCCACCCAGCCCACCTCCCCCAAGCCCAGCCCCGCCTCAGCCTCCCAGCCCGCCACCCTCACCCACACCTCCCAGCCCGGCACCACCCTTGAAACCTGTGGCGAAAGCCATCTACCAGCCGCCTAGCAGCCCGGCCGGGAACACATCAACAGGTAGGGCCAATCTAGCGGGGCGATTGATGATACTGTCTCGGCTCCCATTCCATCAGCGGCTTTGTTCAGCAGATGGTATCTGGCAACTTAAATCCATCCAGCTGCAAGGGAGGGTGTCACAGGGACGGGAAACACACTGAAGGGCGCACCACACGCCGTACCGGACTGTCAGATCCTGTCTGCCCGCCTATCGGACCCATACCTGGCATCTCTGGTCATTACGCCATCACTGGTAACCCCGTTTCCTGTGTGCCCGTGTAGATCTGTCCGGATCTGAGTATGCGCCGTACTCGCTCGAGGTCTGCCCGGATGCCCGCTGGAAGGTGGGTTGCCAGCAGACTTCAGTCGCCCCCCGCCGGCATGTACACGTGCCCCGATAACAGCATACCGGTACTGTAGGCGGTCTTCGCTCTCCGCTTCCTCCTCTTGCGCCCCAAGAGGTTTCGTGTTGCATGGCCCGTTCACATGGCTACCGACTTTGGCTGGCAGCAGCGCTTGTACAACGCGAGACCTTAACTGCCCTTCCTCACACCTCCCCCCACCCTCCCTGCCGTCCAACGGCTGACGAACGACGTCCGTACAGGATCTGATCTTCCTTTGGGGCCCCTCCATACCGGCCGTGTTCGACAACGCAACCCACTGGGAGGATGGGGACTTCCAGGTAGGTCGCCCAGCCCCCGCCCTCCTCCTCCTAGGCGCCCAACTGCCTTTGGCCTTGGGATTCCCCGGCCTCCGGGCAAGCCGAGAAGGTCCCGGGCGGATTTGTCCGAGGTGTTCTGGCCGCCCCCCCTCTCATCACCCCTTGACGCGCCATCCGGGCCCCGTGGTTGCCGTTGACGCCCTGGGTCCGTTGCCGAGGACTTCCCAAACCCGCCAGTTAGCGCGTTACCTCCTAGTAGCCGTTAGCGTTAACCCCCGCCCCTTTCCCCTGCTGCTCCCGCTCCTGCGCCCGCGTGCACCCACCTGCTGCCCCCCTCCCGTCTGGTCTCTCCCCTCCCTGCCTCCCTCCCTCCCTCCCTTTCTTCCCAGCACTACGGCACCAACGTCATCATTCCGCAGCTCTCCGCCAACATCATCTTCGCCTCGCTGGCGGCTGCCGTGCTGCTGGGCCTGATGCTGTGGTGAGCAGCGGGGGAGCGGGGAAGGGGAGGATGTGACTATGGACGGACACAGTGGACCGTCCACCCGTTTGCATATCACGGGAGGGAAAAGGGAGGGAGCGGGTGGCTGGTGTGGAGGGTACGGCTCCCCGGTGTGTGTGGCGTCAGGCGGGGCCAAATCGCACCACAGGATGTCTTGCCTTCCTGGGCCCCCCAAGCCAACCTGGACGAATGCCACTGCTGCTGCTGCTGCCTTCTCCGCTGCTGCCTCCTGCCCTGCTACCCGCAGGCGCTTCATCCGCGCCTGCTTCTGTCAGCAGTGTATCCAGGATCGGCCCTACCTGGACCCCTCCGTGCTGCTCTCCGGCTGGCGCTTCTGGCTGCCCAAGGTGGGTCGGCAGCTGGTGTGTGTCATCAACTTAGTGATGTGCTGTGCAGTTCGTTCCTTCCTCATTGCTGCCGGGCCCCTCACGCGGGCATGCATGGCTGGCTGCAGGATGAAACACGGCCCGGCACACCTCTGACACATGCTTGCCCCCCCATGGCCCCCGCAGGCTCTTGTGCTGCTGCTGGGACTGGTTGGCCTCGGCGTTTGCATCGCAGGTGCGCTGCGCTGGCTGTTCCGCATGACGGCCGCTTGCTTGCGTGGTGGCTTGCATGTGTTAGAAAGCTGGCTTGCATGCGCGCGTGCATGCATTCGTAAGGCGTGCATGGTGAATGAAGATCAAGCTACTGGGGGTAATTCTAGCTCTCAGGTTTCACGTGCCGCACCTTTATTTCCCCTTCCCTCCATCTGTCACCACAGGCGCCGTCGTCGTCAGGAAGAACGGCTTCCTGCGCATTTGGCCGCATGTGGACGAGCTTATCGTGCATGTCAACAGTACGACGGCCATAGCGGCGGATCTGGCAGCTGGACTAGATGACGTGTACCCCCACGTCGACGCACTCACAAATCTATCCAGCCGGGTCAACTTCCCGGCAGCTAGGGCGTACGTCTTGGTAAGCGGTAGCAGCAGCAGCTGAGGCAGTTTGGAGAGCAGCTGAGACCCTTTTTGGACATCCAAGGGTGGGACACTGACATACCTGATACCGGTATCCCTGATGCACCTCATCTCACCCAAACTAACCCACTCATCCCATCATCCCGATTATGCCGAACCTCCCCCCTCTTCCCCTTTCATCTCCTGCCCCCCTTCACAGAACCTCGCGGACTACCTCGACCTCCCAGCGGCCAACCCCAACACCCTGGTCACCGCGCTGGTCGACCTGGACGGCAACGTGACCTCGGTTCGATCCCGGCTGGCCGCAACCCGAGCGCAGCTGGTCAGCCCCCCCATCGACACGGACGCGCTGGCAGCCGGCGTGGCGGCCATGGCGGATGCAGTGGATGGCTCGGGGGATACATTGGGCGCGCTGAATGCGCTGAGCTCCGCGCTGACTCAGGTCGCTGCCGTGTCTAGCCCGTAAGTGTGCATGGGGGCGCGAACTGGCGTACAGCGGGGGTACGGGGCCTGGGAAAGGGCATACGGCTTGCGAGGCTGTGTAGGTCCTCAGTAATGCTCTGTTGTGTGGCTCTAGCTAGGCGCGAACAAGTGACTTTCAACAGCTTTCGGTTTACCTGGACCCATTATCCCCAGCCACCTGGGACCCATTGAGGGGGTAACCCGTCCAATCCGCATGTCCCCACGCTCCGCGCTCGCTCACCAGAAGCTCGACTCTCCTCCCTCTGCCCCCCACCACCTCCCTCCCTCCCTTTACCAGACCACTGAGCGCCTCCCTCCTCAGCGCGCTGAACAGCGCCCTAGCGGGCGCCGACATCACCGGCTGGCAGGCCTCTCTGGACGACATGCTGGCGGGTATCCAGGAGTGGCAGGTGGCCCTCAGCTCGCCCTCCTCCCTGCCCGCCCTGGCCACCGCGGTTTCAGCCCTGGACAGCGGTGTGGCGGAGCTGAGGAGCATGCAGGTGAGAGGGCTGCTGGTGCCGGTGCCGGTGCTGCTGCTGGTGCTGCTAGTAATGGCTGTTGGGGTTGCTGCGTCCTTGCGCCCGTGCTGTTCGTAATAATGCCCATGTCGTGCAATGGCGCAAGGTATTAGCTGGTGGCTCAGGTTTGCGGTGATGTTGCTTACTTGTGGAAGCATGGGGTGTGTGGCCGTGGCTGACGTGTGAGGTTTTCATTTGTAATGTGTGGTTTTTCATGCGTTTACACCGGAAACGGGAAAGTGAGCAAGCGGTGTCTCCCAGTCAGCAGTAACCCTTTGTGGCGTCCTGCCGGCATGGGCTGCTGGCTGCTCCCCCCCTAAAGCCTACTGCTGCCTGACCTCCCCGCCCTGCCCCGCCCTACCTACCCGCAGACACGCATCGCCAACACCGCTATCCTGGCCTTCCTGAACGCCTGGAACGTGTACAGCGCCTCCTTCTCCGGCCTCTTCTCCGTGGTCAATATGACACAGGTTAGTACGTGCGGGTGTGGGTGTGGTGCTGTTTATGGTGGGTAGTGTCGGGTGCATGTGCCGCTTGAAGGCACCCCTCAGCGCAGCCTATAGTTCGGACTTCGTCAACCTAATACCAGTACCCATCCGCAAGGTTGTACAAGTCTCAACAGAACACCACAATTTAATTTACTCCCCATCCTCCCCCCGCTTCTCCGTTTCGTGCGCCCCCGCAGACCAACTTGCTGCTTTTCGACCCCGCCACCAGCGCCTCCACCGCCCGCCTGCAGTTCGTGTACGGCAACGTCAGCGCGCTGCAGAGCCTCAACCCCAAGCCCTCCACCCTGGCCGCCAATCTCAACATGCTCTCCCTCTCAGCCAGCGTGAGCCCCGCGGCCTCCCTGGCTGCCAGCCTCAGCCAGATGCAGGCAGCCCTGCAGGCGGAGTTGCCTGATGGGTCAACAACACTGGCGGGCGCGAAGGCTGCCGTCACCAGCCTGAAGTCTGCTCTGAGCAGCCTGCAGCCCAAGCAGGCGGCTACCAGCACCGCCTTGGCAGGCTACAAGGCCAGCCCCACGCAGGCTACTTTGGACGCCCTGAAAGCCACGGTCAGCGGCACCGGAAACACCGCCGAACTCACTTCTGCAGCTGCGGTAGGAGTTGCGGTTGTGTCGCTCCGGGAGTGGAGGGTGGAGCTTAGAGCGGTGGCGCTGAGCCGGGATTGTGTGATGACCTATACCTGTACCCAGACTCAGACACGACGACAGCTCGCACAACCATAGTCGCTCGAGCTCAACCCAACACATGCCGTAACCAAAAGTGTCTGCTCCTGACGTGGCTGCTACAACGGCTATGTTGCTGCCCCACCTGCAGGCTGCCGTAAAAGCTACTGCGGCCGACCCCAACGTGCTTGCCGTACAGTCCACCATCTCCTCTACGGACCTGGTCTCCCTGTCCGCCAGCGTCGCCGCCGACTCCGCCTCCGTCGTCAGCGCCATCGATACCACCACCGGCCAGCTCACCCAGCTGGTCCCCTCCCTCAGCCCCTACATTGGCAACTTCACGGGCGCAGCTGCAGCGTACAATGCAATGGCCTCACCCAAACTCACGGTACGTTAACGGGTTGGCTTGGTGGCGACTGTGCCCCTCACCACCTTTGGCGGTCAGTCCAGCCTTGAACCTGCTTCGTGAACTGATCTCCTCCAGTAAACAAATCAATCAATGGCCGTTACCGATACCGCCATATTACCATTTACCGGTACGGAATCCGCGTCGCTAACGGTAACGCCCCCCCCTTCGCACCCCTCGTCCGCGCACCGCGCAGGAGATGGCCCTGCTGCGCTCCGCTTTCGCCACCCTGGAGGAGCAGCTGGTGCGAGTGCCCCGAGCGGTGCGGACGCATGCTGCCAACACCTCGGCACTCATCAGCAAGGGAGTGGAGCTGGTGCGGCAGCAGGTGCGTGTGTTGTGTGTATCAAGAAAACAGGTCAAAGGCCGGGAGTCACAGGAGGCGTGTGCTAGACAACCTTCCGCGAGTCGTAGGCGTGTCGGAATGTAGACGTGTGTTAAGAAAACTGGCCGCGAGACCCGCGGAATGTAGACGTGTGTGCGCGCGAGGAGAACAGGGGAAGGAGCAAAGGATAGGTGGGTAATGGCGTTTAGCTACCTACCTGTACATTGCGTGTCGGTCGACCGCCCTCTTCCTGGCGTTCCTGCCAACGCACAGGTGGTCGACAAGCTCATCAACTCCCGGCTCACCAACCGTCGTAAGACCAAGGAAACCGACATCGCACTCTTCGCCACCACCATCGTGCTCTTCTGCATCGCCTGCTGGTTCCTGGGCTTGCTGCTGCTGACGGCGGGGCTGGACAACGCCCGAGGGCTGTCCTTCGTGTGCACCTCCCTGGCGGCGGTGTCGCTGCTGCTGTTCCTGTTGGCTATCGTGTATGCCATAGCGCTGACGCTGCTGCAGGATGGGTGCTACCACGCGGAAAGGCTTGCGGCGGACTATGCGGGGTCGCAGCTCAAGGTGAGAGCGGGGGTGCGGGGTTTAAGAGCCTAAGACCGCCGCGAGGGAGGAACGTACTGGATTTTGCGTGTGTGGGGGGGCGCGGGTGCGAAGCGGAGCAGAGCCGGATGTCAGGATATGCTAAGGCGGGAGGAAAAAGGGGGATGTCCCGGGGATGATCTCATGAGCGAAGGAAGGGTTGCAGGGATTGGGGGGCGCGAGGGAGGGAGCTCGGGTAGGTTTGACAGGACTTGCATGCGCGCATAGGGCTTACGGGGCGGGAGCTATATGGGTGGGAGGGGTCGGCAACGCCACAAATAATGTAGGACTGGACTTTGTAGTTTCTGCTGCTTTTAAGGCTTGGTAAGCCGCCTCCTGCTGCTACCTTAGCTCCAGGCCCCCAACCGCTTCCTGGCTTTGACTTACGCACATTCACCCGCCCCCCTTCCCCTTCCCAACCCTGCCTGCCCCCATGCCTCCCGCCCGCCTCAGCCCCTGCTGGATTACTACTTCTTCAGCTCGGAGGGTGTCAGCCCCGTGGCCGCGCTGCAGCGGGCTCAGGTGGCGGACCTGGAGGAGGCTATGTCCCAGATTGCCGGCCCCTCAGCCCGCCTGGTTGCCAACATCTCCGCCTCCGCCTACGTCCCGCTGCCCAAGCTGCAGGCCGCGCTGTACGGCATCCAGGCCTATGCCAACACCACAACAGCGCAGGTGCGTGTGGAGGGGGGGCGGACAGGGAAGGAGCCTATCCCACACCTCGCTTGTTTCCTCTCTCCCTCCCTCCCCAACAGGTCACCAACATCACCTCCATGGCCTCCCTGCCCGCCATCCTCCCCACCTACCTGGACTTCAAGACCGTCCCCTGCTGCGACGTGGGTGCACACTACATGTCGCAGTACGTGCTGCTCACGGCGGCCGGCTGGCTGCTGATGGTGGCGTGCTGCATGGCGGTGCCGCTGCAGATGAGGCTGGACGCACTGCCGCGCTTCGTGTTCGGACGGCGACAGAGCACACGCTCCCTGGGCCTGTCACAGAATCCCTCCCAGGTGCGGGGATGCTGTGCTGCGGCTGCCGGTGTGAGGGTATGGCTGTATGGCACGCGGGGGCCGTGGGGCTAAGAAAGCTGTGGGAAACGACTTGCGCCAGGGTCGCAACCGGTGTGCTACTCCTAACAACATACCCGCTTTGTTCCACCTGTCCTCTCCTCTCCTCCTCAGCCTCAACCTTTTCCTCTTCCTGCTCCCCATCCCTCCACGCCGCAGATCAAGCCCCTTGAAGACGACCTGTTGGGCTCCAAGGGGGGCCTGTCGCCCCGAGGCCCCGTCATGCGAGCCAACACACCCAAGGCATGGGACGCAGCGGCAGCCTCCCCCCACCCGCAACCACACCCGCAGGCTGCGGCCCTGGCTGCAATGGATGCAGCGACCGGCGCCGACCCTGTTGCTGCTGCTGCTGCCGCTGCTCCAGCGCCCGCCCAGGCCGCTGCTGCTCATGCGCTGCCTCCGGTCCACGTCCGGGCCCGGACTGGCACGGCAGGCGGCGACTCTGAGCCGGCCAACAGTGGCAGGCTACCCGGAGCTCTACACCCGCATGCTCTGCCCGACGGGGATAGCGATGCCATGCCTGCCGCAGTTGCGGCCGCCGCTGCGGCAGCAGCTGCGGCCCCTGCGGTGTCAAAGCCGCCTTCGCCGGCTGCAAGCACGGATGCGTCTGTCAGCAGCGACAAGCCGGCTCCTGCTGGTGACGCTGCCGCTCCAGAACCAGAAGTGAAGCGTGCGTCATCTGGCGATGGCGCTGCTGCTGCTGCGGCTGCGGCTGCCGGTGCTGCGCCGCCTTCCCCCACGGCACCGGAGAAGCGTGTGTCTGCCACCGACAATGCGGCCCACGGGGACCCCTCGTCTGCAAGCAGCAGCGATGCACTGCCTGCTGGTGCCGCGCCGGCAGCAGCAGCGGCAGCGACTGCGACGGAGACACGGCAATCGCCCCGGACCACGAACGATGGGACGGCTGGGGGCGCCATCACGTCAGGCCAGCCTAAACCCCGGACTACCAACGATGGGACGGCTGGGGGAGGTTCCATGCCCGGCCTGGCCCCAGCAGCAGCAGCCGCTGCTTCCAGTGATGATGCACCTGCTGCCGCACCGCCCACCGTAAACGGTGGCGGTAAGCCAGCTGTGACCTTTCTAAAGGCACCCGTCTATGTACGGTCAGGAGGCTCGGTTACCAGCATTGGTCACCTGGAGGAGCTACGGCTGGCCTCGGCAGCCTCCGCACAGGCAGCTGCAGCGGTGGCGGTGCAGGCTGCGCCCGCGCCCCCGGCGGATCGCCATGTCACCATGCATGCGGGCGACGCACCTGATCTGGGGCGAGCCATCAGCATGAAGCGCCTTGGCGACGAACCTGACCTTGGGCGGGCGTTCAGCATGAAGGGACCGGATAATTTGCACATGCCGGGCAGGAAGAACGCCTGGTCTCGAGATGGCACTAACCCGGTGGATGTGGAGGCTGCGGCCGCTGCCGCCAGCCAGGAAGCTGCGGCCGCGGCGGCTGCTGCTGTGGCCGCAGCGGATGCGGCGGCTGCCGCTATGGCGGGTGCCGATGCGGGTGCGGTTGCGCCACCGGCACAGCTGCCGGCCGCTGCTGCTGGTGATGCGGCCCCTTCTGCGCCAGCTGCCGCGGGGGCTGCCCATGACCCGCTGCTGTCGCCGGCTGCCAGCACGGGAGGTGGTGGTGCCCCGGGTTCACAGCCCCACCCTCCGGACCGCCACCACCTGCCGCCGTTGAAGCTAGCGTCGCGCAAGTCGTCCTTGTCATCGCTGCCGCCTATCAACGGGCATCACTACCACAGCCAAGACTGAGCGTCCGTTGCAGTCGCCGTCGTCACCGGATGGGTCCCCTCAGCTAGACAAGGACAGCTCGCGCGGTGTGGTTGCAAGGTAGCTAGCCTGTTGGGGTACACGTGAAAGGGGCTAACGAGCCATTTCGTGTTTCAATACCTGTGGCGTCAAGGTTTTGGTGTGCATCCCACCCTTTTTCCCTTTGTTGTCAGTGGTGTAGGAAGGGGACAGTGATGTGTCAAGGGCCAGCACCTCCAGGTTGGCCATGGCACCGGTACGGCTCTTGTGGCTTCACTCAATTCCTTTATCCTTAGGGTTTTAGGGATTTTCGTAGTTTTTTTTTGCTTTTCAGGGTTAACCTCTAGCCACCTCGGTTGCGTCGCATGACGGTGCCCCGGGAATCTTCACGTGTCGGCAGCGTTCTCCACTTTTCGTTCTTGTTCGTTAGCCGTGTGCCTCCAGTGGTTGACAGGTGCTGCTGGGTTTTGTGAAAGTGGCTGCTCGTCGCAAGAGGACCAGTTTTGCATGCCGGCCGGGTCCATACTTACCGCAAGGATAACACCCCGTGATATTGCGCAATCCTGCACTCCCACGCACAGGTTGGCCTTAGCTTTGTGTCAACGTCTTCCAGCCGTCACGGCCAGCAGTGCTTGCTCGCGGCCCCAATTGGTTCTAAGCACACATGTTCATACCGTATTGTATAGCACCCAACCTCTGGAAGGAGGCACGCGTGTGGATAGTCTGCACCCCACGTGTGCTTGCAAGCGTTTGTGGACAAAGTTGCAAGCCAGATGACGCATCAGGTTCGGCCCATGAGACATGCATCCCATGCCCGCCCGTCGCTACCGTCACCCCCCGAATCCCGCCCAGGCACCCGCCCCCACTGGGCCTTTGTTGACAATCTGGTTCGTAACACGTGCTTTTATGTGTTGGGCGTGTGAGCACTTGACGTTGCATTGGTTTGCTTTGGACTAGACTGTTGTTACAGATGTAAGCGGCGGCCGTTAACGACCGACGTCGATGTTAATACCTCTGTTATGTTTTATGGTTGCCGAGTTCTCTCCAGCTTACTGGATAACGTGTGTGCATGTCTGCGTGTTTTTTTGCTGCTTTTTGAATGTGCACACAAGTACGAATGCTGCACCGTACTGGCGGTGCCTTGTGACTTTGCTCCACCTCCAGATCTGGTCATCTGGCGAGGATTCGCACTCATGATGTTTATTACTACAGCACATGTCGTACAGTCTGAGCCTCTGGGATATATACTAGTCGAAACGGGCCAGTGGTTTAAAGACAAATGGACGTCAATTCGTGGATGTATTTTGCACATCTGCGCAGGGAGCGTATGCTTAATTTGATGGCTGCATTTTGAAAACGGATGCGGATACAAACTTCGTTCTTTTTCTTTGCGCGGCAGCGGGGCCATTGAGACTGATCCTAACATCTTGTAAACGCACGCAATGCGCGACCCTGCTGGGGAACCATGCCTGGACCGCCTCTTGGGGCTCATGGGTGGCCTTAAACACCCTCCACGCCGCAGCCGAGTAAGCACGACAGCAAGGTCAGTAACCCGCGCAGCCGTGATAGCAGTCTTGATAGCAGTCTTATTGAAAATAGTGTTAATGAAAACACCGGCTTTGGTATTTCTTTATGGAAGCCAGACCAAGGCCATGTGGCAGGCAGGGTCTTTAATGGGCAGACGCACACGGGCTGGTAGGAAAGGTTAGAACGCCTGCCGCACCGTGCTTGAGTAGGCAATTACTGGCGGCTAAGAGGACAGAACATTTGGCGAAGGTAACGTCCTTAGGGCCCTGGAAGCAGACCCCGCCTGGCCAGGTTACGACCCATGGGTCACCTACGGGCAATGCCGCCGCCTAAGGATGCAGGCTGGTTGTTCAACTAAAAATCCACCATCATCACGCATTTCCCAAGCTAAGCTTCATTCCCGTGATTAGTCCGTACATAGGCTGAACAAAGGGGACATGCACCGTTCACAACACCGCAACCCGGGTTGCATCAACAGCACCGGCAATGAGGCACCGAAAGCAAGGTGGCAAACCTGAACCTGAACGCCCCCGTGAACCCGGAAATACTTCCCAAAGCTTTCTTCCCGAGCAACGGATTTCCTGGAGAGCGCACAACACTGCCAGCACAGGCCGCCTGCCGCTCAGACCCTTCCCTCTACATTGGCGGAGACTAGTCGGTAATCACACCAGTGTACAGCTGGCCGCAGGCGAATAGGGCCCACGTAGGGGCACGCTGTCCCGGCCTTCTGCCATTGCCTCGCACACACATATCGCCGTACGCCCGTTCAACAGCAGTACAGCTCCAACCCCACCAAACTGTCTTTCTCTTCCTGGGAACGACTCTACAGGGCGTCATTTAATCGCAACTAACACGTCACGAAGGCCCCTCCTCGCGTACCGGCTTACTGCATATATATACACAAGGCGGTGTCCCTGCTAAAGGTGTCAACAACGTGTCTCTTGCAAAGCCAAGTGGCTCACATGTCCAAGACTATCGACTGGGCCATGCACACAGTCAATCGAGATTGCGCACAAACATTCCGCTATATATCACTAGTCACTTCACATGGCGCAGCTCTACAATAGACACCGGCGCATGAAGCATGGCTACCAAGTACGCCTGTAACTGTCACCTAATGGTTGTACAACACACTTATCGCAGCCTTGCTAGAGGCACCATATCACAGTAATACGGTAGCAGATTGGCGGAATTGTCCGCATCTACATCTCAGGTCTCATGTGCTTTCACGTCATGTCAGAGACGTCATGTGCCCAATATATACACATTAAGTTCACAAGACTGCATGGTACACACGACATGACCTACAGACACGTACAACCAGCAAATCACAGTACATTATAGCACTGGCGGCCAGTGCTAACACACACAACAAAGCGTCAGTGTCCGTCCTGTGGCTTACGTAAGTTTAGACACAATGGTGCTACACAGGCCATCGTAGAGCCATGCACATGCCACATATGCCTTGGGCACTCGTCATCCTATCCACTACCAAGACTTGCGACAACACTACAAAACCGTACAACGGCTGCTGCCACTAGTCCACCGGCGCCTGCCCGCCCCGCTACCCCCGCACCACCGCCACGTATATCCAGATGCAGCACACGAAGGAGGCGCCCAGCGGCTCCACGAACACGGCGGTGGAGAACTTGGCTCGGTCGTCAGCGATGCGGTGGATGCCTGGAGGGGGGAGGGGGCGGGGGTGGGGGTGGGGGCGGGGGTGCATGGCAGTGCAGGTAAGAATACCGGTAGCTTAAAGGGAAGAGGGAGATAGGGTTGTATTGGGCGGGTGCGGTGATTGTGAAGGTGTGGATGAAGCGTTGGAGCTCACGAGGATGACACGCCCCTCCATCCAGGCTGCTACCTATCTGCCCGACCGGATAAGATAGCAAGGAGGGTTGTGGCACAGAGCCACGACCACCCGCGGGCCTCCTCCCTCTCTCCCGCCCTCCCTTCCCTCCCCTCCCGCCCCCACCCGTGTTGAGCACCGCCTCGCTGACCGCCTCCAGGTACTGGTCGCTGAAGGGCAGCGCCAGCATGTGGCCGTGAGCGGACTCGCAGCGCGCCTCGCGGCGGATGCGCTCGTTGTGGCTGGCCTGCGGGGGGAGCGGGGGGGAGGGGAGGGGAAGGGTGGAGATGGGTTGGTCGTTTAAGCGGGACGTGTCTTTCACTGGTCTGGTTTACTGGAGGGCTGTTACTTGATGCGGGCTGTTTGAGGAAATGGACACACAGGCGACATACGGCAGGAGGGCAGCTGGAGCAGCAGCCGTGCTGCTGCCGCCGCCAACCACCGCACAGGCGGTACCTCGGTGCACCACCGACCGCACAGCTCTCCTCCGCACGACCATGCAAGTCGCGTCCGGCCCCCCCCACACGACCCTGCTCCCCCACATGACCCTGCCCCCCCCCCCCCCACCTGCAGCCCCGTGATGAGCTTGTGTCGCTCCCCCAGGTGCTGCGGCGGCTGGGTGGGTCCCCGCGCACCCGCCTCGGCCAGGGCGGCGCTGGCAGCCAGGGAGGCGGCGGACAGGGCCTCGGACACCTGGGGGGGGAGTTGGGGGGTGCGGGGTGCATGGGGGGAGGGGTGGCGGTGAGGGTAAGAGGGAGCGTTTGGTGGTAAACATGATGGCATGTGGTCGCTGTCCCTCTTCCTACTCGTGTTGCTCCTTCTCTTGTTGCTCCTTTGCTGTCCCTTCCTCTCCTCTCCTGCTCCCCCCCCCTTCCACCTGTGGCATCTCCCGCAGCAGGCCCTTGAGCAGTCGCGACACCTTGTTGTCGGGGCGCGTCAGGAAGGCACCCGCGGCACGAGCGTCTGCAGGGGGGCGGGAGAGGGCGGAGAGGGGGCAGCCAGCAGCAGAGGTAAGGTGAAGGCGCCTGGGTACGTGTACGTGTACGGCGCATGAAGCCACTCAGCCTAGCGGTCCTTCGCGCGTCCTCAACCACCACTCCACCCACGCCACCAGCTCGGTCCAGCACCGCTTCATAAGAGGCTTACAACCGCAACCCGCCCCTATCCCCTCCCCCCCTGCCTCCCTCGTCCCCCTCCCTCCCCCACTCACTGCTGAGCGCCTCCTCCACCCGCTTCTCCACCCGCGCCTCCAGCTCCTCGTAGAACCGCGCATCCAACTCCTCGTACAGGGGGGTGGTCTGAAGGGGGGAGAGGGAAGGGGAGGAGAGGGTAAGGGTAGGAGAGGGGGGAGGTCAGGACGGGGACGTGTGGGGACATGCCAGGGGCGCACGGGGGCTGTGTGGCATGGGGCGGGGCGGCTTCGGCTTCCAGGGCCGACTCGCCGGCAGGTGAGGCACATGCTCTCTAACAAACCCACGGCAAAGGTCGAAGCGTTCAAAAGCCCCCTGTCCACCTCTAAACCCGCCACCCCCAGCCAGCCCACCTGCACGCTGGCGATCTCCCGGGGCGACAGCGCGGCTCCGAAGAACGGCGCCCAGTCGCGCGGCGCCCCCAGGTTCCAGCGCATCTCCCAGGGCCGCCCCGAGGGCTGCGTGTTGGCCCAGATGTTGGAGCCGTCGTACAGCTCACCAACCTGGGGGGGAGGCGGGCGGGCGGGTGGGGTGGGGTGGGGTAAAAAAGAAATTCCAAAGTGTGGTATGATAATGATACAAGTTGCTGACAATCCCTGGTGGAATCAACCGTGAGTCGAGCCGAAATGGTGGTTAAAGCAATGCGAGCTAAACTTACCGAACTTACCAATTATGGAGCAACCTTACCATAGTCTTGGGCATGTGTGGAGGCTGCTGAAGGTGAGCTGGAGACCCACCGCGCCGTTGGGCAAAGACAAACAACAGGAACAGCACAACACGAGCACGCATGAAAAACAACACAGACTGACACACGATAAAACACGTACCTGCGTAAGGTAAGGGTAGGTAAGTGGGTAGGCGGCAGTTGAGCCCCACACGCGCAGATCAGGGACATGGCGGCGCGTGGGAGGCCAAGGTGCATGCATGCCTCACCCCAAACCGGGCCTGCCGAGCCAAACCCAACCAAACCCCACTCCCGCGCCCCCCGCCCGCACCCCCTCACCTCCCTCATCTCCCCGGTGGGGTCCAGCGCCGACACCACGCTGCCGGTCACCGGGTTCCACAGCCGCAGCAGCCCGGGGTTCAGGTCCAGCAGGGGGTGCGGCTGCGCGGAGGGGGCGCCACCGCCTGCTGCTGCCTGGGGGGCGCTGTGGTAGGGTGCGGGCGGCAGCGGCTGGCCGGTAGTGAGCACGAAGTGGCTGCGGGCGCCGCCGGTGGAGGTGCCGGCCACGATGAAGCACTGGCGGGGGGAAGAGGAGGGGAGAGGAGCGTGGAGGATGGAAAGAGCTGACATGTGGTGTAGAGGAGGTTGGTTGAGTGCCGTAACTACAGAGGGCCCCTCCTCCGGCCACATGGTTATTCCTTGCTTTTTACTCCCCACCCGACCCCCTCATGTACGGTTAGTTCCTTCCTCATCCCCACTGCACCCGCCCCCACCTGCAGCCCCAGCTGCAGGAAGTAGCCGGCCAGCAGGTGCGCGTGCTCCTCCGAGTCGCCCCCCGCCAGGTGCAGCAGCTCGGAGCTGCTGGTCCAGATGTCGTTGCGGCGCTTCTGCAAGCCGCTGTCCTCCATGTAGGGAACCTGGGGAGGGGGGTGGGTTGAGGATGGGAGTGTAAAAGATAACCGCATCAATGACACACAATGCCCCTAAGCATCGGATCGAGGAAAAAGGGTGGTGGCCGGGTACCGGTATACGGCACAAGCGAGGACACATGAAGGAGGGGAGGCAGGCAGCGGCCCAGCGGGCGAGCTGCCGTACGGGTGCCGCTACCCAGAGCCACCCAGCACCAGCAGCCAGCTACCCACTACAGGCATGCACACCCACATGCGCCACGAATCTGGCCAGCTTGAGCATGGCCGCCTCCACCCCTCCCCCTGCAGCTGACCCTCCCCCCGCTGCCAGCGTCTGCGCCAGCGCGGGCGGCAGCGGGGTGGGCGCCACGTAGCGGCACAGCAGCAGCGCGGCGCCGTCGGCGTCGACTGCCATGACCTGGGAGGGAGGGAGGGAGGGAGGGGGTAGTAGATTAGACGGATATGGTGGATTAGCATTACCAAGGGAGGAAGGGCGTTGGGACAGGTAGTGGGGGTTGAGGGAAAAACATGTACATGTTGGAATTCAGGGAGGGTTCGGGTGGGGTGGTGTCAGGGGGAGGCGGACATACCCCAAGCATGCCAAGTCCTCCAGCCCCCTTGACCCGCACAAACCCGCGAACCCACCTCCCTCTCCTCTCCCCCTTCTCCCTACCTTGAGCACCCTACTCCTGCACTCGGGCCGCGCCAGCAGTCCCGCCAGCCACTTCTGCGCGTGCCGGTTCACCTGCTGCTGCTCGCCGCTGGTGACCCGCTCGTCCACCTCGCCCGCGGGAGCGGCCAGGCGGGGGCGCAGCGTGAGGTGCAGGCTGAGGGTGGCGGGGCGGTCGCTGGTCTGCAGGGGGGGGCGGGAGTGCGGGGGTGTGGGTGGGAGACGTGTGGGTGAAAGGAGGGGACTAAGAAGGGGGTAGGGGTTGGAGAGGTAGGGACAACAGGGGTGGCAAAGGGGTGAGTGGCGGGTGGATGCATGGGGGTGCGCACGCAAGCGAATACAGCGATACACCCACACACCCAGCCAGCCAGCCTGCCGCGCACCTGCACGTAGCCCAGCACCACCGGCGGCGTCTCCAGCCGGAAGGTGCCCTCCAACACCTGTGCGTGCAAGCAAGCAACAAGCGAGGGCTTGTGTTGTGAGAACTTTTGGATAAGAGATACCGCTAGTATGGCCACTTCTTCTCGCCCACTTCTTCTCTCCCACCTGCAGCTGGGGAGAGCCGCCGACAGCCCCCTCCCGTAGACCAGCACACCTGCCCCCCACACCTTGACTTCCGCCCACTCCCTCCCTCCCCCGGCCTTCCCTTCCCCTCCACCCTCCCTTCCCCCCCTGCCCCACCTGCAGCTGGTACACCGCCGACAGTGGCAGCCTCACGCAGCCCAGGAAGCGGCGCTCCCGCTCGGGCAGCCGCACCGGGTCACCCACCTCCTCATGCGGCCTGAGGTGGGAGGAGGGGGGTAACGGGATGTAACAGGATTCGTGCAGTCATCGCAACGGGACGTAATTGAGGCGGGGGGTGGGGGGTGGGGTGGGGGTTTAAAGAGGATCAGGGAAGCAAGCAACGCACGGTCCCTGGGAAAGGGCGCCAGGCCGGTGGGGGCGACGGTCTACAGCCGGCATTCTCTTTGGGCCACACTGGCCGGTGCTACTAGCGGAGAAACGAATATTAACAGCTGCTTTCTCGGGGTACTACTTGCCCACTCGCGGCCAGGTTTCTCGAGACATGCAATGCAGCAGCTCCAGCGGCGTTGCGCGGCCTTACCTTCTGCGCATGCTGATGGGCTCTGAGGGCTCCACGATGACCTCATCGAACACATTGAAGGTGATGAGGTCGGTGTTGGCCTGGCAGGCAGGCAGGCAGGCAGGCAGGCAGGCAGGGCGAAGATGAAGGAGAAGGGATGAGGGAGGGGAGAGACAGGGAGGCATGGCGGGTGGGCTCAATGCGAGGTGCACGGCTTAAGCAGGGAGAAGAAAAGCAGTGGACAGTACAAACGTCGAGATAGCAGAACGTCACAACAAGTATAGCAAAGCCCCTGCTCCCAAGCTGCTCCTCCCCCAGTCCTCCTCCAATTCCCCCTGCTGCCGCCCCCGCCACCCCTCACCTGCAGTGCTGTGGGGCTGGGCTCCAGCGCCGACCCATCCTCCAGCAGCTCCTGCTGCCGCTGCTGCTGCTGCTGCGGGTCGCGAGCGCCCTCGTCGCGGAACACGTCCAGGTCGATCTGCGGGGGGGCGGAGGAGTGGGGGGTTGGGTGTCGTTAGGTATAGGACACACGGAGGTTGACGGTGGCGGTGGTCCCATGCGGACCCACCCTAACGCAGCTACCTCAACCTGCCCACCCTCCCCCTCCCCTCACGCGTCCCGCTGCCCTCTCTCTCCCCTCCCCTCCCCTCCTCCCCTCCCACTCCCCCCCCACCTGCTCGTTGAACAGCGGGAACTCCCCCGGCACTGCCACCGTCCGCGACGTCAGCGAGCGAAAGCGCACCTCCACGAAGCAGTTGCGCTGCTCGGCCAGCCGGTCGGGAGCACCCGAGGGGGCATCACCACCACCCTCCGCATCGCCGCCCAGCGCACCCCCGCCGCGGCGCCCCCCGCCGCCACCCCGCCTGCGGTTGCGGTCCTCACCGCTGAACCCGGCACCACCAGCTCCGCCTGCTTCCGCCATGCGTGCGGGCAGGTTGGCTGCTCGCTGCACGGTGACCATGAGCTGCGTCTCCTTGGGCACGGAGGTCATCAGCGACTTGACCTGCGCGTACGTGAGCAGCGGAGGGTGTGAGGGTGCGATGTGTTTGGGGCTTACGAGGATGCGGCATCCGCGCTTCCCCTGCAGTCCAAACCTGCACGCTACCGGTGGTAGCCCCAACCCCCTCCCCACCCAACCCTCCCCCCCTGTTCGTCTTGCTTGCCATCCTCATTCAATACACATGGGGTATCCTTCTTGCCCCCTCACCAGCTTCTTGGTCCTCTTGAGCGGCCTCCTGGGTGCCAGCAGCTGCGTGATCGCCGCCAGCTCCAGTTTGAACTGCGGCAGCGGCGCGTCGTTCACCACGTCCTCCGTGCGGAAGCGCCGGGCCATCAGCCGCCCGTCCAGCCGCGCGGCGGCGGCTCGCACGCGCAGAGCGAAGGCGCGGATGCGCTCCTCGCGCTCCTTCACGGCGGCGGACAGCACCGCGCCTGGGGGTGAGGGGGTCGGACGGCGGGGGAGAGGGAGGGGAGGGACAGGGAGTAGGCGGGTGGATGGTCTGCTAGGAGGTGCAGAGGAGGGAGGACAGGAGCACGAGACACACACAGCCTGCTGAATGCATTAAGGCGTAACAGATAGACGTAATAATAGGCGTCATGACTGCAACTGCAGTCGGTGCCCCCTCGAGTGTACCGCGCAGCTTCCAAACCTCCTTCCCTCCCCTCTCGCTCCCTCCCGTCCAGCCCACCTTCCCCCCCTTTCTCCCCCCCTCACCGATCTGCAGCGGCATGGCCTTCTCATGTCGCGCCATCATCACCCGCGCCAGTGCCAGCTGCGTGCCGCCACTCGCCTCCTCCAGCAGCGCCAGCTGGTCCAGGTACTGCAGGTCCAGCTGGGCGGTCTCGGAGGCGGCCAGGGGGGCGCGCAGGGGCACGGAGCGAACACCTGGCGGGGTGGGGAGGGGAGAGGGATACACAGTCCGCATTAGGCTGGATGGGTTGGGGAGGGGAGAGTGGAGCGGGGAAAAGAAGGATACCCAATGTGATGATTGACAATTGCAAACTAGGCGACAAGCCCTTTGGGAGAAGGGAGGAGGAGAGAAGGGGCAGGACGGGGTAGGAGATGGAGGCGGAGATGGAGGCTGGCTGGGAGGAAGGAAAGGGGCAGAGAACATTGAGAAGGACAGCAGTAGCGCGTGACTTCAAAGCGGGCCCAACCCGCCAACTGCGACTCGAATCGTCATCTCCGCTCCCCCCCCCCCCCACACACACACACACCGCACCCACCCTTAAGCAGGTTCTTGTCGGGTGCCCGGTAGATGCCCGCCTGCCAGCGCCGAGACAGCACAGCCATGCGCTTGTCGGCGGTGCGGTCGTCCTGGGGAGTGGGTTGGGGGCGGTGGAGAGGAGGAGGCGGCCATGTGCACGCGTGGGAGGTGACCGTGTGGGGGGCGTTTCGGTAACCGTAGGATGTAACGGGTAGGCGCACGTGTGGGGTTAACGCATCAAAACGGCGCCCTGGAAAGACCCACTTGGAGACTGGATAGTGCGCCCCACACCTGTCACGACAATCCAAGAACCACAACCCAAGAACCTGGGTCGGTGCTTGAACTGAGCCCCACCCACTTACACGCCCTACCTCTCCGGCAACCCCACCCCTCAGTTGCTACACTTCTCGTTTATTCTTCCACCCCTCCCCACCACTCCGTTGGGACTCCGTTGCTGCAATTAGTAACAGTTATTTAACAATTATTTCCCCACCCAGCCCCTCCCGCTCACCCGCATGGCCACATCGGGGAATATGTCCAGCCGGAACACCTCCCCCAGCGCCCCCGCGTGCGCCTCCTGCGTCTTCAGCAGCTCCAGCAGCGGCGCGTTGCGCGGGTCATTGGGGTCGATCACGTGCTCACTCAGCCACCGCATGATCTGAGCGCGGTTGGCCTGCAGGCAATCCAGGCACATGCATAACGGGTGGATGGAGGAAGGGGGCGGGGCGGCTTCAGACATATGAAACACACATCATATGGAGTATACAAGTCACGGTGGCCGGATGCCGATACGGAACACGTGGTTACGGTTATAGGAAAAGTTCCCTAAATGTTACAACTTCCCTGCCGCGACGTCCCAATCATTTATTATACCGTAACTACATACTATCTATCTTAACCTCAACACGCACCTTCCCACCAATCCGCTCCGCTGCCCTCCGAAGCATGCGGTCCACAGGTACCGAGGGCACCGGCGGCATCAGCTCCCGGCCCGACTCAATGTCGGCAGGACGCAGCCCTCCGGCTGAATCCAGATGGTGGCCGCCCTGACCCGTGGGTCGCTGGTCGGCAAGCGGGTTTTCGTACATCGTCATCTTCAAGGTTGCTGCGTTGGCAGCGCTGCCGCCCGCGTGCTGCTGTAAGACGGTATCCCCCAGGCGGCTGCCTGGGAGCACCCGCTCCGAAACCCAGCCGCAGCGCACGTACATGGCTCCGGATGGGAACACGGCTTGGTAGTTGTGGAAGGGGTCGTGTTGGTGGCTGCCGGGAGGAGGGACGAAGGCAAAAGAGAACCGACATCAGCACCGCAATCACTTACTGACGTCGATGCGAGCAAAGCCAGCGCTACGGACCAAGGAAGAATGGCAGCGGCAGCATATAGTAAACCAAGACAACGCCCAACATGGATAACATGACGGGATGCGGATCTAGTATGCTGTCACTTCCCGCTCAGCATGGTGCAAAGGCCCATGTCAGGTTGAGGAGGCCCTCAAGAGGCGTCTGGAAAGCCCCAGCAGCCCGCCCTACCCGTCCGGCATGAGCGGCATGGACCCCGGCCCCGCCAGGTGCTGCCGCGTGCGGAAGGGGCTGAGGGCGGTGAACTGGTAGGGGCGGGGCTGCGGGTCCACGTGGGGACTGCCGGCCTGGCCGGGAATCGCGATGAAGATCTGCGCGTGGGGAAGGGAAGGAGTAGAGGTGGGAAAAGGGTGGGCACGATGCGGTTGGAGTGCATCGCAGTAAGGGCGGGTGAATGGAGGTGCTGAACGCAGGGGCGTAGGCATTGCGTGGGCATGCGGCGCATCTGGGTGGATTTGTGCATGGTAGGATTGCATGTGAGCGGATGCCCCTCTTTGGCACCCTTCCCAGGAGGCTAGCTGCCCTGTGTTTGCTGCCATCTCGCGGGGGTGCCTACACGTGCCCACCTGGCTTATGAAGCTGTCCCGCAGCGGGTTGCGCTCAAAGAGCTGCACACTGATGGACTCGGGGAAGCGAGACACCTGCACGCTGCGGGGCGGACGCGGGGTGCAGAGGGAGGGAGAGGGAGGAACGAGGAGGGAGAGGGGATTGAGAAACAGGGTACGGAGAGGGCATCTTCGCTGCGTCAAGCCGGCCAGGAAGATGACGAGGATGGAGAGGTGGTGTCGGTAATGCATGACAAGCAACACACGGCATTCAGCTACCACAGAGGGTTTGGCTTGGTGATATTGTGGAAATAAGTATGACCAAAGGACCGGACAACGCACTCGCGTTTTCCTTTCGGGGAACCACCGCAACGACCATCATTCACCATTCATTCACTGTGACATTACTCCACCCCGAAGCCACTGCAGCAGCCCTCCTACTGACCTAAACGTGTCCTTCAGGTCCGTCACGAAGTTATCGCCCAGCGCCGCCACATCCGAGGAGTCCACGTAGTGACCGTTCACAAAGAGCTTCACGTAATACCTGTGTGGGCCAAGTAACACAGAACGAGTCACTCAATGCAAAGGAAACCGTTACCGTCTAACAGGTAAGAGGTATACCGGCCGTGTGCATGCTTAACGGCGTGTCCGTCCGTACGAGCAACGAATCGGCAATGGGGATTTTCCGCAATAATGCAAAAGTCCTCGTTTTGGGCAACCAGGCAAGCGGGCTAGGCTGCAATGCATGAAAGACGCACCCCGCATGTGTACGGCAACCCTTACCTGCCCTTGCCTCCCTGCTTATGGCTGGGCTTGGGCGGCGCTTGCGGCATCCTGAGCGGCGCAATGGCGCCGTGGGGCATCTGGCCCTGCTGCTGCTGCTGCTGTGATGCATGGTGGGCGTCCGTCGGACTGATGGTCAGGACGGGCACCAGGGTCGGCATGCGGCTGACAAAGATCTGCAGGTGGCGGGGAGACAGGCTTGTGTGTGTATATTCGAGTGCAACACATGCCACGAATGCACGTGGCACACATGCTGCAAATGCACGTGGCACACATGCCACGGATAACCCAGTTCTTCCGTAAAGGAATGGAGAAAAAAAAACAAAACCGCGTACGGTTAACACCAAGACGACCCTACCCAACCCAGCCTGACCTGCACCCTTGGCGCTCACAACCATATCACGCAAATACAGCCCCCATCACCCCCGTCCTGTGCCCACCTGCCCCGTCTTGGCCATCTCCGTTGCCTTGATCTGCAGCTGCATCTGCTCCTCCGCCGTCATGGCCACCCGTCGGGGCGCGCGGCCCACCAGCGCCACCTGCTCCTCCAGCTGGCGGCGGGTGGGGTCGGCGGGGTCGGCGGAGGGGCGGTTCTGGAGGGGAGGGAGCGCGAGGGGGAGGGGAAAGGGGAAGAGTCAAAGATGGGGTGAAGGGCAGGGTGGTGGTGAATATGGGTTGGGGATGATGAGCTGGGTAGTGAACGGGAGGATTTCCGGTCCGGTAGGGGGTGAAGGGGAGCCCAGCGCTGACGCTCAAGCGGAACTGGTCACCTACCGGTACCCCGTCCTGTGCCCATCCACATCTGAGACTGTACCCAAGCCATTCCAACAGAGAAGGAGTAGATATCCCATGTAGCGAGTAAATCATCGCACCGAGCAGAAACCTTCAGGAAAGACACCCGCTGGCCTCTTACCTTGAGCACTTCCAGCCTCGCCGTGAGGTCCGCAGCAATGGCCGCATGGGCCGCACACATGGACTCACACCGTCGCAGCCTGAACACATACGGCTGCTGCTGCTGGCCGGCGCCCGCTGGCCCCCTCAGCGGCTGCTGCTGCTGCCCTAGGCCCGCGGTGACGGTGGCCCCGGCGGCGGGCAGCAGGGGGAGGTCTGCCAGGTCGGGTACGGGAAGCGGGTCGGGGAACCTGGGCAGCCCTGCTACCTCCTCCATTTCGGCGGCTACGAGCAGCGCGTCTAGGCGCTCCCGCGTGAGGACGCCCTGCGGAGGAGGAGGAACAACATCACAACGGGATAGGGTGGGGAGGAGGGAGACGAGCTTATCCTTGGATACAGGACGCGGAGGAGGGGGCCGCACATGCATGCATGAGACGCGTTCCTGCACCTCAACCTGTCCCATGCAGCTTCTACGCCTCACCTGCTTCCACGCCAGCTCCTGGGGCGGCTTGGCAACCACCGACAGCTCCAGATTCGTCAGCGCATAGCCCTGGCTTTGTCGTACAGTCTGGATCTCGCCGTACAGTCGCTCCATGGCGTGTACCGTACGCGAGAGCAGCGCCTCCTCCTCTTCCTTGAGCTGCCGCATCTCAGCGACCTGGGGAGGTCAAAGACCATACCAAACCATAGGAGACCACAGGTTAGGGCAAAGCAATGGGGGAAGGAGTTGGCAGGGTGCCACAAGACAGAGTGTGGGTTAGTATGCCCAGGAGGGGGGAGGGGCACCAGCGTCATCGACGTCGTGAACACGCTCGCTGGGCACGCTACCAGTAGTTCCACCGACAAGGCGCATCAGGGCCGCTCACCTCCCGCTCTATCTTGCCCAGCATGGCGTATGCGTCCAGCACATCATCCATGGCAGCCTCCGTAGCCTGGACGAACAGCAGGGATTACGGCAGGGTGCAGCATGTTTGTCGAACAGACGGGTTGAACCGACGGAAGATGGAAGCAGGTAAGGGGGTCCCAACGCACTTGGTCAGTTTGTACCAAGTGGGTCATGTTATCGGTACCTCGTTCCTCACCTGCAGCGCAAACAGCTTCTCCCGCGCCCCCAACAGCGAGTCCTCCAGTGCGGCCAGGCGGTTGGCGTAGAACATGACCAGACCCACCGCCTCGCGACGCTTGAACTCCCGGAACAAAGCGAGCAGCCGGGCGGCCTGGGAGGGAACGGGGCCAGGGGTGTCCATGTGAGTACCCAACCCTCGTCGGAATCCTTGCTCCAGTAGAGTTGCATCACAATGCGACCTACCATGCTGCCTCTGATCCCCGCGCCCCTTTACAACTCCCCAACCCCATGCGAGGTAACGGACTCCCCAGCCCCTACCAGCAGGTCCTCCTGTGCCATGCCCGGGTGCACTAGGAACTCCAGCCGCCCCAGCTCGATGTCCAGCCGGTACAGCCGCGAGCCGCCGCGCAGCGCCGCAGCGGACTCCGCCACGGGGCGCCGCACGTAGGTGCGCATTAGCTCTTTGTCCTGGTCGTAGCGCCGGGCTGGGCGCTCGTGGCCGGGGTGCTGCGCGGAGGGGCGGAGGGTGGAGGAGGGGCGGATGGGTATGGAAGTGGAGACAGGGACAGGAGGCAAGGGGGCTACTGGAAGCATGGGTATATGGGATGTTCCAAGGAAGCATAAAAGGGCCTCAGGCAGTACGCACTAGTAACTAGAAGGTATCAGCTCATACGGGGAACGCGACAGGCAGCAGGCGGAGACCAGCATGCACCAGAAAGCGACCCATGGATCGCACCTTGAGGGGATCCGGCACGTACACCATCAGCCCGTTCTCGTCCAGCCACTGGTAGGCGAACATGGGGTCCTGGATGGTGGCCGCAGCGCCCGACGTATCCATGCCGCCCACACCTGCCACCATCTGGCCTCCCTGCGCGACCATGCCGAGTTGCTGTTGCTGCAGGCCCTCGCCGCCTTGCATGGGCTGCTGCAGCGCAGCCAACTGCGTCTGACCCAGTTGGGGTTGTTGTTGCTGCTGCTGCTGGGGGTTGTTGCCAGCAGGCGGCAGCTGCAGGAGTTGCGGCTGCTGGCCTTCGCCACCGTCGGGCTCCTCCGTGACCGTGGGCAAGGCGCCTGAGGGGCAGGGTATGGTTGGAGAAGAGGACGGAGCGTGTAGTGTGTACGAAGGAGTGTAAAGGGTTGGGCGGCACGCGGAAAAAGGAGGGCCTGTGTGGTACCGCATGCATGGGAGCTCGTATCGTCAGCAACACCCTTACGTGCACCCTCCCTAGTTAGGTAGCGCGCTTACCGACAGTGAGCTGTTGTTGCTGCTGCTGTGACATGAAGGCCGCCTGCAGCATCGCCGCCTCCGCGTTGCCGCCCGCCATCTCAGCAAGCAGCGCCCTGCGGCATGCACACACACCAGGCCCCCGGCTCAAGCACACCGCGACTCAGTCAAATGACAATGTCCGTGATAACGCCCTTTCACGCCGTTTTCCTAACACATTGCCATAACACATGTCTCGCCATCCAAGCCATATTGTGCCCAAGCCACACCTAAACCAGCCCGCAACCCGACCCACTTATCCAGGGTAGCCGCCCGGGCAATCCGCTGCTCCGTCTTGTTCAGCGAGTGCTGCGACAGGATGCACTGCCGCTCGCGGTACAGCCCCATCTCCTCGCGCACGAAGCGCCCCTCGCGCTGCGCCGTCAGACGCTGCGGCAGCGGCTGCGGCTGGCCCGCCAGCGCTCCCACATCAAAGTTGAGCAGCAGGCTTGCGGCCACCGCGGGAGGGTCCTCGCGCAGCTGCGAAAGGTGGCGAGGGTGTGATTTCACTGATGTGTGGGGTTTGGGTGCGGTAGGTGCGAACGGAGTAGGCATTGCAGACGTGTGGGGCGCAGCCGTCGAGCATACAGCTGGAGCTCGCGTTCTCTATGCGGCGCTTCCTTGCGTCTCTCTCCGCAAACCTTGATAGCCCAGTCCGTCATGAGCATCCAGGTGCACCCCGCATACCCCGATGCATCCCAGATATCCAGACGCAACCCACATACCCTGTAGCTGTTCTCGTACGACACCATGGCGACCTGCAGCGTGCCCCGGTCCGCCGCCGCGTTCTGCATGAGCCCCGGCTGCTGGGGGTCCTGCGGCCCTGCTGCAGCAGCAGTACCCGGGGTAGCGCCCGCCTGCGAGGTTAGCCCGGAATCTCGGGGCGCCTGGTGCTGAGGGTGCTGCTGCGGGGGCAGCTGCTGCGGACCCATTTCAGGGTCGTCGGGGTTGGCTGAAGGGCCTGAGCCGGCTTGCTGCTGCAGCTGAGATGCTCCTATCTGAGGATATTGTTGTGGCTGTTGTTGCACGCCAGAGGGCTGTTGAGCTGGAGTGGCATCTGCACAAGGAATGATAGCGTGAGCGCAGATGGACGGATGTGAAGGACTGAGGCGGCGCCGTACGGCAAATCCAGTTTCCGAAGCCCTAAAGCCGCTAAGCCCTAATTGCAATCTTTACGATTTGCGAAAGGTAAGCGTCCTACCTTGACCCCGGCGGAAGAAGCTTAGCAGGTTGCGTAGAGCAGGTGCTCCTCCGAAGGGGTTCGTGGCAACGGGAGGAGACTGCGCAGGCGCCTGAGGGTTGCTTTGCGTGTTGCCTCCAGCCGGCGGTGCGTTCTGTGGCTGTGGCAATTGCATAGGCTGCAGCTGAGGTTGCAGCTGCTGTTGGTAAGGTATCTGTAAGGCAGGCTGCACTGGAGGTCCGGCTGTCGGGAAAATGCCACCGGCTTGCACCTGCATCCCAGGTGCGTATCCTCCAGTTGGATTTACAGGTTGTTGCTGCATTCCTTGGTAGTAACTACCGGGAGCGGCCATCTTCTTTGTATGCAGTTTGCTCTCGTCTACATGGTCACACCAAACGCCCGTTGACTAGATGTCGATAACACGAAATGGTCATCATAAAGTTAAATACAACATAGGTATCGCTTACGTATCACACTAAGGCGTCGGGTCACTGGTCACTGGTCTGGACGTCGGCACGTCGCTTTCAGTCAGCTCATGCCGTACATGCTTTGGATCGAGGTTGCTAAGTGCTCCGTCATCCTATGAGTTAAGCCTCTTAGGCAACAGTTGCACTGCTGCTACCGCGGCGAGATTAGCTTTAGGGGTCGTGTACTATTCAACCTCCAAGCACATCCGCCGCCCCGCGACAGTTCACTTCCTACTGCTAGGCACCTATTGCGTTACCTACTATTGGAGCTGAACCATGGCAAGCCAGACAAGCAGCAAGCTCCTGGTGTGTTCCGGACTGCTGTTTCTGATGATTTGCCGTCACCATCAGGGCACAAACTATTGCTTTTGGAGAGGCGGCTACACTATACTTACACAAGTGATCCTTTTTACAGGCACCGCTCGTATCCAGCGTGCAAACGCAGCGAGCTTTGGTAACGTTGGTGCAGCCGATAGCTGCTTTGGGCGCTGCACACTTCAGGTGTGTAGCGTGTTGGGTCGCCGCTCCGTTTTTTGTATATGCTTTGTTGCACTTCCATCGTAGGTTTTCAGGCCTCGCGCTGATATACCACATCTGCGCCGCAGGACTTTCTCGACTTCTCGGTGCGGGCTTAACGAGCAACAGAAGCCTGAGGTAAGCGCTCCTATGATGTCCCTTTTTTGAAGCTTATCCGCTGAGTCGCTTCGAGCCAGATGGATGGCAGTTACAGATGCACGACGGGCCTTTTAACCCTCCGTCGCAGGGCGCGCAGGCGAGCACGTCAGGCAACACCCAGGAGCAAGAGCAGCAGCAACCCGGAACCTCGGGTGAGCAGACTCAGAACTTCTTCAACAGCTTCAAGTCGGGCTATGAGCGCGTTAAGTCTAAAGCGGCTGGTGCAGCGGGCGGTAGTGGAGAGGAGCCTGCGGCTAAGCGCCTGATGCAGACGTTAGCAAAGGACCTCCGAGAGGTGCTGCTACCAGCACAGGACATAACCTCCGCTACTCGCGTTTACAACGGCCCCGTTGCAACTACTACCTACGATGGCCCCACGGCTCTGGTTATCTCTCAGCAGCAGGCTACCGGGTGGCAAAAAACCTGGAACACCGTACAGGATAAGGTGCGGCAGGGGGGCCGCGTAGAAGCCCAGCTGCGTGGCGGTTCCATCTGTAGGAGGGTTTACCCCTCTCCCGTAGTGGAGCTCTTTCCTTCCGTAATGGGGCTCTTGCCGACACCATGTACCCTGGTGGTACGGGAAGGAGGGCGAGGCCTCCTGTTTGGTCAAGGACCTAATACCGCAGGCGTAACACCGTGTCTGACGTTTTCTGCCGTGCGTCCCTCTTGCAGCTGGGCGGGATTCCGGTGATCAACAAGCTCTTCAACGTGAAGGTGAGTGCGGGGTCCGGCCCATTTCATGGATGTCGGGATGGAGGAGGTTTAGGGATGGCTGTTGGGTTTGCAAGGGTTCCTCAAAGAGGCCGGTGAAAGGCACGGGAGCGGCGCCGGATCTGGCGGGATCTGGTCGTCAAGGCCTGGGTTTACTCACCGGGGGGTCTTCTGCAGCTAAGCATGGCACCATCAGGCCAACCACTGTAAGGTTACCCCTCTTGAGTACCCTCATGCGGGATTGGCTGCAAGGCGTTGAAAACCCTGTTGGAACCGTTGTTCGACGTTCCTAGCTCTCAACAGCCCGCGTACAACACTTCTATCGTTCTCCACCTCCCTGTCCTAACCCTCCCCAGGTGACCGACACGGCCGCCTACAAGAAGAGCCAGGAGATGGTGGAGGACCTGAAGGACAAGTACGAGACCAGCGACCACCCCATGGTGCACAAAGTGGAGGACATCAAGGCGCAGATGTTCACCGGCAGCGAGGCCTCCCGCGCCATGCGGGAGATCCGCTCCCGCGACCCCTCCTTTGACATGAACCGCTTCGTGCAGATGATCAAGCTGGACGCCCCTGGCGTGGTGCGTGCGGGCAGGCGGGCAGGCATGGGGGGGGCTGAGTGCGAGCGACTTGACATGGGGAAGGGCGTTGTGGGCGAGTGGTTCTGTGCATGTGGTTGCAATGTAGCTGCTGGTGGCTACAAGCTGCACCCATCGGCTGGCAGCAGCTTATTGCGACCGGCTTGCAAGCCTGGGCGCGCCTTCCGACCCATGCATAGTGCTACCCCGTTCTTGCCTCACGCCCTCTCCTGTCCTGCCGTGCCCTCTCCTCCCATCTCATCCTATCCAGGTTAAAGCCTTCCTGAAGCACGACCTGAACACGCTGTCGGAGCACTGCGGCCCCGAGCTGCTGGAGCGGTTCACCGGCATCTTTAAGCACTTTGATGAGCAGGTGGGCCGGGGCAGAAGGCTGAAGGGGGGCCTGAGGGAGAGGAGGGAAAGAACTGAATGAGGAAGAGGAACGATTAAACAAGGGCGGGTGGGCCCTTGATGGGAGGGCTGCCCGGGGGGAGTGTTGAGCATAGCGATAGAGGGTGCGTGGTTGCGAAGCGGCCTAAAAGAAGCGTGTTGCTTACTATGGAAGCTGGGAGCGTTAGAGCAAAGGGCATGTAGTATTTTCGTGCATGGAAGAGAGCAAACTAGCACGTTGTAGACAGAGTGCCGGGAGGATGCGGAGGCCCTAGGGTGAACCGGGCCGTGACGGCGATGAAGCCTACATGGAAGGCTGACTGGAGAGCGCCGACGGAAACCTGTTGAAATTCCCTATCATGCTTCCCCACCCGCCTTGTCCTTTCGCGTGCGCAGGGCATTTATGAGGATCCCGCCATCCTCTTCGTCGGCGAGGTGGAGATCGTTGAGGTGGGTCCCTCATGGGAACGGGGTTGAGCGGTGACATTTGTCAGGACAGAGGAAGAGCGTCTAGGCCCTCGCCTCCCTCATTATTCCTTTTAAGCACATGCGTCGTGCTGTTCCCACACCCCCTAACTCCTTGCCTTCCGTCGCTCCGCTTCCCTCGACGTCAATGCTTCTCCCAACTCACGACCGCTTACATCCGGCTCCGCAGCCTAGCCTAGCCGCCCATGCAGCCTCCCTTCCCAACAGCCCTCACACTAACCTCTCCTGCAACCCCACTGCTGTGTCCCTGTCTCCGTGATCCCCACCCCCAGGTCCGCCTGATGGACGACGACCCCTTCGTCATCGCGCAGTTCCACTGCCAGCAGCTCAAGTGCACGCGCGACAAGTTTGGCAACGTCATCGAGGGCTCCTCCAACCAGATCCAGCGCGTGTACTACTTCTGGGGCCTGCAGATGGAGCGCAACCCCATTGTGACGCCGGAGGGCAAGGTGCTGCCGCCGCGCTGGGTGATCAAGGACATGATGTGGCAGTCCATGCTGGCCCTGGTGTAAGCGGCGGGGGGCTGCCCTGCTGAGGCCATTCTGTAAGCTGCTGGGTGCTCTGGTACGGCTGCCGTCTGGTACGATAGTTCCCCTAGGCCGATATAAGCGGCCGCTAGGTACCGTTCGTATGGCCCTGGGCTGCAAGGCGGGCTGAGTAGAGGTGGTGGAGGAAGGATGGCATGGGCTCTTGGGCTCTGCTGTGTGACTGAGGAACACCGTGGCATGGGGCCTTGGGATTTGGGGTGTTGTGACCGCAGCCGTGGCGTGCTGGTACTAAGGGTGGGAGGCGGCGAGCTTTTTGTAAGGCGTTGCAAGGGCGTGTCCCTTCTCTGAGCCGTGTTGGCGCTGCAACGCTGCCATTTGATTACCTTACAATGGAGGGTAGCGCGGACCCTTGCTATACCTCGCAACAGGGAAGAAGGGATCTGACACACTTATGTTAACGTGGATATAAGGCAGGGAGGGGCGTTACATTAGGGGTGTCGTTACATACGTCTGCTTTGCTCATGGCTTTATAAGTCGCTGTCTGGTCGTTGATTGTCTGCAAGCATGCGTGCATTGTGTGGAGAACCCAAACTCTCGTTGGTCACCTCTCACGGGCTGGGGTGGGCGGCTGTTTTCGCGTGTGGTGGCATGCCGCACAGTTTGGGCACGTGCCTTGAACCTGATATGAAGGAATGTGTTATCACGATACCATCACAAAAGGTTTACAACGCCACCTCACCTCCTACACACGGGCTGGCAGGTATACTAGCCTCCTACCGACCAGGAAGCTGCCCCGCTGCCCTTGACTGCCACCGGCATCAATACCATACTCAATCCACAAAGCACCTACGTGCCTGCACTAGCAAGTAGTAACCAGTAAGCACGGTATCGCCACCTGTCCCGTGGCGTACTCAGGGGGCGCCGGGTGTGTCAAACATGCGCGCACATCTGTTTGCACATATGGCAACACACAACTCCCAACGTGAAACATATTCAGTGGCCCTATCTGCTTCGTGCGTGATCAGCACCTTGTCCGGCCGCCCCCAAATTGCGGATAACTACTACCAAAACTGGGATGCGGCTGGAGACCTCTGTTACAAACTCCGTCAAAACTTCGCACCCCTTCGCTGTAGGGCCTGCAAAACACATGCGCTGGCAGGTACCTCTCATCCTCGACACGCCAACGCGTGTTTCCCGGCCCCCTTAACTCTCATTCATACGCCTCTTATTACGTCTTTACATCTTGAGCCAGTCCGACAGCCGCATGGGCTTGTTGGGGTCGTTGTCCTCATCATCACCCTCGTCCGAAGACGACCCGCTATCGCTATCGCTCCCACTGCTGCTGCTGCTGTCGCTGCTGCTGCTTGTTCGCCGCTTCTTGCTCTTCTTGCTCTTCTTCTGCGGAAGAGGTGGGAGGGTGGCTACTTAAACGCTAGCCTTACAGCACACGAGAAAGGAGGGCTACACACCTGTGTCCGAATTGCACTGAAGAGCAAGGCTGCATGCGGACGCGACATGCACGACCCGCAAAACGCCGCACCGGGGATGGGCGTCCTACCTAGGACGCACAACGCCGCTCTCACCTTCCGGTCCTTGCCCTCCTTCTTGGACTTCTTGCTCTTCTTGTCTGACTTGCCGTCTTTCCGTTTTCCTGCATGCACCAGGCCGTCAAGGTTCGCAAAAGCCGCGAGTTTTCAAAGCAACCGCCTTGCCAACCATTCCAGCAAAACCCATCACCTAGAGCAACCCCTTCACGGCCCCCGACTCACGCTTCTTGCTGTCCTTCTTGAGCTCCTTGGCCAGGTCCGTGTGGTTGCGCCCTCGCGCCAGCAGCTTAGTGCGGTCCGCGTCTAGCTGCGCCCTGTACTCCCCTGAAAGGAGACAGAAGGGTGGCGCGGATGGCGGGAAATGAGTACCAGTAATGGGTTAGTGGTCAACATGCGTCGATGGAGCAGAGGACCATGAAACGTGACCGGTGGGAAAGCGATACGCGATGGCGATAACTTGCGAGCCCCATGCTCGAGGTAGAGTGGGGAGTGGAGGAGGAGAGGGTGAGGGAGCATGCCACCATGCTGTCCCCCGCCTCGGGCTCAGTTTGTCCTAGAGACAGGATAATGCCCCTGAGTCTATTAACCCGAAGTGTTCAGCCAAGCCCCAACCTACGCATGAGCCGCTCCTCCTCTTCCGCTGCAGCCGCTAGCTTGCCCTCAGCCTGAAAAACAAGGAAGGGGGCACCGCAGGGACGTGTCAAAGAACAAACCTACAGTTGACTGCACCTCAAAGTTGCCAATGTTCCCCTGCATGGAGGACCTCCGTGCTCGCCATGCGCTCCCCGCCCAAGTGGACAAGACAAATCGTGTGGAGGGCTAGGAGCGATAACACATGTACGAGAACCGTACGACGGTACGTTACGTTTACGTTGGTTACGTACCTCTTTTTGCTTCTGCCGCCACTCCTCCCAGGGCAATCGCTCGACCTGCAATGCAGCGATGCGGGCTGGCGCGCAGCAGCGCACCACATTGCATGGGGAAGGAGTTAACGGGGCGCCTGACGGGGACAGCACCTAGCACGATGCAGGGGGGAAGGCCGAGCGCCGCCTAAGGCTGTGTGGATGATGCGTGGAGAAGGTTGGTGCGAACCCCAGGCTCGGTGTACGGACCGCGCAGGCAATCTGACCAGGATACTTGAGAGTGTTAGCTGGGCCGGGAGGTGACCCAGTTCCTGGAGTCGTGTGTTCGTGGGGTTTCCATGACAATTGGGAGTCTCCCCCGAAGGCTGAGCAGCTCCAATAGCCCCGAAGTCGGCACTTCGCCACCCGTGTTGCAAGCGCCCACCTGCATGCCACTCTGCTGTATGGAAGGTGACGTCCTTCATGCCATCACTATACGCCGCTCCTCCGCCAGCTTCCTCGGTCCCGCCTCCACCGCCGTTATAGCGCGTGCGCTGCATGGCCTTGTGCGCTGCAGAGAGTGAAGGTCTCCTTTATAAGCTTGCGGGGAAGGGGCTGATAATAGAACAAATAGAACACTGGTGCCCAGTATGCAATCTACGTACACTGATTCTTGCCCATGTTTGCTTAGTTGCCCCCCGCTTGGGACGGCTTCAGAAGGGAGACAGTTGCAGATTCAACCCCTTAACACAAGCTGCACACGCTGATACAGTTCCTTATCCTAACTCCCAATTGTCGCCCGCGAGGATGGAGTCTATTCAATGTATTGGGAGCACTTGCAGGCCTCCACAAGCAGAGCTTCAAACCATCTCAAGGCAATGACAACCCGTTTACACCAAACGGACCACGTATGTAAGGGGCCGCCTCTATGTACACATACAATGTAAAGCTTTTACGCAATTGAGTCCATGCAGGACTTGAAGGAGAGTTGCAGCAGTTCATGAATGGACGAGCACTGCACGGCAAAAAAACGTGTAAAATGGCCCCTGAACAGTTGTGTTTTCCGTCCAGGATAGGCTGCAGGTGTCCTTCGACTGTGCTTTCACTACACTCTCGTGGTGGCTAGCAGTGCGAGACCGCGTAGGCAAAATGTAGGTTTGCGAGAGCTGTGCCCCCGGCTTGAGAGAGCGGTCTGTTGAGCAGCATGTTACCTTTGCGTGCAGGGTGGAGTACACTGAGGAGGACCCTAAGCCCCAGGTGTGTACTCTCAGCCGCAGGCATCAGTCGCGCTTCATGCCGGCTGTATGACCCGGTATCGCTACTACTAGTTTCCTGGCAAGTAATATGGTCGCCCTCTCTTTTGCATGGATAGCTGGAGGAGGAGTGCAAGGTCCACTGCGTCCGGGAGTGGGCGGCCTATAAGGTGGGCTGGAACTGGTATCTGTGCGGGACGCCCTCTACATGTGATGTAGCCATGCCTCCATTATGAAAGGGGCTAGGGCCGCTCGCTTTTGTTTGGGCGGACCCGGTAATGCGAGGAATCAACCAAACTATTTCGGAACAGGCTTGCGCGGAGCGCATCAAGAGCGACACGACGGGGCAAGCTCACTGCAGCGGCCAGTACTTCGACTTCTGGAAGTGCATTGACCACTGCGTAAGTGTTGGGTTGTTCTGGTCGCCGAAATCACGCTATTAGTTCCTTGCCTTAAACGCGTTCTGCCCTCTTTCTACAGGCTGCTCCTCAGCTTTTCCACCACCTGAAGTAAAAGCTCAGCGGGCACATCGTTGGCTATGTAGCTTAGCAACCTGGCACCATCCTGGTGACTTTCATAGCGGCTTGGGACTGGTGGACGGCGTGGTGATGCGTGCGGCTTATCGGTTCAGTTCTCGAATATTAGGTCGGGTGGCAATTCCCCGGAGCGGTGCGCTCCTAAGGAGCGTGGTTGTGTATGGGTCCTAGACACAAGCGAGCCATCCTGGAAGGGGAGTTGACTCGAGAGGTTGTAACGTTAACTGCCTCGACATGTTCTTTGGCTCCTATGAACTATCTCATCACACGTAAAAAGGGATAGAAGTGCGGCTACTGCAGTCGTTGCCAAGCAGCATGCACATGTCAGGGGGCTACCGCCTGGTTTGGCCCACTAGCGTGGTCTACGTCGCAGAGGTATCGCATGCGCAGTACTATTATGATTCCATTAGGTTTCACAACAGCATGCTACTGCAGCTGAACTACAGATGGCCAGTGTGTTCTCATACGGATACGGTACGGATTTGACAGCCCATGAGACGCAACTTCCATGCGCCGAATAGCCCTTGATTGCCAGCATATTGGGCCCAACCTAGATTTTTCAGGTGGCGTCGAACCATGCTTCGCCTTCGACAAAACATCGTAGCAGTTTCCTCCTCGCCATGTCACCAACCTGTCTCGCAGGCTATCGAGGTGTCATTACACACCGCACCTCATGGCGAAGTGCTGCCACCCCTACACGACATGGAGCCAGGAAAATTAGGTACATGCCGATAGAGAGACGTGTACAGCATGGTAGACGTTTGACGCAAGGGAGCACTTGGGAGGCAGCAGCATCACATCACAGCAGACTCCCCCCCTGCTTTAATTGGGTAAGGAATCCACCACGCTGTACGGCAATGTGCGTGTAGTAGCACTGCCCTAGTTAAGTAGTGCCTTGCATTGTGAACATGTGCACGGCAGTTGCATCTGTGGCTCATACCCCTAATACGGCACCCCCCTTACGGCGGCAACGGTCAAAGGGACATGCACGGCCAACGGGTACATGTCAGAAAAGTGTGCACACGACGTACTGACGAGAAGGCCACAGGCTGCGACATTTGGAAAAAAGGTCGGTAAGGAACAGCGATTACAAGAGAACGTGCAAGGGACCTGGGAGACCAAAGGCCTCCGAAACCCGAGCCTGCTGTACATACGGACAACTCTGCTTTAGAGCTCAAGACGAATCACCCCCGATGCAGTATCCAGGGAGCTGTGCGTACCGCGCTTGCTGGGCATGGTTCAGCGACGTACTCCCAGTGCAGGTTCATGCACGCAGTATGGTCCTACTTAGCAAGCCTAGAGCAGTAAATGGGTAACCTTCTTGTCGGCCCCTACGGTTTGGAGGATCCCCCTTTGTCCCCTGGGTCATATACACGCAGTCTGCAGCAGCTAGCAGACATATTCCTTGTAGGGACAGTGGCCCAGAATCAATATGGCCATGCCTATTCCTCCGAGATGTTACGTGACAGCCCTCTAGGTGTACTGATAGTACGATTCTCTGGTGGTATGCACGGCATGCCGCACGCCAACAAGCACAAACGGTTGAAACGTATCTGCCCTTGAATTGCTTTAACTAGCTAAGCGTTAGCCGTTATAGCACATGCGTGTAATTAATTGAACGACACAGCTTAGCAAACAAATGCACAGCCTGGTTGATGGCCCAACAGGGCGAGCTTGCTTAGGAACCAACACATTATTGCGTCCTATATTCTCGCACTCGGTCGCGCCGTTCAAGCCAGCCGGCGCTCGCTCGCGTCAAGTAAACCAAGCTCGTCGTCCGTTGGTACCATGCGCCACCTCCGAGGCTTCAGCAGAGCCTATTGCGTCAACATCTGGAGCCCCCGACGTTGATAAAGAGCTAGTTGCGGAGAAGACACGGGAGGGAATGCGTCGGTTCGCAGCCAGCACTCGCAAGGTCCGGTGCAATTGAAGGACATTATCCGTGCAAAGGGCACTACCCAGCGGTTCGTGATTTCTGTAAGCAAACACGCAGGTTGGCGTCAGCCGCCTGGTCGTGGACTCGCTTAAACGCGTTTCCATGACCTTCCTTTGCGATGACCATGCGCTTGGCTTTGAAGTGGCGAAGATCATCGGGTCACGACTGGGCTGGTTCTCTGTGGATTTAAAAAAAGTAATATGCGGCATGCGCAAGGTGGCTTCTATTGAAGAGCTGAGCAAGGAGGAGCTAGGTGGGTTTGCCAACTCCCGTCCTCCAATTGTGCATCGGCAGAGCAGTTGCTAAACGAGGGGCAGAGGGGGACGACTGCTAAGGGTTTCAACCTTGTGGGTGGAATGGGGTGGGGTAAGGTGTCCCCGGGCTAGGGTCTAACGGTCCATGCATTGAAGGCGGCCAGGTCTCAGAAGGTTCATTCCGAGATCCAACCAAGATCTCCGGGGTAAAAAGCCAGATCAAAGCATCCACCAAACAACAGCTGTTGCCTCTTACCCGTTGCACCGCATTTCTCACGCTGTGGGGCAAGCGGGCCACCTCTTGGGGTAGCATCCTGTCCAGCACCGTCTCCACCTCCACCTTCACCCCTCCCGCCCTCGCCCCTCTCCCAATGTCCCCTAGCCGATTTCCAACCTCTGTCCGCCCCTCTCCCAATCCCCTGCCCGCCTCTCCCCCTCCTCATCTCCCCAGTCTCCACGGAGGCCGAGGTGCTGCGAGGGCTCCGAAACCAGTTCCGAGTGATCGCCTGTCCGCTGCCTGGAGGCGCGGTGACGGTACGGCAGGAAATCTGGAGCGATCTGTACGGCAGCGTCATTGTATGGATTGGTGAGGCGGGCGGATGGGCGGGCCAGTGGCTGATAGCCCCGATCACACGCCTATCAACCCCAACACATGGTACCGTACCTAGCACACGGCATGTTGCTGGAAAAATGGAGGGTGAATTGTATTGCATGCTGGCATGCGGCGTGATCTACCGGTATCCAAGGTAGACACCGTACGACACCCCCCTGTGCAGATGAAGAGGATCGCCCGCGCCCCAAGCCTCACACACCGGAACGGCAGCTGTACGGCAGTAAGGCCGAGGTGGCGGTGCGGGTCAAGGTAGGTAGGGGGGAAAGGGGAGGAGGCTGGGAGGGGAGAGGAAGGGGCGCGCTTCTGTGCCGGCCAGGTGGGACCCATGGCATCACGCGCGGGGTGCTTTGCTGACGTACAGCGCTGCTATGTGTGTTACTGTGCTCTCCCCTCCCTCCCCCCGGTCACCCACTCAACGGTTGCCGTACCATGCCGTTTGTACGGCACCACGCTTCCTGCCTGCCCCACCCTGTCCCACATCTTCCTCCGCCCTTCCGCTCCGCCGCCTTCTCTCCGCTTCTCCTGCCCCTTCCCACCTCCCCGGTTCCTTTCCTGATCGGACTAACCACCTCCTTCTACATGTCCTGCCCACCTGCCCCCTCCGGGACTCCGTTGCTGCATGATCCATCAATCATTTGCCCCCTCTCACCCCTCTCCCTCCTTCCCCCCAGCTGAACAAGGGCTTCTCCCAGCGCTCCGGCAACTCCCTCTCCACTCGCGCCCAGGCGGCCGCAGCGGCCCTCATGAACCGCCTGTGCGACCACTTGGCGGTGAGGGGGGGGGGGGTGAAATAAGTATAATGAGAGGGGGGAAGGGGAATTGCGCCATGCGGAGCGGCCCGGGGCTGCTGCGGGGGTTTTGGCTGCTGGACTGGCCCCGCAATCCGCGGCGACGAGGCTTTACCATGCGGGGTGGTGGTGGTGGGGCAGCGGAGGGGGTGCAAGGGGGCGGCAGGGAACGGCCACAGCGCCCAGCTGCTGGGCTGACAGCTCCCGTGCGACCCCCACCACCTAGCACCTGCCCTGGCTGGGGGAACGAGCATCCCTTACCCCTTCTCAACCCTCGCCCCGCCCCACAGGAGTACCCCGACCTGACGGACCGCAAGCGGCGCTACGTGGAGGGGGGCTGCCGGGGCGACTGGCCCGCCGTACAGCCGCCCGAGTGGAGCCCCGCGCTGCAGGAGCTGGCGGCGGCGCGGGGGCCGCTGGCGGGGTTCCCGCAGCAGCAGGGGGCGGAGGGGGAGGGGGAGAGGGAGGGGCAGGAGGGGGCGGAGACGACAGGTGTGGCGGAGGCGGAGGTGGTGGTTGGGGCGTAGGGGGAGAAAGAGGGTGTGAGGGTGATGAGTACTGTGCGGAAGTCTTGCGGGGCATGATGATTGTGGGAAGCTGCGGCTGGTGTCGCGTTCGGGGGAGGAAAGGTCCGCAGGGAATGCTTCCGTTCTTCGGCGTTCGTGGGATGTACTGGTAGGCTTTTCCTCTTTCGAGCGCCCCCATTCATCTTGTGCTGCTGCGCGCGGCTGTGTACGAGTAAGCCGGAAGAATATGTGCTCCTAACTCACTCAAATGTTCGACCAAGCCAGGGACGACCATGCAGTACGAAGTGCAATGCAGCACAGTACGACAAGAGCGATGTTGCATGGGAGGCACTGCGCACCGCTAAACTGACGTATCTGCGGGAACTTAAAAAGAGCGTAAGTACGGCAGCAGCATACCCCCAAACATCTTTCTCTAATCCCTCTTAACGTCTTAAGCACACACATCCGTGGCCGCGTAACCGCGTTCCAGCGGCTTATGTGCTGGTACGTACGACACACACCGTACAGTACATGCTGCTGGCTAGACGCCAACCCAGCCCAGCCACTGGAATACCCTGATGGAGACTTCGCGACTCGTCACCCCCTCCCGAGAGTACGACTGAGTCGCGGCTCAGTTTACCTAACCGCCGAGTACGACGCCGTGTGGGTAACAGGGGATGCCAAGCACCCATGGTACCATGAGGACAGCAGCGCACACTAAATGTGGCGTTATGCCTGTATAGCCAAATCATTACTCTTCCTACGCTCTTACGTTGTACGGAAAGGGTTTAACACCCACTCGGCACCAGCCACCCACAATGAGTGGAAGCTGTACGGACAACTGCCCCCGCGGGGCAACTGCCAGCTTGCAACGTTATACTCCGTATACAGGTACTGCATGTTTGCATGGGATGCATGTCGCAACAAGTTGCTCTACAATGCATGCACACCCAGTCCCCCAAACACCCCCTAGCCACTGCACACCTCCAAAACTCCTCAACACCCCCTACCTATCTGTCCACCCACCCATCTATCTGGTCATCCCTCCAACTACCTACCCACCCATCCATCCATCCACCTAGCCACCCCGAGCGAAGTTGAAGATCAGCAGCAGCCCCGCCGCCGCTGCCATGCTGCCCCACACGGCCCCGTTGAGCCCAGCCATGGCGGCTCTGCAGGCAGGCAGGCGGGGGGGGTGGGGGGGGGGGTGGGGGGGATTTTATAATAAGTGCAACAACTAGAGCCCCAATCCCATATCCCGACTCATGCAGGGGGGGGAGCGGGTTGGGACGCGGGTGATCGGGGTGAAGGAAAGGAAGAAGAAGGAGCTTTAAAGGGGAAGGGTGAGGGAAGCAGCAGCAGGGGATGGAACAGGTAGATGTCACGTATGGAGAAACGAGAGGAGGCAGGGAGAGCGGAAGGGCGGTAGTACATCGGGGATCTCACTCACTGTTGTACGGGACCGCTCAGCTCGCGCTTTTGCTCGTCCGAGATGGGAAGGTTGTCCAACTGGTGTTGCCAGGTTTTTGGTTGCGGCGGTTGCCGTTGCCAACCGGACAAACGGTTTGACGAAGCAGAACGTACGGCCGACCACGAGAGGGTCGTCGGGGGTATATGCGGGCAAGGGGGACGTTTGACAAACTAGAGGTCAGTACATTGGGGGAAGACAGAAGGCCGCGCAGGGTATGGTAAAGGAAATGGGTCGCGCTTCCCTGGTGAAGGAATGCTTGCAAGAGTGACGCCACCCCAAAGACAGTCCAGACGTGCATGTTGCCCAACAATGCAGGGGCCAATCCGCACAGCTCAGGCCCAGCCTGCGAGCTAAAGCCCCTACTCAACCTCGCACCCGCACCCGCACCCGCACCCGCACCCCACCCCATCTCCCCCGCACCAGCGATGACGTGATGCGGTCGATCTGCTCCCCGCCCAGCCGCTGCAGTCCCTCCAGCGCCAGCAGGTGCGGAGGGAGGTCCGACTCGTCGTCCATGCCGCCGCCGCGCCGCCGCCAGCGCCACACGTCGGACAGCATGAGCTGGGCGGCCTGAAGCGGAGGAAGGGAGGCAGGGAGGGAGGGAGGGAGGAAGAGAAAGGCATAAGTGAAAAGTGAAGCACAGGGAGGGAGGGAGGGAGGGAGGGAGGGAGAGATAACGGTAGCAGGCGGGGTGGGGACAAGGTAGGCGAAGAGTGAAGCAACTGGGGTCCCAATCCTGCATCCTGAGTCATGCAGTGACGGGGTGGGGAGTGAGGGAGCTGGTGGGGGGGGAAAGTAAGGTGGAGGGCAGGGGGCGAGGTGTGTGCGGGGTACCCGGGGCTGCTCGCGGCATCACACACGTCAGACACGGGGCAGACCGCACGTCTGCGCGGCCCCGCCAGCCGCGCAGAACCGCACCTTGAGCGCCTGCACGTCCGCCACCTCCTCCTCGCGACCCGCCAGCATCTGAGCTACCACCGCCTGCCGGGAGGGGGGTCAAGAGAGAGGCAAGAGCAGCGGGGAACCGGTCAGGTGTGGGTGTGGGTGTTTGGCAGCAGTGGGAACTGCAGCAATGGAGCCGCGCAGGTCTCCAGCGACAGTAGGGGCCTGACCAGTGTGCACCCGTGGGGTCCCAACCCTACCCAACACCTTAGGGCCCCCAACCCTAATCCCCCACCATCCTCCCCCGCAGCCCCCTGGCTCCCATTTATGTCAGCCCACGACCCTCACCCGCGCTCGGCCCATATCAAAGTCCGCGGGCATCCCCGCAGGCGGCTTCACGGCGTGTGTGAAATAGCCGCGAATCTCACCGGGCGGGAAGTCCAGGCCTGTAGCAGGAGTGCAGGACAGGGGCGGGCGACAGACCCATGGGTCATACTACGATGCCCCGGGTCACATACAGGACAGGGCCAGAGCCAGGCGGATGCAGGAGCTGGTGGAGAGACGGCGGCAGGAGCGGCAACCAGATGAGAGGGCAGGTGCGTGTGCATGTGAGGAAAACGGCACCCTGCCGGGTCCTGTTAGCAATATCTTAGCATGCTGCAAAACTCACGGCCCGCACTTGTACCTCGCGACCCGCAACTCCCACATGCCATTGTACGGCAGCCCTCCTAGCTTGCATCCCATCTCATTTCGCTTCCCTCTCCCTCTACCCCCCTCCCAGTGCCCCACCCTACAGCTAGCGCGTGGTACCCCCACTGCCTCCTCTTACCCTCCTCCGCCTCGCTCTCTAGCCCGCCTCCCTCCCCCGGCCCCCAGCCGCCCCACCCTGCAGCTCGCGCATGATCGTACGGCAGCCCTGCAGCAAATCCGTCCGTACTTCTGAGGCGGGCTTGGAGGGCTTGGAAGCGGAAGAGGTGAAGGAGCGGTCTTGGGGGGTGGATGGGGAGGCCGGGCCGGGAGAAGGGGCGTCACCCTGGGAGTGAGGCATGCAGCGGGGGAGCGAGTTTGTGATCGGGCTGGCGAGGCTAGCGCTGCTGGGGTGTTCGTTGTTGTTGCATGGGCTGTATGTTGGATTGTTGGGTCAACGTTGTAGTCACAGGGTGGGCAGCGCATGGCTGCAGGACGGTGAATGGGTGCTTGGCAGACAGTTTCGGGAGGAAAGGGGATGACGGAGGGCTGCCGTGGACGTGGCAGGCATTCTTAATGGAGAAAGTTGTAGCTTAACGCGACAGGTGCCAACGTTTCGTTGCGATTGCATTCCAGCAGCGTTAGATTCACGCAGCGATTGGAGCACTGTCTGGTACGGCTGAGGAGGCGCCTTAGAGCCCAGCGGTGACGTGTTAGTGCGTTCATCTTAGATATGCAGACCACTACTGGTACGAACGAGCACGCTGGCAGTAAATGAATTTGCTGCTTGTAGCTCAACGTTTTAAATTTTTGAGTCCTTGGAGCATGCATTCACTCGGCTGAGTTTGGCGCGGCTAGCCTCTTGGAAAAAGAGGGCGCTCGGCAGTAGCCGCATGTGACACATGGACACCATGTATTTGTTGAGCAAATCAATGAATACACCATATAGGGTAAGAGGCTTGAAGTAAGTTAACATAGTGAACACAGGTGAAAGGATTCCCAGGGACGTCCCAACGGCAGTTGCATTTACCTCATTATGGACGCGCATAACAGGGCTCCTCAAAGGGCGACTTGTATAGCCCCTTTTGCAGCAGACATCACTACGTCCGCTCAAGTGCAAGACTTTTGCAGGTTGCCCGGCTGCTGGAATACGTTTAGAAGCAGTTATCGGCATTCTTACTAGGGTAGAGCCAAGAGCAGTTCCTGTCGCAATTGGAAATTAAGATCGTAGTAATCTAGCTGCTAATGCAGAAAGATCGATTAGGATGAAGTTGGGGCAGAGGCATAGGGCCCTGCAATCGTTGTGGCTGAGGCTGGTAGTGGTTCATGGTCTTCCTCGCCTCTTTCCTAACTTAGGATCAAGCTGCGGCCATATCAATTAGGTGCTGGCCGCATGAAAATGGCAACACTTACCACACCTAGCAGCGCCACGGCGCGTCTTACAGCCACTCGGCCGCAAGCTAAGGTCGCGGCTGGTAGCATCTCCAGCCTGCGCATTCGCCCATTTACCCATGCAACTCGCAGCGTGATCGGCGCATCTAGGCAGCAAGTTATTGTGCGCGTCGCAGAGCCTGAGGCCGCTACCGCTGTGGAGGAGGAGTTCAGCTTCAGCCTCTCAGACGCAAAGAAGGGCAACACATATGATTCCAGTGATGTGGAGGCTGCCATTCGCCATTTTGAGGGCGAGGGCGAGGCGCCAGGCGGTGTAAACAGCGAATTTGTGGAGAATGTCTTCGGTGTTGAGGACGCTTCCTTTTTCGACGACATAGACAACAACGAGGGCTATGACAACGAGTTTGTTGCTGCTGGTATCCCTGAGGCTGCTCCCAAGGAGCGCCAGGGCCGCCAGGGCCGCGGCGGCCCTGAAGATGCTGAGGGCGAGGGTGGAGACAGCGACGAAATCATCGCCGCTAAGGAGGCTAACAAGTTCAAGCAAATTGAGGAGCAGATGGTTCTGGAGGCCGAGCTTCAGGAGACGGGCTTGGATCAGGAGGTTGAGCGCACTCAAAAGGCTGTGGGTCCGGCCGTTTGGGATTGGATGTCCGACGTCCAAGCCGACGACGATGACGAGGAGGTCAACGCAGTTGCTTCTAAGAGCGTACGCAGCATGTCAGAGGCTGTTCTGGCAGCGCTCCCTACCGATGAGGAGGTGTTCTATGACCTCCGCAATGCCAACATTCAGGACCTGGACGCTGATACGCGCGATACCATCGACTTCCTGCTGGATGACTTTGACCTTGAGAATGAGCTGAAGGCCGTGCCTGAGAACCCGGCCGAGGTTTACGATGTGCCGGAATTTACGGCCCTTGAGGATGGCGACGTGGAGCGCATCGACGCGCTGCTCAACCAGGATCTGTCTTTGCCGGAGCTGGACACCGCTGGCCTTGAGGATGTGCCTGTCATCCAGGACGACGGGCTGGAGATGTCGAAGGCGGCCGTGGATAAGTATGTGGCCAGCCTGAAGGAGGCTCAGGGCGTGGAGCTGTCAGATGAGCAGGTCAGCAGCCCCTTGGTTGCGGGAATAGAGGAAGGGAAGGAAGGGGTGTTGGATCTGTTCCGGTAGCAACGTGGGGACCGTCCTGGGTGTTGGGATCTTGGATCCAAGGGTACTGAGGGTGGCAGGACGCGGGGATCGTCCTGAGGGTGCTGTGGGAGGACCCCCTCAGCTTCCTTCTTCCCCTCCCTAGCCCCTCCTTAGCCCTCCTTCAGCCCCGAAGCATGGATCCGGCGCTTAGCTGTTGCCATGCACTGGCACGCACGTGATCTGGGTCAGAGGCTCGGGCTGCCGCAAACATGCACATCCCGGGCCTCTTGAGTGCGCTACCCCACCCGCATACCTCCATCCTATCTTCCCGTCCCATGCTCCCTGCCTGCTTCCCTCCCCCTCCTACCCACCCACCCCCAGTACCTCCCTCCCTCCTCCTCTCTGCTCTAACCCATGGTCCGTTACACCTTTAACACCCCCCCCTCCACGCCTCCTCCCCCTCCCCTCTCCCTCTTCTCCCCCCTCAGGTCAAGGAGATCTTTGCCGACGAGCCCCTCCAGCAGGTCGACGTCGACTCCGAGCCACCCGTCTCCCTCGACGACGTGGACCTGGCGGCCGCGGATGCGCCGCTGCCCCCCCACCTCCTCCTCTCCGACGCCGACCTCACCCTGCAGGCCGTGGAGGACAGCCTGGCCGACTACGACGACCTCGAGGAGTTCCGCGCGGAGCTGGTGGCGCTGCGCGGCATGCCGGAGGCGGACCTGGAGGCGCCGCCGCCGGAGGAGCTGGAGGTGCTGGATCAGTACCTGGACGCCACGGAGAACTTCATTGAGGCGGAGGAGGCGCGCAAGGCGGCCATTGCGGGGCAGGTGGCGCGCGGGGAGCTGTCGCCGGAGGCGTTGGAGGCGGCTCTGGGGGATGATGAGGAGGGCGAGTGGGCGGATGTGGAGACGGAGCTGCTGATGCCGGATGGGTTTGACGACGAGGAGGAGGGGGCGGGGTATGATGGGGAGGAGGACGATGGAGAGAACTGGCAGGAGCGCATTCTGGAGCTCAAGCGCGTGACCAAGGTGGGGGTTGAGAGGGGGTGGGGAGGGGGGGGTGGGGAGGGGTGGGGAAGGGGAATGAAGTGCGCCCCAGGACATGTGGGTGGCGTGTGTGCTCGTGACAGCGCCGCTGCAGTGGCGACCCGCATGGGGGCACAAGGGGGGTGGACACTGAGGCATGAGGGGTAAACAGTCATGCGGGATGCGCTCCGTACTCTTCACGACTGTGCGGGTAGAAGTTGATGCAGGTGCGCCTGTGATGCGCGTGCTGCGGCCGGATCATACGATGGGCACATTGCTACCCGTCTACACCACACACACATTTCATGGGTTTCATGGACGTTGGTGGGCTGTAGCACCCGGACTTGCATGCCGCACGACCCAACCACGCATACGACCCCACCTCCCCTCCCTCCCTACTTCCCTCCCCCTCCCCCCCCAGGTTGTCAAGGGCGGCAAGCTGATGGGATTCCGCTGCACCGCGGTGGTTGGCAACGGCAACGGGCTGGTGGGTGTGGGCTGCCAGGCGGGCCGCGAGGTGGCCACTGCGGTGCGCCGCGCGCTGGTGGACGCCAAGAAGAACGTCGTGCGGGTGAGGCAGGGGGAAAGAAGGAATCCAGTGTGTGGGCGGGGAGGGGAGGGTGGGAGGGGAGGGAGGGGAGGCGGGTGATGGATGGGGGCGCATGGAGTCATGGGGGTGCGGATGGGTGCGGGTGGAGGGAATGGAGTGGGGGTCTAGGGGGATGGTGGCGTGAGGGAAGAAATGATGTGGCGCGGTGGTGCTTACCTCCCCTTTTCTCCCCTCTCCCCTTGTTTCCTCTTGACCCCCTATTTTTTTCCCCCCCAACCCCCTCCCCCCCTGCACCCCAGGTTCCCCTGGTTGGCGCCGGCACCGTCCCGCACCGCGTGGAGGCCAAGTTCAACGCGGCCCGCTGTGTGGTGCTGCCCGCTGCTGACGGCACGGGTGTGCTGGCGGGCAGCTCCATCCGCAGCGTGCTGGAGCTGGCGGGCGTGCAGAACGTGCTGGCCAAGCGGCTGGGCTGCCGCAGCCTGCTGAACAACGCGCGGTGCGCGGTGGCGGCGCTGGAGCAGCTGCGCACGCTGCAGGAGGTGTCGCGGAGCCGCGGAGTGCCCATGGAGCGGCTGCTGCTGCCGGCCAGGCAGTGAGGGCCGGCAGGGGGAGCAAGAGGGGGGTATGAGAGGGTGGACAGGGAGAGATGGATAGGAGGTGGACAAAGGAGGGAGGTGGAGTCGAGAGAGTTGAAAGGCGCAGGTAGGGGGTGGAGAGAGTAGTAAGGGAGGATGTGTAGGTGTTCGGAGCATTGTGAGAAAGGATTGAGGCGAAGATGAGCGAGAGATGGGGAAGGGGAAGGGGCGGGAACGAGATCCTGCCACCCAGGCCTGCTGCTTGGGGCTCTGTGCATTGATAGGAAAAGGAGGACGGAGAAGCGGAGAAGAGAGAGGCATATACCGTTTTTTAGGTCTGTACCGTTCGGATCTGGGCTTGTAGCGGTCGCGGATCAACGTTCCAGGTTGTTGATCTGCGCATGTAGGCGTGAAATCTGTGTAGCCTGATAGTATCTGTGTAGCAAGTGCCCCGATAACACTGCTCGTGTGCAGTGTTTTCATAGGCAGCGCCAAAAGGCATTTCCCTGCCGGTCACTCGGGTATCGTGGCCGTTTTTCTCAATCGGGGAGCCTTCGGACGGCGTTATGAGAGGCATCAGCTTTGTATGAGCCGCGATGTGTGTGTGTGCTGCTTAGGGGGCGGTCGTCTGCTTCTGACTCCGCCACCGGTTGGGGACTCGCGGCAGGTTAGCGGGCAGGCTAGCACCCTCTACCAGTCTCACCGGCGGGGGCAAGGAGGGTGGCGCAACTCGGCAGTGGGCCTGGTTGCAGTGGTGGTGGGTGTTGGGAGACATGCGGGGCGATGGGTCGACCGCTAGAACGTGGGGGCTGTACGGGTGCGGTGAGGTTGGCAGCCAGAGGAATGGAACGATGCATCGGGAAGCAGGCGGTGTCGGTGACAGCAACGGTTAACAGGAGGTGTGCGTGGAGGGGTTCACGTAGCAGTGGGCCCTTGCCTTGTAGCACGGTTCACGAGGTGAAATCCGGTGACGTTATGACTATGAATAGCGCTGCCCTCCCTCACTGGCAATTTTGTCTTCTGTTTCCATGTGCCGTGAGGTGGGGGTCAGGGCTGAGGGGGACATGGCGAAGCGTGTAAGTGTGCGTATGTGTTACAGATGCCCGCAATGCTCGTATCTGGATTGGTGTAAGTCACCTCCCGGCTTTAGGTCTGGTCACTTCTATACACAGAACACGAGGAATCTCTTATTTACTAGTACAGTTATACGACGCAGAACGTTGTACATATAATAAGCAGCTGCAGCTGATAGGCGTTGCAAGTGTCACAGCCCCTCTCCAGTAAATGACAATGACGCCACGCGGGATTCATAAAGCAGACAGCACCACAACAGACGTGTACCCACACACACCAGCACGCTTACAATCCTACTCGCACTCCAAAGTACGTGAACGTACGAGCTTACGAAGTGGCCCACTGAAACGTCGAAATTGTACCCAACACTGCACCCACCCTCTTTTCTCTCGTCTCGAAGAATCCTTTGCACTCCTCGCACCACCAGACGTGGAGCTCCTTGCCATCCACCAACTGCACTGAACATGCGTCGCTTCGTTCTCTTGTTTTCTTCTCAAAGCCGTCGTCAGTCTCATCACACCGCGCGCTCTTCATGTCTCGCGTACCTAAGCAAAACCCCCGCTTATGCAGTACACTTCCTTTATGCAGACGTAGCCCTCCTTCACCCTTCCCATGCATGCAGCTTTCCTGGAGCCTCCTTCCTCCCAGCGAGTCACACACCAGCATACCCGCATACGGCTGTTTCTCCCATGCCATGAACCTCATCTTCCTTGCGCCACTCACCCCGTCGTGCTGTCATGCTGAAGACGAGGCTGTCACCTCCAGGCAGCTCCAGGCGGCCTCGCAGGGCCCTGGCGACCCATGGGTCACTGAGCACCGGCCACACCTCTCTGGGCACCTTCCCACCCGAGTTCCTTGCCTACCTTCTGTTTCGCAGCCGCAGTCGCGGCCTGTCTCGTTAGCCGCAGCCATCAACGACAAACACGCTTCTCCTACAGTCCACAACACCTCGGCCCAACAGCCCGAACAGCAGCCCCACCGCGCCTCCCGCCTGCCTCGCACATCGTCTCACTCACCCCCCTTCCCTCCCGCACGGTTTTCCTTCTTTTCGTCTCCTCCCTCTTCACGCTCCCCTCCCCTCCTTTCCTACGCTACCCTCCTTTCGCAGCACCTCCGCGGCTCCGTTTACCTCCTCCTCCCCCCGCTCACAGCATCTGGAACGCCGTTGCCCCCGCGAACAGCAGGAACAGCGCCCCGCTGATGATGTTGACGGTGCGCTCCGACACGCGCGAGGAGGCCAGCGCGCCGCCCACCACCGCGATGCCGGTGGCCACCGCGTGCCCCCCGATGGCCCCCACCGCCACCCCCACCGGGCTCTGAGCGGCGCCCAGTGCGATGGTGGCAAGCATGGATCTGAGGGGGCGGGAGAGGCAGCTGGTGGGTTGCATGGGGTGGAACTTCGCCCTTACCCTCACTCACTCCAACCACCCACCCTCATCCCTCATCCGTGACGCCTGGTCACTCCCTCCCACCCTCCAGCCCCTCCCACGCCCACCTGTCCTGCCGCCTCCTATCCCCATTGTCTTTGCCCCAACCTGTAGTTTCCTATGGTTCGATATGGTCCTTGACCCACCCTCCACCCCATTTATTTTTCCACCCCCTCCAGCCCCTCCAGCCCTCCAGCCCCCCCACCTGTCCCCCCACTCCGCCAGGAAGATCAGGGTGGCCACCTCCAGGAACACAGCCAGCGGGGAACCGCTACCGGCGCCCCGCTGACCCGACTTTGAGCCGCTGACGCCGGATCCAACGCTCTGTACGGCACTCTCCGCGTCAGCGAGCTCATCGCCCTTGGCGTCGGAGGCGGCGCCGTCCTTGGGAGCCATCAAGCCGTCCTGTTTGGGGGCGAGAGGAGGTTTGGAGGTGAGAGGAGATTTGAGGGGGGGTTAAGGGAAGAGCAGGAAGAGGGCTGGGCCAGGCTGGTAGGGGCGAATGCTGGATGCTGAAGCTGGTTGGTTAAGGGGAGTGTACGATACAATTGCTGTTGCATGCATGAGAGGATGTATGGAAGCATTGACGCCATGCGTTCCAGCTTGTGAAGCGTCAACAAAATAGTTAGCTCGGAAGGGCCAACGGCAAGACATCCTCGCTAGTTAGCTTACCCGGAGCGTCTTAATGCCGAAGAAGACGAGGAGAGCAATGCCCGCTAGCTCGCCCACAGGGATGGAGCTCTTAAGCGCATCTGGAACGCGTGAAAAGACAGCGCCGATGCTAACGGAGATGACGGTCATGACTGCTAGAGCGCTGACGCTGCCGAAGAAGGACATCCATTTCCCAATCTTCATTGCGAGCAGCGCAGCGATAAAGAACGTTTTATCGCCAATTTCTGATAGAAGGATTAAGGAAAAGGCTGCTAGAAATCCGGATTTGCCCAGCGGGCCATTGACCAGGATTTCCTGCGGTTGGGTAGGCATGGGGTCATTACATGTTGCATATCTGCCGCGGCAACACCGCTGCACCGCACCTTCAGCGCCTGGCCTGGCGCCGACATCATGTAGGCGCCGATGGCGAGAACCCCAAGGCCCGTAATAATCCACGGTAGCGGGTTGCCGCTCCTGAGGATGCGCGCCAACCAAACCCCACTTGGTGACGAACCGACATAGACGCGTCGCAAAGTAACAACATTGCGCCAATTGTTAAACATAAATTACTCACTTTTTCGACCCCTCATCAGGCTGAAGGCTAGCATTCGCAGCAGCTTGTACTTGTATCCGCTTGGCTTCGTTACCCAGGCGAAAGACCGACCGCTGTTGCGCTTGCTGAGACGCTGGCCCGAAAGGAGTAATACATTGACAGTGCCGCACTAAGCTACATGGGCTAGGCGCGCAGAGCGCAGCTCCTCGCTGCTCGGCATTCGGCCGGTGCCGGCCGAGAGTGCCAACGCAGCTGCCGCGCAGCATTTCCTGTATACGCTATGTGTTACCTGTTTAGGATAAATGCAATAATAACTTGTCTGATCTACGCCCGCTGGGACTATGTCCACCGGTCCTGACGATGCTAGGGCGACAGTTGAAAAATACGCTAGGTCAGGGTCCCAAAGGTACTTCAGGGCACGGTAGCAACTGTCGCAACGTCCGCGTGCCCGAACAGCGAGCCTAGCCTCTGTGGACCTGCGATCAGCCGTACCTTTTGGCTCCGGAACATGCCCGGGATGCTATTGAACTTTACAAAGGACAGTACTACCAATCACAACTTGACAAGCACTTACTTGTGCGCGTTCCTCAATTGCGTTGTGGAGAATTTTTTACTAAATAGTGCTAGGTGCACTCATGGAACAGTAGAACCCTGGGGGACAACCGCATAGCGCAGAAACATGGAAGCCCGAAATCTTGAGGTACTCAAGGAGGTCAAGTACAGAGCGGATAAGCCAGGCGTGGCCGTCAAGCTCACCCTTCCCTCTCCTCCAAAACATCCATCCTCGTGAGTCCCTTCCAGTGAGCCTCTCGCGTGTACTTCATAGCTGCACCAAACCCACATGCTACCTTCCCCTACCTGGAACAGCATCACCGCTGTATATCGGGCCTAACTGGCCTATCCAGCCCACCTGCCCTTCACCATGCTCCCCCTGCTCTGCTGTGCTGCTCTCTTTCTCCCATACCACCAGTACGACAACAAAGCAACCACCACCGTCATCATCCGCCGTACATGCCGGTGTCGTACTGGCCCACGGCGCCGGCGGAGACATGGACAGCGGTCACCTGCCGGCCCTAGCAGCTGCCCTGGCGGCTGCGGGCGTGACGTGTGTGCGCTTCACCTGCCGTACACCCCACCTGCCCACCCGCGTGGAGGCGTTCCGAGTGAGTCCCAACCTGCCCACTGTGTTGGTGCCCGGGTGCTGCATTTTTGCTCTTCCTTCGCTTCCCACGCTAGCCTGTTCGGAGCAGTGTTAGTACGGTATTGCTTACCGCACTTCATTCCCTTGGCCTCCCTGGGGTGCTTGCTAGTTGAGGGCCGTAAGAAGCTGACAGCCTGACACCCCTCCCTTCCTTCCCTCCCTCCCTCCCGGGTATCGGGGCGGTGTCCGCTGTGTTGCAGGCTGTGTTGCGAGCTGCTGCGGGGGGCAGCTGGCGGGAGACGGCGGGCGTGCGGACCTGGGTGGCGGCGGGGCACTCCATGGTGGGGGGCAGGGAGGTACAAGGAACATACCATACCACAGGAAGCCACAGGGGGAAAGAACACAACACAGCTTGCTGAGAGTGAGGAGCTGATGTGGAAGAGAACGGCGCTGCCTTGCCTGGCCTGCCTAGTGCCGCGTCCGTGCCCTTGCCTGCCCCTCGCCTGTTGACTCCACCCCTATCTACTCCGCCTCTTCCTGCTCCTCCTCAGGGCGGCCGGGCCGCTTGCGTGGTTGCGCATGAGGCGTCGGAAGACCGGCGGGCGGCTGCGGCTGGGGAGCAGCAACAGCAGCAACAGCAGCAACAGCAGCAACAGCAGCAACAGCAGGGGCAGGCGGGGCAGCAGCAGCAGCAGCAACGACAACTGCAGCAGCTGGGGGAGAAGGCAAGGGAAACAGGGAAGGAGCCAGCTGGGCAGCAGCAACAGGAGGAGGAGGGTCAGGACCAGAAGCCACCCCCGCCGGCGCAGCAGCAGCAGCAGCAGCAGGGGCGAGCACGACGGTCCGGGCGGCAGTCGGTGGCGAAGGAGAAGGAGGAGGAGAAGCAGGGGAAGAAGGCAGGGGCACACAGGAAGCGGAAACGGCGCGATTCTTCCACCGAAGAAGACGGCGGTAATGGGGGCGGCGCTCACGGCGCCGCGCACACCACAGCAGTGGCAGCGGCTGCAGCGGCAGGGGCAGGGGCGGGAGCAGGAGCAGGGGCAACAGCAGCTGCAGGGCTACCGGCGGTGCCGGTGGCTGGTGTGGTGCTGTTGTCGTATCCGCTGCACCCGCCTGACAAGCCGGTGCGTGGGTGCGAGGGGAGGAGGAGGGCAGTGACACCCCCGACCCTGCCTCCTCCTCTTCTTGTTACCCCGCCTCCCCCCTCCCTTGGCACGCTTTGTCTTGTGGCACCCTGCCGCCTCCTTACCCCATTGCTTTGCCCTAATCTGTGGTTTCCTATGGTTTGGTATGGTCTTTGACCTCCCTTGCCCTCAGTCCCCCTCCCTTCCCCCCTCCCTTTCCCCCTTGTTTCACTTATTTAATTTTTTCCCCCTTCCCCCGCCAGTCCGAGCTGCGTGACGACCCGCTGTGCCGGCTGGGCTGCCCGGTGCTGTTCGTTAGCGGCAGCCGGGACCCCTTCAGTCGCCCGGAGGTGTTCGGAGGGGTGCTGGGCCGCATGGCGGGCAGCGATGTGCGGGTGAGGGGGGCGGTGGGGTGGCGGCTAGGGAAGTGGGGGGGGGAGGGGGGGGATGTGCCCCGCCGCTAGGGGGACGGGCCGCGGGTTTAGCAAAGGCGAAAAGGGAACAGGGCACCCGACCATTGCCTGAGCTGCCTAGGGTGGGGCCTCGGAGTTGCCCGGCCGCTCTGCCCCATTGCCTTTGTGCCTTCGCGTACACTCCCACATTCAAATAGGGGGGTAAACGTTCTCTGCTTCCGGTAATGCAACTGCTCTGGCGACGCAGGTGCATGCAATGGAGGGCGGTGACCATGGTTTGGTCCTGCCACGGAGAAAGGCAGTAGCAGCAGCGGCAGCAGGGGAAGGAGGAGGAGGAGGGGCAGGAGGCAGCAAGAGGAGGAAAAGGGGCCGAAGCGAGGAGGGTGAGGCTGCAGAGGAGGATGGCAGCGAGGAGGCGGTGGCGACGACAGTGGGCGGCGGCAAGCTGCAAAGCGAGCAGGAAGCGGCGCTGGATGCGGCTTTCCGTGCCGTGATCGCTTTCGTGAAGGTATGGTGTTGGTTTGCTGCAGGACTGCCCCACAGTCAGTGCCAGTATGCGTTTTTGTGAGGTTGATAATGTACCGCCTGTTGCAGGAGCTTGCGCGCGCGCCTCCTCAATCCACGAAGGAGTAGGGCTAGCTGGATAGTACTGCCAAGAGGTGGTGTGCGGTACTATCGTGTGCCGTACACAATTGCTCACACTAGGCCCAGCCCTTGGAGCAGCAGAGTGTTGGTTTGGATTTAACAAGCTTATATGGTAGTTCTCTTTATACTGCATCGTGGTTATCCGTGCGTAAATCGTTAGCACAGTTGTTAGCACAGCAGCTCTGCAACTAGCGTAACATATATGGATATCTAAGCTATAGTGCTACTTATGGTAGACCTGGAACGACCTTCGAAGCGGGCCCGCTTTTTGGATTGCGCCCCGCTTGCTGAGTCAACTGAGCACGCTATGGCGGCAGACGGCCTTCCCGAGCTCGAAGCGATAAGGCAGTCGGGCAACCAGCTTGCATATCTCCAAGCTCAGCTTGCCGCGACGGAGTCGCTGTACGCAGCTTACCAGGTAAGACAGCAATGCAACTAGCGTTGTGTCACGCCCCAGCAGTCTATATAGGCGCAATCGTATGCAGGCGGAGTTCAACGCCCTGGCGGGGCAACTTGGGAATGTGAAGCGGATGCATCAGCGCTGCGGGAAGCCAATCTGGAAGGATGACTGCCAAACTGCTATTACTCCGAAGGTATGCGTCTTGTGCTAGCATGCGTCTACTCGGGGAATTCCAGTCCCTTCCCCAAAGGGCAGAGGCTCGTGTACATACAAACCAGCAAACAGACACGGCTTGCTCAGCCCCTCGGTATCATCATCCATCCACCGCAGGGACGCAAGCACCAGCAACAGCCGTCATCCCCCCGCGCCGGTCCCACCGAGCAAGCAACCTTCTCGGACATCGAAGACGAGGTATTAACACTGTACCCTGACGAGGAACCCTCGGACTCACCAGCGGAGATCCTGGGCGACGCCGGCGGCGTTGGCGACGGAGCTGCAGCAGCAGCAATAACAGCAGCAGCAGCGGCGGATGAGGCGTGTGGTGCAGCAGCAGCTGCTGCTGCCGGGCGGGATGGGCTGCTGGCGGGTGCGGGCGGGCGGTTAGGGGCGCTGGAGGCGACATGCAGCGCGGTGGCTCAGGAGGACATGGAGGCACAAGGTGTGTGCTCCTGGGGGGCTGGGAAAGGAGGGGGGTTGTGGAGACGGCATCGGCATGTGTGCACATGTTACCCTCCTGGGGTTGTGCAAGCCGTCTGACGGCATGTGCTGCATCGGGGTGTGGCAGCACTGTAGCGGGGAAGCTGCGGATAGCCGCGTGACGGATCACCCCGGTGTGGCGCCTGAACCCAATTCGCTCCCTCTCCTGGCTGGCACCCGCCCCCTCCCCTCCCTCCCCAGGCGCGCTGGCCTGCCTGGCTGGTCGGGTGGGCAAGTACTACCTGCGCAGTGTGGTGGTGACGCTGGGTCGGCCCACGGAGTCCAAGGGGGAGGTGGATGTGGACCTGGGGCCGGAGGAGGGGCCCGGGGCAGCGGCAGCGGGGACAGGGGCTGGAGGGGGAGGAGGAAGTGGAGGCGGACAGGTAGGAGCTGTGTGCTGGTCGTGTAGGAGTGCGGGGTAGAGCTGGTGCCACCCAGCAAGCCAGCGGGTGCAAGAGAGGGCTCCCTGGCGGCAGGGGGATCATGCGCCCCAAGAGTGCAGGAGGGCATGTGACGCCATGTGCGGACCCCACTGGTAGTACCCTAGCACCTCTCCTCCGCTTGCCTCTAACCCACATCGTAAGGAAAACCCTCATCCACACCTCTCCCCACACCTTGCCCAGGCTGCAGCGACGCCGGCAGCTGGGGCGCCAGCAGCAGCAGCCGCAGCCGCAGGTGGCCAGCAGCAGCGCGGGGGGCACCGAGTGAGTCGGCGGCAGGCGCTCATCCGGCTGGGCCCGGACGGGCAGTTCCGGCTGACCAACATGGGGCGGCAGGCGGTGCGGGTGAACGACGTCACGGTGAGAGCGGGGTTGTCGGCTGGGAGGTTTGGAGGGCGGTTGGTGTTATGGAAGGGGGTCTGGGCAGGGAGGCAGAGCGGCGCAGGTATAGGGTGGCTGGCTGCAGAGAGGGGCTTTGGCGGAGGGAAGGACGCTGCATGCACAGGTAAACGCCAGAGAGAGCATGCATGGCATGGAGCTTTAAGAGTGTGTGCAGTGCACCTGAATTACATGCTTTGGTGTGCCTACCTGTGTGCCTCTACTGAACGAGGCAGGGCTGCCCCTATGCGCGTCCAACAACCCTCTTCTCCCACTCTCCTTCTGGTTTCTCTTACCCCTCTCCCACCGTTCCACCCCGCCCGCCACCCCTCTCCTCTCAGGTGCTCCAGAACCAGACGGTGGCGCTGCCGCACCTGAGTCTGCTGCAGGTGGCGGAGGTGCGGCTGCTGTTCCTGGCAAACATGGCGGCGGTGGGGCGGGTGGTGCGCCGCTCGGCGGCACTTGTTCTATAAGGCGGCGGCGGCGGCGGAGGCTGGTGCTGTAGAGGGGGTTGGTGTTGTAGAGGAGGAGGGGGTACATACTCTGGCTGTTTGGGAGCAGCTAAATTGTGGTGGTTGTGCTCTTGGGGGGTGTATTACGGTATGCATGGCTTGTTAACGTCCCGACATGCTACGACGACTGACCGGTGCGCGTTGCTGGATGAGGGGTGGATGAGGGGTGACAGATGGGGGGAGGAAGCATGCTGCTGTGGTGGTGCGCAAGAGTTGGGCACAAGCAAGTGTACATAGGAAGATACGATGTGGGAGCGGATGTCTGGTGGACTCGGTGCAGCCACCGGTGTACAGTAGGAGGTGGGGGTGGAGGCTGCGTGGCGAGACCGGTTGGCGGGGACGCACATGTGTATAGTTGGCGGTGGTTTCGGCCGCTGAAATGCGGTGGAGCCATAGGGAGGGTCGTAGAACACACCATGGGCGGAAGGAGCTGGGGAGGGGTGCTGTCTTGCTGCCATCACCAGAGCTCTTTTCTTTATGACATTCACTCGGCAAGTTTCATGCGGCAGCAGGGAAGTGTCGGACGCATACGGTAATGCGGCAAGGAAGGTAAAGTGCGGTGTACTGTGGTGTCAGCTTCTGTTGCAACAACACCGGTAGAGATGAGCAGTTGCAGCTGCAACACCTTGACACGCTCCTCTTAGGGAGCACTACCACGCCACCCTGGTTCGGGACGTATGGGTTCCACCTTACATGTCAGCAGCGGCGCCAGCAGCATTGCACCAGCAGCCGTTGCCTCGCTCCGCGTCAACAGCCCCACGGCCCGTCACCCCTAACCAGGCAACTACAACAACAGCAACTCAGCTCCTGCCAATGTACTAACCAAAGCTAACCATCCCGGTAGGTAAACAAGAAGAATAGGCCGGTACGTTCATCCTGCGGTAGTCCCGCGAATCCCCATGCACGATTTAGTCCCATGCACACACAACGTGGCCGCCTTCATGTGCATCTCCTCCGGGTAGTCGTACAATAGCCAAGGAGGTAAATACGGCAGCACCCAGCGCCGTCCCCCTCCACCTCCTTAGGTTGCCCCGCCTGCCCCCTCACATGTCCGCAATGGTGACCTCCACCTCCACACCCGGCTCGATGCTGCATGGAGGAGGAGGTTTGGGAGACGCAGGGGGGGCGCAGTCGCAACGGGCGACAAAAGGGGGTAGGAAGTTAGGATATGACACGAACCACGTCTTCTGTCCTGCCAATCTGCATTTCTCCCCCAAACGGTTTATTCCTGGCACGCCGTGTTCACCTGATGGAGGTGATCTGCTTGACCACATCAGCGGGGGAGTGCAGGTCGATGATGCGCTTGTGGATCCTGAAAGGAAGGGGGGGCCGCCCAGGGCGATAAATGACGGCCAGTTTGAGGTTGTTTGCAAGGTCATTCGCACGTAGCCTTCTGTGCTCATGCTAGATTGGCCCCCAATGCAGTAAGAACAGGCTGCAGCTATCAACATTTCTCAACATGTCATCCGTACCGGCTTGTGCCGCCTGTGGGAGCGTTGCTTCGGCGTCAGCGACCCACGGGTCAGCGGCGGTTGCCAAGTCCTGACCCGGGACCGCCGGCGCGCTGCGAAACCTCCCGCCGTGTGGCAGGTTAGTGCAGCTGTTTTCCAGCAATCGCACCACGCTCTACCGCTCTTACCCACACTCATACGATGCCGTACATCCCCCAGCCGCCACGCCTAACCGCCTCCCCCGCCACCGCCCCACCTGAGTTCCATTCGGTCGAAGGTGTTGGTTCCCTGCCCCGAGGGCGCCTTGCGGGTGGTGACCTGCAGCACCTTGGTGGGCATCCGCACGGGGCCCTTCACCTTGAGCTGCTTGTCCTTAGCTCCCTTGATCAGGTCGGCGCTCACTGGCGTGCGGAGGGGGAGCGGGGTGGGAGGAGAGAGGAGCAGCGGCAGGAGCGCAGCAAGGGCGAGCAGCAGCAGCGGAAGGCCGGTGCAATAGGTTGCAGATTGTGACGCAGCTGTTTGGCGCTTTTGTTAACATTATCGTTTGCACGTTAGATTTAAATAATAGGGTGAATTTTAAATGTTTGCGACGGCGCGTGCGAACCGTTGGCATTGCGCCGCCAATCTTGGCTTGCCAAAGTACCGGTAGCCACTGTCTTGTTGCGCAGCTGCTCGCTGCTTACCCTTCTCCAGGCTCTTCACGTCTTTGCTGGTTAGCGTGATGCGAATGCGGTGGATTGCGGCTCCCGCGTCGCCCTCAACGCCAGCCTTCTCAGCGCCATACTTGGCAGCCATCTGCGGAAGTAACTCTTTCAGCTTAGGTGCTTGCTGTCAGTCAGCCAGGGGCTTTGGAACAATGGGCGCGTGCCGGGCGCGGACTCACGTTGCGGAGAGCAAGGAGAAAAGCAACCTGGGAAGCGCGGGATGTCACAGCGCGCAGTGGTGTTGCTGGCGCTACAAGAGAGCTTTGCTAGACACTTCCGTCAACATGTAAAAGCAACGAACGTACGAGCCTGTGGATCCTTTTTTCCTACCTACAAATCTTAAGACAGACGACGCAGTGACCGACCCGCGGTTCCCGCAACGGACTTCTTGGGGTACAGATACTTTCATGAATTTGATACATATGCTTTGCATGATTTTGTATATGCTTTGCTGTGCTTTGCACATATTGCATATGTCTGCTTGCGTCGTCACAGGAGTGCTCCAAGTGCACGAGAGTGCTGTCCCGGCGGGGCTACCGTATTGTAGCGCGACCATAAGGGGATCAGTTTGCCTCAGAGCCTCTGGCCAGGTGGTTACAAGCTTAGCACGTCCTCGTGCAGCTTGACAAGTCAGGCAAGGTTTGCAGCTGGCTTGGTAGCCGGGAGCTATCCGAACTATCGTGCCGTTTATGGATCCGGTTCCTTGTGGAATTCTACAGTTGTATCCAGTATGATTAATACTATTTTTTGTATCCAGTATGTGACGAGCAGCAACCGTTGTTGATGTGGGCAGGTTGCGCTACAACTGACCCGTGGTTCGCATAACAGACATAACTTTGGTAACTTGTGGCATGCTAGTGTAAGCTACTACGCTTCATGCTGCTATCGCCGCTGAGAATGAATGGGCATGTCAGGACGTGTACATGATTGTTGGTAAGCAACAATGCTACCCCATAGCAGTATAATCCAAGTGGCTTTCAACAACATAGACGATGTCACGCGTTGAGTGAGGACCATGGCTGCATGTGAAGGCCGTAACCAGATCTCTAGCAGCTGTCCTATAACGCAGCTGGCGCTGGCATGGCATCTGACATGCAGCTGACTGCTTCCGACCGACGTCCACTGACTAGTCCGATCTGCATGCCGCTGGCCATGCGCATCATGCACCAAATGCCCGGTACTACTGCTGCGTAGTCGTTATGTAGTGCCAACATAACGACTGGACGAAACAGGAAATCGTTGTTTTCTCAAGCCGTTACAGCGGTCGCCGGAGAATCTGCATCAGAGCAGCCGCTGAATTACAAGTCAGCGATGGTGACCTCAACCTCCACGCCGGGCTCGATGCTGGAGGGAAGCAAGTGAAATGGCGGGAAGGTGGGGAGAAAAGAGCGCGTTAGGCAACCTTTCCGGGAAGGGCAATCACGTGCGAGGAGAACAGGAAAACGTGCATGAGCGCCCCGCACAGGGCCCATGACATGCTGGAAGGGTGTAGCTGGGACTGGGGAACTGCCGTCGTCTCGCCACGGTAGAAGTAGGGGCACAGGGAGCGGGAAGCTGTCCGCATGTCATCAGCACCAGAGCATCTCCAGGTTTGATGCTGAAGTCCATGATATCGCGGCAGCCCTGATGGGGGAGTTGCCGCACAGCTGCTGCCAGCGCTACACGTCAAAGCGTAGCGTTCCGCCTCCGCAACCAGAGGAATGGGCGGCTGACTGGATGGCGGAGGATGCTGAACTGAGCTGCTGCTGTTTCGCCAGAGCTGGAGGTTCCGCCAGGCTACGCCAAGCCGGCTACCTGGCAAGTGGACGCCCGCCGCTGTGCTGGAGTGCAAGGGGCTAGTGCAGAAACCTGATCTCCGCGCGCATGCTCCCCTTGCAGCATGCCACTACCATGCTAAGATAAGCCGTGCAGCTGGTTACGGACGGGGTTTGCAGCCTAGTAGCAGGTCGTTGCTACCACGGCACAATTGCGCAGGCTCCCTACCTGATCGAGGTAATCTGCTTCACAACATCAGCGGGGGAGTGCAGGTCGATGAGGCGCTTGTGGATCCTGCAACGGGGCGACGAGGTTCGTGAAAGGGAAGTTCCTCCACAAGCACTTGAAACGAAAGGTGGCAATCTAGGAAAGTTGAACCTTTCAAAGTTAGATATATGAACTTACCGCATCTCAAAGCGGTCGAAGGTGTTGGTACCCTGGCCCGAGGGAGCCTTGCGAGTGGTGATGCGCAGCACCTTGGTGGGCATCCGGACTGGGCCCTTCACCTTCAGCTGCTTGTCCTTAGCGCCCTTAATCAGGTCAGCGCAGACTGCATTCAGGAGAAAAATGAACGTGCTGAGACTATTGTGCAAGCTGTGCAAGCTGCCATTGGCGGCGGCCAGTCCAAAATAGCTGCGAAGCTGCCCTAAGCTCACCCTTCTCCAGGTTCTTCACGTTCTTGCTGGTCAGGGTGATGCGGATGCGGTGCACCTGGGGCGCCTCCGCCTCCACGCCTGCCTTCTCAACGCCGGGCTTGCTGGCCATCTGAACCAATACAAACGTGAAAACAGCAGCTTAGTAAAACGTTTTTCAATATCGGTATTCGGTAGCAATTTTTCCTGCAAGGACGCTGTTCATGGCGGCAGAATGGTAACTTGCTCTCTAACCTTTTAGCTTTGTCGAGAGACAGACGCCTCGAAAAACGAGAACTGTCACTGACCGCTGGAGAGGGAGGGCCATCGCGCGGTCACAGCTTAAGTTCAGCTTGACACATTCTACGGCTGTCGTACGATTCAGGCTACTCTCTTTGCATCCTGAGCGGCCAATCTGCAGCTAATTTCATCTATAATTGGAGTTCAATACTCTCATGTATTCTTTTATGCAAGGCTTCGGCACCTTCGGTAACCTCATGTCGGTCCCCTTGCCATCCATCCCCTCCTGGCCCAAACTCCACCAGTCGACAAGCATATAGCCGCCCAGGTTGAACCATTCAAACCGTCATAGCCTCGTATGTTTATCTGAGCGCTTTGCCTACACGGGTTAGGTCACTTCCAAACCCGCCCTCGGTTAGCATGCTCACCACGCCGTGCCTGAAGTCCTCGGCACAAAAAGGGCAACACGAACGTGTCCATTGCTCATATCTTCAGATTTTCACATGTGGGTGGCTTTACCCAGTAACCGAAGGACTACATGTGCCTCTATTGGCGCCTGGGAATACGTGGACATTGCTGGGGTCCACTGGCACGTTGTGGACTATGGTCCCTATTTAGATATACGCCCGATACATGCTCTGGACGGTACGACCCGTCAATTCGTGTATCCTGCCAGCGGATTTAATGCTCATCATCATGGCAAGTACAGAAGAGCTGATCAAGCGAAGCTTGACATCCTAGCAAAGCTTGAAAGGTGAAGGTGGCCCCTGCCGGCACCAACATGCAAAGCCCAGCGTACCTCAACCGACTGGAAGCCCGTTAATTGGACTAGCGGCGTCCCTACGGCGTGCCTTCAGGGCTGCGGCTTGCGAACCCGTGTACAGCTTGCAGCCAGGTGACGAAACGGCATACTAGACCCGTGGGTCGTAAGGTACGTAACGGACTGTACCTGAGCTGGCAGAAGGCAACGACCACTCCCGAACCCCACCACAGCCAGATTGCGGTTTAGATCGCCCAAGCTGATTGGTTTGAGCTTTCAGGGGCCAACCATGGTAAGGGTGCGAGCACCTTGTGGCCATGCATGTAACAAGTGAGTGACCCGGCGACCCTGCTTCTAACAACTTCTCACCCCCTGTTTTCTGTCTTCCCGTCCTAACTCTATAACATTCCACATCGGAAAAAACCAAGCTGGGCCCCCTGCGCATGAATTTCATGCCGACAACATACCAGGAAAGTATAACGCACACGCATAGCGCGCACGCCTCTGATGTGCCGCACAATCTACCCGCTGTCCCCAAATATCGTGCAAGATGTAGTTGTCTTATGACGATAACCGTGGCTTGTATGGCATAGGCGGCTATAGGCGCCGCACGAGGTATCTGACCAACCAAGCGTGCCCCATACCTGGGCTCAGTATTCCAACAACTGCCTTGGCAACTGTAATGATGAAAGCACTCCTCACCTTCTCGACAAGAAAGCACACGTGATGTGCGTCGCAGCCAGACAAGCTGCAACAGCGAATCATTAACTTATACTATGAGAGAGTCACGACGAGACACGGCTGCCCCTTAGAGACTGCGCCCAAGCACATATGAACATCAGGCACTTCAAGGAGAGGTTAAGAGGCCAATCATACGGATTTTGTGCCGTACTACGGTACCAACAGGAAATCCAACCAACGCACCAACCGCCACAAACCAAACATATACTTGTACAGTTTCATGCATTTGTGCTACTTTGCCAGGCATTTTGCCAACCATCAACAAAACACATCATCTTCATACCTCAATCCACGCATTTCCTCTTTTATGGCTGCTGTGATAAATAATATCGACGTAAAAGCCCCCACGCACCCCAGCAAGACAGGCCTACGCCCCCGTGGAAACATACCCTGATAAACCAGCATAGTACGGATACGCCCAGCTCCCTCTGGACCCATATTGGCCTAAAGTAGGCAGGAAATATGCACATGGCTACGTCTTGTATGGACCCTGCAACCTCTACCGTACCATTAGCTCTCCCGTACAGCAGATACCGCCGTACAGCGACTACACCGTACTGTAAAAACCCAAAACGCTGTGCCCATCCCCCTCATAGCAGCAACTGAAGGGGTGTGGGCGGCCCAAGCCGGCTCGCATACTCAGGACGCGCTCCAACAACAACTGTCTGTGGGCAGTGAAAAACAACTGTGCTTTCAGGGTGCTGTAGCATGCTTCAGTACCGGGAACTCAACGCCACAGAAAGACACACCGTACTAACCGACAACGAACAACATACTTCGCCAGCTTCAGGCACACCGAAGCAGCGACAGGTGTTCGCCGGGCCCCCTCTTCAGGACAAGAAAACGGCACACAACTAAAGCTTGTGTTAGCGAGGGACCTGCCACCAGCCCGCGGCCTCCGAACGCCGAGCATTATACTCGAGCATCTTTTCCCACAGCAATATATTGAGGCTACCCAGCTAGCATGTAGCACAGGAGACTGCTAATGAATGGTTGTCCCTTCCTCCTGCCTTCCGACTATGAAGTTGGGCCTTGATGGAACCCTACTGCAACCAATCCTCAGCCTTGCACATCGCGCGCCATGAGGTGTACGGCAGGGGACACAGTAACCGCTCGAGATGCCTTTCCAAGTATACTTCAAAAAACAGCAAATACTTCGGAAAACCGCGACGCAGCAGCAGGACAACCAGGAACATGATGACCCATGGGACGTCCCCTCGGAAACGCGCACAGCCCTGCATCCTGCGCGCCAAGTACAGCTACCATGGCACATGTTGTTCGCGCCTATGTAGACGACAAGCAAGCAATACGTATGGTATTGCACAACAGTGCGACTGAGAATAGGACATAAAGAATGAAAACCTTTGCCGATTCACGATGTGTCGTGGAGATGACGTGCTTGTCGTAACCATCCGTACGCCAGTACGGCAGCTTTGATTGACGCAATCCTCCTCCTCCCATCTTACTCCATGAGGCAAGTCTCAGGAGGAGATATCTGATGGCGTGACTGAAGTGCGTTAGAAGGACAGGTGCACTGACCGCTCCCGATCCAGCAGGTAGGTGTGCGTGGACGTACACTGACGGGAAGGGGTTACACGAGCAGCGGGGGAGGGCATGAGGGTGCAACATGAGGAGACAGGCAACGAAGCGACAGAAACGGCGGGACAGGGGAGCAGGGCGTTTGGGGCAAGGCTGTATCCCACCGAATCCTACTGTAACAACCATATGGGGACAGTGCCACATGCAGAGCAAGGCCGCAAGGGTACGGGAGGGCGGTGGCGGAGAAGCACCCTGCCACCAGCACAAGAGCCGGTGTCGCATAGCGAGCTGGGCGCTAGCACCGGCGAGCATTACAATGGCCTAGTTCTGTTGCTTCAGGCCTGCTACCGCTGCTGTAACTCACCAAGTCAAGCCCGAGCGCATCTTTTGACGGTATGGAGGGGCCATGCAAAAGCCACTGTGATGTCCGGTCGGGCGCACCCCAGGACAGGCACTGCCCCTTCCATGGATGACAGAAGAGGGTCGAGCAAGGGGCACTTTGGGTCGAAATGGTCGGGCTCGGGGGCTCGACAGCTCCTGGCAAGGAAAGGCACTCTTCAACCGCCTGCATGATGTGTACAATGAGGGAAACAGGGTTATGCGGAGTATATAAAGAGGTACCGGTACCGATGACGTGGAGGCGTGTACCGCCCCGCTTTGTACCGAAGAGCACATACTGGTACGAACTTCAGCGTAAAACCTTAATACAGATAACAAACTGTCAAGTCTGAGGTATAACGCTTGGTCTTGTGCGCCGGCAACGCATGGAAAGGCGGAACAGCCACTTGCCGCCTTGGTATATTGCTACTTCGAATAGTTATTTCTACAACGTTATGGGCGCTCGCACCTTCGCCATGTCTAGAGCAGCGCGTGCAGTGCAGGTTGTTTTGCTCCAAGGACCAATTAGACGCTCTGAAGCACCAGTTCTTATGCTGACCGTAATCACCAACAGCTACTGTGGCTTGGATCTCTGAATGTGCAGGTCCAGGCCAGTGTCAATACAACGGCACGGTTGGGACGATTAACCAACTCTGTAACTTCTGTACTGTACTAGGCCCACGCTAAAGCTTTCTTCCTTGGCACGTGCTAGCTGTTACCAACATCCCCTTTGCCCACTAAGGAGTGCTTTTCGCAGCTTAGGTCACCTGCAATGGCTGATCGGCATGCAGCGTCGGGCCTGTATCTCTTCACCCTGCTTTGCGCTGCACAGACGATAGCAACCACCATTTCAACGGAGAGCACAAGACAGGATGCGTTTATAAACTATAGAGAAGGCAAGCAACATGTCATTCCCGAGGGCGCTAGGAATCCGCACTCAACCAGTCCATCTACATCTTTGCACCGCACGTAGTCTCCAGGAAGAACGAGGACTGGGATCCTGATGTCATCGCTGCTGTTGCGCTGGTATCCTCGTACGGCCAGGTGGTTCTTTGCTGGGCCACGGGTCTTCTGAGGAAGGACCTTTCGTAATTGGCATACATGGCGGATGCTTGCTTGTCCCCCCCAAAGACTCGATACTGCTTAACTAAGCGCTTTTAAGGTTATCACACGCCCTAAGCATGTCATTTTGCCCCTCAGATTCGGCTGCGGCTACGCCGTGACTGGGCCCCCGAGGCATGCGACCAGGTGGCTCGAGTGGCGGCAGCAGCGTCGCTGCGAGCTTGCAATGGCTGTACCTTTTACCGCCATGAGCCAGCACCCCCGGTCAGCAGCTGATAGCTCGGGGGAGGGGCTGAATGGTTACTGAAGGGGCCCTGGATGGGGTCGGGGGCCTAAGCGAATGTGCGAGCAGGCATGAGTAGGTTGGGAGGCCTAAACAGGACCTCTACCAGCCGCCTCCTATCATGGTCGCCTTCAGCTACCACTGTTGCTTGGGTCTTGGAGTTATGCTTGGTTAAAGGCAATGTGGAGGTGTATGCGGCCACGGTGCAGGTATCCACGCTTTGCTGCTTTGATGCCCTGCATGCTGCTTTGCTTGTGTGGGTATCCCACACACGAGTCGCACCATTTCGCCTGGCCACCGCCACCCTCCTCCTTATGAACCTTCCATGCCGTGCCGCACAACTAACAGAATTGGGGCGTCAACGGTTTCTACGGTCCGCCGTACGGCCTGCTCCAGGGCGGTATGCCTAACTTAGCAAGCGCTGTTAAGTTTGAGAATACGGCCCGACGCGCTGTCAGGTCAGTACGCCTCTCTAGGGCGCCGTACACGGTGTTGCAAATTTGCAACAGCTCTCTTGGGCCTTGTACGGGCTGGCCTGGTACGGCAAAACGATAACCTTGAACACGCTGGGGCGCATGCGTAGCTGCATGCGATGCGGCAAGCACGTCGTGAGCCGCATGGCTTGCTTGGTCCGTGCGGGGCAGGGTACAAGCCCTGTGGCACTTGGACAAGTCGCGAGACCGGGGGACTCGTTTCTTGCCTAACTGACAATTGCTGTAACCTCCAGCTCCAGCCGTCATCTGCTGTGTTCCTCTCTGCCTGCATTCCCCAGATCCCACCTTTGCCTCTATCCCTCCATTCCCTCGGCACCAGACGCGGCTCGGCTGCCTTCATAGCTGGTTCCACCGACTTCTTCATCGGCACGGTGGACCACAGCGAGTGGGGCGGCGCATTCACCGTGTTTGCGCAGGCGGAGGTGGGGACGGCTGGGTGGGCCGTACGATCTCATGCCTGATAGGTGTCGTACACTCGCTGTCGTACATGCCATGTGTCTGCTGTCCTTGGAGCGCGGCGATGCCTGGGTCCTTGTTTCGTTCCGGAAGTTGTGGAACTTGGAAGATGCGGGATTTTACTACGTAGAAGGTTTGGGGCTGCGGCGGAGGGTATGATGTACAGTTTCGCTTGCGGGTTCAGTCTTGGGAGCTAGGATGGATCACAACTGGCTGCACCGGAGGTATCGCCTACTTGAGTGGTGCAGCTGGACCTCAGCGGTCTCTTACATTACGCTTTTATGTCTCGCAGGTCGAGGACCTCGTTTCGGTGGTTCCGCTCGTCCCCATGGAGCCCTACCGCAACAGCACCGATCAGTACAACTTCACAACCAGGTGGCTGCTGGATCGGAAGCCGTACAGCCTACGACCGCTGAGGCTGGAGGATCTGATGACGAGCTCAGCCACTGCGGCGGCCGGGCGTAGTACCGATGATACTGCCGGGTTGTTGGCCACAACCGCGGATGAAGAAGCGTCGCTGTGAGGTGCCGTCGTGAGGGAGCGGCGTGTGGCGTGGGAGCGACCCGTGGGTCAGCGGGGCCCGTCGGGAAGGACGCAATGAAAGCATTAATTGGAGGCGGACAAGGGCGTGTAGCGAGCACGGTAGCACCGACGCCGATGCTTAATTGTATTGGGCTATGAGCGGAGCAACCAGTACAGGCGTCTTACAACCGTGGTATTGTTTCGAGGCCTTGCCATCGTGCTGCATGCCTCATCCACAGCCCCAACCCCAGCCCCAGCTCCTCCCCCCCACCTTGTCCCACTCCTGCTGGCTGGGTTGCCTCATGTCCAGGAAGGCGATGACGGCCTGCATGTGCTCCCGCGTGGCAGCCGAGTAGTCCTCGTTGCGCAGGAAGAGCAGCTGGTCACGGGGCCAGTGGTTCAGCCAGTCCTAGGGGGGGCGGGGGCAGGAGGAACTGCCGTTGTTGCTGCTGCTAGCCTGCTACGGCTGCACATGTTACGCAGCTGAATGCCGGGGAACACTTCGGCAGCGGCAGTACCCGGCCATGGCGCTAGCGTATGCGCTTGCTGCTGTGTCCTCCATTCCATTTGCTTCAACATACATGGCCAATTAGTCAGCTGCTGCTGTGCTCAGCAACTGCTGTAGCCAGGCTGTAGCAGCCTACGGCAGGGGTACAACGCACCCCAGGGTTGCATGCAGAAAAGATTGTTGTCCGTGTAAGCGACCCCTGGGACATGACCGTCTCCCTATTGCTCCTCTTGCAAGGTCATACTTACCAATGCAAGTTAGCGGCACACCTCAACCCTTGCGGGCGCCTCAAACTGCCGCTGGCACCGCTCTGGAAACCACTCATCGACCCAAGCGCTTCCAAACGTGTACCCAACAGCTACACAACGGGTAATATGGCTGCTGTTGGGACCGAACGGAACTACCGGTGTCAAGTGGTCGCTGTTAAGCGAGGCTTAGCACTTCCAAGCTACACTGCAACAACAATCGCCATCATGGCCCAGCAGTCAGACAGCCTGCGGTACATGGTCTCATGCAATCCATTCGTTCCTTCCTATCAACCACACCATCGGCTCTTCACCATTCGCCATTCCTGCATAACAAGTATAAATGTGTCCTTTAATAATTTGAGACTCGTCAAGCCCGAAGAATTGAAGCCCCGTGCAGCCTCCATACCCCCTTATTGGTACTGTTGCTATAACCCTCGCGCTGCGGTGCCTGAAACGGCCCTGGAGCAGGCACTAAAGCAAATGTAGCTATGAACCTGGCCACAGAACCGTGCAACAGGCCATGCGACAAAGCCATGCAAGCGATGTAACAGAACCACCCAGGAAACGCGGTGAATCTGAAGGGCCTAGCCCGCAAACCTGCTATACGCAAGGCCTCCATCCCTTTCAGGAGTTCAAGTCTCAGCCGCCAGTGACTTTTGCTAATGGCTTGGTTAGGCCCGCCATGCAAGCTCTAAACTCTCGCCTACTGCAGGCGAAACGAGGGACATCTGGAATACATCTTCTACTTCAAAAGCCACCGCAAACCACGAACCGCGTGTGCATGCCATATTGCCGTTGCACAGAAGCCCTTGCTCCACGCACACTGCCTGCTGCGCCTCACTGGAGCAGCCCCGAGACACCGTCCGCTGTGCCTCACTGCGGTGCGGGCGCTGCAAAGCACAGCTCCTCTTCCAGGAAGGCGAAGTTGGGGCCGCCGTCGGTCTGCTCTTCCTGAGTCTTATCATACTGGCCCAACTGTAAGCGCCATGGAGATAAGCAGAGCAACACTCTGTGCACTACAATCTCCCACCTGCCGCAGTTGCAGTCTGAGCTCACCTTGTCGTCCATGTTGGCCAGCAGGTCGGCCGCCTGGAAGGGCAGGCCGGATTCATCGTCCAGCAGGAACGAGTGGCCCGCGGAGCTGTTGGAATCCACCATGGCCTGCTTCATGCGGCTCAGCACGTCGGGAGATACCTGCGTGACATGCGGGCGTGCAGCGTCATTGTAGGCAAAATAAAACCGCCAGTCTGTGAGAGTTCACAGCGATTCTGTGCTCCTGTCTCCCGTTACCTAGTAACTACTAGGCTGAAAACTCAACTGAGTGAAGGCGGAATGCCTGAACCAGGAGAGCGGAGGCCTAAACATATCGCCTCCCGATCTAGGTCGTACGACAGTCGCACAGAACCAGGCTTAGAGACTCCGATCGCTACGCTACGTCGTATCTAAGCCAACAACATCGCCCAACAGCAACACGTCATGGAGGAAGGCTGCGGGTCAGGATGAAAAATGAACAATCTGCTTATTCAACGGCCATCCAGCCCAACGAAACCTACGAGCAATCTGCAAGCCATGCCAATAAGACCCTGCAACACACTCACCGTCTCCTCGTTGTACTTGTCGTCCCAGTACATGGTCGAGATGCGGTACAGCTGCTGAATGGACAGCACGCGGCAGAGGTCCGACGTGATCTCCTCCAGGCTCTTCTTGGGCTTGTCAACGGTCGCTAGGAACGTCACCGCCTGCGGTTTCACGTGGATCCGCAAGGGTACCGGACTACTGGCATATATCCGCCGCCGGCAGTGCAGCCAAGGGCTGCCATTCCCGTTTACCGGCACAGCTACTCTGCCGGCAGCGGGTTTGGCTGCTGCCAGCAGAGCCATGGGCTATGCCAGTAGGCAAACCCCATAGGTAGTCGCGTCCAGGATAGCCACAAGCAAGTAATAACAGGGCATGAAAGGACAACATTTACCGGTAAGCAAGCCACGCCGTAAAGATACACCAGACTGGCCTCCCCGGTTGAAGAGAAATGTATAAAATTCTGCTGAGCTACTGTTGGGGTACTGCTGAATGACCGAAAGCAAGTATGCACCGCATGCCGGATGGATGTCTTAACCGGGGCCTATCATGATGAAAACACCCAGCAGCAGTTACCTGTCGCAGGTACTTGAGCTCCTCCCATGAGCCAGCGATGTAGTCCGCTCCTGCCCTGTTTATCCAGTGAGCCACCTGCTCCAGTCCCGTCTTGACGTACTCGCCATTGCTGAAGGAGCAGCGCTCTCGGCGCAGTAGCAGCTGGTTAAACAGTTGCACGTTGATGAAGCGGAAGAGCTGCTTGAACAGCGCCTGCGTTCCGTGTGGACATGGGAAGGTTTGCAGGTTAGCGGCATTTCGAACCGTGCGACACTAATCCGTAAGCCTACTTCCCACCCCAGATTGCGCTACCCACCTGCACCAGGACCTTGGGCACCACGTTTGCCTTGAACACCGCAAGCAGCGTATCGAATACGTGCAGGAGGTCCATCCAGGACTTGTGCGAGGCGGCTTGCTGGCCTGCGGTCGCCCGCCAGGGATGAGCCGGAGTGTTAGCCCAGACAAACCAATCGACAGGAGAGCAAAGGGCGACATAATCCACGCTGCCATAGCCCTGCTGATGTAAGTCAAAGCCGCCAACCACCGCACCTGCGCCCTTGTCGCCGGAAGCAGGGCCCGCACCCATGGGCCGGGCTACGGTGCGGCCCGACGTCTTGGGCGCGTAGATGCAGTTGCTGAGCATGGGTGAGATCTCCTTCCGCACGTTGTCGCGGATCATCGGGAAGATCTTCTGCACGATGGCGTCGAGCTGCTGCTTGAACAGCAGGGCAGGGTACTTGGCCTCCACCTGCTTGAAGCCACCTGGGGAGGAACAGGAGTGCAGGCAACAAAAATATTTGTTGTGCTACTAAACCAGTATGTAGAATGTGCAGCGCTGGCTACAGCGAACTTGTCTAGGAACCATGCATACAGTTTCCACGAGGCCTAAGGAGGGACTGCCCATTAACTCACCATCATCATCGCTGTGTATGGACGCCTCCGCGTGCGCCAACCCGCCCGGCGAGGCGCCGCTGCGGCTTCCGAACATGGCTCCAAGCACCGACCGAGTGGCCCCAACTGCTCCCCCGGCGACGCCTACGCGCGCCTTGTTGACGTACCCAGAGGCGGGCTTGGTGTGTTTGTTGAGCATGTGCAAGAGGGTGACGGTGTTGGAGAGCCAGTACGACAGGCAATTGTTGTCCTCTTGCCCGCACTCCACCTGTGGCAGCATGAGCAAGGGATATGCAAGCAAAACTTAGGATGCCGGGGCTCCTGGGATTAATGTAATCCTGACCTGACAGGTTTTCTTCTGAGAAACAGTCCTGCCGGCGCCCGTGCCCGTGGCGTTACAATGGAAGACACCGGCAGACCAGCAGCTCTTCGCTCCACATACCTGTTGCCCAATGACCGAGACGATGCGGTCGAAGATCGCCGTGCGGTCCGCTTGGAAGGCGCGTGCGTGCAGGCAGTACCTGCGGTCAAACAAGGGGCCCATGCGAAATGACAATCCTGCAACCAGCGATGCTGGTGACCGCACGTTCTTCCTATTGATGGCTCTCCCGGTAGCGAGCAAGCCCTATACAATCCAGCATGTCCCTGGCGGCCCTATTTACCTAACACCAATGCAGCAACACCAGTCCGTTGTGTCCTCACCTGAAGATGACAATCGCCGCCACCGGCCGGCCCCTATGGAAGCCCATGCCAATTGGCCCTGTAGCCGCGTCCTGTCCGCTGGCGGCCACAGCTGTGGGCAGCGGCGCCGCGAGCGCTGCAAGAAGCTTGTCCTCCTCCACCTTGCGCTTCTCCGCCAGGATCTGTACCTGCTTGAGCTGCGCCTCGCGCATGCGGCGGTCGGCCTCGCTCTCAGGGCCTGTGCCCGGAGCGTGCACGCCGCTGAAACTTAATGACCTGAACGGGCAAGCGCCAAAATTACGAGGCAGTTAGATGTGCGCATGCAAAGCTGGGGATGGACATATGGGCTTGACCCTTGGCTTCAGCATTGTTTCACATGTAAGCACACCTGATATGTCAAATAAGAGTCAGTACTGTTTTCCGACGGTAACCAATACACTATGCAGCACAGCACATTGCTATTATTAATGTTGGAGTCACTAGCATGTAGGTGAACCTTAACAGCAAGGGACAGCTACGTACCGCCGTATCTTGTTACGCAGATGCACCTCATCAAGTGATGCTGTACCAAGCGGTGAACCGTCCTTGGTGAACAGCGTGCTGCGGCTTTTTGTAACGTTAGGCGGGGTCACCGGCGCGGACACGTCTGGTCGCCCGTTCGCGGTGGTAGCTGCTGTAGTACTACCTGCCACAGATGAGGCCGCGGGCATGGATGAGCCAGCGGCGGCGCTGGCGGCCGTGCTGTCGGAGGGGACCTCCCTCTTCGCAGCCTGCATTGCGGCGGCGTACAAGCAAGCGCACAGGGGTCAATGGCTACAGCGAAGGTGAGTAGGAAATTTTGGCGGAATGTTAAGAAAATAGTGTCCAATTATGTGATTTCTTGTTAAGTAACCGCAGGGCAAACCGTTAGCAGTTATAGCAAGCAGGTTAGGAACGCTAGCCCAAACACGACACGCAGGTGAACAGCCCTAATATAACCCAGCAGTATAACCCGGCCCAGGAATACAATAGCCGCATGCAGCGACCAATCACAGGGCACTACTGCTGTACAGCCGATAAGCCATAATCTCAGGGGTGCTGCACCGAAGCATGTCCTCGTAACGGCGGCCGTAGGCATTTGCACAGCAGCACAGCCATGATCCATGAGGTACTTCCTCTTAGCCAGTCATACCGGTAAGGGAGTACCGACCCGACGTCAGCAATGTTCCCGCCACACATAATAGGAAACCGGCAATATCGACAGTCCGGCAAACTTTGCTCTCCATCCCGAGGCCCTGAGCAGCAAGCACCAGTCAAAGACGCGATCGGCGACAAAGAGCAAAGCCTGGCCCCCCATGCTCTGTATACTGTAGCGCATGACACTGCCAGCAGCTGCTGCCATGTGAATACGTGATAGTCAAGGTCGGTATAGTCAATACGTCGACAGAATAAAAACGAGTATGCCAGAGCAGCGGCCCCCCTTTCCTTGACCCTCCTTTCCTTCGCATCCAGCTCCTCCTTCGCCTCATCAAGCTTGACGCCGCTGCCGGCCCCCAGCAGCATCTTAACCTCCAACAATCGCCGCGTCATATGACAGCTTTCCGTCAACAAGGAGAAGATCTGCGAGCAGTGAGGGAAATGAGGGCCATTTGACGGGGTGTATGTGTAGGCTTGGATGCGGACGGCCTGTGTACCGCGGATCCTACCTGCCTGCAGCCGAGCCCACCGGGGATCGGCACAACCACCCGAGCATGCCTCAACGACGGCCACGGGTATAGTAAGGTATGTTAGATTTCCTTATGCCTGGGATTCAGCATTTCTCAGGCAGACGCCTAGAGCCATGCGCCATCCGCCCCTCAGTGCTACCCGCTTGGAAACAGTGATAGCACATCCACTCACAGCCCACCCGTCTGTGCGGCTCATCAGCGCCCTGCGATTTCCAGGTGGTCATGTTAGCCGCCATCCGCTTGTTGCACTCGCGCATGAGCTGGTCAATGTAGTCCTGGTGCTTCTTGAGCGCCGTCGCAAGCTCGGTGGCCTTCAGCTTGGCGGCGTCCTCGGTGGCCGTCACCTTGTGCTTCAGCACCCCCGCCTCCTTGCGCTCGTCCGCCTGCATGGTCGCGGCGCGGGTGCCCGGAGCGCGCGCGCCGCTGACGCTCGGTGTCCTGCACAGCATACACCTAAGTGAAGCACCCTAGCTACCGGTGGGAATGCGTACACTTGGCACATGGTATAACGAGATCGGTTAGTGACTCTAGATTTTGATACTATGCATACACCGTTCGGTGTGCGGTATCCGAGTGTAGCCTTACCGTTCGGTGTGCGGTATCCGAGTGTAGCCTAACTATCCCGTCCGGAGGCGAAGGGGAACCTACCGCATGTCGTCGTCGCCGTGAAGCACACCAGCACGCGGAGGCGTTCGCAGTGGCGCTCCCTCCTTGGTGAAAAGCGTGCTGATGTTTTCCGCGATGTTGCGCGCGTACCCTGGCGCTGATGTCTGCAGCTTCTGGAACATGCTGTGCATAGTGTTGGCAGCGGTGCTAGCAGCCACGGGTGTCGTCGCGGGCATGGGCGAGCCAGCCACGGTGATCGCACCGGCGGACGCGGACTGCACTGCCTGCACAGCGGCGGCGGCGCTGGCGGCCGCGTTGGCGGCGGCAAGCTCCCTCTCCTTGGCCTGCGTTGCGGTGGTGGTACATGGGTCATGCAATAGACCAGACTACGTTGGGGCCATTACATCTTTACATGGGTCATACAAGGGACCCGGTTTGCACCGTACAACACTGCTGCCGTGGCAGTGTCCCTGTCACCATGAAGAACCCAACATCCCAGCATACCTGCAAGCTCTCGGTCATCTTCACGTACTCGTTGTCCAACTCGAGCACCTGCAGCACCCAACGCCAACCTTCAGTACAAAGGAAAAGGACTAGACGAGGTCAATGCAAGAGCCACCCTCTGCACCTTGCATGCGTCCTACACAGGCTCTGCATGGCTACCGGCATCCACGCATGAACTCACCCGTCCGCGTGCCTCGTCGCGTTGTGCGCAGGCGTTCTGCAGGCGCGTGATGAGGTCAGCCTTCATCTCCTGGAACTTCTTGTCGATTCGGCTGCGCTCGCTCATGAGCTGCCCAATGTAGTCTTGGTGTTTCTTGAGCGCCGTGGCAAGCTCGGTGGCCTTCAGCTTGGCGGCGTCCTGCACCGTCTCCAGCATGGACTGCAGCTCGTGCACCTTCTGCTCCAGCGCCTTCTTGTCCTGCAGCAGCTTCGCGATCTGCACAAAACAAGCACACCAGCAACGAGCGCACGGAAGATCGAGCGGGCTGGCTTGCAAAGGCACTCAACGGTCGTTCGTGAAAGGCCGTTTTGCGTCGCTTGGTCTGCAGGGTACCCACCCGATACCATGGCATCCTTGTTATAACGCGCTTCAACCCTCCAGCATTCGAAACCAAAAGTGCACCAAGTGTGCATACGAGCAGGGAAGCCCGAGGTTGTGTAGCGGGACGTAACGGGGTGCACGATCCCGGCTATCAAGGGAAGCCGGTATGCTATCAGGTGTGCACTTATCAGGCAGCGTGCTCAGGGGCCATGTTAAAGAGGTAGTCCGATCGACCGTACATGGACCCACGGTTACTGCCCAACATACGGCGTTGTAACAAGTTCCTATGTACCTGGATGGTGAGCGCTGCCTTCTCACGGCGCAGCTGCATGGTGAGCTTGCGGGCGGCCCAGGCGCGCGCCGCGCACTGGATGGTAAGGACAGCCGCACGCGCGGCTTCGAAGCGCCGGCGGGCCTGCATGCCGCGCACGAAGCGCTGGATGGTGATCGCCGCAACGTTGAGCGTGTCGGTGCGGAGCATGGGCGAGCCGGCCACGGTGATCGCAGTGGCGGACGCGGACTGCACTGCCTGCACAGCGGCGGCGGCGGCCGCTTTGGCGGCGGCGAGCTCCCTCTCCTTGGCCTGCGTTGCGGTAGCGCCACAGGGTCATACAAAAGGACCCGGTTTGCAATGGAGCTACCGTACAACACTGCTGCCGCGGCGGTGTCCCTGACAACATGAAGAACCCAACATCCCAACCTACCTGCAAGCTCTCGGTCATCTTCACGAGCTCGTTGTCCAACTCGAGCACCTGCGGCACCCAACGCCAACCTTCAGTACAGAGAGAAAGGGGCCAGAGGACAAGGCTGCGAGTGTCAGCCCTATGACAATGCGCCATGCATGCTACACGGCCAGCATATGGTGTCCACGCATGAACTCACCTGTTCGCGCGCCCTGTCATGTTGCGCGCGGTCGTTCTGCAGGAACGTGATGAGGTCCGCCTTCACCTCCTGGAGCTTCTTGCCGATTTGGCTGCGCTCGCTCAGGAGCTGGCCAATGTAGTCCTGGTGCTTCTTGAGTGCCGTGGCAAGCTCGGCGGCCTTCAGCTTGGCAACCTCCTCGGTAGCCCTTATAACCTGCTTCAGCGCTGCCATCTCCTAAAATGGGAAGCCGGAATTTTGGGGGCATGCCAAGCTAGGCTGCACCTCTGCAGTTCTGATGTGCGTAACCTCCCACACTCCTCAGCACCAAAAACACTGCGACATGCAGCCTGGTTGCAACACCCTGAGCCGTACCCCTGCTGCTGAACCACATCCCCGACCCACCTTCTGCAGCTGCTGGCGCTGCGTCTGCTCCTGCGCCAGCTGCTGCTGTGCCTCCTCCATCTTTGACTTCTTGTTTTCCACAGACTCGTGCACCCTCTGCTGCAGCGCCCTCTTGTCCTCCAACTTGCACGCATGCCCGTGAGAACTAGACCTGAGCCCCTTGTCACTCCCCGAGCTTGGCTCAGAACACTCTGAGCAGATGCTTGGGAGCTCGCGGCTCGTGCTGTGGGGCGGCTTGTCCTCATACTTCTCGATCTTAGGCGCGACTCCTGGCGGGAGCATTTCAGTCGAAGCCCCCTCCTCCCCCGCCGTTTCCTGCACAGGCACGGCTATCGTAAATTGCGCAGCCCGCTTGGAACGTGTGGTTTGTGACCGAGCATTAGTAATTGGCAGATGACAGGATCAACTTTTCTAGGGCACAGCGTTCAGGGACCATGCAAGTAGGTATGTGCACCGCGCAGGACACGGGATTGTTACTCAACAGGGATAACCTGGAGTCCTCCTCCGCATTAGCATTATATAAAGTCTACCATTCGCAGCTCTGCCATCCTACCTCCCGTAGCTTCAATTCGGCTGCGGATGCTTGCTCCATCTCCAGCTCCACTTTCTTCCAAGCATCCACACGCTCAGATCTGCGTGAGACAGCAGGATTCTAACTCAGCTAATGAAGCATAGCATTGACAGGTCCGCGAAGTGAACATGGAGGTGACTTGCATGCTGCGCCTATCATATCGGTAGTACTTTGCAGCAAAGAAGTTTATGAAAGTATAGTTGGTAAAATAGCAAAAAGCTCAGTTAATAGGGGTGTAATCCCTCCACCAGTACGAAACTGGCAAGCGAGGGCAACAGCGACTTATTCGCATTTGTTCATCGGTAAGGCAATCCTGCCGCATTATGAACCGGAGATATATTGTTTTCATGACGTCGAGCACTAGTATTGCCCGACAAACGGTGAACTACGAAGGGCTACTTAGTTGGGATACATCACCGTAACTAGAGAACTTACCCTACCCGCCAGACAGAGCATAAATAAGTAGTAACCAAAACAGAAACGACTGATTAACTCACAGCAGCGCGCCGTGTTCCATCAAACTGCTCTGCCACCCTGCTGTACTTGTAGATCTGTTTTGCTGTATAACTTCTGAACATGCCCAAGGTGCGTCTCTGGCAGGAGCATATACGGTGTGTCTCGCATAAGGCACTTGTGTCCATGGTTAGCTGTTAATTTAGCTCTGAAAGCGCCTCTAGCTCTACCGCTATGTATGGAGCTATGGACGAGTGCTTATCCAGGGAGCAACCATCTCAAGAGAGTAATCTTGATGATGTTCCATTGTCGTAAACTGCGATAAAATGCATTGCTAGGATGTAAAAGCCCTAAAAAGGCAATATCCGTTCCGAAACCACGACACCAGCTTCTCAACGCTATCAAGTGCGCAAGGTGCATTACAACGTCTTAATAGGCGTCTTGCAATCCGATAAGTCATGCTACCCGTATAGGTCGTAAGTCGATAGCATGACGTCCGTCGTTCGGAGGCCTTGCGCCACTACTCCACACTAACGTGCACGCAGCCGGTTATAAACGTACCAGTAAGGGAATTAAATGTATACGACTCTTGACTTGAAGTTCAAATACATTCCATCCTATTACGTTTGCGCTGTGCCATCTATCTGCGCTTAGCAGTGCGTGGCTGGCACGTCCATATGTCGAGTGCTGCATGCCTCCGTAGAAGGCGTGGGCCGCCAGTTCCCAGGGGGGTGCCCTGCGTTTGTGCTAGCTCTGCAACCCTAGCTAGTGGGGAACAGGGCGATCCTCTATGCGTTCGCATGGGCGATGATCACGAGCGACTAGAAAGCAGTCAGACGACAACACGTAAGCCAGGGTTGGCTGGCCCCTTTTAGGGGCGTAGCCATAGTATTCGGTCAAAAGGTCCGAACAGAGAATTTTGTGCTTTCTGAACGATTACACAGACTGGACGGCTTGGCGAAAGCCTTATCCGCTGCGACCCGGCAGCGTCGGTGCCGGATCTCTAGATACCGGTAGCCACAACAGCTGATGAGGTCGAAGGAGCCGAGCGGGATGAAGCGTTGCTGTGTAATGCTGGCCGTCGTTGAGGTTGCTGCGTTGTAGTTTGCTAGGCATGGCGCGGCGTGCCCGGGACTGATAGTTGTGGTAATATTTGAAGGTTACTCGACAGGCCATGCTAGGTGGGGGTCCATGCACGCTTCATCAGGAACAGGTATGTTAGCCTAGGCTGGCCTAGGAGGACAATTTGACGAGAGGCGACACGGCCTTTTTCGATACCGGTACTGGTATGGGAGGCCATTGCAGCAAAGCTTCTTGCTGCCTTTTAGATGCACCTATCTAGGAGTTGCACTTCATGACAGCTTGTCCAGGTGGCTTCATCCTTGTCAGCAGAGGTTATGATGGCAGTATAACCATCTCTGGTCAATCAGCTACTGCTTCATGATATCTGCACCTCAAATAGGTATCCTTAGGTTCCTTACGCTGGAGCGTGGAGCCAGGCAATGACAGCTTGTCCAGGTCTGGATCCGGATCGCGGATCGAGGTTTGTGGAGGCTATTACGGAATGTGGCGCTGCGCCGTCATGGCGGGCTTATAGCAGGTCATGTTCTTCTGATCCGTAATATATGCATGGATTGCGTTTTGAGTTTGTTTGCAAGTTGCCATTTAGCGACCTAGATTCCATCGCGAATTAAGCAACCTTTCAGTCTAGCTCTGTAAAGTAATAAGCTCTTTAGCTGGTGAAGATGTCTGCAAAGCTTCTTGGATACCTCTCGAAGCATTTTGGGTGCGGCGAGCTGTCAGATTGCACCATTGTTTTCCACCAAGAAGCCTCGCCTGCCGCTGATAAGGCTGAGAGTACTAGGGATTTTGTTAATGAGGCACGCGATGCCAAACATAATGTTCAAGACGTTCGCCTGGTGAAAGAGGAAATTCCGGGTGAAATGGCATATGGGCCTATCTTTGGGGACCCTCTGCCAGCTCACATCCTCATAGTCTGTGGTGGATCTGACCGCCTTGGCGCCCAACGCGATGGATGGAAGCAAGAGAGCGGCCCTGACAGCAAGCCACTACTCCGCGTGCCCTTGCGCTCAGAAGACGAGCTGCCGCACGCTTTGTCTGCTTTGAAGTTCATATACACGGGCGAGATCACGGCAGGAAGCTCTTCGGATCTGCTGCACATTCGGCGGCAGGCGGCGTACCTGCAGGTAGATGGCTGTGTGGAGGCGTGCGACGAGGCCCTACTGGCTCGTATCAATGGCCTGGCGGGCATAGCGGAGATCTACGCTTGCAGCAAGCAGCTGCCAGACCCCGAGCAGACTGAGGAGCCTGACGGTGCTGAGTTCCTCAAAATGGTACTCAAGACCTGCCGGCAGAAGCTTGTGGAGCACTGCAAGAACGGTGGGGCCATGCCCGATGGCGGCCCCAATCTTGGCGAGCTGCTTGCCTGGTCCTTCCGCGACGCCCCCTCCGTGCTGAGCGAGCCCAAGATGCGGCGGCAGATGGAGGTGCTGCCCGCCGCCGCCCTGGAGGCGCTCCTGGGCAGCGAGCACTTCGCCACGGACGACGAGGCAACCGTGCTGCTCATGCTGGCGCGCTGGTTGGAGGTCAACAGGGGGACGTCGGAGGAGGCACGCAAGCGGCTGTGCAAGCTGGTGCGGCTGAGCAAGCTGTGCAGCACCTACCTCTTCCAAGTACTGCCGCTGCTGCCCTGGTTCCCGCTGAGCCCCAAGGAACACCGCTTCCTCTGCGAGTATGCATGCGAAAATGAAGACAAGCAGGCGTCCTTGGCAGCGTGCGCAGGGGATGTCTACGACTGCAGATCACCTTGGTATTCAGCTGATGAGCGGCCGGCTGCCAGTGCTGGACAACCGTACGACTGGTACGTACCTGAGACGGACCTGACAGCAAAGTACCAGGCCCTGGTGAGCGGTGAGGCCTTTTCCGTGTCTGCAACGTTTGGAAACGGCGCGTCCCGCATCGCAGTAAATGGCTTTGAATGGTTGGTTGGCATATCACGGAATAAAGGGGCGACTGCAGCGGGCGTGTTCCTAGAATGCTGCGTTCCAAAGGCATTGGGCATCAGAGACCCTAAGGAGGTGGTGTCTTCGGGAAGCCCGGGGACTGCCCGTGTTGTTGCCTACAAATGGCGGGATGATGGCAGCCGGGAGGAGGCGTCCCGCTATGACTATGATGGTGTCAGCGTGCCGATTGGGAAAGGCGTGGGCACATCTGAGGCGCTGTCGCTAGTGATCCCAGCTGCTGACGACCGGAACCCAGGAGCTGCTGTCCCCTGCAGCAAGCTTCTCGAGCCCTGGGCGCCTTACCTGAAGGACGCCGAGCTGCATGGCCTACTCGAATGGGTGTGATGGCAGGTTGGGGGCTCACATTGATGCGTCCTAATGGCTGAGAAAGCGGTCACCCGATGTGACCTAGTCTCAAAGTAAGCAATGATGGATGGGGACTGGTCGCATGCTGCTTTCCTAGTACATGAATTGCAGGTTGGACGCTTGGGACTGCTTTGATTTGCTCGATTAGGTGGCAAGTGACAGCAACGGTCAAACCTTGTTGTGGCACTTTGGGCGTGCGGTTGCTCAGGTGTCGTACATTTAACGCTGCATGCATGGATGGAGCATGGCCTGTTGTATTTTGATGGTAGATACCTTTCGAAGAGTTGCCCTGAAACACACTCCTGTCGGTGTGTCCACCTGGAATTGGTGGTTAGGATGGCATGAATTGTACTGTTAACTGTTCACTCCTTGCACAATACGTCATTACCCCCTTGCGTATTGTCTTGTGTATTGCTACAACGCTATATGGTAGTTGGTGTTGCGGCAGTTAGCAATGAAAATAGGAATTAGCATAGGGTTTACCGTGCAATGAAAATAGGAATTAGCATAGGGTTTACCGTGCAATGAAAATAGGAATTAGCATAGGGTTTACCGTGCAGGATGGCGTTGCTATGTGGAAAATTCACGACAAGAGGCGTTGGGAGATTACGGCATTGGTTACCTGCCGTGGCAGCTTTACAGCACGTCTGCATGCATAGACCTTTGCAGCTACGTTTGCTCACACATTTTCGCTGCTCGTTTGTGTGCATATCAGTCCAAACCAGGCTCGTCCAACTATCCACCATAGTTTCATCATACACATGAAGAACTCAACTTATACCGTACGTTACGCACGTGGGGATAGCTATGCTTGACCATCCATTTTACGCAAACTTAGTTCCTATCATCTAAGCAAACCCGCGCCCCCGCCATCTATTAAGAGGTCACGTACATGTGAACCCAGTCAGGAGTAACCCGAGGCCTGCGTTCCAGCCTCCACTCAAGCACACTCGTCTAACTCTGCGTTGCCTAACCACAAGTCGATTGCACACATCCGCTCGCCCCAGATAACACCACAACGCAATCCGTCGGACACATATGCCTTCCGAACGCCGCCGGGGCATACTCCATGCAAACCTAAGAACCAAGGCCACGCGTCTCCTAGCAAGACAGCCCGTATCACAAAACCTCAACCCTTGGAACCCTTCATAGGGGTAGAGGTGGGGACAACACTGTCAATCTAGCCGACTCTAGCCAAGCCAATAAGAGCGGGCGCGATGCGAGTTTGCATAGGCGTCCGCTGCCCAGGCACAGACCCGGCAATGCGAGGGCAAGGCAATCACCTCGTGGCTTGGGGAACGACGTCCGCAGCCGCCTGGCCTCCTGCAGCTGACTGAAGCTGCTGCTGCGTTGCCTGATCAGGCTTCTTAGCCTTGGGCGGATCTCGCCAAAGCCAGCTGCAGGAAAGGTGGGCGCATGCGAGTTGCGGTTGAAGATCAAGCGATCGAGCTATGGGTTGGTGGTAGGTTAGGCTAAGGGGGCGCCATGTGGCTCTAAGCAGCGATGCGTGTGTTAAGGAAACTACATGGCAGCCTTCCGACTCGCGGACAACGCTGCCAATGCAGCCGTGACTGCTGGGCGTTACTCCACATTGCCCCTCTGGACTCACAGCCCACACAGCGGCTACCGGTATCATTATTCCCAGGGGCATGCGCATGTGCTGGTGTTTCCCCCTCATCCCCAGCTCCCCTACAACCCATCGGAGCAACTTGCAGTCCGTTCGCAGTGACTTGCAGTCCGTTCCCAATGCACAGCAACCACCCACCGTTCGTCTCCCAGGATGTGCGCTAACCGCTCGTTGTACGGCTTATAGAAACTCTGCATTGCATTGGGTGTCAACGTGTCGTACAACAAGTCATTACTTCAAGAAGGTACCCGTATCTGGTGTGGCAAGATGAACGGGCGTCTTCAGGGAACAATCATCATCTACGATACCTCCGCCGTAGCCCCCCCTAGCCCCTATGGCGTTCCTAAGCTACCGAGATATCCGCAGGCAGCCTCAGTTGCCATCCCAAGGCACATGTACGCAGCGGGCCAAGGCGTCCCATCCCCTCCTCAGCAGTCAGCACTCCCCTCCCGCACGCCCCACCTCTAGCAGCGCCCGTGTCTCCGGCAGCATGGGTTTGTACTTGTTGCTGTTCTTGTTGCGCGTGGCCATGGTCATGATCTGTTGGGTGGGAGGCGCAGGCGGCGGCAGCAGCCGCAAGGGTGGAAAGGTGTTGGAAACAGTGGAAAGCCGCACAGTCTGTCGTGCTTACCGGTGTGGGTCTAACTGATGCGTGACTCATGGCAGCATACGTCAACCTGTCCCAAACCCTTCCTGTTTGCTAAAGCCCAGCCAGCCCCAGATCCGCTCCCCCCCACCTTGTCCCACTCCTGCTGGCTGGGTTGCCTCATGTCCAGGAAGGCGATGACGGCCTGCATGTGCTCCCGCGTGGCAGCCGAGTAGTCCTCGTTGCGCAGGAAGAGCAGCTGGTCGCGGGGCCAGTGGTTCAGCCAGTCCTAGGGGGGGCGGGGGGGCGGGAGGGAGGCGGCAGGGGCACGGAGGCAGAGGAGTATGGGATGGCCCGGATGGGGTTCTCAAGAGGTGGGATTATAATAAGATAACGCGTCGAGAAGAGACGCGTTGGAAGGATGACGGTAACATGGACAGCAAGAGGAGTCCCGATTGCGAGCGTTCCGGAGGCCACACATCAGTCCAGCCCCCCCATCGCGCACCCCGCGCCCCCAGTGCGCCGCCCCCACCATGATGAACTCCGAGTACATGCCCTTCACTAGCTGCTGCGGGTTGTAGTGCCGCACGCATTGCTTGTGGCCGTGCTGCTCCACACACGCCTTCCAGGCCGCGATCTCCTGCGGGAGGGATGAGGTGCGGGAGTGATGATGAGGGGAATAAGAGGAACTAGGGAGGAATGAGAGGAAGCAGAGGGTCCAGAGCGCCCGTTGCATTGTCGCCGAAGGGGCAGACAGCTTGTGGCAAACAGCTGACACCCAGACGGAATGCCATGTACGGCTTTCACTCTCCTCCCGCACATGCACATGCAGGCACCCCTACCCATCCGCTAGCGCCCCCTCCCTCGTGTCTGCACCTGTACGGCGGTCTTGTGGAAGTCCTCGGGCCCGGGCGCTGGCTCATCCTTTACCCACCACCTGCGACCACAGGTCAACCACCACAGCCATCAGCGACAACCGACAACTCCACAACAACATCCCAGCACCCCCACCCGCATAGTGTCTCCGAATGCGCTAGCTGCATGAGTCGAGATATCGGATTGGGACTCGTTGCTACACTTGTCATTTATTCTCCCCCCTACCTGTAGTAGTAGAAGGCTGAGAAGTAGCGGTCCACGGGGTTGCGGAAGATGACGATGTTGCGCAGGAAGGGGCTGGCCTCGCGCATGAGCTCCGGCATGGTGACGCTGGTGTTGCGGTCCCAGGAGGGGCCGCTGCATGCAGGAAGGCAGGGGGGGGTTGGGGCAGCAATGTCACATGGCCACATCGGTGCGCAAGCTGCAGCAAGGTAGGATGTTGTGATGCGGAAGCATGAGGTGCATCCAGGCCATGGAACCCAACCGTATGATGTGAGTGGGGTCCATGCATGGGGGTTGTGTGGGGTTGTGTTGCGGTCCCGGAAGGGGCCGCTGATGTGGGGTTTGTCGGAAAGCAGTGGCAACGACACAGGGCGTGGTCATAGGCCGAGCTGGCAACTGCTGAGGCTTCTGATGTCCAGCTAGGGCCTGTTCCTTTGTTGGCCAACCCTCTATGCAATTCGGTTCTGTCCCATGCTTGACTTACCGAAGGAAGACCCCCGATGCCGATGTGAAGGTGTTGGAGGAGGCCTCGCCCGTGATGCCCTGCAATGAGGCAGTCAGCAACGTATGGAGGGGCGAAAAGATGACCTAAGCGAGAGAGTGAACGGCTTGACCCACGGGTCACTCACTGGCAGCCAGTCTCACTAACACCTCCCTTGCACTTTACCCCCTACCAGACCATCGCCATCACAAGTCCGCAATCCTCCCCTTTCCCTTCCTCCTTCCCCCGGCCCGCCCCTCCTCACATCCGAATCCTTCGTGCGTATCGCCTCCGCTGCGTCCGCGAACAGCTCCACGTAGCCGTCAAAGTCCCCGTTGGGTGGGGCGGTGCAGGCGCCCTTGGGCGGGTGCACGCACTCGTCCCACCAGTGGGGACCCTGGGCGGGAGAGAGGGGTGAGGGGAGGCGTGAGAGCAACGCCGGGAGGGAGCGGGGAGGAGCAGACGCGGGGTGAAGCAGACGGCAAGGACAGCAAGGCTCTAGCAGGATAGGGGTCCGAAGGCCAGGTCTTATACTTTGTAGGTTGTGGAAGGTGGGTGGAAACCCAGGCCCCTAGGCAAACCGCCTCGCGACACTCGCACAGTCACTGGACTCTTTCAGAAGCAACCGCAGGCGGCCAGCCAAGCCCACATTTACAATTTCCAGTACGCCCATTTGTTCCCTCCCACCTTGTTCCGTGACTCCAGCATCTGCGGGTGCTTGGAGAGGCGGTGGTAGAGGTCTGTGGTGCCGCACTTGGACACACCCAGGATGTGGAAGTAGGGGATGCAGCGCAGCCGGCCGTCCTTCATCCTGCAGTGGCAGTGGCAGGGAGTGGCAGGAGCAGCAAGGGAGTGGAGGCATAGCAGGGCGTGAATGTGCAGCAGTGCGTGCGGCACAGCAGGGGAATGGGGGGAGAGGTGGGGGAAGCATGGGGTTAGCCTGTTGCACGAACCCAGCAAGGGGAAGAGGTGGGAGACAGCCTCACTGTCTTTCCTGCTCAACCAGTCCACAACTACCACCACCTACCGGTAGCAACGGTACACCGCAGCGCCCACCGCAGCGCCACCACCCTGCTGCCCACTGCCACCAGTCACCCACCCAGCCACCCACCCACCCACCAGCAGGGGTTCTTGTAGCGGCGGTCGTAGTGCGCGGGCAGCACCTGCCAGATGTCTGGGGACTCAGCCTGGGGGGAGGTGCAAGAGGAAACGTTAGGAAGGAGGGGCGAAGGGAGGCTGCTATGAGCAAGGAAGGGTGTACATAATGCATAGGCATGCAGAGAACTGCGGGTGGCGCTGACAAAGCACGTGGCTTGGCTGGGCGTGGCGCTCGTTGCCGCCGAGGCCGTGCGTGTGCCCATACCTCCGACTCCGTACGCTTGCGCCTGCTGTCGGCCTAGTGCTAGTTCGACCCATGCTACCCGTAGCCACCCCACCCTACCGTGAGGGTTATCTGCCACCCCACCCTACCGTGAGGGTTATCTGCCACCCCACCCTACCGTGAGGGTTGTCTGCCACCCCACCCTACCGTGAGGGTTATCTGCCACCCCACCCTACCGTGAGGGTTATCTGCCACCCCACCCTACCGTGAGGGTTGTCTGCCACCCCACCCTACCGTGAGGGTTATCTGCCACCCCACCCTACCGTGAGGGTTATCTGCCACCCCACCCTACCGTGAGGGTTATCTGCCACCCCACCCTACCGTGAGGGTTATCTGCCACCCCACCCTACCGTGAGGGTTATCTGCCACCCCACCCTACCGTGAGGGTTATCTGCCACCCCACCCTACCGTGAGGGTTATCTGCCACCCCACCCTACCGTGAGGGACCTAATCTTGTTCCCCGCCTCCCCCAACCCACCCAACCCCTTCACGCCCACCTTGATGAGTTCGAAGCGGTCTGAGCGCCTGAAGCGGGCGCAGTAGGCGGATGCGTTCCTGTAGCGCAGCGGGTGCAGCTGCGGGGGCAGGTAGCTGGTGTGGTAGTCGGGGGCTGAGGTGTCGGTGAAACCCGGCTGCTGCTTTTGTGTTGTGGGCGCGGAGGTGGTGGTGGTGGAGGTGGTGGAGGAAGAAGCGTTGGTGGCTGGAGCAGCTGAGCCCTGCTGTGCTGCCGCTTGCTGTCCCTGTCCTGCCTGCTGCTGTGGTTGCGCCTGCGTCTGCTGCTGTGCTGCTGCCTCCGCCGTCTTCTTCTTCTCCTCCTGCTTCTGCTGCTGCTCCGCAGCGGCCGCAGCCACCGTCGCCGCCGACGGCTTCACCGCTGCCGTCTCCGCTGCCGCCGTTGCCGCCGTCGTGGCATTGCCCGCAGCCCCTCCCTCCTCCGTCGTCGCCAGGAACCTGGGCTTCATCTCCCAGGGACCCCCCTGGTTGGCTGCGATTGCTAGCACATGCTGGAATCCCGCCACCATGGCCTGCACCTGCCAGCCGCCCGCGGAGAGGGGCCCGGAGGCGCGTGCGGGGCGCATCACGTTGCCGCGGTCCCTGCCCGGCCGCAGCTTCTGCGCAGGGAAGGAGGGCAGGAGAAGGGGTTTGCAGTTGATGAGACCTTGGGGACCCTCAGGAGAGCAGGTAATGGTGCCCTCCCACAACAAGCTCCCAGCAATGCTTGCCCGTGCATGCTTGCGTGCGTACTTGCGAGAGCTTACACCAGCGAGCCCCTTCCCGCCCCGTTCCATCTTCCATGCCATTCCCGCCCTTCACCCCACCCCCCCACCCCTCCCTCCCCACCTGCACCGGGTTGTGCCTCCCCACGCCCGTGCACAGGTAGTCGTTGGAGCCCCAGCCGTAGACCGCGGAGTGCGAGGCGGCGCCGCTGTGGTACTCCCCCGCCACCACGTAGCGGATGTTGTCGGACAGCAGCTCGCCCTGGGGGGGGGGGAGATAATGGGGGGAAGGGAGAGGCCATACCATACCATAGGAAACCCAGGTTAGGGCAACGCAATGGGGATAGGAGAAGAGGCGTGTGTGGGTGAGGTGTGAGGGTGCATGCGGTAAGGGCGTAGCCGGGTGGGATGTAGCCCAGTGTGTGCTGAGTGCTCATCTTCAGGCATATAAGCAGGGTCCTACACGAGGCGCCGTTACCTCACCCGGAAACGCTGCCTCCGGTTATTACCCGCCTACCCGGTATCCCGCCCCCTCCCGCAAACCCCCCAGTAGCCCCCACCTGCGCCTGCCCCGGCTCCTTGGTGTTGCCTCCCCGACCCAGCAGCAGGTCCCTGCCGCCCCACGTGAACACCGCGCCGTCTGCGGTGGACACGACCGCGTGCTCGCGACCCGCAGCCACCGCCTCGACCTTCAGCGGGGGGGCAGGTGGAGGGGTGTGTCGGGCGTGGGTGCGGTTGGGTGGTAGGCGCAGGATGGGAAGAAGGTACAAAGAGTGAAACCCGCACGTACATGCAGGGGAGTAGCACACATGTGTGCGGAATAGGGATCCATGGGCCTGGCTGTATGAGGCCGTATGCTCGCATTCCGGTATGCCGTACTGCAGTGTTCCGAACCTCCCGATACAGTGCACGCCGGCGTCCACATGCGCGCTACCAAAACAAAGTAAACCACACGCGCTACCGAAACAAAACCACACGCGGTCAGCCTCATCCCTCACCTTGTGCCCCGCCAGCACGCCCGTCACCCGGCCCGGCACCAGCGGGTCGCCTCCGCGCCCCAGCTCCCCGACCTCGTTGGGCGCGTGCTTGTTCTCCAACGTGCCCGCATAGCCGTCATCCTGTATAGCATGCAAAGGAGGGGGGAAAGTGTTGATGGGGGCCGGGGGCAGCGTTTTACCGCATGGAATGGGGCCGGAGAGCGCGCTAACAGGGGTAAAACCTGAAACTTGGTTACCCGAAGCAGGGACAGGGCCCCTCTTACCTGCGAGCTGCACGTGAACACCTCGCCCTCCTGGGTGGCTGCCAACCAGAACACGTAGCCAGCGTCGAACGCAACCACACGCTTGCCTGGCAGGAGGAGGAGGAGGAAAAGACGGGAGGTAAAGACAGGGATCATTAAAGGAGACACGTGGAAATTGATGACTGATGACCATGTTATGGTCAATCGTCCGTGCTGCAAGCCGAGCAGAGCCCGTACTGCACGCCATCCTCCTTAGCCCCAGCAGGAGCTTGGAGCTCTCCCATTCCCTACCCCCACAGCCTTCAGATAACCACCACATACTTCAAACCACCTCGGCCACCCATCCATCCAACCATCCACCCGCAGCCACCCACCCTTCATCTCGCCCTCCACCAGTCGCGGCTTGTACGCCTGGTTCTGCTCCGGCAGCTTGCCTCCGTTGCTGCAGCCGTCGTGCCCCCACGTGTACAGCCGCCCCTCGCTGTCCACCGCCATGCTCACGTAGCGACCCGCGGCGGCACCCAGGATGCGCACGCCAGCGGGGAACTCAACAAGGCCGGGGCTGCGATGAAACAGGGGAAAGAGAGAGGGAGGGAGGTGGCAGGGGTGACGGCGGCGGACATTTGGGGTTCGGTACGGTGATATGCGGCAACTCGCGCGAAGCCGCCTCATGATCCCTTCCTGCTTCACCCACATCCCTTTCCCAAGCCAGGACCACCACCTTTTAGGGTTTTTATGGACGATTGACCAAAACATGGCCATGTTTTGGTCAATCGTCCTTGGAACCCAAACCCTTTTCAACTAGACGCGCGATCCCCCCAACTTACGTTCCCGAGTGGCAGCTAGCCCCCGCCGTGCAGGGTGTGGGGTCCTCCGCCGACGCCAGCCCCGCCGCCTGCCTCCCCAGCTGCCCCCAGTCGTTCAGCCCCCAGGAGTACAGCTCCCCCGCCTCGGTAACCGCCATGCTGTGGTAACGACCAACAACCGCCTGTACGACAAACTTGCCGGCCAACGGTCCGCCCACGGGGCCGGGTCGGGAGTCGCCCTGGGTACGGCCGAGTTGGCCGGAGGCGTCTAGGGGTGGGCTGCCGTGACCGCCGCCACCCCTGCAGGGAGATGGAGAGAGGGAGGAGAAGTGGAGGAGGAGAAGGAGGAAGGTGGATGTGAGAAGGCAGAGCGGAGAGGGGAGAAAAAGGCCCAGGGCAAGACATGTGGGTATAAAAGTATGACGGAAAGAGTGAAGGCGCAGTCAGACAACCCACATCACCATCTTCCTGCTCCTTTAGGGTTGCAGTAGGTTTGCTTCGTAACGGCTTGGTTCCTCCCTGACCCCAGTCCATACGCCCCCCCCCCCACCTGGAGTCGTTGTGCCCCATGGTCCACACCACCCCCTCCGCCGTCACGAACGCCGAGTGGCGGCTGGCGGCCACCGAGATGACGCTCAGGTTGCGCAGCGCGGGCTCGGGAACGGAGTTGTCGCCTGCGGGGTTGGCAGCAGCGAGGGCGGCAGCGATGGTATGAAGGTTAGGCAAGAGGGTAAGAGTATCAAGCAAGCAAGCATGGGCAGCAACGGCAGCGTGAGGGGGCAACTACTGAATGGTCTTCGCCATCCCGCCCTGCTAAACGCCCGCGACCCAGATGGGTTAGGATGCATAACTCTCTGGCCGTGGCCTTTCTTTGCCACGGCCCATCGTCTGCAGTTGATTGGCAGCTGTCTCCGTTGGATGCGCGCTACACCTTCGGAATCCCTGTGCCTTGCTCTTCCCTTGTCGTCCTCCTGCCCAGCTGTGTTACGTGGGAGGCCGCAATCTTCCCATGCAATCAATGAACCGACGCTGACCCAAATCATAACCCTATCCCGCTCAGTATGAAAGCCCTCGGTTTTCCTCCATTATCTCCATGCCGTAGCCCCCTGAGCCCTGACCCACATCGGGAGGGCCACCCCTGCTGCTGCAGCCTTCCACCGCCCCCACCCACTCTGGCTGCACCCACGCACATCCAGCCTTCTGCCCTTCCGCTTCCAACCGTATCGGCACCCCCAACCTCCGCTCCCACTGCACTCCCACCACCCCGCCGAGCCCTCACCCACCCTTGTTCCTGCCAAGGCGCCACTCCTTAAGGCCCCAGCTGAGCAGCGTGCCGCCGGGGGCCGGCCGCGTCAGCTGCGCGCCCGAGCTGCGTCCCATGCGGCCCGACACCAGGGTGGGGAGCAGCTCGCGAGAGGGGGCGGCAGCAGCGGCAGTAGCTGTTGCGCCTCCGCTGCCCGCTGCTGTCGCTGCGGATGTTGTCGTGTTGCTGTTGGAAGAGGGCGTGGGGTTGGATGCGGAGGAGGCGGTGGCGTTGCTGGCATTAGATGGCTGCTGCTGCTGTTGTTGGTTGGTAGAGGCTGATGGCTGGGTGGGAGGTGGCGGTGATGGGGGTGGCGGTGAGGGTGGAGGTAGTGTAGGAGGCGGGGGCGCGGGAGGAGGCGGTGAAGGAGGCGGCGGTGCGGGAGGTGAAGGTGTGGGAGGCGGTGACGGGGTTGTGGGAGGGGGCGGTGACGGTGGAGGTGGCGAGGGAGATAAGGACGACGGGGCCGGGAATGAAGGTGGAGGTGAGGGAAGCGGTTGGGTGTTTGGTTGAGATGCTTGAGAGTGCCAGTTCCCCTTCACAATATCCCTAATGCTTGATGGTCTTACACGCTGCGGGTCTGAAGTCATGGCCTCAATCGCCCAGCCACCGTACACCGCAACGACTAGGATCGCTGCAACCACCAGAGCTTGAGGCAAGTACGCCAGCAGCGAGAAGCGTCCATGCTGCTGGCCGTGACGCCTTGTATGCTGGTAAGTGCCACGCATCATGTTCCTCTATTCGTAAACTTTTTGGGCGCTTCCTCAGCTTCAAGGGTTTATTCACAAGCTACATATAACCCAAAGCTACCGTGTTTGACATCCTGAAAGCGCGTGTCACATGCTCAGTCCTTACAATCAATTGCGGATCAGCAGTCCCTATGACTTAGTGCAGCAAACGGAATAATTTAATAGAAGCACAAGATCACCGTAATCACATAAATGGGTTATAGACGGTAAAAAAAGGTCAACGCAGCATGGTGCCAGGCCGCAGGCCATGCCGTATCTGCGGTTGACGTGCGATGCAACTAAGCTGTTGCACACAATTCCAGGGTAAAATGTATATGGCTTCTGTTTTACTTTGTCCCTGAGCTTGGATCATGTGTTAAAGAAAAGATGGCCTTGCGAGGCCAAGGCACGTTACAGCAAATACTAGGGAAGCCCATTTCCATCACGAAGAAGCGCAAGCATACAGGAAAGGAGGACAAGGCAACGGTCAATAACCTAAACCCAAAGCGGCATCGGCCTGAAGGTCTGTCGACAGCCCGCAATAAACCTTGCGCGGGAAACAAACCGGGTGGCCATTGCGCAATTTTTCTCCGCGTTGCTTCGCAGCCTTCAACAGTAGCAACAGCAGTAAAGCTGACGATGTACTTCTGCGATCACATGCGTCGCCATCACAGCCAAAGCCGCAAAATGGCGAGGCGGGCCCACCACAGCCTCCCTTGCCGCCTGAAGGGCCAGGATGGGTTCGCATAGATGCCGCTGTTGTTGGCCTCAGGTTTCGACGCAGCAACTCAGGAGCTGCCGCTGCTGCTGCTGCCGCCGCTGCGGCCGCCGCTACGTCAGCAGCAGGAGATGCCGCGGGCCCATCTTGCAACAGCTCCTCCGCATGCCCAAGCTATTGCCTTGCTCCGGAACCCAACAACCCACATGATCCCAACGCCATTCAGGTAAAACCACCTAACCAATTCCTTCACCTTCTAGCTCTCACCTCATCGCCCCTTCTCTCATCGTCAAACCTCACCCAAACCTGGCCTTCCGTCCTATGAATTTACCGCACCATGCTGTTACGCCCTGACTGCCACCGCACTCCACCGCAGGTCCTCCTGTGCAGCACCCAGCCCCCACCATGCAACACGGCAGATGCCGCCACCGCAACCACGCCTGCCGTACACCCCGCACCCTCCTCTTCCGCCGCCGCCGTGAATGCCAGCGCCAGTGGCAGCCTCATCGGCTACCTCCCCGCCGTCGTGGCTCGTCACCTGGCCCCCCTGCTGCTGCCGAGGGGCGCCGACCGGATTGAAACCCGAGTGCATGTGGACTGGGGGCGGCAGACACATGCGGGCAGCGCACCGGTGGTGCTGTACGCGAGGACACGGCGGCGGAGGCGGCGGCCGCACCAGCATGAAGGCGAGGGGGCTGATGGAACCGGTGCTGCTGCTGCTGTCGGGGGTTGCGGCGGTGGGGGCTGTGACGGAAGCAGCAGCAAGGCAGATACGGATATGAGTGATGATGTCCGGGGCGGTAGCGGTGAAGGTGAAGGTGTGAGGGCTACTGCCACCGCTGTTCCCCTCGCCGCCGCCGCTGCCGTAGCAGTTGCAACAGAGACGGAGGCCTTGGGCTCTCCGTCCGTTACACGCGACCCAGATGGCGACCCAGATCCCAAACCAGATGGAGATTACGACCCAGATTCCAAACCAGATCATGGAGATGGCGACCCAGATGGTGAGGACGCCGAGGTGGCCGCAGCACTAACGGCGGCCGCCGCTGCGGCTGCTGCCTGGCTGGCATCGCGCTCCTCTCCCTCCTCCTCCTCACCCGCCACCACCTCTGCCTCCACCGCAGCCGGTGAGGTGCTCCGCAGCAACTTCACCCTCATGGCGGAGGACGTCAGGTGCGGGGCTCCTGGAGCATGTGGGCAGTTCTGGCAGTCCTTAAGATGTTACAGGAGCGCTAGGCTACAGTGCCGTGTCCCCTGCGAGCGTTGCGGCTGTTGTTGCCGCTGAGGAAGTAGCATTGCCGTACCGAGTGCAGCAAGCGATGCGGACTGCTAATGTTCCTGCTTGCGCCGGTACGGAGGATTCCAGCCGCATACTCCTATCCCGAATGTACGACCAACCCTGGCTCCATGTTGTCGCGCGCAGGCGTTACGACGGCCACCTGCTCTCCCCCGAGGAGCATGCGCTGCTGTCGCGGCTGCTGGCGCTGCCGCCGCCCGCGCAGTGCCTCTTCCTGCGGCTGCTGCTGCGGGTGGGGCCCTGGTTCGCGTTGGGCAGCATCTGCTACCCCGAGTGCGGGGACGTGGGGGCGGCGGCGGGGCAGCTGGTGGGGGCGGGGCTGGCGGAGGGGCCGCAGCCGGAGGAGTGGCCGCAGGTGGGGGAGCGGGGAGGGGGGAGTGGTGGGTTAGGGAGTCGCGCGGGGAGAGATGTGGGTCAGATGGCAGCTGGAGCGTGATGCGTGAGGAGGATGAGGTTGGTGACGGTTGGTGTTGGGGGATGTGGAAGTGCGGCTATATTTTAATTCGGTACGAGGGACGCATAGTATCATTACGTTGCCGCCTCTCGCACCAAAACAGCACCCCTCCCGCCCCGTGTCACGTCACTCCCTTCCGCCGCAGATCGCTGAGCTGCTGCCGGTGGCGGAGCTGAAGTCCCTGGCGGCGGCGACAGCAGCCGCGGCACCGCCGCCGCGCTCCTCCATCCTGGCATACGCCCGACGGCGAGGGGAGCTGCCACCCAAGCAGCCCCCGCAGCCCCCCGCCGGCGTTGTCAATGCTGCCGCCGGCACTGCTGCTGGCGCCGGCGCTGCCAGCCTGCCGCGGTCGAGCAGTGCGCCCTCCCGTCTAACATTCATATCCTCCGCTGCCACTCCAACCGCAGCTAACACTGCGATGCATGGCAGCCAAGGGGGCAGCGGTGGTGGCAGCCAAGGAGGCGCTGGTGGCAGCGCTGCAGCTGTACCGCCCAGTCTTGGAGGAGGGCAGCTGGGGGGCAGCAGCAACAGCAATGGAACTGGTGTACTGCCGATGTCGGTTGCGGGAAGGAGAGGCAGCGGCGGCGGTGGCAGTGGTGGTGGTGGTGGAGCCGGCAACAGCGGCGGTAACGGTGGTGGCGGCAAGGCTGCTGTGATTGCCGGGCTCCGTCGACTCAACCTGAGCTGCTCGGACCTTTTCCAACGGGTACGGCAGGACGGATGGCGTTAGGGCGGAGGGATGCGGCGCTGTTGTGATAGGTGGCCTATGAGTCTCCTTGCTCCTCGGAACTGGCTCCCATACTAATCAACTCCCGCCTGCTCCCCCCCCCCAAACCCCCCCTCCCAGTTATCCTCCGCCACGGGTCCCTGCGTGCGGCTGACGGCTGCAGCGCGGGAGCTGCTGGGGCGCATGCAGCGACTCTACTTCCTGGCGGAGGGGCCGGGGGCGGATCTGGGCAGGTGGGCGGGGAGGGACGATGAGGGACGATCGGGCTCCTGCATACAACTCCTCTTGCCTGCCCCTGCCCCTGCCCCTCACCCCGCTTCCCACCCTACCTCATCCCACACCCCACCAGGTTCCTGGCCACGGATCGCGGCGTCATCCGCTACCCGCCCTACACCCTCCGCCGCTCCGCCTCCGCCTTCGCCAGCCGCACGCAGCTGCTGGAATACGAGGAGGCGCTGAGGCAGGCGGCGCAGGTGGGCGGGGGAAAGGGTGATGGTGTCGTGGATGTGTGGGTGCGGAGCGGCTGCAGCAGATGAGACTATTCTTGCACGCAGGATGGAGTCGGCGGGTTAGGCTGCGCAGGAATTCCGCTGCCAGGAAGCAGTCGCTACACCGGCTAAATCAGCTATTACCCGAGTGTTCTTACCCGCTTACCGTGTTCCCCTCTTGCCTCCCGGCATCCCTTCCCCCCCTATCCCTGCCCTCCCCACCTCCTGCCCCTCCCACCCCCAGCTGGAGTCCAGTCTGGAGGCGGGTGACGAGTGCGCCGCAGCCGCCGCGCTGCATCCCGCCCTGGCAGCGGTGGCGGGCGGGGCGCTGCGGCGGGTGCGGTGGCGGGGCGACATGGAGGTGCCGGTGAGGGCGGTGCCGGGGCCCTGGGAGTGGGAGGAGGAGGAGGAGGAGGAGCAGGAGGGGCAGCAGCTGCAAGGGAGGGATGAGGATGGGAATGGGGATAGAAGGGCGGTGGGCGGCGGGAGGCGGTTGGGTGTGAAGGCAGAGGCTGGGGAGGTGCAGCTGGTAGGGAGAAGCGGACCGGTGGTACAGCAGCAGCAGCAGCAAGGGGGGCAGAAGCAGCAAGGGGGGCAGCAGGGGCAAGGGCAGCAGCAGGATGTGATGAGGGGCAGCGGTGGTGGTGTTGCTGGTCCGCTGGGTTGCTCGTTGCGGCCGTGTGTGGAGTGCGTGGACCTCACCATCACCAGCAGCAGCAGCAGTAGCAGCAGCAGTGTCGGCAGTGACAGCAGTAGCATGGATGGTGGCACCGGTAACAGTAGCGGCAGGGAGGGTAAGAGCACCCGCAGCAGCAACAGTAGTAGTAGTAGTGATGATCAAGGCGAGCAGGGGGCGGAAGAGCAGCAGCAGCAGGAGGAGGTGACGGCAGAGGAGACGCGGCCACCACTACACGAGCAAGGCGGTGGTCACAGCGGCGGTGGTGGTGACAGTGGCGGCGATAGACAACGTGACGAGCAGGAATACGACAACAGAGGCGGAGGAGTAGGTGAAGGAGACGAAGGAGGCGGAGGAGGTGGTGTCGATGATGATGTGGCGTACGGCGATGATGAGTTCGAAGTGGGTTATGATGGCGGCGGCGGCGTTGGCAACACCGCGGCGGGGGTGGTGGCGGTGGCGGTGGCGGCGGTGCAAGAGCAGGTGGGCTGGGAGGAGTGCGTCAGGAGGTATGGTCCTGACGGTCTGGGTCAGGACCAGGACCTGCAGCAGCAGCAGCCGGAAGGGGCCACGCAGCGCCCAACGCAGCAACCCCGAGAGCAGCAGCAGGAGCAGGCGGATGCTCCCACACCTGCCCCTGCCCCTGGCGGCGCACCACCTCCTCCCGCCCCTCCCGCCCCTCCCGCCCAGTTCCTGGCTCGCTTCTGCTCCGCCTGGGTGCATGCCAGCATGGCCACTGTGGGTGGGTGGCGCGGGTGCTGGGATGCCGGGTGCTGGGCTAGGGTACTGGGCTGGGGCAAATGCTCGGATACAGGAGGCTCGGATGCAGTGTGGTGTTGCAGTGTGCTTGGCAGCGCTCTTGCCCCCATCTGCCGGTAGCCCAGGCGAGGAAGGCCAGGCACGTGGTTGGGGTAGGGGGTGCTGGGTCCGGGTACTGTGATTCCTTGTTGGGGGTTTCGGGTTCACGAGCGGGGTATTGAACGAGGGGTGGTGTCGGAGCGTACCTGGCAACATGCCTGTCCTCATCTAGCCCGATTAAGGGGAGTCTAGGTGACACGTAACGCATCAGCCCGTATCACCTCCCTCCCCCCTCGCAGGCGTGTCCCTGCTTGAGAAGCAGCGCCGCTACGGTGCGGCTGTGCGGCTGCTGCGGCAGCTGCTGCGCGGGCGCTGCTGCCCGGGTCGGCGGGGCGAGTGGTGGCTGCGGCTCTCGCTGGACCTGGCGCACCTGGGCAGGCAGGCGGAGGCGCTGCAGGCGAGGAGGGGAGGATGAAGAGGAGGGAGCGGACAAGCTGTATGACAGGGCTGTTCACCATGGGGTGCAAACAGGAGGGAAGGGGGGTGCGGCCGGGGGAGGGGTGATGCGGGAGGTGGCAGAGAGAGAGAGAGGTATCTTGCGGGTGCGTGGCTTGCTGTCACGTGCCTGTTTTAAGCTGGCGTTGTATGGTGGCGTCCAGCTCACTGCTGCCGCCGGTGTGTGTCAATTTTCAGGTAGCTGAAGCGGCCTTGACCGACCCATGGGTCCGACATGGCGACCGAGTGGCCCTCCAACGGCGACTCGTGCGGCTGCTTGGACGGCAGCAGCAGCTGCAGCGGAAGAAGGGAGGTCAAGGCGGTCAACGGGGAAAACGCGGAGGGCTCCAACTGCCCGCTTGGGCCACCCAGCCGGAGGCTGCTGCGGCCCTGTCGGACCCTCCCGAGGTGGTGGTGTCGGCAACCATGCTGCCGGGCACAACGGGTGGGTGGCGCGGTTGCTGGGGTTCGCGGGGAAGGGGTTTCTACACACCATGACCCATGGGTCACCCAACTACACCAAGTCGCCTGTCCCCCTTACGCTCCTTTGCTCTCTTCCCGCAGGCCTCAAGAGCCGCTTTCTCGCCCCTGCCAACGGCTGTGGCGCTCCCTCGGCTGCACTCCCCGCCACGGCCCCAACCTCCGCCCCCACCTCCGCCGCCCTTCCCACCACCCTCCCCGCCACCCTCCCCGTTCCCCTCCCCGCTCCCATCGGGATGGAGGTGGTGGGTGTGGAGGAGCTGGCCGTACGGCACTACGGCAGCGCTGCGGGCGGGGGGTGGCGGGGTGTGCACAGCGAGGGCGGCGTGTGGGGCACGTTGTGGGGGCTGCTGATGTGGGACGTGGTGTTCATGGAAGTGCCGGAGGTGTTCAGGTGGGGGTGGGGATGAGAGGGTGAGGTGGGTGGTGGGTGGCTGGGAGGCTGGGAGCATGATGGAGGGCTTGCGTTAGGCTTGGGGTTTCGTTGGATGTAGTGGGATCACGCGACTTTGAGCATCCCTTCGGCAGCCTAGGTTGCACTCGCATTGCAGCCACAAGCACACTATATCACAGGCCGTCTTCACCTCCTTCCTTCGCTACCCAACCTGCTGCCCCAGCCCAGCGCTACCCCGCCCATCTCCCCTCTCCGCCCCGCAGGAGTCCCTTCCAGACGGCGCCGCTAGACCTAGACACGGACGCCTTCCTGCCCTCACGTCGGGCCGCGGTGGACAGCAGGCTGCAGGTGGGGACTGGGTGGGCGGGTGGGTGGGTGAGGGGTGGGATAGGGAGAGGCAGCATGGGGCATGTGCGGCTGAGAGGCAGAGCGGCCTCCACTTCCCGCAATTCGACCTCACCCCATCCACATGCTCCACCGCCATGCTCTCGCTCCCCGTCCCCCCCCCAGGCCATCGCCTCCGGCTGCGCGCCCTCGCTGCTGTCCGCCGCCTGGTCGGCGCACGCGGGCTGCTGGTGCCGGGGGGTCAGCTGGGAGCGACTGCCGCTGAGCGACCTGCAGGACATCGCACGGTGGGTGGGGGGGGGTGGGCAGGGGCGGGGGAAGGAGGAGGAGGAGGAGCTGCATGCGTGTCTGGGGCAGCTTGGGGTCTTGGATGGAGGAGGAGGAGGAGGAATAGGAGGTGGAGTGGGTGGTTGCGGCCAGGGGTTGCCGCAGCAGCACACACAGGTTGGCCGCCACAGTCGCTGAAGCACCGTGACAGAACCCGCCCCATCCTGCGCCCCCCTCCTCTTCTCCCTGCGTCCGTTCCCGCTCCCTCCCTCCTCCTGCCGCTCAGCTGCGTGGGGGGGTTGGGTCTGTCGATTGTGTGTCGGCTGCTGTGCGAGGACGCGGGCGGCTGGCGGGGCGGCATGCCGGACCTGCTGCTGTGGCGCCCGCAGCGGGGGGACGCCATGGTGGCGGAGGTCAAGGTGGGGGTCAGGGGGGTGCGGGTAGGGGTTGCGGGTAGGGGGCTGAGGTCATGGTGGGGGTCAGGGGGGCGGGTAGGGGATAGTGCGCAACTTGCGCCCACCGGTATACATGCCTCCCCCACTGCCGGACCCAACTACACACCCGCCCACCGCTCCCCAAACACCCGCCCCCCCCCACCCCCGCCCCCCACCGCCGCCAGGGCCCCCGGGACCGGCTGAGCGACCAGCAGCGCGCCTGGCTGGCGGCGCTGTCGGCTGCCGGGGTGCGGGCGGAGGTGCTGCGGGTGGTGCAGGCTGAGGCGGGGCGGCAGCAGGCGGGCGAGGAGGAGGAGGAGGAAGGAGATGGAGTGGCGAGTGACAGGGCAGTAGCAGCTGTGGATGGGAGAGGCTGCAGAGGTGGACGGAGGAAGGGCGGCAAAGGAGGATTGGGTCATGCAGGTGGTTGGAGCGGCAGCGGGGGTAGAGGCGGTGGTGGTGGCCGCCGTGGAGGGGAGCGCGGGGGGCGCAGGGTGCGCGGCAGGCGGGCTGTGGCGGTGCCGGTTGCGGGTGCGGGCAGTGGTGCGGGGGCTGGCGGAGGCAGCGGGGGTGCGGGTAGGGGTGGTGGCCAGGCGGCGGGAAGGGCGGCAGCAGCTAGAGCGACAAGGAGCGCTGCGGCCTGTGTTCCGGACAGCAGAGGGGTGACTAGGCCGATGGCGGAGGATGGTGCGGTGGTCGTGATTAGCGACGACAGCGACGAGAACAAGTGACCGGGAGAACGAGTGATCGGCGGGTGGTGTGTGCGAGTAGTACTAGAGCGAGCGATGCTGCTTTCTACTTAGTCATAGGCAAGCGCGGAGTAGTACGGGCTTTCTGGCCATTCTCATACAATCGAATAGGGCGGTCGAAGATGTTCTTCGGACCAATCCGTATACCTAGGAAAGATACACTCTCGCTGGAGAAGTGGCGGACGTGGGTATGAATGTGAGAACGAGCGATGGTGGGTTCTACATGCTGACCTAGCTGTTTGAGAGGTGTCTCGGCGCGTGCCGTACCATGCCGGGGGAGTTGTTGGCGAGCGCGGGGCTGGGGCGGGTGTGTTACCAGCGCGTTGTTGCAACAACCAATCGGCGATTTCCGCAGCAGTGAAACCGACGTGCACTTCCGTACCAAAGCCAATTTCCACTTCCCTCACTGCATGCTGGGTTCCCTCCGCAGGAAGCCCCTACACTAGCCCATTGACGTAACATGGCAACCCTAAGGGGTCTGTTATGCGCGCAAGACCCTCCTGCTGACATCACATCACATTACCTCAGCAACTTATTATAACACGTACACAACCTGCTAAACCCCGCACACTACACATGCAAACGTAAGGACTGAGTCAAGCGCACTCTATGCAACACGGGAATAGGTGCATGGCAGAAGGGGTAGTACTTGAGCTCATGAGTGCGCTTAGTCCATCATAGCGCTTCATACCTGAACACAGCGGCATGCTATGGCAAAGCGCAACGTCTCGGGGCTGCCAGCTCTCAGGTGGCTTGTAATGCGGCAGCAGTAACCCCTCCTGCGACTGACACCATGGCAAGGCTCCCACGACACGACTCTTCGCACCCAACATCACGGACGCACCCGGCACCACAGCGTCCGGTAAAACCCACCTCCCGTCTCCACGCAGTAGAGGGGACCCAGAAGCGGCCATGCTGCGTTGTAAACGGAACTGCATTAATGCACCGCTTCCCTCATTGCGGCATCATACATGCGCCAAAGCAAGACCACCAGTGCGGATCTCCTGCCATGTCTGGACGCCACATCTTATTCGCTATCCGTATGATGCCCCACTACACTCCAGCACCCACACTTAACTGCCTACTTAACAACGTGACGTACAGAACAACAGCCGCCAAACCTGCCGCCTTTACCCCCAGGGGCAGAGGAAGCTGATGCCCATGCGGCCCCCCCCGACACATGTACGAACTAAACTGCAACTGTACAACGGTGCCGTGCTGTACAACGCAATACAATGCAGCACGATCAACATGCCTATCGTAGGTACAGCCTAAAGGTAAGGTAGACCCAGGCAACCTAGAGCCTACCCTATACGGTAGCCAGCAGGTCAGGGTAGCCACTGGCCAGCCAGGCTAGGACGCCTGCCGTCGCCTGTCCTCGCTGCCATCTACCCATGATGCCTCACTACACCCACTCCAGCACCCCCTGCAGCTTGCCGTCCTTCAGGTAGGCAGACCAGGGAGCCAGCAGGGACCCAGAGCCGCCAGCAGCAGCGGATGACGGCTCCTGGCCCTCAGCAGGCGGTGCCGCCAGCTTCAAACCCGCAAGGGAACTCAGGCCACTCCCGACTCGCACATAGCGACCTGTATACTCCATGATCCATGCCTCCTCCCGGCTGCCGTCCTCCAGCCACGTGCAGGCCGCCAGGCGAGCACGTCCCGGGTTGATCGCAGACACCACACTGCCAGAGGCCTTGAGAGACGCCGGCAGGGTGCAGCTCAGGTATAGGTCAGCCGCTTGGGACCCCTTCCAATGTTGCAGGCCAGCGTACCACTCCATGCCAAGCGCGGCAACCCGGGAGGAGCCGTTGCTGAAACAGCCATCGAGAGAAGTAAGCGTGCCCTGCGCCTGGGACTCCAGTTTAGCTGCCAGATCCGCCTCCTTGACGTACCAGGAATAGCTCCTCTTGGCGGCAGAGGCAGGCAGAGGCGGCCGGGCAGGAGCAGCGTACCAGGGCGAGCTGCAGTCGTATGTCCCAGCAGCTGCAAGTGCCATGCGCATCTGCTGTACTTCTCCAGCCGCCGTGAAGCCGCATAGGAAGTGGTGCTCTTCGCTGCTGAGTGGGAACCAGGGCAGCAGTGGTAGTACTTGAAAGAGGAAGGTGCTGCTGAGCTTGCTCAGCCGCACCAGCTTGCACAGCCGCTCGCGTGCCTCCTCCGACGTCCCCGTATTGACTTCCAGCCAGCGCGCCAGCATGAGCAGCACGGTTGCCTCGTCGTCCGTGGCGAAGTGCTCGCTGCCCAGCAGCGCCTCCATGGCGGCGGCGGGCAGCGCCTCCATCTGCCGCCGCATCTCGGGCTCGCTCAGCACGGAGGGGGCGTCGCGGAAGGACCAGGCAAGCAGCTCGCCAAGGTTGGGGCCGCCCGCTGGTAGCATGCCGCCGCAGTGCTCCACCAGCTGCTGCCGGCAGGTCTTGAGGACGTCGCTCAGGAGCTGGGCGCCGTTGGGCTCCTCAGTCTGCTCCGGGTCCGGCAGCTGCTTGCTGCAAGCGTAGATCTCCGCTACGCCCGCCAGGCCCTTGACGCGGTCGAGCAGGGCCTCGTCGCACGCCTCCACACAGCCATCTACCTGCAGGTAGGCCGCCTGCCGCCGAATGTGCAGCAGGTCCGAAGCGTGCTCTGCGGTGACCGCTCCAGTATACATGAAGCGAATCGCTGCCAACGCGTGCGGCAGGTCATCAGCTGAACCAATAGGCACACGGAGCACCGGTTTGCTGCCTGCAGGGCCCTTCTCCTGCTTCCAGCGTTCAATCTGCGCTCGGAAGCGACGGCATCCGCAGTGAAGCACAAGCAGGTGCGCTGGAAGCGGTTCGCCGAAAACAGGCTTCAGGGTCACGGTGACAAGCCTGGCTGAAGGCTGATCTGCGCCCTGCTCAATTGTCAAGCCGGAAGTCGCGGCTGCAATGTTAACGGAGACCAGCTTTTGGAATGAATGCGGCACATCATCTGTCCATTGCCATGTTGAAGCCGGATCTGATGCTGAGTCGAAAAAGGCGGACGCCTGGTCACAGCCATGCCGTGAAGGAGCTAGCTCCACATTTTCAGGGCAGAACACTATTGAGCAATCCGAGAACTCCTTACTACCGAAGAGCGCTGGAAGGTTGGCGGTAAGGGGGCCGGACATGAGCGGCTATTTTACTATTATGCTATTGATTTCCACAAAACGGCTGTCAAGTGTTGCAAGACTCTTGGCAAAG